CTTTATAGATTAGCCCTATAATTTATTAATAAATATTATAAAACACAACTAGATAAGTATCTAATAGTGTATAATAAAAAAAGGTAAAATATTATAATTCTCTAATACTAATTTAATCTAAGTAATAGTTTACATCTATTTATTAAATTTACCTCTTAAGATTCTTTTAGTTACAAATGCGCTTTATTAACTTAGAGCAGTAACTAATAATTAGGTCTTATTGCATAAACCTTCCCTAAGATCTAGATTTTAAAGTAAAATAACTAAAACTCTAACTTTTAAATAAAGTTTAGTAAAAAGTAAACTAGGCAAATTAAACATCTATAATAAATTCTTTAAAAGATAATTAACACTATCTAATTCTATCTAATATACTTTATTTATAGACATAAATTTCTAGACATTACCTTTAAAATACCTAAAAAGAATATTATTAATTTTTATAACTACTTTATTATAGACTATAAGGATACAGCGCTGTTAAAAAAAGCGTGTAGTAATAGTAAAGTCTAAAAATACACACAGCATATTTAATAAATACATATAAGAATAAAAGTAACTTGTAAAGATAAACTTTTAAACACTAAAAAGTAGATTAACATGTGTTTACTTATCTCTAGATATAGAAAGTATTTAGTCTATATAAGCTTAATTTATAGCTCTAGTGTGCATTTTTATGTTCTTAGTTAAAGTTAGAACTATAAAACAACACTAAAAAGGGGACTATTAAAGGCATACCTGCACTATTTAACCCTAGCTACTCTTAGGTATAACTAGTAAAATCTATAAAAAATTACTACTAAATACTAATAAAATGCTACTAAAAAGCAGTTTACTTTATAGTACATTATAAAAACTTTAATTAATAGCCTTAAAATATAACTAGTGCTGCATAAAAACCTTATTTTAAATAATAAGGCTAGTTTTATAAAGCAGCTTAAAAGTAGAAGAGTTTATAGTAAACATGTAAAAAAAATTCTCTATAATCTTAATAAGTATCTTAAACTTTAAGTGCGCAGTTCTACCACCTAGAAAAAGTAGCGCTGCAATACTAGATAAAGCTACGCAGAGAATAATCTTACACTAAGACTAAAATTAAAAACATAACATTTAATAAAAAAAGGTTTTGCTAGTACTACTAAAGCCTTAAATAAAAAACTAAGCATTATTTAAATCTAAACACATAGTAGACTTAATAGTATTAAACACTAATTTTTAACTATAATTTAATTAGTTATAAGACTTAGTAAAAGTAGTATACTTAGTAATATTATTATATAACATCTGCTTATATACTAAGAAAGGAACAGTAATAGAGATCTAATTATACAAGGGCATTAGCATTTTAAATTAAAATAGTATTTTATTATGTAACTTTAAAAGTATCTAGTTTAGAATTTATAAGCTATAATTTTATAACAGCTTAGATTTAGTAAAAAAAGGATTAATAAAAGCTATTTATAAAGGTAGATTATCTAAGAAGTTAGCATAAAATGTTGTCTAAATAGCTACTAAATTAAATATATTACTAAATACTAGCGCCTATATAAATATTTATTATAATAAGAAGCTAGTAGCTGTAAGTTAAAGTTTTTAGAAAATATAATTCTAAAATTAGTCCTTTTATAATAAACTATAAGCTAAATAAGTGTTTTTAAATATTAGATAAAGCTTACTTTACATAGTATATAGGTTACTAAAGCTAGTTACTTTAAGAATATAGGTTAATAATATTTATAAATAAAAGCGCTTCTCTATAGATAGACTATAAAAATACATACACCTAATAAACATTATAGTTTTGCAATACTAAGTCTAAGCACGCGTAGCTAAATTTTACTAGTAATCTATAAAAAAGTCCTAGTATAGTAGATGCAGCCTATTAGTGTGCTAGAAATTATACTAAAACTATGCTATTAAAGTTAACTAAGCGCTTTTTATATAACTATGTACTGCATCTATGTTGTTATTATCTTAAAAGGATACTACATGTCCTTCTAGCAGATAAATTGCTAGACAAACTACTAAAGGCTACTCTCTATGTACAGGAAAACTAAACAGTTGCTATGCTGCCTTAGTAGGGCTAATATACTAACGCTATAGGTAGGATGTAACTTTGTTTTAATCTTAGATATAAACAGTAACCTAGTTAGTGCCCTTATATATATACTTATAAATATATTTAATAGCCTTAATAAATGCGCAGACTTTTATATTAACATGCGCATTATATTACCTAGATAAAAATAAACTATAAAAAATAATTTACTAATTATTAACTATAACTTTATATTATCTACACTTAACTATTTAGACTTAGCTATTATCTTACTAATAATAAATTAAATAACTATTTTTTTTTACTATAGTTTTTATAGTAAAATTTTTTAAAAAATTTTTTTAGTAAAAAAGCTACTTTAACCTAAAAAGCACCTGCATGTAGCTAGTAGATAAATTTAAGTTACTATAAGAACTATGTACTATAGACCTTATAATAATATTAGTTAGAATACTATTAGGATTCTAGGACTATGTTAAATGCTTAGCCTATATAACATAATTAATAAAATTAGGTAATAGAAGCTAATCTTTATTATCTAAGTGTATAAAGAGTAGAATATAGGCATAGAGAAGTCTCTACTTCTAATACTTAATTATGTAAATAATGCTAGTAAAGCAACTAAACACTTACTATAACTTAATATTCTTTATTAAGAAATCTAGCTATAACTTAAATATTTAAGTAATTATATTAAGCTAATTTAAAGTATACTATAGCTGTTTAAGTTCTACTATTATCTTAGGCTACTTAAAATTTATAGTAAATGTAATAAATAGAAAAAGGCATCTAAGCTTTTAAATAATAGCTATAAAATTTTAGTAACACTAAAATATAAACTAACTACTGCTAATATAACTTAAAGAGAGTATAGTATAAATACTAATAAATTACACATTAAAATTATTCTAGTGTAAAGTATTACTAATACTTTAATAAAAATCTACTTAGAGTTTTAACTAATTATTATAGACTTAATAAAGCTTTTTTTATTTAACTTATGCTTAGTAATTTATTATCTACTGTTAGAATAATTAGCTATAGGCAAAAAGTACTACATTATAACTCTTCTAAAGAAATAGATAAAATTAATAAAACATAGTATTAGTAATATAAAGATTTTTTTAGACTTTATTAGAATTACATAGCATAAGCCTAAAAAAGAATCTAGGCTAACTAGTAATAAACATAAAGACATAATAAAAAAGCTAATAGGCAGGATAAGAAGAACAGACTTAAGAGTAGAATTAAGTAGAGTTATTACTATTATAATAATATAAAATTAGACTATAACTTATACTCTTATTAAAATTTTTTATAATTAAGCTAGCAACTTTATTTAAAACTAGTAGATTTTTTTATTGTTAGTTAGCACTAGCCTTAATAATAAGCTTTAATTAAAAGTTTATAATAATCTAAATATTTTAACTATTACACCTAGCTCTCTTTAGTCTTTTATAAGCAGTTTTATAAATAAAAATCTATAGATTATAGGCATCTACTTCTAACATATGCATAAGCTTTTATAATAAAGTTAGGTCTAGGTTTAAATTCTAGTTACACTATAGCTAAGTACTTAAAGTAAACTCTAAGTTATAAAAGTATAACTGCGCGTAGCTAGCAGTAACCCTCTAAGCAGGCTCTAATAGACTTTATAAGTAGTAAAGTTCCTCTATAATCTAAAATATCTTAACGCTATTCTTACACACATTACAATCTGTAGCAGTGTAATTAGCAGAAGTAAAGGCTAAAGAAGTGTTATATATATAAATATTATTATAAAAATATGCACTTTTTATATAAAAACTATTTAATAAACTCTAGATAATAACTAGTAAGTTTTAATAAAACTTTAAATAAATATTTCTCTAAAGGCAGCAGAACCTATATTTTAGCTAGCTAGTAGTAGACCTAGCTAAATGTTTATTAATCTAATAATAAGCACTACATTCTGTACACATAGCAGTAGGATTGCGCATTAGGCTAAAATTAATAAGCAAATAGTAAAGTACACCTATAATATATGCAGCTAGGCATAGTTTTTTAGTATTAATTAGATTAAGCTTAAGAAATATAAAAAGCTAAAAAGTAAATATAATTAGAGTATATTAAGACATAGTAAATAGTAAAAAAGTTAACTAAAGTTAAAAGTTTAGATAAATAAATAAAAATAAAAGTGTAAAAGTTAAAGTAAACTAATTAATATTTAAGTAAATAAAAAAAAAAGTAGATATAAATGTTAGAAAAATATAACTAATTAAAATAAAATTAAACATATTTAGATGTAAAAAAGTAGAAGATATAGTTTATATTTATTAGTAATAAAAAGATTATTCTTTATAAGCATTATACTATACTTTTTATATTAGTAGGTTAGAATTAATTTCCTAAAAAGCATGTTATTTCCTCTAAAATAATTTAGTAATAATAAAAAAAGAATAAAGATATAAATAAATAAATCTTTTATACTACTAATAATATTTATATAGAGCACTATGTTAGTTAGTTGCAAAGTTAAATAATAGGCAATAGGTTTAACATTTCTTATAGTAAGGCTAGAAAGACATACTAAGCTTAAGTAACAGTGTTAGCAGATATCTATAAATATCTAGCCAGAATTAGACAGATATAACTAAGAAAAGGGGACAGTACTAGAATACAGACACTAACACACTAATTCTAGCTTAGTAACACCTTAAAACTATAAATAGTAATAAAAAAGTAAACTTTAGCCTACTAACAATAAAACATAGCATTATAATATTACATTAAAACACCTAGAATATAGTAATAGACCTAGTAAAATATATTTATTTGCCTTAAAAATCTAGAATATTTATAAAAGTAGTAGAAAGTTTTATAGGCTAATTAAACATTAATCTAGCCCTTTTTTAAACTAATAAGAGAAAAGGCTTGGCAAGATGTACAGTGAATAATAGAGATATCAACGGCATTGTTCAAAGTCTTCTACTCTTATGCAGGCCTGAGCAATGTCAACAACGTCATGAATGAGGTGAAAGACCCAGTCCGAACACTCAAATCGGTTTCAATCATGGCATTAATTACATCATGCATTCTCTACCTCCTGGTCAATGTCGCCTACTTCATGGTGGTTCCATTAGGCGAGATTCGGGGCAGTGGAGAGCTGATTGCGGCTTTATTTTTCCAGAGAACCTTTGGACCTCACTTAGGAAAGAAGATATTGCCACTGGCAGTTGCTTTGTCTGGGGCTGGTAATGTCATGGTGGTCACCTTCGCCCTAGTAAGTTCCAAGACGTGCCCATTTTTTAAGGTTTAACTGATCTCTGGCAGGCACGGCTCAATCAAGAGATTGCGCGTCAAGGATTCCTCCCCTTCTCCAAATACCTAGCATCGTCAAAACCATTCAATGCACCCATGGGCGGACTCATCGTACACTACATCCCGTCCCTCCTTGTCATAGTCCTTCCACCATCTGGAGAAGTATACTCCTTCATTCTCGAGGTGGAAGGATATCCCGGTCAATTTTTCGCTTTAGCCATATCAATCGGACTCCTGTGGCTCCGGTACAAGAGGCCTGATCTCAAACGTCCGTTCAAGGCCTGGATCGGAGCTGTAGTTCTCAGAATAGCTCTCGCTCTGGCGCTTTTGGCTGCCCCGTTCTTCCCGTCGAAGCGCAAAAGAACTGATGAAAGAGGAATGTGGTATGCAACTTATGCAGTTGTCGGAATCTCTATCATAGTGTTTGGGCTTTTCTACTGGTATGTTTGGACGAGGCTCATTCCTCGGCTGAGAGGGTATAGGCTTGAAGAGAAAGATGATGTGCTGGACGACGGAACTACGGTCACAAAGCTTATTCATGTCCAACTATAGATTGCTGGAGATATCTCAACTGCCCTTCTTCACATCCGAGCCTGAGTGTTGGTTTGCGTGCTAGACAATACGCACATAGGCGAACGGTCATGTTGTCGTTCGCATTGATACTCCAAATCAGCTCCGTAAAAGATAGCTATGGCGAGCTTCCTTGCTTGGAAATCCAATGTCTCATTTGATGCATATATGTAATCCTCGAAAACTAACCTATTCATCAGCAGTAGACCCCTACCTAGGATTTATTAATATGCACGCATTTCTGCCAGGGTCTTCGATTAATGGTCTGATAAGCATCCAACCGCGACCAATAACTACCCTGAAACCCAGGACGGACGAGTACCGGACAGTGCGATTAATGCCAGTTGGAGTCTAAGGGAATTACACTTACATCTTGAAGTATTGCGTGCTTGCGGGGAAGCTGGTTGGCTTACATATCCACAACCTCACCTCAACTTACAACTATAGCATATAAGAAGCTCAAAGGTATGCATTGTTCAGGTACACAATTCATCTCAGGCAATTAAGCAAGCTAGCAAATACTTTCATGTACCCAGGTTGTTAAATATCAATTCCCGTACAAAATGGCAACTGCTGCTGTCCAGCTTCCCCAATCAGCCCCCACTTACTCTCCGCAAACCCTCCAAACCAGCGTCACACCTTCAGTGACTAAAGCGCAAGATGTTGCCACTACCTTAAGGTTCTACAAGGACAATGAAGACGGATCACCCCCACACCCATCCTACATCAACCGCCCTGAGACCTATGATCGTCCATTCCTAGAGTATCCGGTTACTGTCCACGACGTCACCGGTCGTGAGAAAGATTATACCCTTGATGGAAATGGCTTTCAATTTCATCCGCACGTGAGCGTGGAGAAAGATTTCGTAGACGATGAGCAAATCAAAGCTCAATACTATCCTGAGACGGAGGAGTTACTCAAGAACGTGCAAGTTGCCTAGTTTGTCAAGATACTATAGAGTAAGCTGACAGCAGTAGAACTGGTGCATCCAGAATCTTCATCTTCGACCATACCATCCGTCGCCAAGCGCCTGGTGACGAAGAGTCTCGGGTACGCCAACTTCGCGGCCCGGTTCAACGCGTGCATATTGATCAGTCCTATTCGGCTGCTCTTTCACGGGTTCCGCATCACCTGCCCGAGGAAGCTGAGAAGCTGCTGAAGGGAAGGGTGCAAATAATCAACGTCTGGAGACCGATTAAACCGGTGCAGAGAGATCCATTGGCGGTAGCCCAGGCTGATACTGTAGACGACAAGGATTTGGTGGTGACTGAGTTGATATATCCGAATCGAAGAGGAGAAACCTATCAGGTCAGGTATAATAAGGATCAGACGTATGCTGCGTTTTCCCTTGCCCCTCATGTCCTAATTAGGAGAGTTTAGAGTCTGACAAGCCTATAGGTGGTTCTACAAGAATGGACTCACACCCGAAGAAGTATTGCTTATCAAGTGCTTCGACTCCAAGCTCGATGGAAGGGCGAGACGAGTTCCTCACACTGCATTCCATGTTCCCGGAACAGAGGATAGGGAAAGCAGACAGAGTATCGAGGTAAGAGCGCTAGTATTCCATGAGGATGACACTTTAGAGTAGAGGGCTGCTTCATTCGGAATGCTTGAGAAGGGACTTTCGGTGATATGGGAACTTCGAAGAAGCGCATGTATGTAGCGTGTTTTTCATAATGAATCCAGGCTCCCACACAACTGGGTACCTTCACTGCACCATTCTCTAGAGATGGTTGCGCCGTAGTTCACAGAGTAGCTCACTCGTCGCGCTGCGAGAAGTTGTTGTCTGTGTAGAGGTTAAGATACCCGGCCCCCAAGCAATGGCTTAGAAATTGGAGAAACATTTAGCCACGACGAGGTTGCACAGCGCACACCTATCAGAAAAGGTGACGTAGGTGAAAGTGGTGACATTTGCGCAAAACAGCCACCCCCATCTCTAACCGCCCACCTACCTCTGGATATCAGATTTGAATTTATTTTTAATCAAACTGTCTATATGGATTGAATATTTCAAGATATTGAACAATAAAAACTACCACCGAACCGAAACGGCCAATCAATAAAAATTTGTGGGGTTGGCGGGACTGCTCTTCCCCTCTATCCGTAGCGCACCGACGTGAGTTCGACGAAGTAGAGACTCGATAAAAGAAGATAGCGGTGGAGTACCTGTACCTTTACACGGAGCTGAATTGGGAGCAAGGAGTCTTGAAGTTCCTTCACAGGAAAGCGCAGGGGTTTTCTCAGTCTAGCATACTACTGGGTTCTTTTTTTTTGCAATTTATTTTCATAACAGAATTTGATTCAGTCCACAGCGAGTAGGATATATGTGCCATTTCCTAAGCATTATAGAAGAAGATATCGAAGTGTTAAGGAAAATGATGGTGTTACAAGAATGCTTAGACTCCAAGAGAATGTTCAAGTTACTGCTTACACCTCCTGCCAACCGCTCTCTACACAACGAGTGAGCCTCGCACATCCTTAGCACGGGGACGGCGAGGCGCTGTTCATTTACCTATAGATCATAGTTGACAAGAGTAGTATTTCAACAGCTAATCTGTCAGCCCTCCGGAACACAAAGCCTAAGTCAGAAGTCTCACGAAGGAAAGGCAAAATACTCGAGTAAAACAATTCTCCATACAGGCGACGGCTACAGTTCATAATAGGCCTTCACCCTACTCCTAAAGCTTCACGGCCTTCAACCCCATCCCAATATCCCTACTTACCATCAGCCTCCACCCCAACCTGGAACTTCATAGCTTATGGGTTCGCTTACCCCTTGGACACTACCTTGGAAACCTTGTACTCAACCACAAGTCCCTTCATACCCGGCTCTTTCACAAAATGTCCCGCCGCTACATACGTCGCATTCTCCAAATCCTTGTACTTCGGACTTCCAGTCTCAAAGGAGAACGAGACGAAAGAGTCACCGTAGGGAGTCGTCTTCGCATCTGCTGAGCCGCCAAGCAAAGCCTTGACGCCTTCGGTGAGACCGACGGTGCCTTTGTAGTACATTGCGAAAATAGTACCGTCGTTATTTCTAGAAATATTAGGGACTGAACAAGGGGAGTTGGAGTGAGGAACGTACTTAACTTGACTTCGCACATCTAGGCGCATGTTGCCACCGTCTGCGTCGTTGTGGATGTAGTCGTATCCAACACCATGCCTAAGCCGATTCCGTCAGTGTCAAAGCACCTATCTTCCCCCTTCCTCTTCACAGGATTGAAACTCACAGCTCAGCATCTAGCGTAGGCTCAAATCCAGGCTCACTCTTCACAGTTCCTGACACCATTGGCTATTCCCCAATTAATATTCTCATCACAAACCCTCCAATTTTACATACGACAATAACCAATGATGTGCCACACTGTCCGCCTAGGAATCATCAGCACAAGCAGCTTTTTCCACTTGCCAACTAGACACAAACATACCAACGGGCAACGGCGGGTCAATATCCACTCGAACGGTGAAAGCAGGCTGCAAACTTGGGAATCCTGACATATTGGGCTGCCACTTGTGCCGGATACACCGTTTCAAACTCAGGACGATAATTGCTTTTTCAATTGGGAAAAGGGACTCGATCACTTGAACGAGGGTTGAAGAGAGGTGAAGTTTTCTGTGGTGAAGCTACCCCGCTAGCTAGCCCCACTTGCCGTCAGTAGCTGCACTCGTGTCGTACGGATCCGATCCATCATCCATCTCGCCGAACCGGTCCAGTTCCATGATCCCGGGACTGAATGAGCATGACTCCGCCTAAGTAGAAACACGGCATTGCACCAAACTACTCTACCTAGGTACATGTGGCTTCCAAGCTAAGAAGTTACCGCGGCTCCATACAAGTGTCACATGCTATGCTCGACCCCTAAAACCCACTCAGCCTACTCTTCCCCTTCTTCCTTTTCTTCTCCGGTCGGCCTCCAAATCTCCCAGGCTCCACCTGACTCTGCACCATAATTCCGCCCAATCCTTGGCTCTGACTTAGGCCCTGAACCTGACTACTTCCTCCCATACCCACCATTGGCGCAGGCGAGCTTCTCAATCTACCACCGCGCACCAACGCCGACTGGCTCTGCAAGAATGTCGATTGGCTCTCAGCCATCTGTCTCTCCCTGAAGATTTGCGTCTCTCTTCTCTGCTTCTTCAAATGTCGCTCCGCTTTCCGTTGCAGTTTTGCCCGACGTTCCGCGCTAATTTCATCACTACCTTGGAGCTCTTCTTGCACGACACGAGTTGTTGCGTCCCAGTTATATGTACTCGGATCTTCGCCGAGCCGCCAGTGCATCAGAACTTGATTTACACTGGGAGGGACAGCGGTGTTAATCGGTTTGGCGATCTGGAGATGTTGATTAAGCCGACTTAGGGGATTGTTCATGCTAGAGAAGGCGGATGCGAAGGTTGTTCTAGAAGCCATATACGGAGTTGGCTCTGGTGTGGGCAACACAGTTTGAGATTGAGACTGTGAAGATGACGATGATTGGCGGATGAGGAATTGTTGGCTTGAAGATGGTGAGAGCTGTGTTTCCTTGTTTGGCCGGGACAGTAGGATGTGCATGGCGACAGCGCTGTCCTGGGTTGGTCCTGCTTGTAATGCAAGTTCGTCGAGAGAGGGAGGGGCCGGTTCTATCCGGCGGATGCGCAAGCTAGCTAGCATAATTTCTGCGGCAATGTGTCGCGCGAGGCGCTCTATACGCTGTCGAGTACGAGCAGGAACGGCCGCAGGTAAAGGAGCGATCCAGTTCTGCAGAATGGTATCGTATAAAGATGAGATAGTGGCTTGCTGGCCGTCGACCTCAGATATTTGAAGAACTTGGTTGGATGCTATATGTCTAATCTTAAGAGATGGAGAATTCTCAAAAGCGGAGAAAAGTGCATTCAGATGCAATGACGCTTCATCAATGTCGAGAACATTAACTCTTGATTCAGCTTGGGCCAGTCTAAGTATATTAGGGCAGATATATGGGAGAGACTAGACCACCTACATTGTCCTTTGGGTTACTTCCATTATATTTGGTTCTTCAACCAACAAGCGTCTAATTCTGTCTAACAAAGCTGAGATGTCCTCCGACTGGGCCATCGTATTCAGATCCTTTCGGTTTAATGCATCATACAGAAAGCTGTAATCCACTGTCCAAGAACCCGGCCTTGTTGCTGTGGACTGTGATGTGCTGAATTTTCGACTCTGTATCGGTTTCGGAGACAGGTAAGACTTCCTCATCTTGGGCGCCTGCATAGTGCTCATCCCATCTGACACAACAAACTCTTCGTCATGGTTTATTAGATTCGAAGATGGATGGCCAAAACGCGCGCGGGTGGTTGTAGTCCAGGTAGGCCGGTCTACAATAAGCGCGTCATGTGATCCGTTTCTTTCCTCCGGCTGAAGGGCACACAGTAATGTTTCATGAACGCTTAGATCGGATAGCATTACTGACAAACGAGAGAAATGAGTGTCATTCGACAGGTACGCGAGGCCAGGTCCCCGGGGTCCAAGATTATCGCCCTCTCCGAACTGAAGCGAAGATATGTTGAGGTTGAGCATATACCGTGGTGTTCCAATTGCATCGAACAGTCGTTCGTCAAGCCTCAATTCCACAGGATCCGAGCTGGAGTACGCAATCAAAGGCTCTTGGTCAAGGTCTTGGAACCGGAAAACCGTCACGAGCGCGTTCAGGCGGGAATACATGATTACCAGAGATTCTAGGATGAGGTCAATAAAGATGAGTAGGAGCCATAGGTGAACAGCTGCCTACCTTCGCCGGATTTAGGAGCAACACAAATTCGGAGCGTGATGTCCTCCAGGCCACGAAAATGGGCCCATGACAGTACAATGATAGCTCCTGCACTACCACTGTCTTCAATTGTATCATTCAAACACTTAATCTGCATCAGATAGAGACGCGATGACGTCAAGATGAAGACCTGGTGTTTATTCTTCGGGTTTCTTTTCATATCCAATATCCAGTCGGCGGAACTTGAAGAGGCTATTTCTGGACATGGAAGCCCTTGAACCTGACGTATCCCACCTCTGAAATCAAATACACCCAGGCGCCTGCGATTACATACCAAGATGGTATTTACGTCACCGATCCAGAGTATACGAGCCCATCCGTCTTCACGGTCCGGGTTTCCCTTCTCTTCTACGTCGTCCATGTGCTTGTTCGGTAAAACACAACCTCGATCTATGCAAGATATTGTATGCTGCGATCTATTTTTGTGGCCGCCCTCAATGTCCCAAACACTCCAGTTACCCTCTTGATCTACAAAGCCGACCTGGCGTTGATAGTCAGGATTGAACGTTACATCGGCAAGCGGTGTGCCTCCCATCGTTTCCATGTCTAGAGATAAAATTGGGTTCGCTTCGATCATAGAAGGTGGAAGCTGGTAATACGGGGAGCGGGGGGGTCGCACGGGACGTTCATGATAGATAGGGCGAAACAGTACAATTCGGGTAGGAAAGCGGGCAGCGAGAAACGCAGATCGCTCTTCAGATTGGGCGAAGCATACCTGTTGAATTGGCGCCGCATCTCCAGCCCAGTATCCACTCTCTTCGTCTGTGATGGCCCAGCCTTCGACCCAGATGCTCCTGTCTTGCTCCCATCCATGTCTCTCCTTCGCAAGCGTTGTCAGGCGGAGAATATTCCCAACTTCCCCAGTTACAACCGCCGCGACCTGCCTTGGGTTTTTGGAGTAACCCTCGGAAGTAAAGCTCCCAAAGGAAAGGACTTCCCCAATAGCAGCATCGTAGGTACTGGTTACGGAAGTCACGGCTGACGAAGCGACTGCGAGCTCAGGGAGGTTTCCAAGTGAGGGGGCAATCTCAGGGTTGCTGCGAGCGAGCGCTTTCGCTTCTTGCTGCACGTGTCGAATCGTCCATGGATGCTCGAAAGTAGAGGTACGTTCAAAGTGTATACTGGGAGGAAGGGCCATTCTCCAGCCGCCTAATTGCTGGAGCTCCCTTCTTACTCCAGGCTCGCGGCCAAATGCCCATGCTGAATTTTCTACATCGTATGTTGCCTGCCCAAAATGCCCGAAGTTAAGGTCGTTCGGAGAATGCTTAGCCATTAGGCTCGGGAGGTGGTTTGCAATCTTGGCTGAGGTTGCAGGTGAGAAGCATAGCCGACGAGAGGATACTTGAATAGCGCCAAAGTAAACAGCAGTATTCAACGAACGCAGTGAAGGCGAGAGTGATTGACAACAGGAGTGAAGGGGAAGACGAACTCCAAGTTGAGCTTTCACGCGAATGCGCTAATCCCAGAACGCCGAATCACGTGCTATCCCTCGGCCGCTTGTTTCGCCGAACGCCGTTGTTTCCCCCAACAACGAAATCATAACAACATCCATCCACCCGTTCCAACCACACTATCGCGTCTCATTCAAGTACAACAATCTACCCACCTACTTCAAAATGACCACTTTTGAGCCCTCCCTCAGCGCCAGCACTATGCGCGCAGCCTCGCACGATGCGCCGAGCATGGCCGACCAGCTTCCCTCGATCAACTTCGGTTTCGACGACCTACGCAGTCGCATGAACCAATTCACCGCGCGGTTCGATGACTTCATTGAGAAGGGCCGCAAGAGAGTTCTTGAGGAGCGTAATCAGTTCCGCATGAGCGTCGGCGAAATTCAAGGTAAATAACTTCTCATACAACCCGAGAAACCAATGCTCACCACTCCATACACAGAGGACCAGCGCATGAAGAAGCGCGACATCGAGATCCTCACTCTCAAGCAAACTCAGCACTCACAAACCCTCACCAAAGAATCTGCCGAAACATCAGAGATGCATTCCGCCATCAGCACCCTCACTGTCCAGCGAGACGAGCGGCTCGCTCACCGCGACGCCTTGAAGTCGCAAATCGCAGAAGTTCAGAAGGCCATTTCCGCACGCCGCGAAGCACAGCTCAAGCACCGCCGCTACCTTGATGGTCAGAGTAGGTACAATGAGCCTGAGCTCGACTTCTGGGAGAGCTATCTTGGGCTCAGGATCGAGGGGCTAGGCAAGGAGGACAGATTGAAAATCGTGTATACCAACGTTTGTGAGAGGGAATGGGAGAGGGAGGCGTGGTTCGAGTTGGATACGAGCGAGCGCGAGTACAAAGTGTTAGAGTGCCGGCCCAAGTTGGATCGAGAAGAAGTCGAGAGGGTGTTGGAGCGGCTGAATGAGACGAGGGATCTGGCAACTTTCTTGAAGGGCATGAGGGAGCTGTTTGTTGACGTCTTGAAATGACGGGCTACTGCTGGGACTGAAATTTACTACACTACCCGAGTAATGGCGTCGGGGAGTTCCCTGGTTTCATTTTGATGTGCTAGTACGCAGATATAAGCAAACATACCCGACTTGTATTGCAGATGTCGACGTATTTGTTCCTTCGGCGTCTCTGTACAAATCTAACTGTCTCCATGGATCAGTTTATCCTTCCGGAAATCATCCCAATCGGGTTCTGATGCGCTATGGATCAAACTTCAATACCTAACCACTCAGCCCCATCCTCGCCACCATTCCTCACCTCTTCTTAACCTTGTAGTACTCTGGCGCATATTCCAACAGCCAGTCCTTGTCAATCGATGTGATATCCCGAATGAAGATCTTGTCTTTAGATTCAAGAATCTCAGTGTAGATGACCCAATCCGCCTTCCGGTGCTTCAACGTCGTTAGCAAACAAATCCAATTCTCCTAATCTAGAGCAGACTTACGAAAAACAGTGAACTTGGGTGCGCCCACAAAGTCGTTCCTCCATCCACTGTCGTAAATGACCCATCCGGCTTCATCCTCGCCGCATGAGCAAAGAATCCTGTAGTCAAACATCTCTGAATCCTCTCCGTAAGCTCTAAACTCGAGACCCCACCAACCCTCCGCACATCACTCCCAGAAAAGGCCGACTCTTGGATCCCGAGATGGTCAAGATGTCTCGCGAGTTGTTTCCGCACACTGACAGCTTTCTCCAGAGCCTTGAAATTGAGATAGTTGTCCCTACACCATTTTGGGTCCTTCCTGCCGGGTCCGATGAACGCATCATAAACGTTAAAGAGCGTTATGTGATCACCCTCGTCAACTGCGAATTTGCGTTTTGCACTGTCGGCTTGCTTCTTCTCACCCTCTGGCAGGACGAATGTAGTGCCTTGGAGCGTCATCATTGCTGCAATTGAGAGCATCTCCGAAAGGCAATTGAAGGAAGTCGCGTTGAGCAAAGCTTTGGCGAGCATAGGCTCAAGGGGTAGTTCGGCCATACGGATTCCGAGGGGCTTAGTAATGCGTGCGAGGTCATCGAGAGCGCCTAAGGCGTAGAGTAGCTCCAGAGCACGAGTCGCTAGTTTTGAGGGCGGGTTCGACACGTATGGAAAGCGGACGACGTTGGTAATGCCGAGGTTGAAGAGCTGGAGGAAAACTGGGGCGAGATTACTTCTCTGGATCTCTGGCGGTGTTACGTCTTCGAGGTCTTCATAGTCCTCTTCTGTATACAACCTGTAGCACTTTCCGGGCCTTGTGCGTCCAGCTCGACCAGCGCGTTGAATGGCTGAAGCTTTGGAGATAGGAGCAATAGACAGCCTTTCGATTCCACTTGTAGGGTCATAGGAGCGCAACTTCACAAATCCACAATCAATCACATACACGATCCCATCTATGGTCACCGATGCTTCGGCAATGTTGGTTGATATAATGACCTTCCTGGTCTTCTCGGGTGCTGGTTCAAACACATACATCTGCTGGTCGGACGACAGCCCTGCATAAAGAGGAAGAGACTGAATATTGCGAAATTTGGAGTCCAGATCGCCAAGACGGTCCTGGATCATATCAATCGTGGTTTCGATCTCATCGCGGCCAGTAAGAAAGACGAGAATGTCACCATCCGGTTCACTTGTGTGGATCTCCAGGATAGTTTCTACTGTTCGTTCCAGGTAGTCTGGTGTCGGTTCGATCAGGTAATGCAGGTCGACATGGTGCATACGGCCCTCAATGCCAATGACATAACCATATTCTTCTTTCTTTTTACCATGGATCTTTTCGTCAACATCGGCTGTGAAGAATTCCAAGAAATGTTCCGCATCCAAAGTTGCGCTAGACACAACAACCCGCAGGTCATGACGTTTCTTCATAATCTTAGTCAAAAGGCCTAAAAGAATATCGGAGCTCAGCGATCTCTCATGAGCTTCATCGACCATGATCACGGAGTAGCGCTTGAGAAGCGGGTCCACAAGGATCTCGCGCAAAAGCATGCCGTCTGTTAGAAACTTGATACGTGTCTTTTCTGACGTGACATCATCAAATCTTATCGAGTATCCAACCTCTTGGCCCAATTCACATCCCATCTCGTGTGCGACTCTTGCAGCGACAGTTGTAACGGCAACTCTGCGAGGCTGTTATCAAATAGTAAGGTTTTCTACTAGAAAAATGAGAGAATTCTCACCTGAGTGATAGCAATTGACGTCCCATCTGCTGTCCATCCTGACTTATATAAAAATTGGGGGATTTGCGTGGTCTTCCCGCTCCCTGTCTCACCAACAATGATAGTTAGCGGGTAAGTTTCAATGGTGTAGAGTAATACGTCTTTGAGCCGCGCAATTGGCAGCAAAGTAGGCGGCTTGTACAAAGCCGCGTTCAGTGGTGTCTCGAGGGCATCTTCCTCATCCGCCATGGTGGACGACCTGTAGACGAAAGAGTTTGGCAGAGCGATGATAACTCGGGGAAGTTGAGGGTGCCCTTATCGATAAGGAGTTCATATAGAAGCTAAGCCTAGATTGGTGTTGCCAAGATCAATATCGGCTTATACAACGCACTTCGTTCACATTCAGTTACCCCTCAACTCATTGAAGCTCCTGAGAGCACCGAAATTGTAGAGCTCTTGTGTTTCATTCCGTCGCTCGTTTACTACCCCTTTCGAACATACTCTACAGGGCCACGATAACTGTGACGTCGCGTGACGAAGTACAAAATAGAGAAAGTAACAACAGATCCATATCCAAGAACAGCCCAGTTCATATCTGACACCTTTGGACGAGGTACGGACGGGAATAAGGAAAACACCCAGATGAAGGCTAAGAACATAATAGAGATGAGATTGGTGGGAAGCCCCAACTTTCCGAGGTTGAACTTTGATGGGAGAAGCGGCTCCCTTCGTATTCTCTTCAATGCAACACATGAGATAGAGATAATGTAAGTCGTCAACATAGCCACAACTCCTAGGGACACCACCTGCATGAAGGCCACACTGGACCCGAGATTGATGAGAGAAAGAAGAACGACGAGGACAACAGTAACGTAGACGGCGTTCAGCGGAATCTGATAAGTGGGCGAAATCTACATTCGAATCAGGACCAAGTACTTCAACTTCCAACAGCCTCGCTCACCTGCCCGAAGAAACTCGAGAACGGGATTCCCTTATCACGAGCGAACACGAAAAGTTGGCGCGAAGCGGCTAGAATAGAGGTTAGACTGCTACAATTACATTTGGTCGACTCCGCTTACTGGCAATCACAGCAACACATCCGAACAGTGAGATGACAAGCATAAGACAGGTCAATCCGGTCGCACCACCCACTGATTTAGTAGAGTTGTAGAATACTTGCATGAATGGAACTGTTAAGTCAGTATTTAATGCATTTGTGCCGATTTCAGTCAACTAACCTCCTAATGGTGTTGTTAATACACTGCAAAAGGTCAGTAATTGAGGCTGACCAGCGTAGTACTGATTTACCTCATTGTATCTTTGACGCAAAACGCAAAGGTTATGCCCATTAGCCATCCAAAAAGTCCGTTGCCAATCCAGGTCCACATCATGGCTCGGGGAATGGCATATGCTGCGTCGCGGACTTCTTCAGCCATGTGCGCGCCAGCTTCAATACCAACAAAGCAAGAGGCTGCTCCGACTAACCCAACCATAACAGATAGAGGGGTACTCCCCCAACCCATGTTGTCCTCGAAGAGCTTGAACACAACATCCACGGGAGCGCGATCGGCCATCACCCATAGTACAATCAATACCGCAATAAAACCCGCAACATGGAGAATTACAATAATTCCTTCAACTAGAGGAAGCGTCTTGGAGAAGAATGTGTTGAAGACAAGACAAACAAAGAGTATAGCCCAGATCAAAAGCGTTCCATGCCAGGGCTTCGGTTCGTAGGACGCGTGGTTCAAAAGTATCAGCCCCTGAATCTGCTTTGCGGATAGGTAGGAAACAGTCGCCTACTCTGCCCGTTATTATTAAGAACAAGGTTGAACGGCGGTGTTTTACGAACCGCAGCGGTCGACCATCCAAGCATTCCCAACCAACCAACAAGGTAGCTCAGAAATTTTTGACAGCTGGGTGGTGCGAACTCCGATACCCAATGATACTGCCCCCCGGATGTTGGTGCCCTCAGTCAATCAGCTTCAAGGTCTCTTCTCTGCGGTTGAGTGACTAACATGGAAGCCATCTCAGCCATTGATGCGGCCACAAACCCAAAACCGGTCATAACAATGAGATAGCCCCAGATCAAACCTGCTGTTCCTCCGTTGCCTAGGACTATTAGTCACTGGATGCTACCAGGAAAGGAAGAATCGCGCACCTAGACTGTATACGCTAGTTGCGAGTCTAAGAGGCAGAATTTTATCAGCTTGCAGCTACGGAAGGAGTAAGAATAATACTTACTCGGCTTCCCAAGTCGCCAGAATCACCATCGTGAAGGCGATAACTGTAGGATGGCGAAAGTTTCGTCGAGTTTCCTGTCGCTTGCCCATGCGAGCCATGTCGCGCTTATCAGCAGTCGTGCCCTCCTTCTCAGAGATGAATACATTCTCTTCGCTACCCTCTAAGTGGTACGGCGCGGTGTCGACGTGCGAGGTTGAAACCTTGGCATTCACCATTTTGGAAACCGAGGTTGAAAGCGAAAGGACGTTAGGGATCGTTATTAGTAAATAGCGGAAGGAGAGATAATAAGAACACTTCACGTTCAAGAGAAGCAATCTTGTATTCCATTCTCCCTAGATTTCGAGCAGCCGCCACCTTTTTAGACACGTTGCCGATTTTCAATTGCCATCCACCATATGGGGCGGTTTTACTATCATGCTAATTTCGGGCGTACACGCTCGCTACCCCAGGTCCTGATTCTCATGGAGTCTTCCGCGAAGCCGCTCTCATGTTGCTTCTTCACCGCTATTGCACACGGAGATGGCTTCCACGTAGAGAGGAATCGCCTTCGTCTCTTGAAGAAGTGGAGTGTAGGCGTACACTCAAAAAGTTTGTCTTTCGACTATCACCCAACATCTTTGGAGGATTGTATTTCACATGGGTCACGTACATTATCAGGCATTTGACGAAGATTCGTGGGTCAATGAATGGACCAGCAAGTCGGATCAATATATTAATTGGTAAGTTATTGCCATTTACGGGCTAGCCTCGCAACCAGGATGGTCAGCAACAACCCTGAAAATGCTCGAATGGTGCCGATACAAAACATACTATCGAGCCTATCACGAAGGGGCTATCATGCGATGCGCGCTCACGACGGATATCTCATCAAGCTTAGGAAGGAAACCTGTCTACGTCTAGCTTACCACATAGAAGACGTGTCCGAAAGTTATGGTATCGAAAGGGACAGTTTGGCGCTGAAGTAAAAGACTTTAGCAGGGAGTCTCACAGAAATATCCAATTGATCTGCCAGTTTCAATGCTCAATCTCTCAAAGCGGCACAATCCTTACATCTGCCCTGTTCTCCTAGTCGGCTTCATCTTCGAATAGAAGCCCCACTAGGCGGCTCGCGTAAGACATACGAATGAGGCCGGTTTACACCGTGCATTCCCGGGAATCACATCGCAACTCGCTTGATTGGTTCTATACTTGAACTAATCTACCTCGTCGGCCGACCTTCCATCAAGCTTTTCATTTTGAGGAGGATCTTTGGCTTAGTGGATGCATTCAACTTTGGCAGTACTGCAACTACCTGTACTACTCGAAACTGCTAGTTCCACTAACTTCCAGCTTCGCAGGCAATTGCTCCCATTAAGTTCATTGCCATGTATGTAGGTCTCGGCTCCGTCCTTGAAGAACCCCCTGGAAATATCCTAGACTTTAATTTAACAGCAAAAGAGAGTTCTAAATCATTACCAAGAAAATATCACTACTTGCAATATGTAGCTTATCTTTTCTAGCTTCCTAAAATGCTCTCCACTTATCTTCCCCATATTTCTCAGGCGCCAGTCCTTCGTTTGAGGCGGCCATCGCAATAGCTTTCTCTGTGATAGCATCCCTCGATTTCCTGGGACTTGCCCAAGGAGAAATTCTGGAATAGGATCTTCCCCGCAAGTTCGGTAAGGAAGGGTGTGGGGCCAATGTGGGGGCCAACAAGGCCTACTGAAGCTTCTTCACAGTTCCGCATAAAGATGGAACTCAACACTGAATGCTCCGAGGGTGTGAGATGACAGTTATCTCACGTGATCGATCTATGCAATATCAAGTACAGAGGGAACAAGCCAAAATACGGGAGTTTCCTTCCGGGATTTTCGATTAATCCAATGCCGCCAACGATCTGTGGACCATGTCATGAAAGCTTAGAATCGCTTAAATCTCCCCTGATTGTCGAAACCAGTCTACGGATATAACCCTAACGCCAAGTCTTCTATAAACTTAAGACCGCTACTCCCTCAGAGTCCAGGTTCTCAGCCCCAACATAATCCCTTAATCGTGGTGGTTGTCGCCCTTCAAATAACCTACCGTTCACCTCCCAGTCTCGCCCACACGTGACCTTCCAAGTCCGAATCAGCCTTTCTCCTCAAAACTACCCTAACATCGTACAGCTACCAACAAACCGTCGCCCATCCCTCCCTAGTAAAATGGAAACGAATATGCCAACATCCCTGCGAACTCCACTTTGCCGCTACGCATGTCTGTCGGACCTTCCATCAATAGCTCGCTGTTGGTTCGATGCCTTCTTTGACGACGAAGTCATTGGTGACATTATGCATCCGCATCGGAAGCAATTTCCCGAGGATGTGTACTGGTTCTTGCTTAGGGGTATTAGGGAGAGGTTTTGGGATTGGCGGCATCAGTTTATTGTTGTTGTAATGGCAGAGAATGGGAAAGAGAAGGTTATCGGGGCGGCAGATTGGAGAAGAATTGGTGACGGAGGAAGAGCGAGAGAATTATGTACATGTGATCCAAGTGAGTGACTTCCTTGATTACTCAGATTAGTTTTTGTTGGAAAATGTTCCAATTATTGCAGAACTCGGTCTTAAAGATATGAGTTCACAATTCTTTCGAGAAGTGACCGCAAGCTTTGGTCATCTTGAGTCGCTACCCTCCTTCGCTGCCCTCGAAGGCACATTACAAGTTCCTAATAAAGTATCGATTGACTCTTCGTACAGGAAATTTTATAAAACCAGCACTCGGTCTCTACCATACCTTATCCCTTGCATTCTTCCCAAATCGAGCCGCTGACCCAAAAGCCTCCTCCTTCCTTAGCTCTGCTGTCGCAAATGCAGAACAGTACTGGACAGGTGACCATGCTGAATGCTCGGATCTCCATGTGTGTGGCGTCGATTCGAAGTTTCAAGGTAGGGGCATTGGGAAATTGTTAGTCAATTTGGGGTATCGAGATGGCGGATAAAGAGCGTGTGAGTACGAGCGTGATGACTGGGGAAAAGATGAGGGGCTTTTATGCTAGAAGCGGTCTGACTGAAGAGGCGGGGCAAGAAAATAGTGAGCAAAGAAGAGGAATTGTGCTGTTCCGAAGAGCTAAAGTCAGAGATTTAACATGATCTTTCCTATCTGGCTTGCATCCTCTCTATCTCAAATTAAAGGCAGGAGTCGAGAGAGAAACGAATGAAACAGTTAGGGGCTCTGCGCGGCCTCAGGATATAACGGGGATGCGTGACGCGGAAACGACGAGCTACCATTTAATCAGTCACATCATACCAAAATTTTGCCGGCCTCGAGGTTGTCTCTGAAGAGTGCCTCCGTAATTGGCTAAATTGTGCTTTACCAAATGTGACTGAGAGCCTCACTTTTCTTTTATGTTGCCTCACATTTTACCATACCAGCAAATTAGAAGTTCTCCATTTCATCAGCTGTAGCTGCCGGGTTTGATATACAAAAGTCACTCCAAATCTGGCATTCCTCGACTATTACACTTATATGTATGCTTCGAGCGGCAGTCAGCCCGTCTCTCACCTAAAATCTCTTGTATAATATTCCAATGCCCTCTTCGACGAAGTATTCCTCAGTTTTCAAAGTCCTCTCCACAGGGGCTCTCATTTGCTGGAGGTAAAGGCTAATAAATTGTAGACGAAAAGTGTCCTCCAGGAATATGAGTGAGAACAAGTAGACCCAGAGATTGAGATCAAAAATCTGGCTGAGGAATTTGATGGGATATGCTGGCGCCTTGAAATTGCTAGGGAGAATACATTAAAAGAATAGAACATAGTCCGGGACGAAGGGCGAGAAAAAGCCGAGTTCGGGCAAGTAGAAGAAGAAAGGGATAAGGTATGAAAAACGCTAGAGCACACGATGTTAGAGAATCCAGGTATGATGATAGGGCTTGAAAAGGAAGAGAATGACAATATAGACTTTGGAAGCAAGCCCAAGAATCTCGATCGGAGGCCACAGGAGAAAGGAAAACCAATGAAACGAAAATAGAAGCTGAAACAGAAGTAACCAATGGGGAAATAAGGCTGAGAAGAAACTGCTTGAGGGTCGGGAGGTCGTAGGGTCTTACATCAGCAAGCATGCCGAGGCGAGTGAGAAAGGTTTGAAGCTCCAAACACGGATATGTGGGAATGAAAAGCTACAATAAGATAACCTGACTGGAAAGAAATCTCCAAACCAATCTCTCGCAGGGGCAAAAGGGATGTGTGGGGACAGAGCATCTTCGAAGTTCTCGAAGATGATTGCAGAATAACTTGGTCTGGGCAAGGGTTCGCCGCTATGATATCGAAAACCGGTCCTTGTCACCACAAGTCTTCAATCTCAGGAGATTCGATCGGTGATATGAGTTCAGCGTTGGTGTGGAGCGAATGGTTACACAATACACGGAACCCCGAGTAAGAAAAAATATACTACACATCACTATTTTATTTGGGCCTTTCTCAGCCAACGTATCTCTTTTTTCTATTGCAATATTGAGGTTTATACTTGGTATCGATACCTAGGTACGAAGGTACTTTCACATGTGGGTTCCACGTCAATAACGCTCCTCTTCTAGGCTATCTTTAAGCCCTTAAGCCCTAAAATCCTCCTCGACGCGTCCCTCCAACACGAAGCCACTCCCCTCCACTCTCTTTCCACAGCCACGAACCTCCCCCTCCACCAACTGTCCACCTAGCGCCGCGAGACTCCATCAAGTCCTCAATACAACAAGACTTCACGGTGGCCACAAGCGGCACTCAAAGCAAAGTTATGGACCTAATCACCAAGATTCGACTCCACCTCGACAAACTCGACAAACTCCAACCCGACAGGGAAGGTATCGCAACAGCGACGGTTTCTAAGCTTGCCCACCCTGTCGGAAACATGCGGAAAGAACTCGAAGAATCTTTGGAATGGCTTTTGACTTATACCACAAGAGCCACATCAATCACAGTTGAACACGTCGACACCAAGCTCATAGTGATTGAGGAGTTCATAGCAAGGCGGCATCAATGGGCAGAAGAAGGGGTAACCCAGGTGGGGCTTCAGGACATAGATGATCAGATAAAGGAGACTTTGGAGCTCTTTCAGAAGGTTGTTAAAGAGATCTTTGAGGATTTGGAAAAAATAGTTAAGGTTCAGGGACAGTAGCAAGGAATGAGATCCAGACATGGCGAAGATAGGCAAACTTCCGGAGCTTGATTAAGGTACTACTTTGTATTGATATATGATTGAAAATTGCCCAAAAAGAAAACATTTTGTTGGAAAAACACTTTTTGCTCTGGGGAGTTCTAGTCTTGTCGAACTCCAAATCATGCATGCTTCCAAGGGGACACCCCCAAGGTCCTTTTTTCTTACAAACTCCCTTACTAAGGACTCAACCTCTCAATTCTCCACTCCCCATCCCCTCCTTCCTCCCCGTCAACCCTCGTATACCTAAACCGATCATGCAACCTACTCTCCCTCCCCTGCCAAAACTCCACTACCTCCGGCAAAACCCTCAATCCACCCCAAAACCCTGGAATCGGGATCTTCTCCTCCTTCTCAAACCTCGCCTCCACATCTCTAACCCTCTTCTCCAGCTCCTCGCGCCCATCCAACACCTGGCTCTGTGGACTTGCCCATGCTCCAATCCGACTGCCGCGAATCCTCGTATCATAGTAAACTTGGCCTTCCTCATCGCTCATGCGCTCCACACGTCCCTCGACTCGAACCTGGCGCTCGACCTCGTGCCACCAGAACGTCAATGCAGCCTGGGGATTCGACCGCACATCGGCGGCCTTGCGACTCGTGTCCCAATTGGAATACACCACGAACCCTCGCTCATCTAGCTCTTTCATAAACACGATTCTTGCGCTTACTTTGCCATCGGGTAGGGATGCAGTAGCCAGTGTCACAGTTTCCGGTTGGTACACCTCGGCAGCCTTGGCGGCGTCAAACCAAGCGTGGAATTGGTCTAGCGGAGAAGCTGAGAGATCGGAGAGTTCAAGGGTACCATTGGAATACTGGATTGCTTTTCCGGGCGTGTCAGAGCCGCCTGTAGGTGCGAAGATGCGCTTGGAGTTTGAGGGCGTGGAAATGCCAGATGCGGATGTGGAAGAGGATTCGGGTTCGCGACGGAGCACGGTGTTTTTGGCAGAGTATAACATGCCGTACAGTCGTCTTGGATTGGATTGGCAGGTATGACAATTGCTGATACTTAAGATTGTTCTAAAGAATAGTTTGGATGATAGGCGGATGTGCATGACAGGGCTCCGAACTATTGCAGGTATTTATGCTCCACGATCTGGCACGTGGTCGCCACGAGAAGATTCGATATTGAGATTGATCCGGGGCATGCAGGGGGGTTGAAAGATGCAAAAGATGCGGTGAATGAGGGGCAATTGGCATGACGCAAGTGGGGTGATGAAATCTTAGCGTGCCTTGTGATACGGATCGTGATTTCAGCAGCCCCAGAGGCGTAGAAGCCACCCACTCTGGTTGTTTCTTTTGCGGCTGTGTGCAGGTGCCTTAAAAAAATGGCTCATTGCTAGAAATAGAGATGCCGGATTTGAGATGCATACACGTAGTGGAACACCACTAAAACCGCTACCCGTAAGAGGCCAGATCTATGTTACAAATTGCGAATAATCAAGAGACAACTTGTGCCTACTGTGCCTACTGTGCCTACTGTGCCTACTGTGCCTACTGTGCCTACTGTGCCTACTGTGCCTACTGTGCCTGCTGTACCTGCTGTACCTGCTGTGCTTGCTGTGCCTGCTCACCTTGTCCGCTCTGCTCCCTGCTCTTCTTCCCAAACCACCGCTCGATGTAATATTTAAGACCTTTCTTCTTCCTTGAATAATCTTCCTCGCCCACATTATGTTTCTCTACGACTCTCAGGAAAACTTCATCAAAGGTGGATGGAGAAACGGAGTAAAATTCTAACCCCAACTTGTTCTTATTCTCTTCGAGCAAGAGGAACAGGTTGCCAACAGTGACTTCATCTTTGGTGACTTCGTCTTTGCTGTCTGAGGGCTTGGCTGTTCCATCGGCGGCGATATGGGATGGAATGTTGAAGCGAAGCTGTCCATGGTATGGCATACCCTCCAGTTGCGCGCCTGGGAGGTGCTCCTCGACCCACTGCTTAACAGTATTCATTTCATCCTGTGTGCTATGTGGTGCGGACTCGCAGATGAGTTGGATGTGAAAGCCATAGCCATGCTTCTCTCGCAGGTGCGCTGTGGTACCAACATCGAGTAAAGTCTTGGCCATAACACCGACGCGATTTGCAAGATGGTCTGCTTCCTCCATCGAGTGGGTCTGGCCAATGGTTAGTGGTGGCTCACTAGAAGAGAAGGCATAGGGTACGTACCGTGAGCAAAACACTCCGCCCGGTCTTAAATTGTGCCAGTGTCTTCCACATGGTTCTCTTCGCAAGCGGATCCATACCGCTGCTAGGCTCGTCCAACAAGACAAGCTCTGGATTTCCGATGAGAGCAATACCCAAACTAAGCTTTCTCTTGTTACCGCCTGACAGCTTTGACCCCATGGTCTTTGCAAATTTCTCGAGCCCGACGGCTTTTACAATTTGCCGTGCATTGCGCTTAGCATCAGAGACACCTCTCACTCCAGCGTAGAATTCAAGATGTTCGAGAACCGTCATCTGGTCGACGGCATCGAATTGTGGACACACACCAAGCCGAGAGCGGGCAACGCGTCTATCCTTGCGGACATCAATATCTCCGAGGTGGATCTCACCTCCGCTTTGAGTAGGCTGGATTTCGCCACGGATCATGTTGATTGTAGTTGATTTGCCTGCACCATTGGGACCAACAACTGCGAAAACCTCCCCTTTCTGAACACCGAATGTAAGATCGTCGACAGGAGTAATCTTCCCATAGCGGCGAGATTTGAAAGACCTCGTAAGGTGTTGAACGCGAAGACCATCAGTGGCATGCGCAACCCGCTCAATCTCCTCGGAGACTTCCTTCTCTCTAGTGATCTGATCCTCCGCGTCCCGTGTTTTTGCTGCTCTCTTAAACCAATGTGTAGCCCAACCGTGATCTGCTATCATGAGGATCCCGAACATAACGAGAGATTGTCCTAGTAGATATAAGATAGGAGCGCCGTATAGACTAAACTCCCCAGGATAGCTTGCCATGTGCGGAGGGCTGCCGCGACAGAGTGCGGAAAACATGTTCATGGCTACAATCAATGCTCTTGTCAGGTTTCCAATTGGTGTTATTAGGTTGAAGGTGTAATTGAACAGCGCGAGGTCATCGTTGACTTTATGGGCCTGAACACGAGTCTGGATGTTCATTACTCCAGTGAAATACATGAGGAGCATGAAGGCCTGGGATCCAGCAGCGATTGCAAACGCGGCTAGCTGAGACTTAGCGAATTTTGCAATCATGTATGACCATAAGAGAGCAGCCAATCCGTAGAGGAATAGGACCACAAAGAGGTACGAGATATTCCACCAGTTGTTCGCAGTCGAAGCTGCCAAAATGATTGTAATGATGACGCTCGTGATCAGTATGTTAAACCAGTCAAAAGCGGTGTAGGCCAGCCAAAGCGGGAGAGGACGCGCCCCGTTGTTGTACTCAAGCGCCCGAATCTTGCGAAGCCGTTCAACTGTGGGATAAAGAGCGAAGAATGCAGGATAGCACGCCATAATTAAGCCGAAATAAAATATAAATTGGATCTGATTGGTCGCATCTTCCGGCCATGGGTAGTTGAAAGATCGGAAATTGGTTGAGATGGTCGTATTCGTAAGCAGCATGTCAACTGCGTTCTGCATAAATATAGACGAGTAAAGACCGAGGAAGCCAAGGTTGGAGTAAAAGCTGAAGATGGGCTCGTCGCCAAGGAAGAATCCACCAGGTGTAACCGTACTAAAGTTCGCCTTAATGTACGCATTAAAGTCATCTAGAGTATCGACAAGTTTGATATAGTCGAACAGGGCTGTCTCAGAAGCGCTTGCATTGCCAAATTGAACAGGTAACATAGATTGAAAGAGAGTCAGGTTCACGTTTTGTAGGGCACTCGTTGGTCCAACGACGAGAAGCTTCAAATGTTAGAATGAGATATTTCAAAATGAGAAACAATAGATTGACTTACAGGCTTATAGTCCATTTTCTGGGACAGTGTCTCGAGATCTGTTTCCTGAACCTGCTGATGAGGCTGACAACCCGGGTATTTCTTGTTGTGCAGGAGAACAGAGATACAGGCTGTCGCGATGATCGGGATAAGAAAGGCTGAAGCGTAAGGCAGATAATTTCTTTGAAGGATCGTTAAACGCTTCAAAAACAAAATGAAGGCCTGGTGCAGAAAGCTAATAGCTCTCCCAGTCATCAAGGCCTCTGCAGCCTGGTCACTAGGGGGCTCGGCAGTCTGCTTCTCTTGCTCCTGACGATGAGCCTGCACGGTAGCTGAGTCACCCGACGTTTGTGAGGCATCTGAAGGAAGTACTGCATCGGGGTCCTCAGCTAGTGTCATGAAGACTTCCTCGATAGTTGGACCTGTGACTTGGTATTTCGTAATCTGGCGCCTTTCTAGCTCTTTGATGATTTCCATAGCGCGACGGGCGTCGGGCACGAGAATCACCTCTTGATCAAAGAAGCTCTCCTTAGCGTAGCCCGAAAACAACTCATCGAAATCAGGTAAGTCCCCATAGCCTGAACCACGTAATAGGTGGAACCGGTAGCCCTGGCCGAGCTTGCTCTTTATTTCAGACACGGATCCTTCAGCTTTCAACGTCCCTTTTGACATTATAACCATGTGATCCGCAAGGAATTCGGCTTCGTCCAGGAAGTGCGTTGTTAAGACGAAGGTTCGGGTTCCCCGTTCGGCGAGAAGAATATCCCAAATCTTTCTTCTGCTCAATGGATCAAGTCCTCCCGAGACTTCATCGACACAGCAAACTTGGCTTCCTCCTGTCAGCATCATGATGAGCTGAAGCTTCCGTTGCTGGCCGCCCGAAAGAGTCTGTGCATAAGATTTAATCTTATGGGTTAGCCCACAGTCGTAGATAAGTTTGCTGAGTTCGGCGTCAGTGGTTGGGCTGAGCGTGTTGGACTTGATTCGATTGAAGATCCTGGCATGCTGTTCTACTGTCAGGAACTCCCACAAGACGTTCTTCTGCGGGCAAATTCCAATGCCTCCAGATCCAGAGACTGTGATAGAGCCCGTAGTTACATCCCCAAGACCTGCGATAGCGTTCAGGGTCGTTGACTTTCCACATCCATTTGCGCCAACCAAGACCATGATCTGGCCTTTCATTGGTGCCAAAGATAAATCCGTTACAGCATGAACAACTCTTTTCTTGAAGCCAAGCGCTGCTAAAAACCAGTTGGGATAGTACCGCTTAGTGAAGTTATTCAAAACTACAGGATGTGCGGTATCGGTATAGCTTATCTTCCTTCCCTGGGACGCTGTCCTATAGAACCACCGCTCAAGTAGGGCACCAAGGACCGGGTAGGCCAAGACTTGGATGAGCATGAAGAGCCAGAACACCAGTCCCGGCAGCCTCCAGGTCGCATCCGGTGCCGCTTTGAGTAGGTTCGGCACCATCTGCTTGTGCTCATGTCGAGACAAGAAGATCATGAAATACACGAAGGTCATTGGCGTGAAAAGGAGGCCCAGAATGGCGACGGCACCCGTCGAGATAGTCTTTGCTGATATTTGGGCGCCTATGCCAAGGACGATCGCCACAACCACAACCGAGATACCACTCAGTTGGGCCCTCTTGAAGAAGGCCGCCCCTAGGATTGAGAACGAATTCAACGAAATTCCGGTGAGTATATTGAAGATGACCAGGATGCCTGCGTTTGTCTTGGGAAAGAGGCCAGCTTTCATGATTATCGCCATGACGATCCACGAGGGGAAATAGACCTAGGGAGATGAAATTAGAGATATGGCAATAGAGGAACCATCAATACTTACAATCGTGAAAGCGACCCAGTGGCCCATGAGGCGGGCAAGTTGGGGTTGCCACCTTGCCACATTCGGCATCATCGATTCGAGAAGGTCCGCCATGCCTTGTTCCCTCTCCCTCGCCATTACACCCACAAGCTGGTAGCAAAGCCCAATGAAGCCAATGTACCAAACGATCGCGATGTATTTTGTGTTAGCGTTCTGGATTGAGGTGACGACGGAGTCGTCCCATTGTTTCTGCGTCTTTGAGGTGAACGGATACTCCTTTACGGAAGGAAGGGGTTTGGCCCCGCTCGCAGAACTGACGTTAGCGATGGCTGTATCGATGGCACGCTGAAGCGGCATTGGAAAGATTTCGGCGTCATTCTTATTGTTCTTGACGTTGATTTTGTAACCAAGAGCTCCATCTACGCGGAGAGTGTAGTTCCAGATGCCACCTTCGGTTGGAGACGAATAGAACTCTGCAGCTCCATAGCACTTCGTGACGCCGGACAAGGAGCTTTTACAGAGGGTGAGGAGATCGTCAGGGTTGCGCAAGATCTCCACCACCTGGCCGCGATTTCCCCTGGCTGATGCAGCGACGATATCGATGACTTTCTGGATCTCGCCTTGGCTTCCAGAGCTTCCATAATTGCACAGTGCTAGCGTCCTCCGATTGCCCATGGCCTCGGCGATTGCATCTGATAATGGTCTTACCACGCTAGGGGTTCCAATACCGTAAGTCTCGGTGGGCCAGTAGACGCGAATGATAAAGGCCATATAGATGGCTAGGATGATAGGGATGTTGAAAGCACGCCAGTATGTCGAATATCTCCGCTTGCGGTTCAGGACCAGAAGCAGGTCCTTCCACGCAAGCGTTTTGATCTGGCGTAGCAACATTGAGGCAGCCATAGTGAAGGTGTTTCAAGAGAAGCAAAATGCAACACTAGCACATAATAAAAGGTGTAGAGAACTCCAAGGAGCGTGCAAAAGAATTAAAGGAGTTCTACTCTGTCCTTCATTTAGATTGATGCAAGAGGCAAACGGGAATGCGAATTACGACAATGGAGGCTGTGATATTGTTTGGGTGTGAGGTGATGAGGACGAAGCCTGATGTTCTGCCTTGCAGCCCCTCGTATCCTTTGCAAGGGGGGTCTTGGGGTGGCGCTCTGGGCAGGCCATGCAGGAAGACAGCCAGGCGAATGAAGCGAATGAACACGAGAACAGGTGAATAGAGGCGTTCAGCAATATCGCGTGACGAGATGCGAGCCACGAAGCTTGAAGGCGCGTGTGGGCTCATCTTTCTGGCCATGACGGCGCAGCAAAGAAGATGGCGACTGAAGGCTGAAAGTGTTGACAATCGACAATTCTGGAGCGTCCAGAGGGTGGATGCAAAAAATGGGGAGGAAAAGCCCCTAGAGAGGATGGTGGGTTTCGATGCTGGGCAGGGCTGAGATTGAGATCCCGAAAGGCCCAAGCTTCGCAAACTATTCCTATTTTAACAAGCGAGCAGCTCCCAAACTCCGCACTCTCTTTTCTTGTTCACCGGATCTTGTGGTTGCGTTTAGCCAGCATCGCCTGCAGCTTGACGCGTCAGACAGCGGCTACGGTTGCACGTCTCAACGGCGCACTGAAACGTATCTGCCTCGTTCTGCAGACCATGGCCACCAACCTGGCCCACGTGCTCCTACGCCGAGCCCACACTCCAGACACCGCCGAGCACATCTTCAACGAACGAGTGGTCCAGAAACCCCTCCTCCTCCGCCCTTCCTCCCCTGAACCCTCCGCTCGCGCTCTCCGCCGCCGCACCCAGGCACAGCGCAATACGCGCGCCAAGAAGCGCAGCTCCCTTAAACCTCAGCCCCTCTCTGCCGCCCAGAAGAGACAACTGGGCCTCCTCGAGATCCCCAAAGAGCAGACTAAATATGACATCTATGCGCCGTTGCACAATCTGTGGTTGTCGTACATGAGAGAAATACTGGGCCTGGAGAGGAAGGCATGCGTGAGCGCTGCGTCTGCAGGCCAGATTCTCGCCAGCGCCGACATGCACGGCGCCATGCTCGAGGTCGTGAGGAGTAGATGCGTGAGCCGCGTGGGCATCAAAGGCATCGTCGTTCGCGACACCAAGTTTGTGTTCGACATCATCACCAAAGGGAACGTCATAAAGTGTCAGTCCACATCTGTCTGACTTGAACACTCTTGCTGACTTGTTCAGCTGTACCCAAAGAACACACCACATTTCGCTTTGAGATTCCTCTCCCGGCCGTTGAGACTGAACAAGAGCCAAAGCCCTTGGCCTTTGAAATCCTCGGGGAGCAGTTCCAGAACAGGGCGCCCGAGAGAGCGAACAAGAAGTGGAAGATGCACTTTCAGCCAGATATATAAGGCAGTACACACAAAGCCAACGCTCAGCAACGCCCAGCAACGTTGCTAGAATTGAAACATCTGATACCCATTGTGCTGGAAAAGGGTTTGCCCTTGTTATTCCTGAGGCTGAAGCAGTTTGCCCCGAATATAATTTTAGGGAAATAATCAGTGCCTCAGGTCTCAGCCTTGTCCCCCTCTGGAGCTCCAAAACACTCGCACCTGTCTCACCCAACTATACATGAAGACCTTGTACCAGGCATCTCCGAACGTGAGTGTTTCTGCCAGATAACCATCTTCACAGCATGCATCTATAGCGAGCTCGATAGTAGATGGGGCTCTGAGCAGAAAGGGGGGCGTTTTAGCGCGCCTTCTCAGCTCCTGTGTCAGCCAGTACAAACCATTATACGTTCGGATCCTGCTAACCGTATCCCATTCAACTTGAGAGCCTTTCAGCCCAGCCGTCTAATTTAACCCTGCTGAAACCTATTTCGACTCTATTTGCGTTTTGGGATTCGGAATTTCCTCACCAACTCCCTCCATGCCGTATTTCAAAGTAAATTGATAGAAATGCGTGGAGCTAGCACTAAGCTGAAATCAGCGAATTAGCAGATTATTCAGGCATCGCCCAACTGCAAGAAATGCGAGTCCATACTCTTTCAAGCAAGATTACTTGATAGACAGGAAGTGGAGTTTTTATTTCATACAGCCAGAGTAGAGTTATCATAAACTTCTGCGATACTTAAATTTTTCACCATATCCACACCCATCAGTAATCTAGAATTCGTCCCTCACTCCAGGCTCCTTCTGTAGCTCTTACCCTCAATGGCTCACACTCTACTGCCCTGATCTTTCCACCTACCCTCTCGAGCCGATACAAAAGCTTCTCTTTGCCTTCCCATCCTAGATACTCCAAGCTCTCCGGCACGCTCAGGAAGTCATTAAGTACATCTCCAGGTAGGTTCTCTGCTCGATCGTCCCAGAGGCGGAGGGCGCGGATTTGAGTGTGAGGTGGGAGAATAGAGATTATGGTTTTCTACGTGTATGTTGTCAGCTAAGCAAGTTTCACATGTGTCGGGGATGAAGGGAGCTTACCAAGTCGTCCACATTCATGGGGTCGGGTGTACACCATCCTCCATGACCATTCGAAATGGAAATATGTCCCATCTCCAGGCTCACACCTAGTTCTTTAAGCTCCGCTAGCTCAGGCAACAGCTCTTTGACAGCTTTAGGCAGAAAGTTCAACTCCTTCTCTGCTGCTTTCTTGACCTTTGCGTCATCTCCAGCCGCATCCTCGCCCTTGTCACTACTATCAATCTCCCTAGGCCGCCAATCCGTACCACCCCGATGAAACTCCAAGCACTTCAACGTCCCCTTTCCCCTCTTAATCTCTTCGAATCGTGCGGCTCCCCACCCATCTAGCGCTAAATGTGCAATCGGCCTTGAAGCCTCCTCATTGAACCACCCTCCCAGGCTTCGATTAGGAGACATCCCAGAGACGTACAGCTTCTTCAACTTTGGCAGCGCATGCGTCGGTAATTCTGCCTTCTTATCCCAGTCATCGTTGCCATACCCATCAATTGCATCCTTTAGCACCTCAATATTCTCATTCCTTGTAAGAAACCCAGCAAAAGCCTCAGCATTGAAATCGTACCCGCGGACAGAAAGTTCCCGCAGTGAAGGGAAGTTGTAGTCCCACGTGATATTCTGAATCTGGCAAGTGTCCAAATCACACCCCGGATACTCGAATTCCAGCATCTCCAGACCCGGACTCGATTTCAACAGCGCCTCAACTGCATCTCCTTTGTCTCCATGCGCCGTCGTACAATCAATTCTTAGGACACGCAGGGCTGGGAAATGGACCTGAGGCGGCGCCACCTGGTGGACTTCGTGCGTATAAAAGCCCAGTATCAACGTCTGCAACGTCCGTGCATGCTTCCATAGTGCGGTCCAGAAGGCGGGTGGGCGGGTGCCCTCGCTGCCCCACCAAGTTTGTTGGTCCCAGGCGAATTCTTCCAGTGAACCTCCAGCATTCTCGATGGCATCTAGGATCTGGGTGATGTGTGAACAGAGCTGAGACGTGCGGTCATCGGCAATTTCAGGGACATTCGAAGCACCAGGCTCTGGTTGCTCATCGCTGTTCTTCGACGCTAAAGAACCGACGGATTTCCCATCCTCGTCCAATCTCTCAGCAGCTTGACTCTCCATTCCTGCGTCCTCGCCTCCATATTCATCCTCCTCCTCTCCTTCTTCTTCGCTGTCCGGTTCCTCCATCCTAAGATACAGCCTCCGAATCCTCCGATGCCATTCCGGCCTCGCCAGCACATGCTTCGCCAGCAATTCCACATGCTTAGGCTCCGCAATCGTGATATACAAGTCGCCTTCAGTAAAATCTTCTCCCGTGCTAGTGATCTTACTAGCTCTAGGTGCATCAAAATTTTTGGGGATTACCGCATTGTTTGAAATAATGAAGCCTTTTTGAAGTGAAGCCATTTGGCGCGTCAATCGTAATGGCACGATACTTCGTTGAGGTCCAGGGTTAGATATTCATTCATTTATGTAGTGTGTGTGGTGACAATACTGATGGGGCTTCGTGCACACTGCTGCCTTGGGTGTGACGCGGTGAGCGGATCCAGCAAATGATGTGGTTGGGCAAGAAACCCGTTGTGCCAGTGACAGGAATGCACCTGTGGGGGCTAATCGTGCCTTTATTCTGATGGCACAGCGAGGGAATTGCATACTACTGAGAGTGTGAAGTGGTTAACGAAGGACGTACGTGATTCTGCACTTTCGGTGATGCCTGCTTTACTAATCGGGGCGCCCCACATAGCTATCACAGAACGTCTCGCAGTAGTGGCAATTCTGCATCTGAATGAAGTGGTCAAAGAACCTATCAAAATACATCCTTTCCATCATCCAAGTATATAAGGTTCCGCGCCCTCACCAAAGAGAAGATGTGGTTTCCGCAGCGCCAGATCTAGAATCGTCTGTGCAAACACAGAATTCGCCCATGCGAACCAGCTGCCTGGACATCACTTCATTAGCAGCGTCACACGGTGTCTAGGAATCAGAAAGACCTACGAGTATAATCCCTCGCATAATCGACGCCGATGCTCTCATGAATGAGTCCGTTGCGACTGACATTTTTCACTAAGCCCAAACAATTCGTAATCTCGTCATCGCTTTCACTTGTCATAGCCTGCACCAACACGCTCATTGGCCATGCATGCAAAAGGCCAACATGTGGACCTCCAATGCCGTGGAATTCTACGCCGGTTAGGTAGTACGGGTTCCCATGCTTCTGGAGAATCATTGTTCGGGTGTTCTTGTAAACCTTATTGTCGCTGTTGACGAAACCAAGGAGAGGAAGTGCGAGCAGAGACGGAAGGTTAGCGTCATCCATGAGGATCGAGGAGCCGTAGCCGTCGACTTCGAAAGCGAAGACATCGCCGTATTTCTTGTGGTGGATGACGCCGTGTTCCCAGATGCCTGCTTCTATCTCTTCTCCTTTGGCGCGGAGAGTGGTAGCGAGTTTCTTCTTGCCCGCCTTCTCGAGCATGGCTGCAGAACGCTTGAGCTCGACGCTCATCATCGCGTTGGCAGGGATGAAATATCCGAGGATAGTGGCATCGTCGCTCGGGCGGAATGCGCTACGGACGAGCCCAGTACCGCTATTGAGAGGGTTGCCGACCCCCCCAAGGTTCAATGTTTCAGTCCCAGTGTTCGTGCGGCGTTGGAAAGTGTACTCGTTGCGCTCATACGAGCCAGTCTCGTTATCGAACGTGGGCCTGGACTGGGCTTTGAGGACCTTCATCAAAGTGTCCAAGGCCAGAAGCCAGCGAGGCGTCAAGAACTCGGTGGAACTGGTATGGTTATAGAACTGATTCGTCAAGGAGAGGAAGTGGGCCAGCGAGTCCAGCTCGTACTTGCACTCGAACACAAAAGACGGTTCAATCGCCGGATGCACCTCGTCACCGTCACCCTGGTATGTCGGCTGGAGACCACTCGGCGCAGGCGGCTGAAAGGCGTTGCAGTACGGGGACCCGATAACATACTCGGCTTGTGTGTTTATTGCGCCGAGGATTAGGTTGTGGATCTCCCTGTCCTTCTTCGCTAGGAGCTGGTACTGGGCAAGCTGGTTAGTCGAGTCTCGCAGCCACTCGGCGTTGATATCTCCGGTGACGATGAAGCTCTGGGGTCCCTTCCACGCATCGGCGTCCCAGTACTTTTTCGAGCCCTTTTTTCTCTTCTGCGTGCCGTCGACGTGCCATCGGACCGTTGTGTCGAGTGTGTTCGGGAATGCATTCTCAAAGATGCGCGCGAGGTCCTTGTCTACAATCTTCGCGTTCATGTCATCAATGACCTTCTCCACCAGCGGAGATTCGAAGGTACGGCAGTGCTTCGAGGGCCGCTGGAAGGGGAGCTCGAGAGGGCCGTCGCTATAGGGAGGGCTGGACAATGCATCATTAGCCGACCGCGTCCATTATTGATGTTTATTTTGGAAGGCATTCCGTACTGCTGTCGCATAGCATAGAGCTTATAGTCTGGACACGCTGCCTTGTACTTGGTGGGGTCCAGCGGCACCTGCACCTCACCAACAGGGTCGACACCCGCAAAGACCCATGGGAGAAGCGCAGAGAAGCAGCACAGGCTAGTCAGCGGCTTCGATGTCGGCTTCATCGTGGAGGACGGGCGATGTTTCGTGGCAGCAAGGCCCACGCACGGCTAATAAGGTGGAGAGGAATGCAGGCACAATATCGGCACGAGCAAGCATCAGCGAGGGAGAATTGCTATCATGACTTCATGATCCCCCCAATGGTCATGCGCATTGAAGGCGTTCCGAGTGCAGTTGAGATAGAAAACGGCCAGAAGCTGTCTGTGGTCGAGGGATTAGTGTCTCCTCTGGCTTGGCTTCGGCTTTCATCATGATCGACAGGTGGCTTTTACACCCTTGCTCGCAGACCCTTCCATCTCAGCCACGGGTATAAACACGTAAGAACGCGTCTGGCCGGTTCTTGCATTCTCGATCTAGGGATTCCCCATCAATAAATAGCACGCCTCGACTTTCGCGCACCAACCCTTCATCCATATAGCCAGTAACCTACTCCTGTAGCTATGCAACCAACACCGAATGCGGCCCCTAGCTTTGAATACAGCTTCCACAATGTCGCCCAGTACAAGTAATTATGGAGCTTCACAGTATACTGCGCATCATTTGCCCTAGGATACGGCTCCTCCGGTGCTGGCTTTCCCAAGAACTTGCACAGTGGTCCCCATCCGTCTTGCGACTTGAACTCAAGCAACTTTTCCTTGGGAACCCTGGACCGGACATTTTGGTAGTGCTCCAAGAATGTCTCACGAAGAGCTTCGCGATCCCGGGGATCACCCTTCGTCCATTTGGCCATGATCTTGTTGACGAGGTTCACGTAAGGGCCCCATAACACCTGTGTCGACATCAGCCACGAGCAAGTTCAAAGCATCTTAACTTACCGGATCTCGTGCACAAAGAAATGGCAGTGTCTTCCAAGTCAAGATCGTCGAGAAGGTTTTGTCCATAGACGCTAGCCAACTTGTCACATCCCTATTAGTGAGAATCACTTTTGCGTTCGGATACATGGCCAGGAACTCGTCGGCAAACAAAATGCTGGGGATGTCTTCCAGCACCTGCAATTTAGGATTAGCGAGACCCCCACTATACATTAGCAGTGACATGTACATCAAAGTCCCCAAGGAACTTATCGAAATCTTCTTGAGTGAAAGGCTTGCCTTGGCCTTCAAACTTTGCCTTCAATGCTTCATCCCAGAGTTGTAGGTGCCGCTCTCGTCGTATTGTGGCTATCAACGCTTCCGACATATGATATGGCCGGTATCCGAGCTTGATGAGCGCTTTTTTTAAGGACAGTGTTCCTGACAAACAATTAAGTTTCTGACTTCCAGACAACTAACTCACGTCTACCTGTTCTGCTGAACCCTAGGCAGAGTACCTGCAGTTCTTTCGCCCTTCGAGAGTGGACTGGTAGGGTGTCGATCAGTCGCGTGTTCGCCATGGCCGATTGCTCTTGATTCCAGTGCGTAAAGAAGGAGGGTGCGTTTGAAGTCTACCCAAGAGCAATCTAACCCAAAAACAAATCGTAAGAACGCTTGAAGCAAAAGGAGGATTTGGTGTATGCCTCAAGTTAATATATCTTCCAGCTGCTCGTCGCAACCTAACCCAATTGGGTATGCAGCTCGGCGTACTAACTCTCAACCAGACATTTTAAAACGCCCTGTTAACCCCGCCCCAGCCAGGATCTGCCAGATGTGCCCGGTACAAAATCCCTGGCCATGAAGCAGGTGGTGCTTTCTCTGGATGCCTCACTGCTTGCTCTACAACAGCATCTCCAAGTACTTTCTCGACTCCTAGGCGAGGATATTTTTCTTCAAACCCTTCTCGCAATTTCATCAAATCCTCCTCATTTCTATTCCCAGATGACAGACTCTTCCGCTTCCCAAAGTCTATCAAAACGGCCTCTCTTACTATTCTCGCTAACTCGCTAATCCTTTCTGCAATCACTGGGCTCGTATGCAGAGCGATCGCGACCCACACATCATGTATGTCTCCCTCCTTGACGTCAAACCTGCGCAAATGCTCCGCTGCGCTATCAGCACCTTCGACTTCAAAACGCTGATGGCCGTCGTACTGGGGTACAATCCCAATGTCGTGCAAAATGCATGCGGCGAAGAGGAGATCTTGCTTAGCCGAAGAGTAAATTGAGTTGGGCTGTGTGAGGAAGTGGGCGTAGAGGTAGACACGAATGCTATGGTTTAAAATGGACGGTGGCAGTAGGCGAGAAGCCAGTTCGAAAGCGGCCTTCGAGATTTCGCTATGGGGAACAAAGTCTAGTAGATGAGCATGTTTTACATCAGGTGTCTCCGACAATGGCAGGTTAATCGCTAATGGCGGGCACATGGTGAAGATGTCTGGGTGACTTCAGATGAGAATATAGGGATGGGTAGGGACATGCAAGTGGGTACTCCTTTATATCCCATACCCACCCAACCTTAGAAAGCTACGCCCTATTGTACCTCTCAACCTAATCCAAACTAGTCACTGATTACTAATCGTGCAGACCTCTGCCACCATAGGAAAACTCCGGTATTTGCTTCCACGTCTCAAGCTGATGCTTGATAGAACCACTAGTTGACCATCATATCTTAGGTGGTGACTCGAGTGCTGATTCCGAAGTCACTTCAATCTGTACGTTTTCTATATTCTCTTTCTTGCTCTACCCCTTGCTTCCAATTCACCCCATTGTACGGTCCCGCTAATCTCATCTCGCTCGCTCGTTCCACGACCCATGCGCCCGGTCGGCGCATTTGATCTCACATTTTCCATATACCCCATAGGCACTCTCTTCCCAAGGAATGGTCTCCATGTATTCCTGACTATATCCTTGTTCACTTTCCAAATTTCTGTGCACGAATCCGCGTCTTAGTCACTCCTACAAACTGTTCAGGGGTTCATCGTCAGTCTTCTTCCGAAAGAACAGCGTTTTCCATTCTTCTCCACGAATCTCTGCCTCCCTCCACATGCGTTGTTGGCTCTCTTCAACAGCCAACTTCTTGTCACTGACGGTTTTCATATCACCCTGACTTAAACCGTGAGTAACACCACCACCGTGCTTTGCGAGATCCCCAAGGATCCTACTCATAGAAGCTTGCGATTCTGATTTTGTGTCTTCATTTTGCCTCAACTTCCGACTTCTCGATTTTCTCTCGAGATATTGAACCGTGAACAACAAAGCTGTCGTTCCGGGATCCTTTTACTGCAAAGGTATCCTCAGAAGACTTGGCGTCGAAATCTCGAGCTTCAGGCTCATTCTTAGTTCCCCCGTCCAAGAATCTCATTCCTTCAAATCAGATTTTGGACACCAACCCACTAGCCAAGGTGATCTAGTAGCTACCCACAAGTTCCGAAGAAAGCGTTCCACTTAGAATCCTCTTGACCTCAAAATTCGGCACTGGGATCATGTAGTCCCGATCGTAGCGGTTTATGTGCAAGATGGCGTATCCCTCTTCTTTTAACGCTAACACTTCTAAGATAGCGAGCTGTGACTAGTGGATAAAGACTGACTTTCTTGGACACCAGCTTCGTTTGTATAACTTCCTCATCCTGTAAGCTCCCGAGGATGAGCTCTCCGGAGAATGCGTTCAGCGATATCTTCACACCGTCCTCCGACTTCCCACCGGCATATTGCTAATTCTTTAGAGATCTGGAGGACCATTTTTGAACTAGTAACGCTCTTTTCTCCGGATTTTCTTCAAGAACAGGGGCAACTAACAACGAAAGATGATCTGCCCAATACCGGGGAAGTTCAACAGTCGACTCTTCGCTTACTACGAACGACGGCGCAGTTATACTACTCAGGTTACCTTTAATCGTGGTAATCGAAGATAGAAATTCCCCTGCGTGGAACGGTTCACAGAAATAGACCTATACATATCAGGAACTTACCTGAGCGTATATTTGAACACCTCTATTGCCTGTAGCTACTAGACACGCAAAGCTGGAGCCCGCCAGTTAAGCCGCAAGCCATGACGTTCACGGGCTAAAACACGACAGCACACTTCGGGATCAAACATCCCGATTGCCTGGTTGCCGGACCGCTTGGCGAGCTTACTGAGAGTGGGATGACTTGGCAAGGCAGGAGCGCTGTTACTCTGCTGATACCGGCGGCCAACATCACGAACTAGGGGCTTTTGCTGCATAAATCCTAATTTCTTACACTCCAAGGCTCTCAATCCAAGTCTTTTGGCACAACTATTGCGATGCTGTCGCCCTTCCGAGTTATAACTAAAAGAATCCTATTTCGACAGTCACGGGTACCGCACTTGGAGGGGTAATGTCCTTCCCCAGCATAATTCCAAATAATCGAGCAGCAGAAATGTATAAAGTCTAGCTGTGGGAGAGCTAGGGTGTTGGCGTTTCCCATTCCATTGTAGCTATCAGCAGTCATCTTCTCAGCCGGTATACGATTACCTCAAGAGGTTCCATTAATACATAAACTGTAGGCTGTTAATTAAGCCTCGAAGTCTCCAATTTCGCCGAAGCTGTTCCAGAAATCTTGAACATTTGAAACGCAAAAGGAAACCAGATCTTACTATTAGCAGTGGCTTTATCCATGAAAAAAGTACAGAATCAGGGAACGATGATTACTTGAAACGAGGAACCAGACTCTTTCGTACCCCCCTTAAAAAATGGTTGTACTGAGAAACGCAAATAGTCGCACTGGCACTGCATTCTACCAAAATCAACGCCAACACCCTCAACACATTTTCCTCTACGAAATAACCCAACTCGGAATCTTTATTTAAACAAATCTCTTGCTTCTTCGTGTGCGGCTTTCAATGTTAGCTCGGCCTCTGACCTCACGCAAGCTGATATCATCTACCCGCATCGGGACATGAATCCCCTCATATTCAACGCCATCTGTTGATTCTGACGCCTCAGCAATTGTGTATGTGGGGCGTTGATGATGTGAGCTTGAAAGCTAATGCTGTGGCAGAGACAGTGCATGATGTGGCCGGGGTTCTGACTGTGGCGACTCATTGTAGGAGTAATGGGTTTGTGTCGAGTAGTGAGAGCGATTTTACGATTGCGACTAGGTTCTATAATCAACAGAAGAAGGGGATATTGTCGCAGTTGGTGTTGACGACGGGGTGTGTGTATGAGGAGATTAAGGAGTTGTTTCTGCGATGAGACATTCTCTGTCTTGGAGGGCCAGAACGAATGGCTTACAGGTTATGGTAATGAGATTAAACGCGATAATGAAAAGTCCCGGAAGTGATGTATAAGAAAGATACACACCGCACCGTTTCAACAATTCAAGTCAGAAACTTTAGCATTGATGATTGCCTGGAATTAGTGACAACCAATGATACACTATAGCGGTAATCTATGGATCAGGAAAGGGAGGGTTTGATATGCTGAATCTGTTACTGGGACTAGAGACAGAAAGCGTCAACGGAGAAATCTATTGCAAGAAAGTGGTAATTTACCCGGTCTGACCTTGGGCGCTGCGAGGCGTTATAAGAGCTGTACGCCAATATGTAATATTGCGCTCCTAGCTTTTATTCCAGTGAGCAGATTCGGAATTGAGAAAGACATCCGTCTGCCTCGTAATTCCTCTCATATCAACCTTCTTGTGCAATTCTTCTTCACTCCCCCCGTCCCCAGCTTGTATCCTCCAGGAGCTAAATCCCTTCCGATCGTCTCGTCTCAGGTCTTCATCACCATCACCATCTGGCAGCGGCATCGGCTTCACACTCCCAAGCCCATACTCCTCATCCGGGCCATTTTCATGCCTTGCAAACGTTACGAGATTAAAAGGAGCGCCCTTCTTACGATCATTACCGCTAAACGCAGAGCGCTTTCCGTACCGTGTCTCTTTCCCAGACGTACCCCGTAGGGGGTTTGTGCCGGTGCGCGAGAGCCCGAGGCGCTCACACAACAGACGATAGAGAGGCCGTAAGGTGGCAAGACTCCCAGCTGTGATCGCAAGGCCTTGTTCGATGTCGGACCAGATAGCGATGTCGATTGTGTCGTAGAGAAAGTCGTCGCTCTTAAAGTCCATGACGAATGCCATGCGGACTATGACGGCGGTGCTTGCACTACATAATTTTAGCCACGATTGGAAGAGAAAGTTTATTCTGAACTCACACGCATGCCATACTCAGAATGGGGACGAGAGCTATCTTAGCGTTTCGCGACATGTTAAGGTTCCAAACCAAAAACATGGGGAGTATACCTAAAGCCGGCGTACGGTTAGCAGACATGTATAAAGGGAGGAGCGACACATATTCTAGATCCTTCTCAACGTGCCATATTCTGAACATAACTTGATAGGCACTTATGGATGCAATGCGAGAGAAGTAGCATATATGCCTCAAACCTACCGAAAGTGAAGTCGCAAATAGCACTGATTGCACTATAAAGATATGTGAGGCCAATTATAACGTCGATGTTGATGCATGAGCCTGGCTGGTTTTTGTTCCAAAAGTAGGAGACGGGACGACATTGCAAGAGCGTAACGAAAAAGAAAACGATGCCAGTGAGTACTGTGAGTCCCATAACGGTGTATATAATCCACCGTTGCATCTTGTTGACAGTGACTCGCAGGAGAAAAAGACCGATGGAAATTTTGGCTCCAATCATCGTCCAGCAATAAGAAATGTAGCAAAGCCACCAGAACTACACACTCATTAATGCCTAGATTGGTGGGCGTGGAGTGCATGGGTACAACTCACTCTCAGTGCCTTAAAGATGCCTTCTTCAGTCAGATCTCGCATATGACGTCCGGTTCCATAGTGAACGCCTCCAATGGCTGAAGAGGCGAAGAAAATGTGACACAACTAAAGAAGTCAACATTATGTTTCTTACACAGAGATTGAATTGTAGGCCTACGGTAGCAAATACCATCCATGTATCGTCCCAGCCGAATGCGTTCACCAACCGAAGACGCACGTAGATGCGGAGCATGGTTGCCACGAACGCCATTGCGACAAATGTGGAACACACCTGGGCCTGTCAGTCAAGGATCGCATGTGATGCTGAACACTTACAACTTGAAACTCGGGACCTCGGTTTTCAACCATGTTGAAATGGTAGACATCGAACAGCGGATGGCCGCCTCAGCACTCCTTAGTGCTACGAATAAGAAAGATGAAGTCAATATTAAAAGCAGAGAATGAGTTCGAGGAGGTAGACTGAGGACCCAATGGCTTGCATTTTAAGCCGCGCAACACCTCCTACCGCTAACCTTGCAGGGAGGTAGAGGAGAGGGCGGGGCGATGACTTAGGTGGATCCTGGTTTGATTATGATCCAGAATAGTATTACCTCCGTCCTCCGCAGGGGACATTTTGAAGATCAACCCTAAGATCTGTTACACCGGACCGGAACCTGTCAACATTGGGACCGGCGTCAGCCAGGGACAGGTATGCAAACGCCGTGCCATGGCTTGTAGGAGGGCCCGAGGGTTAGGCACTGGAGTATATCGGCATTAATGAGATCGCCGAGGTACGGAATTTGCCAACTGATAAAGGGGTGAATGCACTTGCAGCCCTTCGCCCTGAAAGTTCCATCTCTGCTCAACAGTTTACAAGACCTGGCGACGGATACGAAAAATGTTAGCCCGTGGAAAATCTTGCTTTGGACCCAGTTGGCCAGTGTCAGAGTTATGGGAACTAACTAGGTTAAAGACGTTGCAAAATCCGAAGTTTTCCTTTCATCTCGTGGCAGGATGAACAAGCTCCAAGCACGGTTCATCTGTGCCGCCGACGCTAAACCCTATCGAGCTTTCTATGTGTCTCCCCACGTGTAGATCGCGTGGATCAATAAGGCTCGAGCGTACTTTGACAAACCAATTGTGAATAAAGATGTTTGCGGCATCGCTTTCGGGTTAAGAACGGCGATTTGCCACAAGGCCCGATGACCCGGCATCTACCATAAGCGAGGTGCCTTGAAAGGGTGATGCACCAGGCTCACTGTAGTATGGATACTTGTCTTTTCTCGTAGAAGTAGGGAAAGAGAAGAGCGCGGAGTAGTTCCGGCCATGGGTAAGACTCGTAGATGTTTCAGATAATTATCCATCAACACGCTTTGGTACAGCATTCTAATCCTGTCCGTCGGCAATAGCAAGATGTGCTTACCCTAACATCTGCTACGCTTTGAGCTAATTTTAGTTGCTGTTGAATGATATTGGCCTCTTCCGTACGTCCCAACTTGACGAGGCATTCATTGTAACCATGTAGCGCCCAAACATTGTTTGGGTGATGGCGAGCTCTGGGCAACGTGTCGTCGAACCCAAGATCTGCAGCGTACACTCCCATGGCCTGTTCGATATGACCCTGCTCCAACAGTAGTGCACCATATGCATGCCGTGTGGGTTGCATCCAAGGCCATGGCTCAGCGTAAACAAGGTTGTCGTCGAGTTCGATCGATTTGCGGAGGTGCTGAAAAGCTAATTCGTAGTTTCCTTTTCGGTACTCTAATTCCCCCTCTAGCATTGCTTTTGCAACTTGAAGGACGATTGTGCACTTGTTTGGGAAATCGTGCGCTATACGCGTCTCAGGCACCCGCAGAACCGCGGCATGTAGAAGTTCACGTTGTTTCGACGCCTCCTCCACATTTCCCAACACGGCATGGGCAATACCTTTCCCATAGTGCAAGACTGCAGTTGTAACGCAATACAGCTGTCGATCTTCTGGCATCTTGAGCTCAAGTATCTCCTCCCAACGCCCGAAACGGACCAAGACGTGAACCCGAACAGATGCCCAACTCTCTAGCCAATCTGCCATTGGCGGCGACTCAATCCGGAGTAGTGACTCGGGGAGTGACGCTTCCATTCGGCGGCATATATCTAATGCAACTACCGATTGCCCTGCAAACATAGCTGCGTATACCCCAGAATGATAATCGTGAAGCCGATAAAATGTGTAGAAATTGTTTCCTCCTGCCCGGCTAAGGTACTTCTCGTCTGCAAGGCATGCATCCGCGTTGGACGCAATTGCTCGCCGATAATCTCCAATGAGGATATCTAGATGGGAAGGCATATGTACAAGATGTCCCGCATCCGGAGCTAATGTACGAAGATGATCTGCGGCAACCACGGCGACTTCGGGAGTTTTAGACATCTCCATCAGATGGATGTACATATGCAAGAGCCCTGGGTGGCCGTAAGCATTGTCGAGAAGAAGTGCTCCCTCGAGGATCTCTTTGGCTTCCAATGAGCGTGCGCCAGGGTTAGGTTCTCCCGTACGAAGATCCCATAAGTCCCATGCTGCGAGATTCATAAGGGAGTCCGCATAGAGGGTTATAATATCGAGGTCTTTCGGGTACTTCTGATATACAGTTTTCATTGCAGCGGCGTAGGCTTCGTTGCAAGCGCGAAAAGCAGCCTCGGATAGATCCTGGGGTACTCGGGATTGTATTGCATCGACGATGGCTTGCTCTATTAGCGTCGATTTGGGCGCACAAATTACAGCCTGTTCATTCGCCTGCTTGATCCGACTTAAAGTTGCATTCAACTCTTTCTCGTCGAAGAGATCCCATGGTTTGTTGTAATTCGGTCCTAGGGCATATGCGAGCCCCCAATGTGCCATAGCACAGTTAGGATCTGTTGCGATTGCTCTCTCAAAACATTCCGTTGCTTCTTCATGATGAAATGCATAACTCCAAATGATTCCTCGGTCAAACCAGATCTGGGTTGAAGCGCTGGATGTAGTAATCGTACGGTGGAATGAGCCCAGGTCGTACTCGTAGTGATCATTCGATCCAGGGTCCATCTTTTCAAGGAGAGAAGAAATAAGTGAATGTAACAGAGTAGAAGATTGGAATAATAGGCTTCCTTTGGAAGTTTCTAGTACTCTCCTAGACTATAAAGAACTCTTCCTGCCTGTTGTCCTCCTATTGCAGCGGGTCAATGTCCCCGAGTGGCAGTCGTCTTAGCAAAGAGGTAGAATAGGAGAGTTCAAAGGCTCGGTCTGGGACAATTGGGTATGATACAGCGGCTTCATACGCGGGTTCAAGACTTATGCGCTTACGAGATTTGGTATAGTCGTGGATACTGGCAAGTGGATGAGTGCAGAGACAAGGAAAAGCACCAAGGTTGTGAAGTTTTATCGATAAGACGCTTCAAGCGAAAAGTTAAGCCGCGGTAAACCGTTTGCCTCGCACCTCCTCCACCAGTAACCTTGAGTATGCAAATCGGGTATCATGAAACGCGTTTAATTCCGAAATACCAAATTGGATCTTTTCCGTAACTCTAAAGCAGGGTGGAGAGTTCTTATAGCTCCTATTGCGAATATGACAACCCCATATGCTTCCCCATTCTCACACGCTCTTTAGAGCCCTAAGGGAAATATTCGGAGGGTTTGGGGATTCTGAATACATCGACATTAGAGTTGGGCACAGATCCGGCTGAAACCCTCTCTGCCGTTGGCGCTAAGTTACGAGTATAGTGTATTTCGGGAGTGATCGAGGGTAATATATATCCCGGCAAAGTTCAGTTGTCCAAATTGAAAGCATATACATATACTTTAGTGCAGATCGCATTCGACCATGTGTTCGGAAAGTGGTTTCGATGGGTGCTCACTATTTTTCCCTTCCGACTTCTTCGATACTACTTGGCATGGTTGGCTAAGATGAACCTCCTAGAAACTTGCCTCTTAGCGGTCCAGTTCAGCCTTTGCGTCACCGCTCACTGCAAGTCTCCTGAAAGATACCTCTGTAATTTATCTGACTCGTGCCATAGATGTCTTTAGTCGCTTCATGTTCAACAACACAGTCACAGAACAATGGCAATACGTGAGGTGTGATGCTACACCTTGTGATAATCATCAACACATACTAAATCTAAACTTCATCACACAGGAATGTCTCCGCGGGTGAAGCTAGTTCAGGTCTGGTAGATCAATATATGCCCTTCTATGACATATACGACAAAAATGTGCGCTGCGGTCGAGGGGCCTCAACTTCGGGTCCCGGGACGCAGACTGCCACTGTAGTAGCTGGCGAGGACGTCGGATTTGTTGTTGGGAGAAGCGCAGATGAACCGATGCAGCCGTATGTCATATATCACAACGGTCCTGGACAAGCGTATCTATCCAAGTCCCCGACAAGCGATCTGGATCATTACACCGGGGATGGCGACTGGTTCAAAATTGGTGCTTTAGTAGCTAAGAACGACACGTACTGGCTCACACGCGGTCAAACTGGGGTAAACATGGTGATTTCAGATCTTCCCACTCTCCAATGGATCCTGTTCGAGCTTGTTCGCTAACACGTTCACTCTACAGATGAACTTTACAATCCCAAAAACTACCCCTCCTGGGAAATATCTGCTTCGCGTTGAACATCTATATGTCCAACCCTTCTTCAACTCGACTCAATTCTACATTAATTGTGCACAAATCAATATCATCGGCCCTGGTGGTGGGAAACCGAAGGCGACTATGTTGGTCAAGTTCCCGGGAGCGTATGATCTCTTCGACCAAAGTAAGGATCTATGAAATACTTGTCAAGTAGGACTTTGAGTTGATCAGCTTACAGGTATTTGGGTACCGAATGAGTATTACGACTGGCCCCCGAAGAACTTGAACAAGTACGTGCCACCAGGACCGCCAGTGTGGAAGGGCTAGCGTCCTTTTTCGGAAAGTTCATTTTATGGAATCAGAAGTGCATGCAATGAAATCACAGATCTAGGAAACGATTACCCAGACGATATCAATATACCAGACGAATTAAAAAGCTGTTCAAACACCAGCGAATCGAAAAATACCGCTGCTGTTTCACGTTTCAAACATATACTACTAATGAAAGGAATTGGCTAAGATACAATCTCCACAACAAAGTTGAGACTGCCATTTACTTCGACTCCAACATAGACCGGAAATATATACACAGAGCAGACCTCAACATCACTACAAAGAAGATGATGATCTGCCTCTCTGTAGTATGGAGAATCTCTTTTTGCTCAAAACCGGCTACATCATATACATTTCATATCTAGAGTCTCCAGCATCTCAATTAACGCTCACGAAAATAGTCGTCTCCCTCGGGGTCGTAGTCACCGTAAACCAATCCTCATACGTCGTATATACAGTCTACTAAAGGTTAGCGCAAATACTTCTTCTCCAGCTTAACAAATGAAAAAAAAAAATAAGCATACCGTAGAAGCCGTCCAGCTAGTAACCGTACTCGTTGTCGTGGATCTCGTCGGTGGCTTCGCAGATGTGATAAGACAAGAGCACGCCGGTATTAGATAAATAGACGACCAAAAGTATTCGAGATCTGACATATAGTTCGGAACAGGTTCGATGCGCTTCTGGAGGTTCATTGCTTCCCTCGGCACGATCTTTTCGATTTGCGGAGCGGGGGTGATTTCGGGCTGACGGGGTACAGGATGCTTTGCTGATACCGTAGTAGGCTTAGGACGGGAGGTGGATGGATTCGTGGTCTTGGCAGGTGTGGCCGTAGGGAGTTTGCCCTTTTTACACTCAGTCTGTATGTATGTGTTAGTTTTCTACAGCAAGACCACTCAGAGCTATCATAAACGCACCGGTGCATGATCTGGACAATCTCTATCCCACCACTGCGGCACACCGCCCTTACTCGCTGAAATCACGTTACTTCCATTAACCCCAATCCCAACATTGAAGATCTCGCAATTCGAGCCTCCTTGGTCGGCATTTTCAACGCGATATGCTTTACAAGCTGGATGCTCCAAGCACACTTGCTGACACTCGGTGGAGTTGTAGTAGTGCTCGATAGACCAGTCTTCGCCTTGGTCGAGGGGTGCGATAATGTTAGGGTTGCTCCAGCCACATTCCATGGAAGGAGATGGGATGGGGCAGAGGCGTGTGGACGTAGGATGGCTGGGAAACTGTGAGCATGTGCTTTGTAGATGAAGGATGTCATACTCTAGGTCTGTCTTTGTGACGAAGAGGTGGGTTATGGACCAATTAGTGTAGGTTGATACGCCGCTGCTTGTTGTGTAAACCGTACTCCAGTCTGTCTGTCTGAGCTCATTGCTGCACCATTCTGTAGCTGTGTATGTAGATGTCGCAGAAGCTGGCCTGCATAACCAATTAGTATTTCACGATACATCTTCAGGATGTCCGCTTCCGTAGAGGAATGACGCACGGATTTGTGACACGGCTTAGTGTCGACCTAAGGTGCTCATCCGTTGTACACTCTGCGTTTCATCAGTAACTATCAAGGTGAATAACCTTGGAAGTTATGCTCACCCGGGCCCGCAGTCCACGTGCTTCGGAAGCAAGAGTAGCACGGATTGAAAGGATCAAATCGTGGCACTAGCTTGTTCCTCACATCGACAGGATTTGCGTTGAGCAATGTTACCAGAGCCAACAGCGATAACACAGCCTGAGTTGAACGCATGACGAATACTGAATGCGATGATAACTCCCTAACTAGAGGAGGATTCCTTGTAGATGTTTGTCTCAGGGCTCAATCCGACTTGTCGTAAGAAACATTTCCTCATCTTTGTTGAAGGGCGTCCCTTTCTATATAGACCCACATCATGAGAGCCCAGTTCCTCCATAGACCCTCTTTTGGCAAAGTATTGGAACGCCTCAACTCGTATTTATTTGTCAAGCACCTTCCGTACCTCAAAATTCCACAACTTCCCTACCATTCCTTCCAAACTATCACGGGGCGTAATATGATCGTTCCTCACCGAGGTAGGATCTCTAACCTGGAAAGTCCCCGGAATTGGGAAGTTGGTAAGGGACCCTCGGAACCGCGTGTTAGGCTAAAGTGGCCGTGACCAAACGCTTTTAATTTTGCCATATTGGAAGGGACAAGGGAACGAATGAAAATGCGGAGGAGCAATTGATAAGTGACAAATTCTGGAAAGATTAAAATTCTGCAGGCCAACGGTTTAGCGCATGCACGGCTGTCGAAGCGAATTGATCTGACCTACAACGGTGCGGGGATCGGAATTCATTCATGTTGGTGTACATTATTCGGCCCCGGTTGCGTAAAGTGGAATCATGGACGTGAGATCTTCGGACTGGCCATATGCCAGGTACCGTACTTAATGCATATTACGATATGCTGAGTAAGAGGGGCTGGAAGGGGAAGACATAATTTTGAGACTTGGAATTGGGTAAAATGAGTTTTGAGTTTTGACTCTCCTCCCAACCACCGATTGAGTGAAAGACTGGATGGTTAGAACTAAGCGTTGCTGGGTAAATTATGTAAAGAGAGGTTGTTGACGCCGTGTGATCCTCAACCCAGCCCGAATAGCTAATCATGAATCTACTGGCCCTCTAACAGAGATTATTGCTCGCATGAGCGCTACGAGAAAAGAATAGCAATGGGTACCAAACCTTAATCTAGGAATGCATCGGCCTGTCTATTCTAGACACCAAACGACAAACCTCGTACTTACATGATGGAACTTCCCACAGAATATAGCAAGGATCAAGTTTGAGATGGAACTTATATCCTATCAGCGCTGTCTGGTTATGGTAGCAATCTTGACAGATCAAGGCCTTCCTATCAGTGCATTGTAAAGGATGTTCAGTATGGTATAAACTCCGGGCGTGTCGGCAGTTAGGTAAAGCAGTATTGAGACCGATAAATATTTTGTGCGCCTTCAGTGCGATACACTTCAAGATCTTATCTCCCCAAGGCTCCGCAGTCTGTCGGGAGCACAGAGACTATGGCCCCAAGGCTACATTTCCTTAGAGGGATATCCTAATAATGGTAGGATGGGATTTGGAGGGGGTAATCAGTGGGCTAAGAGTGACTGAGAACCTCCAGTAAGTTTAAACGCCAGTAAAAGTACGCTGCACAATGCATAGTAGCCGCTTCGGGGAGCTGGCGGAAGAAATCAGGCCCGAGCAGGAGAAATAGCAACCGCCCTGGGAAACGCAGTGAAATGGTGTCCCAATCTTGGACGAGTTGTCGGGGCAATTTCTCGAATACCTATATCAAGACCACAGGCGATGTGCGCCTCGGCCTCACTAATCGTCTGTCTTGAGTTGGGCGTTGAATTCCGTGTAGAACGACCCCTCAATATTGAGGATAAAAGAAGATTGAGACCTTTCATCTCCAAACCTGAGCGGTGTCGCCCGTCTATGATGTATCTCGGCCCGCACTAAGCAAGGCCGAGTTCAAGAGAGAAGCCCAATAATTTATTAAAGCCTCCAATCCTTGTAAGACCACTTTTCCGTAAGCGTTGTCTTTGGCTTCTTGCCTTGCGCAATCTGCTTGCGCGATTCTACCCTGCCTCTAACTATCATGCTTCGGAACCGGTCTTTCAGAAGATTGCCTTCCGGTTTGAGGCGCCGGAGAGAATCCTGAAGTTCGTCGGCCAGAACCACCTCCAGCGTGGGTTCTGGGATCCTGGAGATAATTAGGTAAGAGCAAACATAGAGCGGAAGGATGCAACATACGGGTGTTTTCCGAAGCGTCGTTTCCGAAGCACTTCCTGTCCCTCTTCGGATGAAGTATCGTCTCTAACCACAGCGGCCGATTCGCGAGCGGCGGCCCGAGCCTTCTCCTTCTCCTCAACCGTCTTGGCTAGTTCCTTGATGCGCCGTGCTTGGCGGTCCTTCTCCTTCATCTTCGCCTCATGCCTAGCCTTCCGCTCTGCCTCCTTCCTCCGGTTAATCTTATTCCGCTGGGCAGGAGTCTTCCGCTCCGGCCTCTTGGACCTCAAGGTCTCCTCGTCGGCGTCACTGAAACCTTCCCACTCGCTCTCCCAAGCGCTCTCATTCTTGTCCGACTCTTCGTCAGATTGGACAGCCAATGCCCTCTCTAACCGCTCCTCATCCTCCCGTGCTTCCTGCAGCCTCTTCCTTTCTGCTTCCACCTCTTTTTCTCCCTCGCGCTCAAGGAGATCGGCCCAATCCTCGAGAGTAGGGTTGTAGCTCTTTCCAGCCTCTGGCTTCGTGACCGCCGGAATGGGCTTGCCATCTTTTGCCAACGAGACAGGAGCACGTTTCAGGGTGACGGGCTCCCTCGTCACCTTCTTCTCTTCCAAGAAGGAGAACTTCGGGTCCTGCGTTACGTCTTGCGCGGCGGCCCAGGGATCATGATCTGCGACATGGCCGGTCTGCACGACGTCTTTCAGGACCTGGTTGCCGCCATAGGCAATGGAGCGCAGTTTGTCGAATTGCTTGCCGGAGATGCGTGGCTTCTTGCACTTGGGCTCGGAGAAGTCTGAGAGGCGTTTGCGGGACGAGACGGCGGGGACAGCGGAGCGTTGGGCGAGGATCTCGTCGGACTTGAGTGGCTTGTGCCCTCTGCGGTACTCTGTGCGGATGTCCTTGGAGCCCGTAGTGTCAACTGCGAAGAGCTCGTCGGAGTCTTTCTCTGCAATGACGCCGCTAAGGATAGTCAGCTATCGGAGGAGAATATTGGCTGGCGCTTTGGTACCCTTGGATCATCTGATTGCGCACTTCCTGCAGCCCCTCGTGCACTTCGGTGACGTCGACATTTTTGCGCCAGGCCTTCTTCCCCTTCCTCGACGGCTGCTTGTGCTGCGCTGGGGCGGCTACTGAGGTCGACATTGAAGGAGATTCTTGCGTGGAGGAAGCTTGAGTGAGACTCCTCACAAGGGAATTTTTGATAATTTCTGGTCCCGCAGCCACTAGCGGGCCTTGGCGTCATGGCATCGGCGTCTTCATGGACGCCTCCCAGGACAACTCCTATAATCTGCACCTTACACCGCCCGCGCCCTCTTACATCTCCCTTGCCAAACACAATGGCTCAGTCCGGCTACTCAAACCCGCTGAAGAAATTCAAGTGAGCAACTTCCACAGTCGTGGCCATGGCTTCCCAAATAAGTACTGATGGACTGCTGTAGGCTTGTGTTCCTCGGTGAGCAAAGCGGTATGCACACCTCATGGCTTCCGAATGTGTCCATGCATGCTAATGCCACGGCGACCCAGTGGGGAAGACTTCTCTGATCACGCGCTTCATGTACGACTCGTTCGACAACACCTATCAGGCGACGATTGGCATCGACTTTCTCTCAAAGGTGCGCAGCATCGAATGCGTAAAAGCAAAGAGAGGACTGACACGTGGATTCATTGTAGACCATGTACCTCGAGGACCGCACCGTGCGGCTGCAACTCTGGGACACGGCCGGCCAAGAGCGATTCCGCTCCCTGATCCCCTCCTACATCCGCGACTCGAGCGTCGCTGTCGTCGTTTACGACATCACGAACAAGAAGACGTTCGAGAACACGAGGAAGTGGGTTGATGATGTCAGGGGCGAGCGTGGGAATGATGTAATTATTGTGCTGGTGGGGAACAAGACGGACTTGAACGACAAGAGGGAGGTGACGACACAACAGGGCGAAGACGAGGCGAAGAAGAACAACCTCATGTTCATTGAGACGAGCGCGAAGGTGGGACACAATGTCAAGGCCCTGTTCAAGAGGATTGCCCAAGCGCTGCCGGGCATGGAGGGCGAGCAGCAGCAGGGCCAGAGCCAGAGTCCGTCCCTTCTAATACTGCCCCCGCCCATCCCACGTCCGCCGCTAACATGTCTCCAGTGATCGATGTGAACATCAACCCCAGCCAGCCCACAGAGCAGAGCTCGTGCTCGTGCTAGACTTCGTATCCAGGCCTTCCTTCTATAGACTTTGTAATTATTGGCTTCTTTCACGAGTTGGAGGGATGGCATTGCGAGCAAGGCGTTCCGGGCAGGGCATGGGAAGTGGCAGTTTCCCGCGGCATGCGGAGCACTGCTCGGGAGACTTGTGGGCTGTAATTTGTAGTATACCAGTGCATTTCTCAATCGCATGGAGGACAAACGCATGCTTTCATCAGAATCCCATCTATGTTGCTGCCGACGATTCCAAACATATCAAGCCACGGCCAACCTAAAACTCCGGCATGGCGACTAACCCCAATGGTACTTTTACATGAATAATACAGCCAAAATGCAGTCCAGAGTGGGAGAGGGTAAAAATTAGTAATGAGTGTCGACTGAGTGTCGACACGAATCGTCTACTCGATTCCTCCGATGCCGCCGGCGGACCCAGCTTCGGAGGATGTTTTGCTGCCCACAGGGATGCTTGTGTCGACGGCGATCATTTCGGCGAGGACGTCGAGAACAGGCTGTGGTGCATCAGCAGCGTGAATCAGGGTATTGGGGGGTGGGGAGGATACCTTGGGAACAGTCTTGTCGTAAATGTTGATCAGCTCTCTCGGCTGTGGGTAGACCTTCAGAGCACGGTAGAAGCAGAGAGCGGCCTCTATCGAATCGGCACCTGGGATCAAAAATCAGCGCCGACGTCCATTGAAGTGGACAGCATTCTCGCATTGGGCAAAGGCAGCATACCCTGCTGGCAAAGGCCCTCTCCCTGCGCAACCTCCTGCATGAAGTACGCCTCCACCTCCTCTGGGTCTTTGGGGAAGCCCTCCTCATTCGCGCGCTCGACGGCGTCGCGGATAGCCTTCTTCTGCTCCTTGCCCTGTGCCTCGGCCTCCTCCTTGGCGGCGCGGGCCTGGCGCTTCGATTCGCGCTTCAGCTGCTTTCGGAATTCTGGGTCGGTCCGCCGCCGATGGTCGAAGTAGACGGCATATGCGAGGAAGCCCGTGACGACGGTGCCGGCAGTGATTGCGGCGATGGTGGAGGGTTTTATTGATGAAGTTGACGAGGACATGCTGTGTGGACGTGCAGGCGTGCAAGCGTGCAGTTTGGGGGTGGTGGCACTGGCGATGGAGAAGGCGAGGGAGGAATGGCCGTGATGATGGAGATGGGGTTGAACTTTTTTGGAGGAGGCAATTACGGCAAGGTCTGAGCGTAACCTATGCCAACCATCCTTACTCGCCCAGTGCCTCTCCCGCCCCGGAAGTCGTGCAGCCCGCGCGTCTCGGCACTCCGACCGCACACTTCACTCACCACCCAGAAACACCATCACTCCCACTGCCACCATCACCTCACACACCCGCCATCTTGCTGGCAACATGGCTGAAGAACGCGGCAAAGGAATCTCCCTGCGCAAGAAGCGCACGGTGAAGCCTAAGGGGGCTAAGGAGATCAGCGCCCCGCGACAGATCAGTGCTCCTATGCCTGCTGGCCTGGCCGCCGCGACGGTATCGAGCAATGGACGGCCCTCCAACGAGTCCAGCCGGTCGGCGAGGAAGATGGACGCCCCCCGGGAGAGACCCAAGCGTGCTGATAAGACAGCAGATCTAGTGAAGAGGCGGTACTCGCAGAGAATCACGCAGCTGCCCAGTGACTTTGGTGCTGGGGCCCCGATGCCCGCCCTGCCCCAGGTCCCGAGCCAGTACAGAGACGCCCCGCCCAGCAGGGACGGGCGGCCGCCGGGGAGCTCGGATGGTCGGGCTTTGAAGGTGGACATGAAGGCACTGCGAGACCCGAATCTCAGGCCAGAGCAATGTAGGCAGCTCCTCCTGTATTGAAGTGTGTCTCTACTGACACCGGTGGCAGATGTGGCCACCCTCCTCGCAGACGCATCCGAAGACGACATTCGTCGCTTCCAGGACGAGCTGCGGAAGGTAAAGAACCGCACCTCAACCGATCTCCAACACAACGTGTATCAGAACCGGACGCAGTTCATCAAGATCAGCAAGGAGGCAGAGAAGCTCAAGGGCGAGATGCGCACCCTTCGACAGCTCATGTCCGAACTGACTGGGACCCTGGGACAGACCACCTCTGCAGCTAGCACCTCGGGGGACACGCTGACAGCGAGAAAGGCTGCCAACAGGAGCTCGGTCGCGAATCTCGAGGCGCTCTGGAACTCGCATTTGCAGGAGCTGTGGAAGAGAGTGGAAGGATCACAGAAATATCTACCCGCTATTCCAGGCCGCCACATCGTGTGGGAGTCGGGCAGGTGGGTCGAGCTGAATGCGGCTACCTGGAAAGCCCGGCGGCGCATCCACTTGATTCTTCTCAACGACCATCTGCTTGTGGCTGCGGAGAAGAAGCAGCGGGCCGATGCTGCTGGACAGAGCTCTCGTGAGAAGAAGAGCCAGGGCAAGGAATGGGTGGCACAGCGATGTTGGCCGCTTCAGGACGTGCAGATAGCAGATCTATCTTCACGTGCAAAGACAGGGGCCTCGGAAGGCAAGGGAGCGTCCAGCGCCATTAACATCCGCGTGGGAAGCGAGTCCTTCACCTTCGCCGTCTATCAGGGGGATGCCAGCGAGAAGGCGACAATGCTTTCGACTTTCCGCAAGACCCTTGAGGACCTCCGGAAGAGCACCGAGGCCGAGACCGAGGAGAGGGGCAAAGCTCAAGATTCTGTCAACTATTTTGCTACACGCGATTTGAATATTTTGAAGAAAACCGAGTTGATGGAGAGTCTGACTGATAATGTCGCAAACCATCGGGCCAGCATGATCGTTGACGTTGATGGGAAGCAGCAGAGCATCAGATGGGTCGAGAGCCAGCTCGATGACCTGGATATTGACATTGCATTGCAACAATTCGAGGATGCTGTCAAGAAGGTGGAGCGACTAAAGACGCTAGCAAAAAATATCAGGAGTAATGCCATGGCCCAGGGCATCGTGACCTTCAAAGTCAATGAACGGGCCGCTAAACTCGCAAACGTGCTCATCAAGCAGATGGTGGAGAACAACTCGTGGATCACGTCGGTGAAGAAGCACGTCACGTGGATTGTCCGGCTCGGCTTTGAGGAGCGGGCAAGAGAAGCTTACCTCGAGGCACGGGGTGAAGTCATCAAAAAGCGATCGCGGTACATTTCCATCCTAGCTCTTTCACACCCCGTTACTTTTGACTAACATGAACCAAGACAATGCGTATTCGAAGGCAACCTCCCCGACTACATCTTCCAAATATCCTACATCTACTTCACCATCATTAAGAATACTGTCGATGTCTATCAAAAGTGTTTCCCGCAGCTCATGATGTCCGCTTGTGTCAAGTGGGCTAAAGAGCATGTTGATGCCTTTAATGTAATCTTAGCAAGGCAGCTCAGTAGCGTTGATCAGGACAGCCCAGTATGGAGGGATTGTATGGATCAGGCATTTGCACACGCCGGGATGCTGACGGAAGTTGGCTTGGATTTTAAGGAGTTGGTTGGGAAAGGGGTTGAGGAGGAGGAAGGGGAAGGGAGGCCAGTTGGGCTTGGCCTGAGTTCGTGACTGGTCCTTGTAAAGAACAGAGAGGGTCGTAATGTCTTCTAATGAACTAACCCTGCCTAAACCCTTCCCAATTGTTTTGGCGCATCATTAGCATAGTGCCAACTCCACGTTGCGAGCTGCTGAATTGCAGTTAGTCAGAGATGGGATCTTGCTGCTACGGTATTTCTGCCATGCATAGGCATCCTGAGAGTTCACGCTCCCGGTAAAGGTAGAGGTGCAGTGCACGTTGAGGCTTCTAGGAGCTCTTTATATGCTGCCTCTCGAAACTTATTTCCAGCTCACCGCTTCCCGTTCACTTTCACCTCAGTTCGCATCTCTGGTGAAGCCCTATCAAGACTACAGGCCACGCCACTCAATTTCACCTTTAACCTCTACTTTCCTCAGTCTTTATAAATTAGACTTCCTTGTCGTCCTTCCACCTTCTTCCTCGTCACCTTCACAATTGGATCGAGTCACACAACAAGATCATTTTGAATATTCATAATGTCTTCCGACGAAGAGAACGTCAAGTACCTATATCTCGTGCTTACTACTGCGGGTCCACCGACTGTAGGTGCTATTCCCCAAGCCCTTACCATCCATTTAGCGAGCTGAATAGTACTGACATGAAATAGATCAACTGGGTTGCTGTGGGTAAGGATCTTGACCTGAAGCCTAGCGCGACTTCTAAGCGCTGGTCTCGGCTCAAGATATCTATCGCCGAGGGCAAAAACCCGGGGCCGACAGCGTACCAATTCTTGTGGTTGTGTGTCAAGCATTGTACGGATAAGAAGGTATGTCAGATCATATGGTCTTCACTATATTCCCTGCCGCACAAATGACTTGCTTGCGCCTAGCACTAAGTTTATATACGGCCTTAGGTGGTAAGGTAAATAAAGAGGACTGATTGCTAATGATGAGTGGATAGGCACCAAACTGGAACCTCATCGCAGAGAAATGCGGTACCACTTCCGCCGCGGCTTCGAAGCGGTATTCGCGGCTTAAGCTTGCTATTGAGAAGGGGGAGATAATGCCGATTGTCACTACTCCACCGAAAGGCAAAGGTGCTACTGTCACTGGAGCAGATGGTGAGGAGGAATCTGCTGCTACTTCTACTCCGACGAAGCGGAAGCGTGGAGCTGGAACTACTTCCCCTAGAGGCAAGACGGATGCGGGTGAGGAAGTTGCTAAGGGCGATGAAGAAGACCCCATTCCCGTGACGAAGGAGGGCGGTGATGAGGGGCAAGACAAGGAGGCGAAGAAGCCCGCAAAACGCGCGAAGACTGCCAAATCCAAGGCTTCCCCTAAACCCAAGCGTAATGCGAAGAAATCGAAGTCCAAGAAGGCCTCTTTGGGCGAAGATATCACAAACGGTGGCGACACCGATCCCCAGCCAGCTTGGAGTGCAATCAACAAGCCTTCCCAAGTGGACCCAGAGTTCCATGCTGCTGCTGCGGACGACAAAAGCGTCAGAGTGAGAGGCGAAACCGAGCATGACACAGAGGCTACTACCATTCATCCTGACTCTGGTGTCTCCGAGGGCATGACTCAGGAAGTCCAAGGTGGTGATGTGGGAGTGAATAAAGATGGTGATGACGGCAATTGGGGCGGCGAGTTCGCTGTTGAGGCTTGGTTGGAGACTACGACCTAGGGCAACCAAGACAGCTGCCAACCATCTAATTCACAGGGGATGTGCATATCAGCACAGCACAGTCATTGAAACAGCATCGGGAAGCATTTCGGATTGGGACTGAATCGGAGAATGCCAAAAGCAGAAAACCTTGGAGGGATTCTGGAGCATAAACCATGCATTGGGTTTCTTATCTTTTTTCTTTCTCATGATAGCGTTGTGGAGTGGGGTTTTCAAGGAGTCCGGCCAGGTCTTCTGAACAGGATTTGAACATATCTTATGCCTGCGGGCTGTTATGAGATGGGCTTTTCGGATTGGATTGGACATACGAGGCCAGATTAACGGGTAGCTGAGTGGAGATGGAAGTGCTCTGTAGAAAGCATTAGGCATCTTCCCTGCGGTTCTGACGGATCTGCCCGCGGTGATGGGCCTTTTCATGGATACCATACATTCTCAATTTTCCAAGGTTGCCCTTGTGTGTCGCCGTGTCACGTGAATGGATTAGAATGGCCTTTGGTGCCATCATCTGTGAGCATTGTTCTTTGAAACTTGAATAAAGGCTAGTCCACCGCTTTTGATATAGCAGCCGCCCGACCATCTTTTGGTATCCCTCGCAGAAACGCCAACGCTATGCCAAGATCACATTGAGCCCAGAAGGAAAGAAAACAAAGATGCTAAGCTCATCAACTCAACATGCTGTGATAGAGTCATCCTCTTCAAGCCTCCTGACTCCTAGGATCCCTCTCCCTTAAATTTCGCTTCGACGGATTCGAGCAACACTTCCTTGAGCACCGACAGACTTCCAAGTGCGGCATGGGTTGCTCCATCCACCAGTTCCTCTTGGCTGAATCCGATGTCTCCTTTCATCCAGACCTCGGTGATTTCGTCTCTTGCAGCTAGATATCCAACCGCACATGCCGCAACAATATCTTGATGCTCCGAAGGGCAGGGATCCAGCACTTTGACTAGCTTTTCCTTCTCCTCTCTTCCAGTTGCATGAGGATTCCTCACCATAGCGGCCACGCCACCAGACACCATATCGACGCAATCAATCCCCGCATCCGCAATCGCGGCACTCGAGACCGTGATGCAACCTGCGAGCACGTTCAACAAGCCCCATCCACTACCATTCGTACCTCCATGTACACCCATAACAGCATCGCCCCACCACCCATCTTCGTCCCCCTCAATAACTGTCACAATGACCTCAACCCCACTCTTCGGCCACCTCTCCCCAATCAAGACCCCCCTCAGTGCTGTCTCAAGATGTACGCCTATGTCACGTTCCACAGAGTCGCGGATATAGCCACGGCGGTTACGGGAGGCGAAAGGGGCGAATTTCACGGTTGCGGTAAGCAAAAGAGAGGGGCTGAATGGGGCGCTGCGTGGGAGCGGTTTGGGTCCTTGGATTGAGCAAGAGAGCTTTAGAGAGGAGCGCGGGGGGATGAGGGAGGTTGTTGGCGAGGACGGGGTGGGAAGGGGGATTTCGAGGTAGGCACTGCCAGAGGCGGAGGGGATAATTCCAGTTCGTAGGTCTGCCCAAGGTCAATGTGTACACAGTAGATAGCGAATCCGTCAGAAGAGCGCTTACAGATGTTGCGGAGCTCATGCGGAGCTCTGATTCGCGACGGTCGCAGCGATTGAAGATATCCAGACTCTTTAACAGTCCTGGAGAAAATCGGTGCGGAAGTCCCGCCACTCGGGGCATTTATTCTTCTTCTATCTGTATTCATTGTGCGAAAAAGTCGCTAATGTTGAAGCCTTGTTTGCCGAATGCTGGATTGAATCAGTTCGCAGGTTCGGATGACTAAGCCGAAATCTTGGCGCCTGCAATCGATATTTTCTTCGCTTGAGCTTCGCAACCTCTGCCTCAAAACACATCACCTTCCAACTGTTCTCGCTCCTCAGGTACGTGCCAAATTCTTTTCTCTGGTTTTTTTCCGCTTTATTATGATTGATAACATCTGAAACTTGTTCTCGTGATCCTTCGTGAGCAATTGAACAACATGCACCACCGTCTGATCTCATCTTTTCATTTGAAAGATTCCAACAACTGGTAGCAGCGCGGAAAGCTTACTTTAACGTAGGAGCGGATGAACAACTGATCTGGCTAAGTAAAATGCGTCGCATTGGCCTGCCCGACACGCATGTTCGTCCAAGTCCTTCCAGCTCGACTACCGCCTTCGTCTCAAAGAATATGGATGACAGCATCCTGGAATGAAAACACCCAGAATCAGAAAATATAATCGGTCTCACAAAAAGTCCGTTTGCCTTAATGACGCGTTCGTTTTCTGAAACAGGATTTCGGAGATTTTGCAATTTCGCTGAAGCACGCACTGTCTTGGCAATCTGCATCTCTATCTTGACTGACATAGTACAGTTGATGCATTCTAACAACTGACTACAGTAAGTTATTTCCCCTAACCTTTTCCAGCATGCGATCTACATACGTCATGCTCTTATGATGAGTGTATAATTTTCAGTTCTGCTACTGAACTTCATTGAAGACAACTTATACCAGCTTACCTTTTCTGATCTCTCCACAACGCAATCTGCCCGTCCGCTATTGTCTGCTAAACTCTCACTGACTTGGGTCAGACAGATATAGCCGATTCATATCGACTCCCGACCCGCGGGCTTTCTGGGTAAGTTCGAATTCCATTCCCTCTGTTGCTGGGATGAAAACTAGTCAATCCATTCAACGAGCTCCAACGCCAGGTCACCCTCCCGCACTCTACTAGCCTTGGCTGGAATGACGAGTTGTGGAGTTTTGCTCAAGGCTCGTCCAACAGCGTGTAATTGTGGTCTGCGAGCCAAAGGTTGGGATAGTCCGTCTTGGGTTGTCCTGGCCCCAGGCCGGCGGAGGAGCATGACTAAATCGGCTTTTCTGAGCATGAAACTGCCATTCCTCCGAATGATCGCTAGTTGCTAGAGGAGGCTAATGAGCGTATAGATTGTTAAAGATCGCTCGGTTTACTATATAAACCCTTTCGAGTGGCCATTCTCCTTGTCCTAGATGGTAGCATCGCGGAAAGGGTCACTACCTAGTTAAGCTTAGTACGAATTAATAGACGAAATCTTGTCCATTTGATGGATATGTCTGCGCAACTCCTGTGATGCTTTGTCAGAATGCGATTGATAACGTGAATGGCCTGCCAGTCTTGGCGTCCGTTACGTAATCAGTTGGTGTTGCAGCTCAGCAACATAAGCTGAAACAAAACTCGAGATAGGGGCGTTGCCAATTTTAGATTCAAGTTACATGGAGAACATTCCACTCTGGTGAAAGCTAGTGCATTATTTTGCCACACAATTCTCTCATTTTAGTTCACACAGTACCATCTCAACAGGCGGCTTAGCGCATCAGCGGAGTTGAGACCTCTGCCCAGGTACACTCGCTCATTAACACCGCAGCTCCAGCATTCACATTACTGCCAGAAGCAGCGCACTGCGATTTCTTAACAAACCCCCCTTTGCATCTCCCTTGTGCAAATTGCCGCCGCTTCGGTAGTCGCCACTAGGGTTATCGGGCATATCTGCCACCGTAGCGAAATAATCTGAAGCCAAGGCTGCGGAGTCCTAGACAACAACATCCTCCCACGATTTAGCAACTCCCACCCTCTCGACACATCGCCCGCTGCATCCACCGTGGCCGTCGCCGCCATCAATCAATTTGGTCTTCCGTCTGTCCCCGCGTGGCCTGCCCTGGAGTCGTCCGCGCTCGCCCTCCGTTTCCGTGATCTGGCGGGTCGAAGGTGACCGGGGGTGTTCAAGGGAGACCTTCACAGCGACCTCGAGCTTCAGAAACGCCAGACTGGATGCTGCCCTTACATGCGGCGTCGCCTAAGGGGAAAATGCATCGCCATGCCTATTCCAACGGGCATGCGGCATATCCTTCGTTAGGAGGCAGCGGCACCTTCTCCATCCAACCACACAAGTACGTTCCGCAGTCACCATGCTGCCGTCAAGTCTGAGCCCATTCACTGCTCACCGCAGCCATCCCAACTACCACTGTTCCCACAGCGCGTGGCATCATGATGCTAACTTTCGTTGCTGCTGCAGGTTCCAGCCGCGATCACAACCAGCGCTACGGCGGCGTCGCCAGCTAATACAGCGCCTCTTGCTCGGCGGCACCCTCTTCTGCCTCTTCTTCTTCTTCTTTTTCCCTGACATGCGGCCGAACCTGGGCTCGGGGCCTCTCAGCTACTTTGCCTCCACCGAGGACTCCCAGCTTGAGACGGTCCGATACTACGACCTGAACAATGTGCAGGGCACAGCAAGGGGGTGGGAGAGGGAGGAGAGGATACTGCTCTGCGCACCGTTGCGAGACGCCTCGCCACATCTCGACATGTTCTTCAATCATCTGAAGAATCTGACTTATCCCCATAACCTCATCGACCTGGCCTTTCTCGTCGGAGACTCTAAAGACGATACGATTGAGAAGTTGACAAGGAAGCTCGGCGAGCTGCAGGCGGATCCAGAGCCAAAGCAGCAATTCGGAGAGATATCAATCATGGAAAAGGATTTCGGGCAAAAAGTCGACCAGGACGTTGAGAGCAGACACGGGTTCGCGGCTCAGGCGGGACGACGGAAGTCTATGGCTCAGGCTCGCAATTGGCTGCTCAGCGCGGCTCTACGACCAACACACAGTTGGGTTTACTGGAGGGACGTCGATGTCGAGACTGCGCCGTTCACCATCTTGGAGGACCTCATGCGGCACAACAAGGATGTCATCGTTCCCAGTAAGGCGAAGATCGCTTCATATATGTTTCAATTTAAGTTTAAGATTGCTGACAAAATCACTTAGATGTCTGGCGACCTCTGCCTGACTGGCTCGGAGGAGAGCAACCTTATGACTTGAATTCGTGGCAGGAATCGGAGACTGCTTTGGCCCTGGCTGATACCTTGGACGAGGATGCGGTCATCGTAGAGGGATACGCGGAATATGCCACCTGGAGACCCCATCTAGCTTACCTTCGAGATCCCTATGGCGACCCTGACATGGAGATGGAAATTGACGGCGTTGGAGGAGTCAGCATTCTAGCCAAAGCGAAGGTGTTCCGCTCTGGAGTCCACTTCCCCGCATTCAGCTTCGAAAAGCATGCCGAGACAGAAGGGTTTGGAAAGGTGAGACTGCCAAACCTCTTTCACTCTTAATTGCTCACAATGGATCTAGATGGCGAAGCGCATGAAGTTCTCAGTCGTTGGCCTTCCGCACTACACGATCTGGCATCTCTACGAGCCCAGTGTTGACGATATCCGACATATGGAGGAGATGGAGAAGGAGCGAAAGAGCAAGGAAGCCGAAGAGAAGGCTAAGAAAGAGCGCATGGACAAGATCAAAGACCAGTTCGACTCTAAGTCCAGCGAATGGGAGAAGGACAAGAACGAGATCCACAATCTGGTACAGAACGCAAAGAAGGAAGCGGAGCAGTCTAAGAAAGAAGCTGACTCTCCGAAGAAGGAACCCGAAGCCCCAAAGAAGGATGCCGAGCAATCTAAACAAGAAAACCCCACACCTGCGCAGATTCACGACGCGAGGGGAGAGGATGAAAAGAAACCAGCCGAGCCGAAGCAGTGAGTCGCGACATTTCTCTGCTCTGCAGGTTTGCAAGTTTGCGTTCTTACTATTGCAACAGGAAGGAACCCAGTGGCGAAGAGAAGAAAGCGTAGAGCGCTTGAAGGAGCTCAGCAACAACGGCCTTTCATGAAATTCATCAGTCGACTTTTGAATACCGTCGCGCCCGAACTACTTTAATTGAACGATGGACGACATTTTAGTGTCTGTGGCGGATCTTGAAGGATTATCAAGCCTGGAAGCGTTACGAGATGATAACCATAAGCGGGAGTTCCAAGTGAATACGCTAGGGCAGTCTCTCGCTAGATAGGCATCCTAGTGCGCGTCTTGCAACTTTGTTTCACATTTCATTCAATTGGCGTTGCGGAGAAGGTCCTCGCGGGTGCTGGTTGTATATATTAGAGCTTTGCATTCAGGGGCGTTTATGCTCGACTCGAGGACACGAGCGCTGGTTGCTGTATCAATACCAAAAGAATTGAAGCAAAAGCTCCGACCAAGAATGATGACATGGGTCGAAAGTGCATGGGCAATCGTCTCGTCACCTGACGTGGAAGATAGCTGTGATTTGCGAGGGGAATTGGCGTGCTGTTGGTGCTCTCCCTAATTCCAAGAAGAAGTCAGCGAATAGACTCCTAGCCTAGTGATGTTCCACGTTAGGTGATAGCATGCTAGGGTCGCAGCAGCTGGGGCCGTGAGAGTAGCTAACTTCACCCTGAAGTGTGTAGTCAGCGCGGACACCCTGGCCTCTCCTGCGGTGAAACAGCGACGACTTTGCTTGGCATGGCATGGCATGGCCGAACTCCAAAATGTTCAAGTAGCTAGAAGCCCGATTGCTGGTGCCTATCATTCCGGCTCCACCTCCCTGAGGACACAGTCTCGACAATTTGCTACTTGAAGCTCTCTGTTCAGGCTCCGATCTGTTAACCATGCTTTTCTTTGGAATTTTTTAGTGGTGGACGCTGATGTAACTAAGCATACACCTGGCGCATCCCATTACCTCTCCGAAGCGACAACGCCCCTTGCCAGAAGCGCTATCCAACATGTCTGATAGCGGGAGCACGGCCGATTCCACACAGAACGTCCAGCTTGCAACTGTCGACCGCCGACCCATCTCCGTTGCTGTAAACCCAGTCGCGCTCGTGGTCACAGAATGCATAACCGTCACGTCTGCTATGCGGAAGCATGCCCGCTGGGCGCATTCTTCCGTATCCGCCATCCTTGGGGGGTCTTCGAACAAGACCCCAGCGGTACATCGGCGGGACAGATCCGGGCAAGGAATTGTGAGCGGGGGAGAGCAGGAGGAAGCCGTGCCCAGCAGATGGGGCTTGAGGGGAAAGAAGGGGAAGAGCTTACAGGACAATCCTCTGATGTCTGCTTTTGCACGTCTGCGGAGCGAGCTGAAGGGCTGTAAAGGTCCGTAGCGCTCTCCCATCTCTAAATGCTGGTACTGTATATACTAACAAGCATTGCACAGATATCCGAACGTTTGATACTCCGTCGATGCTCCACCCCTTCCTCCAGGTTATAAGATCCTCGTCGACTTCGGCACCAATAACTTCCCTCGCTCTAATAGCTATCACCAAGTTCCTCGCATACAATTTAATCGGCCATGACTCCCCTCGACTCCCAGAAGCCATGCAGCTACTCTCGTCCGCCATCACACACTGCAGATTCGAGGCCAGCGACTCTGCTGCAGACGAGATTGTGCTTCTGCGCATACTCAAGCTCATGGAAGGCATGGTCTCCGGGCCCGGAGGAGAGGTCCTCGGCGACGAGAGTATCTGTGAGATGATGGAGACTGGGTTGAGCATGTGCTGTCAGGCCAGGCTGTCTGAACTATTGCGTCGATCTGCCGAGATTTCGATGGTGTCTATGTGCCAGGTGATATTCAGACGGCTGAAGACACTAGAAATCGAATCGCCAGAGGAGCTTGCAGCACTAGACCAAGACCCGGAGGACGACAAGATGGATGCCGTCAGGATGGATCCATCCGTGAATGGAGAGAGCGTCGCGCCAACCAAGGTCGAAGATCCTCCGCATCCCAGCAGTTCAGACAAAAGCCAGGACGATGTGGACAGCAATGCTCCGAATCCTGCGGGGTCCACCGTAGATCTTCCAGCAACAGCAGAGCCTGAGAGTCCTGCTGAAATCAAGCCTTACTCGCTGCCTTCCATTCGAGAGCTATTTCGAGTACTGGTCGACCTGCTAGACCCCCATGACCGACAACACACTGACACCATGCGTGTTATGGCCTTGCGTATAGTAGACGTGGCTCTCGAGGTTGCGGGCCCGTCGATTGCAAACCACCCGAGTTTGGCGAATCTGGCCAAGGACACTCTCTGTCGGCACATTTTCCAGCTGGTCCGGTCGGAGAACATGGCGATTCTAAACGAGTCCCTTCGAGTTGCCGGCACTCTTCTGGCAACTTGCAGAAACGTACTCAAGCTCCAGCAGGAGTTGTTTCTGTCCTACCTAGTGACCTGTCTATTCCCACGAGTCGAGATTCCAGCAGAACCTGGAATCGAGCCGTCTTTGTACGAGGGGGTCCCGCAAGCACCGAGCCTCATCAAACCTACGCCGTCACAGGCGAGCAATAGCAGCGGCCGATCGACTCCAGTACCTGTGAAGGACCGACAAAGGCTTGGCCTTGAGGGTGGTGCTCGGAAACCTGATGCCCGGGAAGCCATGGTCGAAAGCCTAGGTGCGCTAGTTCGAATTCCATCATTCATGGCCGAGCTGTTTGTCAATTACGACTGTGAGGTCGACCGTGGAGATCTTTGCATGGATATCGTCGGGCTTCTATCACGAAATGCATTTCCCGACTCCGCTACATGGAGCACCGTGAATGTGCCTCCTTTGTGCCTAGATGCGCTTCTTGGCTTTGTGCAGTCCATTGCAGATCGACTAGAAGACTCTCCCGTCGCCAACGGCTACCCTGATGCCAACGCACTACGCGAACAGCGAGCTCGGAAGAAGGTCATAATCAGAGGAGCCACCAAGTTCAATGAGAACCCAAAAGCAGGCATCGCCTTCCTCGCTTCACAGGGCGTCATCGAAGATGTCAATGATCCTCGGTCCATTGCGGAGTTTGTTAAGGGTACCACAAGGGTCGACAAGAAAGTGCTTGGAGAATTCATATCCAAAAGGTCTAATGAGCAGATTCTGAGCGCCTTCATCGGCCTAATGGACTTTAGCGGGCAGCGGGTGGACGAAGCTCTTCGGCAGCTGCTGCACTCTTTCCGGCTCCCTGGTGAATCTGCACTCATTGAGAGAATTGTGACGGAATTCTCAGACCAATATTGCGCAAAAGCCCAGCCCGAAGGCGTTGCCAATAAGGATGCGGTCTTCGTTCTGACCTACGCTATTATTATGCTTAATACGGATCAACACAATCCAAATATGAAGCAGGCACGTATGACTGTGGCAGACTTCGCAAAGAACCTCCGGGGTGTGAATGATGGGAAGGACTTCGACCCAGATTATCTCCAGTCCATCTTCGACTCAATTAAGAATCGGGAGATAATTCTCCCTGAAGAGCATGACAACCGCCATGCTTACGACCACGCTTGGAAAGAGCTCTTGATCAAGGTTCAGTCAGCCACAGATCTTGCGATTTGCGATACCAACATCTTCGATGCGGATATGTTTGCAGCAACCTGGAAGCCAATCGTAGCCACGCTCTCTTACGTCTTTATGTCAGCTACAGATGATGCGGTCTTCTCTCGTGTGGTCACTGGTTTCGACCAGTGTGCTCAGATTGCAGCGAAATATGGATTAAGCGATGCGCTCGATCGAATCATCTCATGCCTCTCGTATATCAGTACACTTGCGCCTGATATGCCGCCAAGTACGGCCCTGAATACTGAAGTCCAAGCCGACAAGAAGAGCGTGATGGTCAGCGAGACAGCCGTCCGCTTTGGGCGAGATGGCAGAGCGCAATTAGCTACCGTTGTGCTGTTCCAAGTAATCAAAGGCAACGAAGCTTCTATACGGGATGGATGGAATCATGTGAGTCACGCTCGTAAATCATGCTCACATCAGAATTAACAGTTGTTAGCTTATCCACATCATGATGAATCTCTTCGTCAACTCTTTACTACCTCCCTATTTCCTATCCTTCCAGAAGACACTCGCCCTCCCTCCTATCCCTCTTCAAAGTCCTGCACAAATCATCGATCGCGCTGAACGTCCTGCTGATACCGGGATCTTCTCAGCGTTGACATCTTACGTTTCAAGCTTCGCCAACGATGAACCCCCAGAGCCCTCAGACCAGGAAATTGAATATACTCTATGTACTGTAGATACGGTAAAGGAGTGCCACTTTGAAGACATCCTTGCGAACATCAGTCAACTTCCTGTTGAGTCTCTAAGGTCGTTGCTCTTATCACTCCTAGAGCAAATACCGGAAGATGGTTCACCGCGAGTTATCGTCGTAAAACCAGAGCTTCCCCATCCAAACAGCCCAAGACCAAATGGCAACAAGGCAAAACTGAATCGACCAACGTACGACCCTAGTCTAGTGTTTGTACTTGAATTAGCAACTGTGCTTGCGCTTCGAGACGATGAAACTGTACAAGAGCTAGCGAAGGATGTTACGGACTCATTGCAGAGCGTCATAAGAGATGCGTCTAAACTGCACCCTGTAGTGATAGCTCGGTCTGTCTACTACCTCCTGAGCCTGCTCAAGGCTAGCAACGTATGTACATTCGAGCGTTCACCCTTCGACACATACTGACTAGTGTAGGATTTTGACTTCATTCGAGCTCCCGTCATCCTGCACACATTCTCGAGCTTCGACCAGGAGCTCCTAAAGCAATGCGCACAGCCCCTGTTGAAGGGTCTGTCTGATTGCTGCAAGGGTCCAATTGGCCTGCGCAGTGAACTATCCAGCTCACCCGACTTCTGGGCAATCCTCAATACTTTGCATCCTGTGCCCGAAGCTGCTGGCGATGTTTTTCAGCTCGTTGAAGATCTTGCGACCTCAGCACAACCTGGAATATCTGCCGACAATTACGAAGCTGCTATTGCACTGCTGAATGAATTCGCGACCGCAGCCCAAGTGGGAGCACTTCAAGAGCAGCAACATGACCAGGCCAATAGGCGAGGAAAAGCGCCAAAAGCCAAGAAGCCAGAGTATACATCTTCTAGAATATTTGATAACGCTTTCGTTAACGTAGTCAGGAGCAACGAGGTTGTTGTCCGCGGCAGCAAAGCAATGACTATCATCTACCAGATGTCGGGCAGGGTGCCTAACTTTATCGAGCAGTCTCACCTGGAGCCAAATGAAGGTACGAATCTTTGATCTCGACCAGACTTGAAGTTATCTGATTGCGAGCAGCATGGACAGCCTATTGGTCCCCAATATTGAGAGCACTAACACACCAGTGTCTTAACCCATGCCGCGAGATTCGACAACAGGCTTTCGGAGCACTTCAACGTACCCTCCTATCCAACGAACTCGCATCTCCAGACCACAAGGAATGGACGGCGATTTTTAGCGAAGTCCTCTTCCCTCTAATTAATCAGCTACTCAAACCAGAAGTGTATCAATCAGACCCGCTAGGTATGAGCGAGACACGGGTACGGGCAGCAACACTATTGTGCAAGGTGTTCCTGCACTATCTCGTCTTGCTATCTGAGTGGGATGGCATGCTGGATCTATGGCTCAAGAGCATCACCATCATGGATAGGTTGATGAATAGCGGTCAGGGCGATAACCTGGTACGTCAAGGCAATTGAATGCCTCAGCGCACAGAGAGCTTACCATTAAACAGGAGGAAGCTGTGTCGGAGAATCTGAAAAATGTGTTGTTGGTGATGTCCAATGCGGGGTTCCTGGCTCCGCCAGACGAGAAACCTGAGCAAGAGGAACTTTGGAATGAGACGTGGAAGCGCATTAATAGATTCCTGCCAGACTTCTTCTCGGAACTGTTTCCAGAGGACGCAGAGAAGCCAAACGCGGAGGGGAAGTCGAAGGAAGAACGGCCGAAGGGGGCGGAGGAGAAGAAGCCGGAGACATGAAACGACTTGACGGGTTTTAGGGTTGAAGACGGGGGCGTTGGAGGCCGAGGCAGAAGTGGGTTGTCTGTCTAGGTCGTAGGATGGGGATGATTATTATTGGACACGAGGAATGTTAATGTCCGTCACGGATGAAACACGGCCTTCGCGGTGATTGGCCCGACTTCACGAAGTAACATCCTTTGCCTTGTTTCGGAACGGGGTTACATAATCATTCGTATCCGTCCCATCTTGATCACAGTCTCAGGACGACGAGGGACTGCGCCTTCCCTCTTTGCAACTTCTGACTTCTGACCACAGTCACTCCTTCCAAGGTTTCCACCACCGCTGCCATTTGCACTCATTACACCTTCCTCACCATTCGCGCGACATTTCCGAATCCACTCGTTTTGCAGCCGCGGCTCAGCAACTAAGCTTGGTGCATGTCGCGTGTCTTGATGTCATAATACCCGAAGCGCCAATTACACTTGTTGCAATACACTCTCTAACCATGTTGTCCGTAAGCAGAAATGTATCCCAATTGCCAGTATAGGCGATTCTAACGTATTCCAAGCTCTTCCGATCCCTCGCACTACTCGTTGCTGCCCTCGCTGCAATCGCTCGTGCTGTCCACCCAGTCGAAGTCCGTGGCCAAGATTTCGTAGACACGGTCACAAACAAGCGTTTAATGATTATTGGCGTAGACTAGTAAGAGCTTCAAGAGCTTCACGGCAGCGCAGTGGGGAATGCTAACTTTGTGGGTGACAACAGCCAGCCAGGAGGACAGGCCGGATATAAGCCCGACTCCAAGCAAGATGCCCTGAGTAATGGTACTGTGTGCTTGAGAGATGCAGCTCTGCTACAGCGCCTTGGTGTGCGTGTCTGTGTTTCCTGGCCCCATTGTTATTATTGTCATCTATTAACATGTGACTGACAAGAAAACCTAGGTTAATACTATCCGCGTTTACAACGTTGATCCGAGTATCAATCATGATGATTGTGCGAGTATCTTTAACGCGGTAGGTATCTACATGATCATCGATGTGAATTCTCCTCTAGAAGGCGAGAGCTTGAATCGTGCGTCTCCATCAAGCAGTTATAATTCCGCCTATTTGACCAGGATTTTTGGTATTGTGGAGAACTTCAAGGGTTATCCGAATACCTTGGCTTTCTTTGCCGCAAACGAAGTTATGAATGATGTTGGAACGAGCAAGGAGAACCCGCCGTATATTAGGGTAAGTCCTATATGTCCCTTTCCTCTACACGCGACGCACGTGTTGAGTAGAACTTCTATAAATACTCATTGCTGCAGGCTGTTCAACGTGATCTGAAAAATTACATCGCCAAACACTCGACACGCACAATCCCTGTTGGTTACTCAGCTGCTGATGTGCGTCCCATCCTCGAAGACACGTGGGCCTATTTTCAATGCGCCATCGACGGTAAAGACGACGACCCCACACGGTCTGATTTCTTCGGCTTAAACAGTTATTCCTGGTGTGGTGGTGACGCGACCTATCAAAGCGCCGGCTACGACATCCTCGCCGCCATGTTCTCAAACTCCACCATCCCGGTCTTCTTTTCCGAATATGGCTGTAACAAGCCAGAGGGTGTAGCAAGAGTGTTCAACGAGGTGGCCGCGCTATATGGAAAGAACATGACCGCACTCAGTGGGGGTTTGGTATACGAATATTCGCAAGAGGAGAGCGACTTTGGGCTCGCCACGATTAATGAAAACACAACCGTTTCCTTGAAAAAGGACTTCGATAATCTCCAAAGTCAATACAACAAACTCGACATCAAACTCATCCAGTCTACAAACGCGGCCGCCACCCAGGCTAAGCCGCCGAAATGTGAGGAATCGCTCATCTCGGACTCGGGCTTTTCGAAAAACTTCACCATTCCTTCTCCGCCCGACGGCGCGGACGATCTGGTTAAGAATGGTATCAAGAATCCAACACAGGGCAAGTTGGTTGAGGTCAAGCAGACGAATGTACCAATGGCGGCGTATGGTAGTACGGGAGTCCAGATCCAGAATCTAGCCATCAAGCCTTTGCAGAACGATGAGAGTAATACGCCCGGTGGCGAGACGACGAGTCCTAGTGGGACAGCTTCGCCTAGTCCATCACCCAGCAAAAAGGGGGCGGCGGGTAGAGCTGGCGTTGGTATATGGGGCGTAACAGTTGCGGTCCTCGCAGTTGTTCTTGCAACGCTGTAACAGACGTTAAGGGGAAGGGACGGGGGGTTTGAGGCGCAGGTGACAGGTGCAGTTCAGAACTCGTGTCCATGATTGGGCCTAGTAGACGGGGGTATATTTTCTTTCTGTGTAGATTCCAGTTTTGGCATATCTAGTAGCTGAGCTACTCCTTGTCTTTTAGGTTTCCCTGTTTACACGGGACTAGAAGAATTCATAGAGACACGTAACAGCCATATCGTTCCTGTGTTTTTGTCAATGTGATACCAGTGAAGGGTTTGCGAGAGACTAGGAGTTCATCTAGTTTGATAAAGAAATCATAGTTAGAATGAAAGATGTCACAGTAGTGAACTGCAAAATACTCAAACGTTAACCGGGTGTCAGTCAGGGTGAGCTTTCAGGGCTCCTCTCCAAAAAGCTCGCACAGGCCAGCGGTGAGTTCGCGCGCTTCAATCTTGGGAGAGAAAGGGAGCAGAACAGCGCGAGGAAGGTGATGGCTGCCTCTCCTAGACGCGCAAAAGGCCCGCTACTTCTCTAAAATCCCCGCCTCCTCGACCAGGCCTATTCAACACAACTGTTCATGAAGCTATCTGCAGCAGCACATGCCTTCCCCTTCCCCACTGGGCCTAGAAACCAACGCATTTCCTACTCTCACAGTTCCTATTTTCCTCCGAGACTTATGCACTCACCTGAGGAGGCTATTACAAACCCTCGAAGTCACTTCACAGACTCACCATTCTACAGTGCGAAGCACCGAGCATGCCATATAATTCCCAAGACCACCTTCTCGATCCACAGACAGAGTCCCGCTAGCCATGTGCGAACGCGTCTTCCTCCTTCATCCTACTTGCAGGTCCATCACTCTTCATACTGCCGAACCACTACGACGCTGCGACCGTGCGAGAAGGGTTTTTCTTGGAATCGACCCTTTTTCAAAAGCTTGTGGCAATTTCATAAATTCTAAGGAATGGGGGCCTCCTTTTTGTAGGGGATGTTATATCAGAGTGGTAGCGAGGTTGTGGCAATTGGATAGGCTGCAGAACCAGGGTGTGGAGTAGTATAGGAGTGATAGGAATGAGGGGTGATTAGAAGAGTGGGAGTGAGTGGAGCTAGTGAGCCAGGGGAGTTGTGTTGGAAGGAAGAGGTGGAGCGGGTATGTGAAGGTTGAAGAATGAATTCAGTGGGAAGATTGAGAAGGAAAGCTTTTTACGAGCTTCGGGCGGGGAAGAGTGTCTTGTTTATGAAAGCATCGATATTCATCTATTTTGAAGTGTTGTCTCACTGTATTTCACGTTACTGACTACTACCTTCTGGATAGGTGACGAGTTCAAAACCTTCACGCACACACTCTCAACGACCAGCGCTATGCATCCATAAAATAAATCTCCTTTGCAGACATCCTTATACGGACCTCTTTGAATCGACTTCCGACATGTGCTCACAGAACTTCATCGAGTACAAATTGTGCGGTTGCATTCGCCTCAACACCGTATATCCTTTTTATTATTGCGCTCTTCACCAGAGAGTCCCCCTAATGTACTGCGAGTGGCTTATTAAAGACACTCAAATCAAGTGGGAGAAGTGCACCTATTGTCTGGAGAAAGAAGAAAGGGCGAAGAGTGGAAGGGGAATGCAAATAGATCACCAATGGGATGGGCGGGATGGCGTTCCACAGTAGGGAATTGTGCTAGAGGCTAGCAGAGATATATGAGGGTTTGAATGACCAGAGGTTCAGCCGAGCGCTGGCGAATCGAGCATTCACTAAGAGGAGTACTTCTAAGCCCCCATCCTTGAGTTGTGAAGAATCATACCCGTTGTCTGAGCGCTGTCGCAATAGAATCTTGGTTCTCACGAGCATACTCTTGGTTTTGTTGCTAATCTCGAATGAACGATTTCCAAGCACGGGGCAGGGGGAGGAAAGAGTGTAGTACTAATCAGCTTGTAGGGGAAGTCAAAGCAAGGTTGCGATGGAGGAACTGTGATAAAGCTTTATAACGGAATCGTCAATTTGACTTTCAACCTTCTGCCACCTAATCATACAGTTCTCAGCCGTCCTCTACGCTAACGTAGGAGCAGTTGCAATCCAATGACCCAGTGAAAAGAACACATCACACTCGCGCCCACTGCCCTCCACGGCTACCAAGGTGAATATATGGTTTATCCTGCCATACCCAGGTAGCCACAAACCCAGAGAATTAGAAGGTTATTACAGATATCCAAGTTCTATCAGTACACCAAGCACAGGTTACCCAAAAGACCGATTGTTTCCGAACAAGAATACTCTGAATCTGACCCTTTGTTCAAAATGGCTCCTGATAATTTCCCTTCTTCCAGTATAATCCGCAACTAGGAGCGTAATACATCTTAAAATTGAGCACGCGGTGCCGAATGGTTAGAAATATATGAGCGTTGGCTGACATCCAGACTGCATAGTTCCTTTAGAATGAGACCAGCGGAGCCATCTTCCTGGACGATGGAACCCTCAAGCAAAACCGCAATTCCCTGTCCGAAGGGGTTTGGAGTCGCCGATGTCGATTCTTTGCTCAAGGAATATTGCTGTGTCTGTTAATCCTACACTATCACAAACAATTCCAAGCGTATCCGGGAGACGATATTCTACGACTGTAGATTCAACTGAGTCTTCTGATTCTGAATAAAAGGAGGCGAGGTACACATACTCTGGTTCGCTCATCACTTGATCATGGAATTCACTTACCGGGCCGGCGTCAGTCTTATGGCCGTTGAGAAATTAGCCATGTGGGGAGAGCTTGCTTGTTCCAGAGATACGCTGATACGATTCGACCTAGTGTACCATCGCAGCATGAAGGTTCACCGTACACTGATTGTCAAGATCAGCGTACCCGAATACGGTGAGCCTTTACTTATGTGGTTGTGCCTCGGTTGCATGCATCTCGCTTTCACTCTGTTTACTGGGAGGGGCCGTCAATTGTGGAGCCTTGGGATTCGCATATTCCTATAGATACTTCTCCTATGACTGCCTTTGTGGATATTGATTCATGGTCTGCCGTTGCGCTACCTAGAGCCTCGATCATCGTACTTATTTCTCCTTGGCCATGACGGATCCCCTCAGAGATTTGTACTGGGGGATCTTTTTGAAGATTGCATTCACCCTGTCTTTGTATTCAGTTAGGAGCTTCACATATCCTCTCGATTAGCCTCACAGAACATCGTTCTGCACCAATAGTACCATCGATTGAGCTGCGTTTAAAGGTGATTATATCTTTTTGGCGCTTCAATTGATCTCTCCATGTTTTGATTAGCGCCTGAAACCAGCTTTCCTGAAGCACCCAGCCAATATCTTTATGAAGCTCTTCACAAGCTTTTCGTCAGCTCCATCTAAGAATTTAAGCACTCTCTGGGCGCTATCGAGGGCGGTCTGAATGTCTCTCTGGTAGACTTCAAGAAACATTTAGGTTTACTATTTGCTGGTTTCCAGATAGCGCAAATTGAGCTAGGCTTCCCTACGAGGTCGCAGATGAAATCATGCGTCTAGATGTTCATCTGCATTAGTTCTTGGCATAAAGTTGGATATGGCTTTACTCTTTGAATACCTTCAAGCACTGTACAATAGGTCTTCAGGTCTGGCTACCCTTGCTTCGAAGTCTTCTGCAAACCTCTTTATCTTGACAGTGCGACTAGCGAGCGAGACTACGCTTGCTGCTAATCCAAGTAGTTCTATCATTGACTAACGAGCAGCACCCATAACCAAGTCTTCGCATTCAAACTAGGTAGATCAGTAGAATGTAAAGCAAAGGTACTCTGCAGTCGGGTAATAATAATCTGGGAATTTTGGATGACCATACATATGAATCAACGCTTATCCCGCAATCTGCCTTGCAGAAGACTGACTGAAAATACCAGTGAAGACCCTTTGTTAGAGGCAGCGACGTGTATGAGAGCGCCGCGCCCCAAGGGAATTCGCCGTTGTGAAGGAAGATGAGGCGAAATCGAATATCAAGAAGTGCTCTTGTGTGAGTTAGCAAAGCCCATTTGTGATCCTTATACTAATATTATTTGCTGCCGCCGTTGATATTCCACCTCTACCACAGCCTGGAGCGCAACACCCCTCACAGTAACCTCCTCTCTTCTAAGCTCGCCACTGCTAGTCCGATACCAGGTCTCCACGTTCCCAAGCCCGTTTGAAGAATCGCAGTCAAATAGCTGCCACCCAATCTCGCGTATTCGGCCCGAAGTCAACTCAATAACAGCTCGTTCGAATGTGAGCACGGAAGAATCTAGCTGCTGGCTGCTCACACGGAGGGAGACTTCGAGGATGTCTTCGTAACTTGCTCCGAGGGCCGTTTTGATCAGGGATAATGCCTCTTTACATTTCGTCTGTTGGGCCAAGGTTAGTGCGCTGCTTGCAAGGAGAATGCGCTGGGAGCATTGCCCTGCGTCGAAGAGGTTTGAAGGAAGTTGGAGGAGATTTGTTGCGAGTTTCGAGACAATGTGACGCCTCCCTGAGGTGGCCAAGATCCAGACTAGATCGACTGCGATATGTACGAGACAGATAAGCGAGTGCGATCGTGCTGTAGCGAGAGTCCTGACATAAGTCCCGGACAGCTCTTGCGCTTCGCTCAGGCTCAGTTTGCCGGTTTGCGAATGGTGAACCATTACTGAAAGACGTTGGCGAAGTGTGCAGTCTCCTGGATTAGAGTTACACTCGGAACAAAGAGAAGCAGCACTGATGACATCAGAAGCCTCTGGAATGTCGGAGTCCAGAGGAATATCGCGATTCACTATGCCGGCTTCTTGGCTGATGTAGAAGATTTCTTCAACAAGAGCCTGCTCGCTTAGATGCTGGAGTTCAATCATAGAGCATGGTGGTTTAGGCGTCGGTGTAGAAGATTGTACCTCGGTGCTCGGAATGTTTTGGCTTTTGTATATGAGGGGAGTTCGGACTTGCAGTCCGGCGAAACAGGCAACCGTAGATGGCATGCCTGGCCTGGAATTGTGGAGGATTGTAGAGTGGGTAACTTTTAGATGTGGGGAGCTCTTTGATGTCATTCCTTTATTGAGATAGTCCAAGAGTTGTCCGTCTAGGGGAGCAGATTGGATCGGGTAGTAGCTTGCCTTAGGGGCCGATTCACTTGAATCATCTGCATGGGGGGTCACGTCGGGTTCGGAAGAAGTGAAACTGGCGAAGAAAGTGGGCTTTGGGAACTCGACAGCGGCAGTCCTCTGTTGAGGACACAGGCGAAGGGGGATCTGAAGCGTTGTCGAACCTCCATCCAACGGTATTGGGGTATGGCAACTGAGGCTATGAGGTGTTTCTGGCTCTAGGTTCAGCGGCATCAAACAGATCATAAATAGGATGCTTACGGATGTCTGAGAAAGTGTCTTCCTCAGATATCTTCTTGCTGCTGATCATCCTCTCCTCAAACGGGACAATATTCTTGTCCGATATCCTGCGGCTGCGTAAAAGACACTCCGTATTTTCCCCTTCCTTTTTACGTTTCCGTTTCTTTCGAATTATGGCCTTGTACTCAACTCCTCTTACGTATTTCCTATTGAAACCCCACCTTGAAATTTGTTTCTTGTATTGGCTTTCCCTGCGGCACGTTAGGGAGGTGGGATAGAACCCGAGTGAACGAGGCCTTGAACCTATGATCGTTCTTCCTAACCTGCATGACGTCTTTGAGCTCATTCTCTTCGTAGAGTTCCGCGATGATGGTCTTGCGCTGCTCCCATTTCGGAGGTTCGTCGACAGGATGCCGAGGTGATCCTGGCCTCGAGGTTGGGGAAGTAGACCCCATAGTCCGAGCAACCAAAGGGTTGTTGATTTTTACGAGAGTCTGATCAAATGCTTTCCCAAAAGAAAGATGAAGTGATTTAATGAAAAGACCATGAGAAGGTGCAGTTGAAGAGACTTGAATTGCTATTGAGTTTACATTTCAGGAAGAATATTCATAAATGCGTCGGGGCCAATGTGCAGATTAAGCAAAGAATCTCGCATTCGTGTGCAAAAGTTCCATACATACGAAACCATCGGCGGACGGACATGGGGTTGGATCCTGCTCGGCAGCAAATGAAGCCCGAGGCGCACTCGTGAGCCAATGATGCTCCGTTGGGTACGACCGCTGACCAACCTGAGGCCATACTGTGGCTGCTGCAGAATTCCCTGATGCTGGAGTGGTGGCACAATGGGGATGAAGCACGGGGAGGGCGCTTGGCGTTTATCGGAACGGAACAGCGGCTTCCCGAAGATCTTGTAAGCTTTGATCCGAGAGATTGGGTAGCGAGAGCTAGAGTTGATCGATTTCTTGCGTGTTGATAAATGCTAGAACGTACCTTCAAGTTCGCCCTCCCAACTAACCGCATGAGACGTTTCAGAATCTTGAGGGCATTCAACCGAGCTCGTCAGCCTCACACCCCACTCCTACCATTCCTTTTACAAACCCGGTTCCACAGCAAATTCCCAGAAATGGTCGATACAGAGCCAAATGTCGCATCTACGGCATCTCTACCTAGTTGCCAAACACCACAAGTTCCCACAGAGTCATCCACTGCCGAGAAGCCGCTTCCCAAGCTCTCTACCGCTGAATTCCATGCATATAATCATATGGCTGAACACATGGATTATTTCCACAACCACTTCCGCGAAACATGGAATCTACTGTATACGGCATGTGAAACCCAAAAACGACCTAAAGGGATGAGCATTCGACAATTCCTGGGTGTTGGCCAAGAGTTCGTGCGACACTTGACCACGCACCATACCATCGAAGAGCGGCATATTTTCCCAATACTTGCGAGGAAGATGCCGGCCTTCCAAAAAGAGTTGGAATTGCTTACTCAGCATAAGCAGATTCACAAGGGCCTGGACAAGTTAGAAGAGTATTTGGAAGGGTGTCGAAGTGGCGAGAGAGAATTGAGGATGAGGGAGCTGAAGGACATTTTGGATGGCTTTGGCAAGGTGCTGTGGCAACATCTAGATGACGAGGTGGCACAGTTGGGGGCAGAGAACATGAGAAAGTACTGGACTATTGAGGAGATGAGACGTATGCCGATGTAGGGTGTTGGAATCGGCGGATTGCTAGTATACCCTAGATGCTCGGATTCATTACTTTCGTTAGAACCCTTCAACGTTGACGTGCTCTGCCAAACCTCTCGTGCCACTTTCGAGAAGAAGATGCTGCGTTTGAAGTCACATCCTCTGCATTTATAGCCGCGGCTAACCGCTCATTGAACCGGATGGTTGTAGATGAGGGTAGGGTGTATGCGCCAGATATAGTATCGAGTTTCGCAATTTCCCGCCATGTTCCTGGGAGAAGATCTCGCCAGTCGTCAAGGAACTCGGCTGTGAGATATTTCTTCTCCTGTCTTGCTTCTAGCAATGTTTTCCCAACGAAGCAGGCCGTCTTTCTTCGATCCAGACAGGACCAGGGCCCAGTTTTGTCCTGGTTATCGGCCGCTAAAAGCCGCAGAATGGCCAAGATGAGATCGGAGGGGTAGCCCTCCTCATCCACAAGCCTTAAGATATCCTCGGTCAGAAATTGGCTATCCAGCTTGACGCCTTCAGCCAGAGCAGCAGCACTGATTGATTTCCACGCTTGAGAAAGGGTGTTTGCGGACGGTCGGTAGGAGCTTCCGGCGAATTCGAATGCCACCAACTCCCGCCAGCCACTTTCGCATTGTCCATCAGAGAGAGGAATATGTGAGAAGATGACGGGTTTGCTCTTCCCGTTGCCTGCCACATCAACGTCTCCGCCGACAATATCGTAGACAGGCAAGACAGCCTGCAAGTGCACGACAGAAGACTCAGTGGATGGGTGCAACTCTAGTGTTGCTGCGCACGAAGCAATTGCACAAATAGTCGGGGCGGGTATCTCGTTGCCATGGGCTTCAAGCGTGGCTTGGGTAACGAAGAGGGAATTGGACGTCTGTACCTGCCGTAGCTGGAAGGACGAAGTCGGAGTACAGAGCACGGCATATGCTGGCTTCGCACTTGGGGTACCGGACGCGCCAGAAGCAGCTTGTGATTTTATGGATAGTCTATGCATGTCAGAAGGGATCGTGGGAGGGGTACAGAAGGGGAGCCGGGAACTAGGAACGCACGGTGGCGGATTGGGAGCATCAAGCAGCTCGAGGATCTCAGCCGGGAGCTCGAGAAGACGGAGGTGCTGTTGGCCGTGAGCAATGGAGAAGGGCACGCTGCCCTCGTCTTGCAGTGCGGCCATGCGGGCTGCAGGAGGTTCTGATTCTGAGGAGCCAGAGGTGATGTGTGCTGTGCGCGGGCATTGGGCATGTTTTGTTTGCGGGGCCGCTGATCGGCGGCCAGCTGCGCGCACGCGTTGAAACTGAAACACGCGTTTGGACAGCGCGCGATGCAAGGACCGTCAGTCAACACCATCCCAAAAATACTTATCTACCCTTGGAACCTTGGAAGTCCCCCGTGCCATCTGGCTAGGAGGCCCCAGCTTCTCACCGTCGCACCCGTCACTTCAAGGTTCGGCGTGCTGCAGCGCCTCTCCTTGGCCGCAGCTTCGGCCACAGGACTGCGTTTTCCGCCCGTCTGCCTTTGTTTACTTGCGGCTTCCTCGACTCGAGACGCGCTCCTTCCGCCGCCTGCATGGCCTCATAACTGTTGCTCCCTCTATCTGTCTCTGTCTCTGTCTCTGTCTCTGTCTCTGTCTCTACCTCTGCCTCTACTTCTGCCTCACTCTCAACATCGCGCCATGCCATAGCGGTCTCATTCGTTTATCCCCCCAATTGGTACCATGGTCGTCGTCAACCCGGAGCCGGCGGCCCTCTCTGCCTCTGACTTGTCTCTGTTCTACACCACTGACGACCTGCTCTCCAACTCTCCAGTCCTGATCTTCTATGGGCCCACCGCTACGTCTACTCAGGCCACTCACTCGCGCATCCAAGCCCACATCTTCACCCCTGCCGGACTGCAGAACTTCGCCCGGCTCATCATATCCCCAACGGCCCCTTTCTACAGCGCTGTTACCTGTCTCCCCCGCGAAGAGCAGGGCGATGAAATATGCCGTGGTCTGGCCTTCAGCTTGTACAAATACTTTGTCGAGCTACCGGCCGAAGTCAAGAATGTCTGGGAAATGCAGTACAACACTATGGGCAGGCTGCATGCTGCGCCCAAGCTCTTTTCTGAGTCTCATGCGGCCATGATTGCAGCACGCATGGTGAGACTCGAGAATGTTGCAGACATCATCGTCGACATACGCCACGCATTGGGCGAGCAGACTCTCTCCTGGCTTGATCTGGACGTCGTTCTCCCCCAAGGCGCTATGCGAAAACTGGACGACCCTCGCGAATCAGCTCAGTTTGATGAGGTGGAAGACGACATCCTCCAACAGCGATTTGGCATTTATGCTTCCGTGGTGAAGTTGTTTGGCGAAGCAGCTTTCCTTCCGACCTCGAAGCTTCGACGAGCACCATCGAAACCAACATCTCTGAACCGGTCCCAGTCTTTCTCAAGAAACCAAAAGGAGAACCTGCGGCGAGAAATGTGCGAGCTCCTTGACACCGAGGAGAACTATGTGAGCAAAATCTATGACCTTATTCACAGCGTTGCGGCCGACTTCCGCCAGAAAGCGAAGCTTAAGAGTGTCACCAGTGCAAGCCCGAGTGAGCAGGCACTCAGGGGTTTATTTCCTCCGAGCCTGGATAAAATTCTAGAAGTCAACTCAAATTTCTTGGAAGCCATCCGCACAATATTGGAGGACACTGAGAACGACGCTATTCAGGACATCGAAACCGCGACGGACGATATCTTTGTCGCCCCTCTTCGTGGACAAAAAGACCCACTAGACGTCACTGGAGCTGCAGCAGTTGCCAAGGCTCTTGTTGAGTGGTTTCCACAATTTGGAGAATGCTATACGGACTATGTCGGAGCACATGCCGAGTTTTCCCAGTTTCTCAAAGTTTTCATGAAGGACACTGGCTCCAGCTTCTCAAAGAGAGTCCATGAAACAGGAGAACAGCGGTTGATGTCCATGCTGATTGAGCCCGTGCAACGACTTCCTCGGTACAATCTCTACATCGACAACATTATCAAGCAGCTTCCTGTACGGCATCCGGCAATAAAGACTTTCCTCAAAGCGAGAGACATCATCTCGGAGATTTGCTCACGGGATGCTCCATCAGCGCAACAGATCAAGGTGTTTGACCGCCTCCGCAAATTGGTCTTCTCGTGGCCGCCTTCTTTCAATCCACAAGGACGTCTCATTACGGCCATTGACTTTGTTGAGCTCTCGCCTCCCTACCATGGCGAGCTTCAAGGACCGGCTTCAACTTCGGGCATCTTCCTTCTTTTTACCGACTTCCTCGTTATGTTGCACAAGCCTAATGGGTGTACCATCACTGCTCGTAGTGTCATCGCGGACTTAGACAATCCGAAGTTCGTTGAAACCTTTTCCGGAACTGCCGAGCTCATCTTTCACCAACAGCTGAAACTTTCAGACGTATTCCTCAGCGAACACTCAGATGGAAGCATTCTTCAACTCCTCTCTCCTACACCGCCGGCTAGTCAACCAGGGAGGCCACGGAGTCGAGATCGACGGAATCTTGGTCTCCGGATGTTTTACCTACTGGGCGCATATGAAGCCAAAGCACAGAAGTGCATAGAAGAGGTTACGAAAGCAAGGGTCGAAGGTCGTTATCCAGAGGCGGAGCGAGAGAGCCAAACTTGGGAAGTCCGCAACTTGTCTGGGGATCTCAGCTTCTTCTCTGCAATATCTGAAGATGTTAGAGGACAAACTGTCGAGGGTCGTAAAGAGCCTGCCAAGATCCAAATCATTGTTGATCCTTCCAAGTTCCCATGCCCAGTTGAATTGGGTGACAATGGGATCGAAATGACTGTATCTATCTCAGTCCTAGAAGATGGCCTTTTCCTTCTTGAGACTACCGGTATCAATGGTTACGCAGCAAGGGATAAGCTGACAAATGTAGAGTTTCTGCCGGTTTTAACAAAGCGACGTGAGTAACCCTATCTATTTAGCTGGATGTCATAGAAATTTGAGTGCAACCATGCTGACATTCGACAGTGGGGAATTTCTTGCAGCTGCGCAATAACATCAAGAATCCGAATTTAGCAGAGGCTTATCTTTTTAGAAACCAACAGATTTTGAAGTCGTTGAAGCTACAAATTGACGGGGTGGATGATGATGTCCAGGACGGAAAGAGTCGCCCGCATTCTCCTGTTAAGATGCTTTCAAACCTCTTTGGTGGTAGTGTTGGAAAAGATGGTGGAAACCGTAAGCTTCAGCGAAATCCTCCATCGTTGAGCGATATCCAACGCATGGCGCCTCCGCTCCTGCCAGCCCCGACACGAACACACAGCCGAGATGGCGAGTTATCTCGACCGACCTCGTCCAGTAAGACCATCGGATTTAATGCCAATACTACGCCAACAGATGGCCTGGTGAGATTGGAGGAGACTCTTGCGACGCTGATCTTGGCTTTGCATGCTCGCAAGGGCAACATTGTCGGGAGATCTGTAAGAGCTAGATCTATCGCAGATGAGCTCGCAGTCAATGAAGTGTACAACTCACTGCTAGAGAACCCCGCAAACTTGGATATAGCGGCTCAATCTTCCGTCGATGTTTTGTTCGCTGCATTCGAAAAATTCCTCAAGATTGCATGGAGAGAGAAAATGGGCCCCGTTATCTCCCAGGGAACTCTTGTTTCGTTACAGTTGAAGTCTGACAGTATGTATCCTGGCGAATTCGAGGACTTTTTCCGGACGACTTTCAATGAGATCGCACCCCAAAATCAGCGATCTCTGCGCGCAATCATCAAGTTGCTGGCAGAATTACTCGATGGTACCGGAAATGATGGCGATCGTGGCATTTTGACAGCTGCTTTTGCTGAGATGCTTGTCCCTGAGGGAAATCCAAACGACTTCATTTCGTTGATCGATCGATTCATCCAAGATATCGATGCTCTTTTCTCGGTACATGCTAGCGGCGTGAGCACCCCTATGTACGGATCCGTTGATTCAAAGGGTCGCTCTATAGCTGGTTCTGTGAACTCGAATACTTCACTGAGGAAGCGATTTGGGTTTGGTACTTTATCTAGAGAGAACAGCAAATCGGAGCACGAATCTAAGGTTGGCTCTCTTTGGCGATCATTGAGCAAGAATAGCCACGGTCTAGACAGCACTCCATCCAGTCTGTCTAGAGCTGGACCCCCTTCACTCGGGCGCTCCAATTCTACAGACACCAACGTGCGCATTTCACCAAAACGCCCCTCTTCCCGCGACCGGCCTACAGTATTGGGCGCATTCTCCTTTGAAAACAACCAGAGCCCGCATGCAAGGACATTCTTAGGTGCAGCACTGGGAACTATTGGAGAGGTACCATCCACTACAGGGCCACCCCGCAAGAAGCGACGCTCTTCTCTGAGTGATTTGAAGACGTTACAATCTGCTAACGATGCACCTACTTGGTCTCCACAGACTCCACGCCGACCCGACTCCTCCCACAGGGGTACACGCCAAACTAGCGCCTCACCGCGAACACCCTCGCGAAATACACCTTCCCCAATTAAACACTCACATATTCCGACACCTACACGCATGGGATCCCCAACCCGGAAAGAAAACTCACCTGCTAATGTGCTTGATCGTGCGGGTAGCGTGCGGCCTAAATCGACGCCTGTCAAACCAGACGAGGTCACCATCAAGACTTACAGCCCTGTCAAGAAGCGAACAGAATCTGTTTCTGGTATTCCCATGCTCAAGCCTACGAGCTCTAGCTCCGGTCTTACTGAGCGGCCAACATCCGGCAACACTGTCAAGATCCCGCCATCGACTCCACGATCGCCGACGAAAGCTAGTGCGTCGGCGAGCCCACCAAAGAAACTCAAGATGCAGAGTCCACAGAAGCTTCGTGAGCGTCTCCAAAATCAACAGCGTGATATTCAGACAGCGTCCAAAGACCTTCAGGCTGAGCTCAGTTTGATAGGACATGAGCTCACGGCCAGGCCCACGCCACGTCTCACAACGCAAATATCTGCTCCACCGTCTACTTCCGCCATTCCAAACAAAGCTGCCGAAGCGCGTCTTGTGTCTATTGAGAAGACTCTCAAATCAACTCTAGAAGCACTTTCAAGCCGCACAGCATCTATCGCCAACGATGTCACCACTTCCCTTCAGGTCTCGGAAGCGAGAGCCAAGCATCTCGATCAGCTGTACCGCGACATGAATGCTGAGAACGAGGCACTGTATGCACGATTCAACGAGGAATTGGAGAAGGTGGAACGGAGCGTGCGGAAAGGGGGGGGGAACGAGGAAGTCGATCGTCGAATGAAGGCCAGCGAAGAGGAATGTGCTAGGCTGAGGAAGGAAAATGCGAGGTTAAAGCGCGAGGTTGCCGGTTTGAAGGCGCAGATTAGGGAGTGAGTAGTGGGTTGGGCCTAACTCTTACTCCCAATTATATCTGCAGCCTTCACTGGTGTATGTGTCGGTTGCGTCTTGTTAACAACTTGATAGGCAGTCAGGACAGGGGGCTGGGATTGGCACCAGGACGATTCTGTGGTTCGGATGGATATTACAAGGCATGTTTATGGCGTTCATGGTAATCCCACGGCTCTGGTTGGCGATCAAGAGTAATTGGACAGGCGTTATGGTGGATGTTTTGATCCTGGTGCGATTGCTGGTTTTCTTCCCTCCTTTTATGGTGCTTGGCTGTCTCTTGCGCGTTTTTGAACGCTATCAGGAGGGCTGGCGCCCAGAAGTTTGAGGACTCAGTGGTTGTGACCGAAAAGAAAAGTTTGGAGTTGGGGTTACGGTTACATGTACAAGTACTTGATTAGCACGATATGCATACATGCAACATAGCTTCTCTGTGTATATTACACTACCAAAACTGGCTTGCATTTAACCTGCCATATGCTAGCAAAGAGAGCCCGCATTATCTTTCACGTCATATCCTGTTTAATGGCCATGCCCGTCATCGTCTCCACCTCCCCTCTCCTCTGGATCCAGTTTAATCAGCGTATCAATCCGCATAATCGCCACGCATGCCTCCACTGCACTCTTCAGCTGCTTCACTTTACTCATGCTTGGCTCTAGCACGCCGGCCTTGAGGCTGTCATGAACTTTACCATTCGTCAGGTCCAGACCATAGTTTTTATAGTTCTTAGAGCGGGCGAGTTGTTTCGCGTTCTCTGGGGTAGTAGGATCTGAAGGCGTGCGTTGGGAGAGGGCATGCCGGCTGCGCAGCTGGGCAACGAGCTCAGTAGAGTCTTTTGCTGCATTAATGGCGAGAGTTTTGGGGATGGAGAGGAGAGAGGTGGCAAAAGCAGCGATGGCGAGTTGTTCGCGGGAGCCGACTGACGTAGCCCATTCTTCAAGGTAGATGTGGAGCGCAGTCTCTACGGCACCGCCTCCGGGAACAATGCGGCCGCTTTCAAGAGTACGCTTGACGGCGGAGAGAGAGTCGTGGACAGATCGCTCCATTTCGTCGAGGGCGTAGTCGTTGGGTCCCCGCAAGATGATGGATGCGGACGTGAAGGCCTTGGTGCCTTTGACTAGAATGCATTCGTCATCTGAGATTCGCTCCTGTACGACTTCTTCTGCGGACCCGAGCGCTGATGGCTCGAATTTCTCGTCACCGTTGAGATCGGAAAGGGTGCTGACGAGGGTGGCCCCGGTTGCCTTGGCTATCCTTCGCAGATCCTCCTTCTTACACCTTCGCACAGCCATGGCGCCCTTCTCGATGAAATGCTTTAAGCAGAGGTCATCGATACCTTTCGTGGTCAAAACGACATTAGCCCCCGCTTTGAGGATCATCTCTACCCGCTCGATGACAATTCCTGCCTCCCGTTCTCGGATCTTTTCTAGCTGGGCTGGATCATCGATAGTGATGTGAACACCCAGCTTCATCCGCTCTTTCTGTAGATTTATATCCAGACAAGCAATTTTAGCGTCAGTGACACGCGTCTTCATAGCTTGTGATGCCACGGTACAGTTTAAAGCATATCCTTTGACCAGAATGGACTCCGTAGCGCCCTTACCGTGAGCCTTGAGGATATTGACCGCTTTGACAGGGTACTTGACCTCGTTCTTGTTGTTGGTAGTCTTGACGGACTGCATAGCATCAACGACCATGTTGGCGAAGAAATCCGAGTCCGACCCGATCAGCTTGCTCGACATAGATGTCTTTGCAATATTGATCAGGCTCTCCCGTCCCAGTGTCTCCACGCGGATACTGATATTCTCGTTCATGTACTTGACCGCCTCCCTCAGCGCCAGCCTGTAGCCAGTGATGATGGTCGTGGGATGTATCTTGTTCCTCATGAGCTCGTTTGCGCGCCGCAGCAGTTCCGCCGCTATTATGACGACGGACGTGGTGCCATCACCAACCTCCTTGTCCTGCTGCTGTGCCAAATCGACGAGGATTTTGCCCGCGGGGTGCTCGATGTCGAGCAAGCTAAGGATGGTGGCGCCGTCGTTAGTGACTGTCACGTCTCCGATATCGTCTACCATCATCTTGTCGAGGCCGGAGGGGCCAAATGACGATTTCACAACGTTGGCGATAGCTTGAGTTGCCAGAACGTTTTGGTCGCGGATATCTTGGCCGCTGATTTTCTGCCCGCCGAGGACTACGGAAATATTAGTGCAACGTAGTTGGATGGCGGGTATTGTAGCTTACACAAGGTCCCAGCATTCCGTGCTTGCTCGAATATTCCCGCCATTTTGTGGTGTTGTAGCAGTTTCCGGGGTATATGCAGTGTTTCGCTGCCTCCGAACGCGACCTAGAAATTGTTATGCGCCAAGCCGTCACCGGTGAAATAGCTTCTCCGCGGCCCGGCGCTAAGCCATCCCTGCGGCGAATGAGTCGAAGCGCATTTCCCCCCCCGCTCCCCCCCCAATACCGCACTTGTGACACACGACACTTTGCCTGTCACCCACGGGCTGCTTATACAGGAGCGTAGTCACTACTTCCTTGAGTCTTCGGTTCTGTTGAGTCATTATTCGCTGACTCTTAATTCTTGTAGGTAAATAAACCCACCTTGCATCACCCCGCTACCCCTCCATCCACCCTCCACAATACAAACGCTTGGGAACTTCGTACCCCAAGTGGAGCAATTGCGCTATAGCTACGTCAAGCATATGAACCACATTGGCTTCCTTAGTCTTCTGTCCATCATTTTTCTAATCTTTGGGGTTTGCACAGGCTACACTCATTTCTAAGGCACCATGGCCGACGCCGACGGCAAGATGAAGGACCTCTCCATATCCGAGACGAAGAAGAAGGACCGTACTCCAAAGACAACAGCCAAGAAACCACAGCAGCAGAAAAAAAAGGTCAGAGCGCATGGATCTGCAAACACGATTGGAAATAATGTTTGTTTACTTGAATCCAGATTGAAGGTGCAGCTCTAATTGGCATCGATGTCGCCAAAGACGATGATCTTGGTGAATGGTACCAGCAGGTTATTACAAAGGGTCAAATGATTTCCTACTATGATGCATGTTTGGAATGACTCATAACTGTAAGCTCATTTGGCTAACGTCGTTTTAATAGGTTGCCGGATGGTAAGAGTGTTTATCCTATCCAGGTGCCAAATACTGAACAGTGACCCAGCTACATCCTCGAACCCGCCTCATACGCTATCTGGGAGTCTATCAAGGCTTGGTTTGACTCTCAGATCAAAACCCTCAAAGTCCGAAATGCATACTTCCCCATCTTCATTAGCGCCGACAACCTAGAGCGAGAAAAGGAGCACGTCGAAGGTTTTGCTGCCGAGGTCGCGTGGGTGACCAAGGGAGGTAAATCGGACCTGGAGAAACCAGTGGCCGTTCGTCCCACCAGCGAGACTGCCATGTATCCTTACTTCGCTAAGAAGATACAATCACATCGAGACCTTCCCCTCAAGCTAAACCAGTGGAATAACGTCGTGCGATGGGAGTTCAAACATCCTATGCCTTTTATTAGGTCGCGCGAGTTCTTATGGCAAGAGGGTCACACAGCCCATCTTACTAAAGAGGAGGCTGGCCTTGAGGTACGGCAAATCCTCGATTGGTACGCGGATGTTTACCAAGAGCTCCTGGCTGTTCCGGTCGTGAAAGGACAAAAGACTGAGAATGAAAAATTCCCTGGCGCAGACTACACTACCACTATTGAAGGTTTTATTCCAGCAACAGGCCGTGGTATTCAAGCAGCCACCTCTCACTGCCTAGGACAGCATTTTTCAAAAATGTTCAACATTACAGTCGAGGATCCAAACGCAAAGGAGGCTGGGAAGTCCGAGCACATTTACGTCTGGCAAAATTCATGGGGCCTCACTACGCGTTCAATTGGTGTCATGATTCTCACTCATGGTGACAACCGCGGGCTGGTCATTCCCCCAAGGGTTGCTGAAGTCCAAGTCGTGGTCATTCCGGTCGGAGTGACGGCAAAGTAAGTCGACCTTGAGCCAGCCATACGAATCAATCTCACAACTACCTTCTAGGATGACCCCAGAAGCCAAGGCAGATTTGTACGAGAAGGTTAAAAACATCGCAGATGATCTTATTTCGGTTGGGGTCCGCGTCGAGACCGATTATCGCGAAGGTTATTCTCCAGGATGGAAGTTCAACGACTGGGAACTCAAGGGGATTCCTCTTCGAATCGAGTTCGGCCCGAAAGATGCGGAGAAGGGTGTCGTCACTACCTCGCGTCGAGATATTGATAACAAGGACCAAGCTCGAGGCGAAACCATGGTTGACAACCTCAAGGAAGCCATCCCTAAGCTCCTGGAAACTATCCAGACCGATATGTTCAACAAAGCTGAGAAAGCGTACCGCGAGCACCGGGTCCAGCTCACCGACTGGGAAGAGTTTGTCCCTACCCTCAACGGAAAGAACGTCGTCCTTGTTCCGCATTGTGAGGGCGAGAAGTGTGAAGACGAAGTCAAAGACATGAGTGCCAGAAAAGAGATCGGAGACAACGTCGCCGAGGATGCAAAGGCCCCTGCTATGGGCGCAAAGAGTCTGTGCATTCCTTTCGAACAGCCAGAGGGCATCAAGGAGGGCCAGACGAAGTGTATCAACCCCAACTGCAAGAACTTTGCAAAAGCTTGGGTACTATTTGGCAGGAGTTACTAGAGAATTCTGCTTCATCTGTGGCTCTTTTAGGAACCAACAAATGTGTATCGCCTTTGCTGATGAAGTTACCGGGTGTGGTTTCAATGTTCCTAGAAATCTTGAAGTGAATGAGGATAGGAGGTAGTGGCTACCACCACTAAGCGCGTATGATAGACAACAATTCAGACAATTCGCGGCTGGGTGCTGGATACATGCTATTATAACCCATTTCGTTTACATATTTAGATTATTGTGCCTTTTCCTACCTTCTCTTCACGTCTATCTTTATTGCCGCAGGAATCAAACCAAAATGAAGTTTCTTATATCTCTTGACTCTAGCAACCCCGTCACACTTTGTGATGTGCAGTGAATTGCCACAAGCTCAAACAGAGGGCATAAACACTAGCAGCAACGACAACAGAAGAGCGGCATGGTGAATGTGCGGCACTGAAAATATACCTACGTCGTTGCGAGCGCTCTCACTCAAGTGTTGCTGTTCATTGTGTATGGCGTTCGTGTACAATAGACGGTATTGATAACACAGCTCTTGAAACTACACTTTCGCTTTTCCCAATACCTTAATTTACTTCTCTACTCCATTCTTGAAAACATTCCTAAAGAGCCTGTTGAATGTCCACTTCCTAAAGCCGACAAATACTCACTGGATTTAACCACACGCTTGTATATAGCATTCCATTTCCTGGCCTCAAGGCCCGCCAAATCCCCTACGGCTTCCGGGTACGGTCCACTCGCTGCAACTGACAACGTCTCGGCAAGATGTGCCAGATGCTCGTCCAAATCTACACGTGCGAGCACCAAAAGCCAGTGTGCATAACGCCATGTCCACACGCACTAGCCACGTACCCGAATCCCTTCTTAGGAAATCCAAGTGAAAGCCTACCTCTAAACCCTCAAATCTCCTCGACGACGCCATTACCGGTCCGGCAGACAATGGCCCGCTGGTCCATTGCGAGCATCTCCTCATACGCTCCTACCATGTCGTCCAGCTCCTCGCAAGAAGCCGCTTCCCCACCACCATATGCGTCTGCATCGAACATCCCCCTCTGTAACTCTACAGCCGACACTCTAGGTCACGCACACACACCGGAAATCGCCCCACAGGCCAACTTCTGCAACTACTTCTTCATCCGCAAGGCTCCAAAATCCCGCTACCCATGCATCCGATGCTACCTGTGCCCCGAACACGACAAGCTTCGCGAGCGCTGGATGAAGGCGTATTGTATCACGCATCCGATGACGCGACCTGAGGATCTGGAGATATTGAGTGGGGTTGCCGTGGTGGCGGAGCAGGCTGGGTTGGTGAATGTGATGAGGGAGATGGATGGGATGGCGATACGGAGGGTGAGTATTATGAGAAATGGGGAGGTGGTGACTAGGGGGATTGTGGAGAGGGAGCAGGGACATTCGGGCTTGAGGGGAGGGGAGGGTGTAGATGAGGAGGAATGTTAGAGGGAGCAATCTGGATATGCCCAGAGATGGCGTATCCTCATTGAGAATGAGGGACCTAGACGCCCAGGAAAGCGGGTTCAGGGATGCAGATAGAACAGGAATTCGATAGTTGGTGATGAGAAGATTCAAGCATGACGCTTGAAAGTCTAACGAAAGTTGTGATGAGGAATTACAAGAATGTTATTTGCATTACCTGTTTTCCCCTGGGAGACCTCCCATGACCCTGCCGGTTCCCGCGATAAAGTCTATACAAGCTCTTATATCCTTCGGTAGAGCGCTGTGTCTCATTTTACTCTGTATCCATGGCATCTCCATCCTTTCCTTTTTCAACTGTCCGCTTCACTCCCTCGAGGAAAGCCCGGACTGCATCGCCGCCACCAAGAGGCATGCCACCGCCCCTGATAAAACCGCCATTCTCCACATCAATTTTCAACGCTTGGCTGACATTGGGCAAGCCACCATCTCTCAGTGCCACTGTCAGACTACCTAAGCTTTGCCTCATTTGCGGAGACCGGAGCACTCGCTTCAGAATATCCTTCTTCTGCTCTTGAGTAAGGGCTTCGATGGCGGCTTGTGCAGTTTCCGAGTTCGGGTCGACTTCGGCGAGATCGTCGATTTCTTGAGCAAGGAGGAGGATGGTAGGCGGTAGGTTGTTGCAGAGAGAGTCGATGAGGGATTCAGGAGCTTTCTCGATAACAGGGATGGTGGTTACAGGGGACAGAAGATCGAGGAGGGTGGTGAAGGGGTCTTGTGATGCCTGGGAACCGAGGCCTCCGCTCTTCAGCGACTTGAGGAAGTTTTGGACAATTGCGGAGGCATCGGTGGAGCCTGAGGCAGCACTGTGGGTTGTCAGCTTATCCCTGGCTGGAAGCAGTAGAAAGCAAGTAGATCGAACGTCGCGGCGCGGCTACACACTGCCTAAGATGATATGCCATTATGTCTTTTACTGATACACAAGAGAAGCACCTGCTCAGGGTGCGATAGAGTCATTTTGCGACCCCCAAACGCCTCACCCGTTCCATGAAATCTTGTAAAAGTTGTGAAAGTGATCAACCGCTGCTAGGGTGTTTGCTGATATATCAACCGCGCCACGACGTTGGAAATGATACGGACGATCGTTACCTACGCTCGACCTCCGTCAGCGCCGCCTTCTCTGGATTCTTCGCCTTCTTCTCTGATGTCCCCACCGGTAGCACCAGGGCCAGCGCCTCCTGTGCTACCATGCCGGTTTCGGTGAGCAGAGTGATCTGTGCCCTCCACGTCCTCCATTGTCTCGTCTTCGTCACCACCAGGGCCGCCGCGATTCTGAATACTGGCGAGTTCTGCTGCCACATCAACATCTTCACCACTCAGAAGAAGATCAACGATATGTCCGATCTTCAAATCCCGCTCGCTGAACCAGCTAGGGTCACCTTTCGAATGCTGTGACTTGGACTGTAACCAGAAGAGATGTCGCTGGGAGCTGGAGCTAAATTTGAGCACAAAGATACGGCCATCGGTGGGAGACTTGAGGTTCTCCGAGTCGGCACCGCTCTCCGCACCTATATATGGGAGGAAGGAGCCATCACCGGGGATCATTATTAGGTCGATTTCGGGCTGGTCGATGGGTTCCGAGCGCGGCCGCCAGCAGAAGTGAACAAAATCTGGTAATTGATTAGCTAAAGGTAGGAAATACTAGATACGGAACCAACCATCTCCCATGTAAAGGTAAATGTATCCGGGCGTGTTGACAGGTTTCACTGTTGGATTCTGGCCACCGAACTACGAGTGGTTAGTAGTGGCGTTGGGCAGTTGTAGATACAGGACGACTGACTGAGATGTCACACTGGCCGGCTTTGAATGTAATTAGAGGTTGGATCGACATGTTGGTAGGTAGTATGTGGGCGTGTTGTATGGCTTTGAAGCTTGCTATGATGAGGTGAAGCTGCCTCTATGAGCTCCGCGCTAGTAACGTAATCAGTAACGCACGTGATTCGCGGCGTATAGATGTTCCCGCTCCGGCGCCGCCCACACGAACAAGCGAGAAATCCATCAACGCTCCAACGACGACCCACGACAATTCGACATGGCGGACGTAAAACCAACGACGAAGAAGTTCGGCAAAGGCGAGCGCTCAATACCTCACGCGACGCAGAAAGCCAGCAAGTACTATCCCACTGAGGACGTCAGCGCCCCGAAGAAGGTACGTCGACACCATCCCCGACACGTCTTGGAAGAAGAACTTCACGACCTCGGGACCGGTGGGAGAATCACTTAGCCATCTCTGCGGTTGTGCAGCTAGCAGTGCTACTCGAGACGCGCTCTCGACGTGGTATTGAAGCGCTATGCTAATTGTGTCCCCTAGGCCCGCAAGTCGATCCGCCCAGCAAAGCCGCGGGCCTCCCTCATACCTGGCACCGTCGTTATTCTCCTCGCTGGCCGCTTCCGTGGCAAGCGTGTCGTTCTTCTCAAGCACCTCCCCCAGGGCGTTCTCCTCGTCACTGGCCCCTTCAAAGTCAATGGTGTGCCTCTGCGAAGGGTAAACGCCAGATATGTCATCGCTACATCAACGAAGATAGACCTGAAGGGCGTGGACGAGGCTGTGTTGAAGAAAGCGAGCGGTGACGGATACTTCACTAAAGACAAGGCGAGCAAGAAGCCGGGAGAGAAGGCTTTCTTCGAGCAGGGTGAAAAGCCAGAGGTAAGTAGAAGTCCTTTTGCCCAGAGATGAACTTTGGTTGATGAATGCCGCAGAAGAAGGAAACTGCGAAGGACCGAGTGGAGGACCAGAAGGCCATCGACAAGGCTCTCTTGGCAAACATCAAGAAGGAAGCCCACCTCATTGATTATCTGAGCTCGACCTTCAGCCTCCGCAAGTCGGACAGGCCACACGCAATGGTCTTCTAGATTGGGGATGGGTGGGCATTTGGCGTTCAGTGCATGGGATGAAAGGCAACTCGGCATGCTGCAGCCGTAATAGCAGGTCCTCAAACCACAACACAACACTTTAGCACGGCAGATAACTTTTTCATGGAGGACCCGGTTCTGCATTTCCCTTTACAATCTTGTAACAAGGAAAACGAATTCGACACAGTCCGAAAGTGAAGGTCACGCAGATTGTCTGTGATGTTATGATTGGGGGCATTCATAATCAAGAGCATTAAACCCCAGCTTCCCGATGCTAATGGTGCGAGATAGGATAGAGCCGCCAGTACATTTTCGATGTTGTCACCACCGCATGAATCTTAAACAGGATTTCCAAATATATCGAATTCACGAAGGGTATCTTAACCTTGAAAGCCAGCCAAACAAACTCCAATATGTGCTTCTAAAGCCCCTTTTGACTTTCCTGGACACCCCACTTTCCCTTTGCCTCTCAATTGTGTCTATTTGAGCCCTGGCTATGTGACAACATTTTTTTTTACTTCCTTCCTCTACCTTTCCTAGCTCTATTCTTCAACTTGGTGCCCAGTCCATTCGTCGCGTCTCCAGCTTGATCGATCGCCCGTCCAGTCCGCTCCTGGACGTTATGCTTCTCCATCTCGTCCCTCATATCATCCATGACATCTGCTCCCAGCGTAGTTCCGTGTGCCCAATCTAGCACGCCAATGGGCCCATAGTTTCCCTTGCCCTGACTCATCATATGTGCGTCTGTCCTTCGCGCCATTCCTCGAAGCATGATGGTCGAAGGCAGGACATTGTACCCTGAGTAGGTGAAGACCTCTTCGAGAGAGAAGAGTGCTAGGAGAAGGAGGTACGTCATTATGTGGAAACGAAATGCGACGGCGGGGAGGTAGAGGGGAATGAACCGGTATAGCAGATAGCAGGCAGGATGGTCGTACGCAGCGACAAACGAGTAGGGGAGTTGGATAGAATGATGCCAGGTTTGGTGCCAATGCGCAAAGATTCCGCCAGAAGGGGAGTGGAGGATATAGAGGTGAATGTAATATTGCAGCGTCTACAGAACGAAATTGTCAGCCATTAAAATGCTGATCGAAGGTTGGTAGGTCGCTAACATTTCGCAGAACCAGTCCAAGAACCGAGTGCTTGAACAATGTCCACGGGTTTGGTAGATGGTTCAGAGTCCAAGCGCTCCCCTTTATCAAAAGAAGACTTCGCATCCGAAGAACATCAGTGACGAGCCACTCGACCCCAGCCTGCACGGCAACGGCAAGTATACTGTTGAAGCAAGCCCACCCCACAACTCTGCGCACTTTCCGTGCCCCACCTTTCTGCCGTGCCGGCAATCCGATTTCGCCCTGTGCTTTCAATTCCACCGCGAGCGAAGGGAGGAGTAAGTCGAAGAGGAGGAATAATCCGGAAGGTAGCAGGTAGAGGAACGTGCGAAGGAAGAGCGGCGCAAAGAATTCGAGCTGAAGGGGAGAGTACGTGATAGCTATTGTAGTCCATGTGAGTGAAAAGAAGACTAAGTTTAGGGACGTCGACCATGACGAGAGCATTGGAATTGCAAAGAGGGATGCTATAGGAAGGGTAATGGGCGCTAGCAGGGAGGAGAGGGACATTCTGGCCTCTTGAGCTGAATCCAAAATACTACTGGGGGTAAACCAAGAAGAATAATTAAGGTACAGTGACAGAGAGAAACCGAGGGGTCGTGATAGATTCATGATGGTGAGGTCGCGAAACTTGATATCCCCAGATTTTCAGAAGATGACGTAATTCGTGACCCTTGTTCCACGAAAGGCGAACCGGGACTCTCGGGAGCACTCCGGTCGTTTGACAGGGATTAGATGAAATGACAAACATGCCAACCCTATTCTGCGAGTCGGAGGACGGGAACGCGCAAACATTATAGGTGTTCTTATAGGGAGACGTGTTCATTTGAGATTTATTTTTCGTGTTGGGAGATTTGCAGGCAGTCATGCAGATGCCCAGGAGGTGTGAAGAACAGGGTACAAGGAGAAGAGGTGATAGAATTGATGCGGGACTCTGACAGACTTTGGAAATATAGAGAAGAGGAGAAGGTACAGGGGTAATTGGGAAACGAATCGGCGACACCGGAGGGTAGTCTGGGTGGAGAGGAAATCTTTGAGATGTGTTGCCGTGGAAGAGGGGGTACAAGAGTCACGGCACCGTCAGGCCGGATCTTCACGTCAAATCCAAGGCATAATATTGGATTTGTCCAGCTCGGAATCCGATTTGTATCCAGACTAGGGTAAGATAGGGAGGATGCTCAGGGGCTGGCCGTGGTGGAATTGCTTTTCAGTCTTCAATTGGCAACAATGACAGCTTTGGGAAGATATCAGGTGTGCAATTCATGCTCACCATGGGTCGCGCCCCAGCCTGTTTGTGTAGCAGAAGGATGGATTGGAGCGGGTCCATTCACCGCAGGGCAGGAATTGAGTGGAAATTCTCCGAGCAATATTCGCCCTTGTTCGGGACTAGCAAGTGCACAGATGAGTTGAATGTCGACTATGTGCTCAGCTAGCCATCAATCTCAACCGAGTGCTCGATTCTGCGCACAAATACAGCACGATCCCAGTGACTTCGGTCGCAGCTACAAGAGAGCAGGCCCACGTGCAGACGGAGGAGGTGCTGCAAGACGTTGCCGGGATAGTCCCGGGCAAGAAATGGGCGAAGAGAAGGCTGTCGGGGAGGATGTGGGGTGAAAGTTCCTGGCCCAGAAGCCGAGGCGCTGACAAGGTCGCACAAGGGGGCACGGCGGCCAGAAGAAGTTGCAGAGAGTTTTGGCTCCCAAAAGGGCCGTTGCCTTGTAAAACAAACGTCCTTTCTCGGGTCTTACCCAAGAGAGCAGCGTAAAGAGAGGCCTCTATTGGAGCAATCAGCCGACACCCACCATTCACAGCGCAGGAGAGGCCCAGGTCTCGTGGCCAAGGCCGCTAGCGAGAATGTCGGCCAAACCAAAAGAACGCGCGACCCTTTGCGGCTTCATCCCTTATAGCGGGCGGGTTGCGAAGGCCCATGACCCACGGCCCCGTTATATGATTTGCGATTTGCACAGCACAAGCTAATTTCATAGCACAGTTTGCAAAATCCTCGCTCGCTCTTCGCAGACATCTCCTCCTCTTCCTGGTGGTGGCCGCGCTGAGTTGCAGACGGGAGTTGTGCAGAGCGTTCGCATGAAGGCCATGCACTGATCATCACCTGTGACCTTAGCTGCAGAGTCAGATCCACCATCACGATTCACGGCGCGACAAACGCTGCGATCCCGCGACATCGATAAACAACCAGTCCATCGCCCTCGCTCGCCTGAAAATAGGCAAAATGGACGTCCAACCAGAACACCCCCCAGTCCCAAGCATCCCCTCTGACGCCGGTCCCTCCGCGTTACTCGGTTTTCGATCGCGTCGTCGTAGTTCGCTGCCGGCGGTACCTACAGACATCCGCCTCAAGAAGCGCTCCCCCAACGCTGTCCGCACGCAGTCAGCGTCCCCCCAGGTCATCTCCTCCCTAATCGACTCCCTTTCCGCTATCTCGCTCCCCGCACACACCCACTTCGAAAACTTCCCCGCGGTCCATGGTGCTGCCTCAACCCCCGCCAGCCCAACAGTACGAACACACTTTGGCGGAGATCTGTTAGCGGAAAACCATGGGAGTACAATGGATTACACCGCTTACAACCAGGCAGTGAATGAAAACGCATTCCTGTACCCCGACGACGCTTGCGAACCTCCCGTCATCCGGACAGCGAAGCCGCCCTCTGGCCTATCTCCCATCACAGCCCCTAAGAAGAAGGAGAAGGACCACTCGCTGAAGAGCTACCTGGCCAGGAGCGCCGGAAGCTCTGCGTCTCTGCAGTCTGCCCACTCTGGTCGATCCGTGAGCAGCTTTGGAAACATCAGCATTGAAGCGGGAGGGCCGAGAAAGGCCTCTGGTGGCAGCAATCGGACTTCCACTGATAGCAAAAGGAGCCTCAAGGGCCGGAGTCTCATGTATATGAGCTCCCGCGAGCGACTGAAGGCTAAAGACGCCGAGCGCAAGCGTGCGACGATCCAGGGACCGGAGATTTCGAGCGCGCCCGATAGCATCAGGAAGCCGCCGCCGCAGCTGTTTGTTTCCGAGGACATAATCAATGAGGAGCCGGTCGTAGCCGAGTCATCGCGGGCACCACGCCGATACCAGGGCAGGGGAACCAGCCCGCTTCGAAATGGTGTCAGTCTAATGAGCGGAAATGACGAGAGCCCCAGCGAGAAGGGATTGATCCCCCAGCGTGGATCATCTTTAAGGCATTCAGACAGCCCCTCGCGGAGCAGGAGAAAGGGTCATGGCCGAAAGGGGAGCCGCCATGACTCGTACAAAACGAACACCGTCCCAGAGGAAGATGAAAATGTGGATCAGGAATTGTCGACAAAGGACAAGATTTTAAAGGAGTTGGAAGCCGAGGATAGCGAAGTCGCGCACAGGATACGGGAACTAAGAAAGCAAAAGTTGTTGAGAGATAAAATAGCCGGCAAACTGCCTGTAGGTGTTGATGTGGGCGTTGCTGCAGGGGCTCCTTCAAGCGTCTCGCATGTTTCACCAATTGCACCTGCTGAGCCCTCCCCAACCTCAACTGTATCAAGCATGTCGGAAAGGCGAATACAGGACCCCACCAAAGCGCACAAGGTCCTGGGGATCTCAATGGCACCCACACCGCCAGAAAGGAGAACATCCCGCATCCCAGACTCCCCAGAACGGCGTGAAACGCATAAACATGGCCATACGCGAGCGAGGAGCCTGACCGTGAACGATGGCGATGATATTACCCCGCTTCCGATTAACTACAAACTCGCGCTGCAGACTCTTGAGCGCACATCCAGCTCTCCGCCCAGCAGCAACGCCTCGAGTAAAGGCACCGTCTCCAGCACTCCCCCGGCACGTTCAAAATCGGTTGCGGTTGGCGGGCGGTCTGCAATAGGCCGCAAGTCAACTCATTCTATGATCATGGGTGCATCTACGGCGCACAAACATTCCACAAGTGTTACCAGTGGACCCCCGAGTGAGAGGTCATATCGATCTGCCAGCGAGGATATCACTGCTCGACATCAATCACTTCAAATGCCGCCTTCTGCTTCTTCTTCTTCAAGTCTACAGCATCGTCCAACGCTGAAGAAGAAGCGTTGGTCGCACCCTGACTTACCAGCGAAGGCAGAGCAGAGGCACAATGAGAAGGTCGACGCATTGCAAGCCGCTGCTGTGCAATCACCCCCACATACCGTCATTGAGGAGCGCCCGTCCAGTGTGGACTCGGTCGACATCGACGTTAACCAATTCCTCAACTCTCCGCGCCTGTCACAAAGGATACGACATCCTCAAACGGGACGAATAATTTCCTTTTCTGAAGTTGGAGATCCACATGGATTCGCTGTCTTCTGTTGTGTTGGGATGGGACTGACCCGTTATGTTATGGCTTTCTATGACCAGCTTGCACTTACCTTGAGGCTAAGGTTGATTACACCCGACCGTCCAGGCATTGGAGGCAGCCAAGTCGATCCTAATGGGACCCCTCTGAGCTGGCCAGGTACGTTTTTGGCCCATTCACTCAAGCCCGCTCATCACCGTTGACGCTCTACAGACGATGTACTCGTTATTTGCCAGGCGTTGAAAATCACCAAGTTCTCGCTTCTGGCTCACTCAGCAGGCGCAGTGTATGCACTCGCTACCTCTCTGCGAATGCCGCAGCACATTCGTGGACGAGTTCATCTACTTGCGCCATGGATACCTCCCTCCCAAATGGCACCAATTGGTGTCAGCCAAGACCAGCCACCAGCACAGCAGCTCCCCAGGTCTCAGCGATTCCTCCGGGTTCTACCCCCCTCCCTCCTCAAAGTTGCGAACTCAACCTTCCTCAGTGCCACTAGCGCCAGCCTGCAGCGCACAGGGCCTAAGAACTCTCCCAAATCAAAAAGGAAGAATGTAAACACACCGTCACCCCAACAGCTTCTGCCACCGTTCAAGGATACTCGCCGGGAGTCAATCATGCTGATGGATCAAGTTCTTCCCAATGCAAGTTCTCTGACCCTCGCGGCAAGCAATCCTGCAGATCCCAATTATGAGAGGGCAAGAAGTATGAAACAAGCCCTCACGCTTGCGGAGCGCCAGCGACAGCATGACTTTGACGAGCGGTTGACCTTTGCCATTTGGGATAGGGCCACCACTAATGCCAACCCCGCGACCGACCTTATCGTATGCCTGGAGACGAAACAAACAATTGGTTTCCGGTACGAGGATATAAACCGCGCAGTTGTTATCCATCACGGCAGCAAAGATTCTCGGGTACCTGTTGATAACGTCAGATGGCTGGGTCGTTTAATGCGCAGGTGTGAAGTCCGGATATTGGACGGCGAACAACATGGGCTTATGGCAAGTGCTCAAGTTATGGGCAACGTCCTTACTGAAATGGCCAGCGACTGGGAAGACTGGACAGCCGTCGTCCAAGGCAAGACTACCAATGGGGATAGAAGTTCCTCGCGGCGACGTGCAGCTGAATCCCTTCGAATTCGGACTTGAAGCGCATAGGTAGCCTAGCTCATCTCATTGAGACATGACTAGAGCCCACCACAGGCTGATGCACGTTCACGATGACTGAAGCAACGGCTGTATATCTGACCAACACAATCTCAGATAACGAAATTCCCGAATACGGAACGATATTCATTTCCTCTTTTAATTCCCCTTAGCGCATTATTCACTTCCTCCCTTCTATATCCCTTTTGTGTTTCACCCGATTCCTTTTTACGACCTTCGTTGCACATACCATCCCTTTGACCAATGCGAATATACCCTCGGTTGGCGTGGACGGTCTGACGGTAGAGGTGTTCCTGGGTGTTGGGACAATTTTCCAAGGTGCCTGGTCCGTTTAGTGGCAGGGCTTGATGTTTGTACAGTAGACGTGGGTGTGGATAAATTTGGGTATGTTGCATGAGGTTAGGCCTTCATGCTACACCCGCTGTTGCGTGCGCAATGTAAGCGCGTTCAAAAAAGCTTTCTTATCCGCGAACTCCTCGGGCGTCCCGTTTTGCTTTACAGTTTGTTTCTAAAGTTCGCCGACCTTCCTCAGTTTCGTGCACCGAATGTACTAAGCTAACGCACCAGATCTACGGCCCATCCCTTCAGAATTGTACCGTACGAAGACAGAGAACACTCCAAGAAGAGCTCTACTTTCAGCAATGCTCCCTTGCGACGCATTTCTCTGGTGAGAATAAAGAATGCTATCTTACAGATGGTTTTTGTCCATTCATCATAAAAACCAGTGTGGTGGCTGACGGACATGCCAAGGGTTGGCACTTCGCCCAGCCCTTGAAACCGTGCACAGCCGAGCCAACAGCTCATCCTTGGGGGCCGTGACTCCCGTGAGTGGAGGACGATCTCCTGCTATCTGGTGATCTTAGACGGATTCTGCGACGCCCAGAAATGCCGAGCAGAACACAGCCTACACGTGATGCTACACCAACTTTCGACCGCAGAGAAACAACAATGAGATCCAGTAACAGAACGGCAAGTGATAGCCTGTGCCACACTACTTAGCCCTTTAACTCAGTCAATCCCACGTGCGCTAGCTCCCTAGTTTTGTTCGTGTTCCTGGTTTGCGATATTAAAGTACGAATTGGGTGCCAAAAAAGCGCGAATGTTCCTTTAGAATCCGCCGCCTTTGCCAAGCATCTTGTCCTCTTAGCCTCACGAACATAAGTAAAACATGGCCGCTCTTCATCTCGGTCCTGCTGGTTTCCCTTCCTCGTCTGTCAGGGCAATCATACTGGTTCTTTCAACTTCTGCTGATGCATTTCTTCACCAAAGGATGCATTGACGCCACCATTGATATAAGACCACAAGGATGAGTATCATACTCGACACTCTTAAATATCACCATGTAGAGGTAACACAAAGGGCAGTTACCCCATCCGGTGAGTCCGTCCAATAGCCTGGCATCATGTACAACAAAAGGCTAAAGGCTTTTATTAGCTAAGCATATCTTCGAACTGAACCCGTACATTTACGATCCTAACATCCCCGCTGCTACCGTTGGAGCTATCATATTCCCACTAATATCTATCATTCTTCTGTATCAGTATTTCAGATACAGGTCATGGTTCTTCTGGGCAGCCATTCTAGGGGTCCTTATGGAATCACTTGGGTTTCTCTGTCGCATCATCTCAGCAACAAATGTCAATAACAACCTGCCGTTCCTCATATCTTTTCTCATGATTCTCCTCGCACCTTCCTTCTTGGCTGCGGCGTGCTACACCGCGTTCAGCCGCGTTGTATGGTTCAGCTGTCCACCGCACACGTTGAATTTCAAGACTCTCTGGTGCTTCCCAAAATGGATAACGCCTACCTTTGTCGTCTTCGACCTCTTCTCATTCTTTATTCAGCTTGTTGGCGCTAGTCAAATCTCCCATCAATATGACGGCGATCCAAGCCAAGACAGGAGCATCGAAGAGTCTGAGAAGAAAGTCACATCTGGCCGTGTCATCCTTGTCCTCGGCCTCATCCTCCAGATGAGCTGTTTCGCGTCTTTCGCCGTAATAGCAGTCCGATACTTTCTCATGAGCCGCCAGTGGCGATCTGAGGACCTGGGTGACTGGAAGTTGTGGCGGAAGTTGAGCTGGATGATCAACATTGCTGCGGCACTCATCTCAGTGCGTGCAATGTACCGCACACTTGAGATTCCCCACGATCAGAATACCGGGCTCCAATACTTGCAGGCACATGAATGGTGTTTTTGGATCTTCGATGCTGTTCCTATCTTCGCGACTCTCATTGTTTTTACGATATTTCACCCTGGTCGATATCTTCCGAGATCTTACACCCACCTTAAATTGAACAAGACGGTTGCGCTGCAACAGAAGGATGAGATTAGGCCACCATCTATTATTACAGCGGAGGATGCGGAGCTGACAGATTATGCCCCGAGAGATTTTGAACCTGGAAATGTGGTGCGAGTAGGCCGGAGAGTAGGGTGAAATTGAAAGAGATGTTTCAGGAAGATCAAGTTTAGTTTTGCTTTATACCCCGTACATCAAGGGAATTTTCTCTTGTCTGGTGGATATTGCGACAAGGTTGTGGTCAGGAGCCTCTATCAGCTCTCTTCCTTTAGAAGGGTGATCAAAATCTATCATGGTGGTTGTGCGTTGAAGAGCTATTTAAAGATTGGTAACCTAAGACACAAGCGTTACTAAGTGACATGGATAGATGTCATCCTAGCAAAGGAGTCCGCCCTACAGGAACCATCACAACGTTTCCTCTGCATCTAAGGTATAAAGTCTTAAAGCCTCGTCTCCAGAAATCCGACGCGATGAATACAAACCCTGTAAATGCAAAGATGGCTTCTCCCACTGACTCCGATACAGAAGATCAAGTTTAGCCTCACAGCATTTCAGTGTTACCTTTACTCACACGTGACGGTGGACACGAACCTGCGAATATGACTTCTCCCACTGATTGCGATGAATGAGATCCGGGTTATCAGCCCTGCAACCCCAGCTGTTAGGAACCAAAAGAAAATGAAGCGGTCAGTGAAGTAGAAGAGGAAGGAGAGCGAAGAGCGGGAATAGGAGAGGAGAGAATAAGGAAAGGGGAAAGAGGCTGCTCAGTGTTCAGGGAAAATCCTTGTTTGCGCGAAGGAGCTATTGAACTGTTGATTCAGTCCTAGGTGCAGCCGTACACTGAGCATGCCGACCCGCACGCTCCGAATCCCAAATGTATGGTCGTTTGTGTTCCCCCCCCCGCTAATGCTCTTCGTGGACTAATTTTTCTTCCTTGGCCGCCTGCATACCAATCAGTGCACAGAAACTATATTCCCGCTTCAACTTCCTGGGTTTTTCCAACCGCCACTTCTCCTAACCATGCATTTCTTCCAGTCTCTCTCCACCATATACATAATTCACATATGGGTGATAGTTTTGACTTTGTCTTTTGGCAACATCTGCGAGAATCTGACGGATCCCATTTCCAGCTTTGACAGCTTGCGCGTCTAGAGTTACGTTAGGTTTGCCGTCCTTAAGAGCTAGATAGAATATTATCGGGGCGCTGGTACTAATTAGATTTCCGGACTAATGGGGATGGAAATGTGCGCTACCTTACATCAATAGTCTGTCTTCTCTGTACGGAACCGCCGCACTCTTTCCATCCACCGCTCTCACTTCTTGGGTTGAATGTTGTTCAATGAGGAAGAAGTCCTCCGAATACTCTGGATTCGCGACTAGCACTTGCTTAAGCTTCCCCAAATCTACCGGAAACTTTATCAATACGGCTCCATGAGCAACTTTACCAACATTACACGGTATGGCATCTTGATCCAGCATGAAGAAGCGCGGGATATCCGGATACAGGGCTTGCTTGTGCACCACTAACGTCAGCTCCATATCATAAAAGGGCTTGGATCCATTGCTTGATGCTTTCTAGAGGTCCGTTAAAACGCAGATGATGCATGATTACCAGATCCAGGCCAATTTCGGGATTAATCGCAATTGCTCTATAATACATGAAGCCTTTAGGTAGGGTATCCAGTTGTTGCGCCGCTTCCTCGTATACGGCTTTGAAGTTCCCTGTCGCTGCGGGTAGGATGGAAGATTCGTAGCTCCAGACCTCTATCCCATTCTTAAGGTTGATAGGATGGATAGTGTACATAAGAGCGGTCATGATACCGAAGTTGTGGCCAGCGCCACGGAGGCCCCAAAAAAGGTCCGAATGTGAGGTTGGGGGGACGGCAGTTAAGGCGCCGTCAGCAGGAATGAGACGAGCGCTGAGGAGTTGGTTGGAGAGCAGGCCGAGTAGCCTTGGAGAATCCCGTAACCGCCACCTAGTGTGATGGCACCAAGACCTATACGTTAACAGACACCAGACACTAGAAGTAGGGTCAGTCTGTTGCTTTGAGGGTCACATTGTGTTGCGTTTGCCAAAAGGTCAACCTCCCAGCTAGCACAGCAGAAGGATATATATAGACGGATAGCTGTATGCGACACATTGTCATTGAATCGAAGAGCAACGTTGGTTGAACTGGAGGCGAGATATTGTGGTTTAGGATCATGCCAACCTGTTTTCTTCTCTTCCAAAGGGAATCGGTGACTGATTTTCCTTCAGCACCGCCGCTAATTGTAGCATAGCTTCCGTCTTCTGAAACAGTAATATCGTTCATCGCATGGGTCCAAATTTGGATTCCTAACTTGACTTTGCCTTGTGGGGAGGTGCTACCATGCCCTCCGGATTAGGCACAGAACATAATATCGTGTTTGTTTGCCTTTAGTATCTGTGGAATGTGTTAAGGCACTGACTTGACCATGATAAGAACTTGTGTGAATGTGTCACGTGGGAACAGTGGGGGAGCAGGATGCACGAACAAGAAGGTCCCAATAGCACACAAGTTATTGGCAGAGAAATAGTAGTCGGATGGTAGTTCTCACGGTGTGCTGTAGCTCTACCTTAATCCTCACATCCACTACCGCTCTAACATCTGGTGCGGCCCACCACTGCCGTCTCGTTCTTGCTTCAATATATTTCTCCTCACTCGGCAAGATGATTTACGCACCCGCCGAGAGTAAAGGCATTAGTTCGGAGGAAATATCCAGGTGCGCGACCGAAGAGAATGGAAGTTGAATATCGAAAGGGAAGAAGGATGGAAGGTAGGACGGCCCAGGAGAAGAAGTGCAAGTGAGGGCAGCTCCTGATTAGCAGCATGATACTAAATGCACTGGAGTATTTCCGCCCTTAACCACCTCTATTCTTCCGAGGAGCCACAGCGGAGTTGTGATTGTCTCACCATAAGAGCGCCACTAGCCCAATCGGATAATGCTTATTTAGTGAGTCGAATAGTTGGTCGCCTTCAATATTGGCTAAGACTGACTGTTCACACGATTCCAAGTCTCTCGCTCCTTCTTTGGGTCTACATGAGGGGAGGTGCAGTTTTAGTCTACGAATGGCCTGTACAATATGGTGACTTCAGTCAACAGGGACCGTTGCGTGTGTGAGGTTTGATCACTAGATAATCCATTAACTTATGCAACCCCTCATGCTTGGAGCCCAAGCTGCTCCGCTCGTTCTTGAATCTCTGCAGCCAATCTACTCAAGTAGAACATTGCGAGGTCGCAAGGGACATCTCTGAACGCTTTCAAAATCTTTTCCACGTCCCTTCTCCCATTTTCATAGGCCTGTAGGTCTCTGTTCCCATACACATCTTTCCCTGCAGCATATCCTGAACTAAGATTGCGAAAAAAGACGTTTACTGCTACACTCACATCTTCCTCCGGAGTCGCCGTGTGAGACCACATGGGCGGAATGAATAGGACGTCTCCAGGACCCAGCACCGCTATTTGTGGGTGTGTATGGCTGAGCTTTGGATCCTTAGACTTTAGGACATTGATATTAGAGCTAGACCCTCCTGGCGGATAATTCAGATATTTCACATCACTAGGGGGGAAAAGCCGGAGGGATTTACGGCCTTTGATCTGGCAAAGAACATTCGCAAGAACATCGTAGTGAAGCCAGAGAGAAACGGGTCCGGATATTCGTAGCGGTGAGCTGTGATAACTTCGGAGTATAGGGCTCAGGGCCTCTGGTAGACGGAAGTCTGAAGCAATAGTTGGAAAGTCATCTTCGATCTTTGTTGGCAGTCTATTCGGTTGGTTCTTTGATGCTGCGCGTAGATACGTCTTCTTTCCCTTTGAAATGCCATCTAGGAACTCGCCGACGGTCCTTTTCACATATTGGAAGTTTTTATCCTTGAATGTCATACGATCGGAATCGCATTCATGTATGACAAGTTCCCTGTTGACACCTAGTTTCTCCTTGAGATATTCCAATGTCCATAGTTGCACGCATGGTCCCAAGTCCAAACCCTCCATTATCGCCGGTTTAGAGGCAGCCACTAGTTGAGAGAAATCCTCAGGTGATTTCAGTCGCACTCTGGCTACAGAGGGTAGATCTGTGTTCTGACTATCTTGATAATTGCTAGTTTCCTTTTTTCCCTTCGCTCTTACTATCGGATCGGAGTCCCGAGGTGGACTAGGCTGGTCTATCTGAGCAATGGAAAACGTCTGAGGACTCGGTGTTTGTGAGCCCTGAGTGATTGAAAAATAGCCTTCATTCCAGAAGCTGCCCATTGAAAAGCAAACGGCTCCACCTCCTGTGATAATTATCTCCTCTTTAGAAGCTAGAACCGCGCTGGTTCCCACGAGTAGTGGTAACCCGGACGCCATCGTCTCCAAGTTCGCAACGTCATATGTGATTATGGGTCCATCAAATATCAGCAGGAAGTCTTCTGCGAACCCAAGTATTCCCTTACGACAGATGCCTCCGAAAAGGAGTAGAAAATCGCCAAACGGAAGTAGAGATGCTCCCAGCCGCGCATGCAAAGACATTGCAGGTAAGGAGTTGATATGCCGTGTTCGGTCTATGAACCGGAGTTGTATTGTAGAACTGGCCAAGATCTCCCAGCTCCAAATCTCATCAAGGACTGTGCCGTCGGGATCCATCCCACCAATGAGTAGTCCTCGACTGAGCGAGTGGTTTGACGTGGATATTGCAGCACTGGTGCGGGCTTGCGGTCGAGGGCCTGTTACGGGAATGGTCTGCCAACCTTGAGAAGGTAACCACAGGCACCATTCGTCAAGGACGATGCCGTCACTCGTTTTCCCACCACAGACGAGGACAGCCTCGGTCTTGGATTCACCGGACAGGATCTCTACTTTCACTGAACTATGTCTGTATCGACCGGGTTCTAGATCTTCCACTTGTTCCCATGCTCCGTTGGCCATCATCCAGCAGTCCGCGAGTACTTGAGTTGGAGATTTACGACCACCAACCAATAACGCGCGGTTAGGATCAATGGGTGTTATGGTGTGGCATACACGTGCCTGAGTTGGTGGAAGTGGATGAATTGTTGCCTTGGACTGGCCCCTGCTCAGTAGGTCAATATTTGCTAATCGATGCTGTGGGCCTTGTCCGCCATGGATGGCTACGGTACCCTCGCCGAGCACAAATGCTGCACCGAAACGACGGAATGTCAACTGGGCACCTGGGGGACTCTCATAATGTGTCAGTGTAAGAAGTGGCATCTCCATAGTATTTTTGCGTTGTGCGGCTGCATGAAGTCCACCAACTGCAGGGGCATGCCCTGGCGCACTCGAAATGACGTTCGATGCCACAAGCATGAAGTAATGGCTTGCGAAGAGGGCAAATTCTTCCCACTCATCGAAGGGTTCTACTTTGTCAAGAGAGCGGCGCAGGTGAGTTGGAGTGAAGCTATCATCGCCCCAGAGATCCCAAAGGTTGCGAGATGTTTCTACAGCAAGCCAGCCTGCATTAATGAACCGAGACTCTTGCTGCTTCAGCGAAGGATACTGCTTGATGGCTTGTATAGGTGTTTGGAGTTTGTCGAAATGTTTGAGCATTGTCTTCGCAAATGGATGGTCAGGACCTTCCGGAAGATATTGTTCAAGCAAGCAGAAACGAGCTATAATTTAATCAGATCCCAATGCTAGTAGTGGAAGATAAAAAGAATAAACTTCGCCCACCATCCTTGAGTGTGCTGGCCCAGTGAATAAGTGCATCAGAGTCTGATATGGGCATATAAGTCACAGATACCTCTGCAACGAAGAGAAGGTGTGACGAATGAGTATCAAACTCAGCTTTCAGCACCCGTTCGAGGGTAGTGATGTCCCGAAGATCGCAGCCCAAGGCCATATATCGATCGCTTCGAAGATATACTGGGTGCTCTGATGGACGGAGATTCGTCTTCAGTAGCTCATCCCTGAGGAGGCTGTCGGTAAGCATACGGTCTCTCTTCCTTGCAATCAGATGCGGATAGTCTACGTCTACGAATGTGGTGTTTACGCAGATGGTGGGATACCGATGCCAGATTTGAAAAGGCAAAGGATCACTACGTGCTTGCTCAGTATTGGCAACCCATTGGGAAATGGGCGGCTGGGCAGATTTCTTACTCACTATCCACAGCCTAGATTTACAACGACCTTTGGTCTCTCGGGGTCTTCCTCAATAAAGCATCGCACTACTTGCTCAATTGCATGCATCCGGAGCCAATAGCCGCGGTTGATGAGAGGATTTCTCCTTACGAACTTGCTCACGAATGGCTGATAAAAATCTGGCTCTTTTGGTAGGTAGAGTTTGGAGACACATCTTTTTGAAACGATACTGCTATCATTCGTCTAGGGATATGTGCTTAGCAACGAGGCAATCTATAAGTGTAAGGGGGTTTTCTCACGTTCATTATGAAGTCATCGCTCCTCTGCTGGGCAGAGCGCTTGCTCTTGGGCTTTTTCGTGGAGGGTGCCATTGGTGTTCGTCGATAGCGATGGTTGAAGGATAGCAGGCAGTTTTTCAGTGGGAGATGTTGGCATCAGCCACAACACCGCCACGTGACGCCACTTCTCGGCCAGTCGCGGGGGAGCATCACTTCACCAGGCGACAAGCTCCAAGCACTGACAGCACGCCCACGTCTGCCGCTTCAGTTACACACACTCATGTACTTAATACCTCAGCATCCCGACGCCTCACCTACCGAAACTGCCGACCCTCAATCTCTATTGGCTTCCATCCACCTCCGCCGGCGCATTCTCGCGGAGCTACGGCGGCAGCAGGCATGACGACGATGAACTTTGTGACGTTCAACCAGGACCATAGCCACCTTGGGGTTGGTACCACCAAAGGCTACCGCATCTACACCACAGACCCATTCAGCAAGCAGTCCGAGTCAAGAGAAGGAGATGTCTCCAGTCTGGAAATGCTCTTTTCGACATCCCTGGTGGCTCTCACGCTCTCGCCTCGAGTGCTTCGCATACAGAACACCAAGGTTGGTTGAATTGGCCTGTTTTGAATGTAGTTGATGATTTGACAGAGACATTCGACCATTTGCGAAATGACATTCCGCACAGCGATTCTTGCCATGAGGCTGAACAGGAAGCGACTTGTGGTCGTCTTGGAGTCCGAGCTGTATCTCTATGACATCAGCAATATGCAGATGCTGAAGAACGAGAAGACGTCTCCCAATCCTAACGGTACGACCTCTAGGCTGTTATGTGAAGCGTTTACTGATTGCATCCAGCTATCTGCGCCCTGTCAGCGTCCTCGGAAAACAACTACCTTGTTTATCCTCTACCTATGAAGGCCGCACCGGCAACATTCCAACCGCCCTCACACGCTCCACCGAAGTCGGACCACGTCCCACCTACCAGCGGCGAAGTACTCATATACGATGCGACAAAGCTGGAAGCAGTGAATGTGATTGAAGCGCACCATTCTCCGCTATCGTGCATTGCGTTGAACAACGAGGGCACTCTGTTGGCTACGGCGTCGGAGAAAGGAACGATCATTCGTGTCTTCTCCATTCCAGACGCACAGAAGCTTTACCAGTTCCGGAGAGGGTCTATCCCGGCCCGTATTTACAGCATGTCTTTCAATTCTACCTCGACGTTACTCTGTGTCTCTTCTGCTACGGAGACGGTCCACATCTTCCGGCTCGGAGCCCCTAATGCGAGCCGGAGCAGCAGCATCTCGGGTTCGGTGAGACCTCCGTCGTCTTCACGAGAGCGTAGCAATAGCCGGGGCAGCGAGGATGCCGATCCGTCAGAATATGAAGAGAGCACACCGGACCTTGCAGAGCCAGAGCGGAAATCAGTGAATCCTACCTTTGCCAGCATGATACGGCGAACATCGCAGAATGTGGGAAAGTCCTTTGCACAAACGGTCGGGGGCTACCTGCCCAGTGCTGTGGCGGAGATTTGGGAACCAGCACGGGATTTCGCCTGGGTGAAGATACCACGATCACTCAATAGCTCGCTGACGGGACCCGTAAGGACCGTGGTCGCTCTGAGTAACAATGGGCCTCAGGTGATGGTCGTAACGAGTGAGGGCAATTACTATGTCTTCAACGTGGATCTTGAACGAGGAGGAGAGGGGACATTGTTCAAGCAATTCTCGTGAGTTGGCCCTTAGTACCAGTGCTCATTGCAGCTGCTGAATCTTCTAGTCTTCTTGAGCCGAATGAGCTCTCTGCTGGAGCGTCTCAGGACCTTCCCGACTAAAGGTCTTGCCGAGGAGGTCCATGTTTTGTCCAATCTTCACTACGCATAGCGTTCATCAAAGCTCTCCTAATATTTATTTGCATTATGAGGATGGTGTTATTCTATTTGGCTTGACTTTTGGTAGGATTGGCATTCCGTTCTTCATGAACGACATTATATGAGCTTCTTTATTACATTCGTAGATGTATTTGGCTTTGTAAAGCCTAATTTGTGAACGAAAGTGAAAGTGAAAGTGAACACGTGATCTCCACACTCCCCGCCTTGCGCGCGGGGCTTTGTTCGTGTTCGGGATGTCGTAAGGCGTGGCCCAAGCTCTGCTGCCTTAAGCGCGACTGTCGTCAATCCACCAGGCAGAGGCCTCGCGCAGTTTCACTCCACCACTTCGCACCTATCCGCCTACTACTCACACACATATTTCAGCTCTAGATTCTCCCTAGAGTCCACCACCATGCCGCCAGCGAACACCACCGGCAACCCGCTAAGCGCGGGCTCGCTTTCGACCTTAATGGCGGCTAGTCTACCCAAGGCTCCATGCCACCAGGTCAAAAATGCCTACGAAGCAGTAGCACTCGCAGTCCACGCTGGAATGATCGCGGTTGGGTTCAGGCTTATTGGCCTCGGGGAGGACGATCGGATAGGTAGGAATTCCATGTCAAGGCTCGTCGTGCGAACGGTACTGACGTTTCGAAGAAGCCCAGGCAGACGCGCATAACCCTCAGCCGCTCCCAGAAGCATGGAACGCTTCCTCATCGTACGCCTTCCGCTATGCCCACTCACAATCCTCGATGGAGTACGTGGTAAAGGTGAATCGGCTTGGCGGGAAGGCCGTAGTTTTTGGCATCGCGGTTGGCGATGACAAGACCACAAATTTTGACGTCACAGTTAAAGACTACATCTCCGAATCTTCATTGCCGTTATCAATCAGCTCAGAGGCTTCGGCAGAGGACGCCGCAAAGAAAATTCAAGACGTCTACATCTCCGCAGGCCGCCTTAACGACCTGGGTGCGCTTCTCAAGATTTCGGTCATCCAAAAATTAGCGCCTGGGTTACACAAAGAAGGTTACGAGGAGACGAACACCCAGAACGATCAGCATGCCAATAGTTCTCAAGACCCACCGCGGGGAGACGTCCCACGAGAACCGCGACGACCTCCCAACAATGACCATGAGCCAGCCCGTCCATATCCCTTCAACGATCCACTAGCGGCGCCTCCAGGTCCTCGACGACCCCTGCCAGAGCCCATCCCAGGATTCGAGGATGAATACGAGGTCAATCGCCCTCCGCGCAGTAGATTAAGAGACGACCGCTTCCCAGCAGGCTTGGGCCATGACGATCTGTATCCACCGGGACTAGGTCCTCATGATCCCCTTCGACCATACCTTGGCGGTGCCCCCTCAAGGCCAGGCGGAGTTGGTGGGGGAATGCATCCTACGTTCGACGATCCTCTGTTTGGTGGTCAAGGCGGCCAAGGAGGAGGCTATGATCCTATGGCACCACCAGGCTCGCGCTACGATCCAATCGGACCGGGCGGGGCGCCTCGAGACAATAGAGGAGGAGGAACTCGATTTCTAGGGGGTGGTGGCAGTGGATTAGGGGGGCCTGGTGGACAGCCGCCAAATCCTTTCAGTGGCTTCGGAGATGGAGATTTCCTTTAGGCGTGATCAGGCGTCGAACACAATATGGAACAAACGAGTGGGACACTTTACGATGTGCATAAAGAAAATCTTCTAGTGTATTTATAGTTCTGACCGAAATTTATGAGGGTGGAAGGAATTCACAACGTGAGACGCCTTTATCTTATCTCACAGAGAGGTTAGGAATTTACAACATGTTTCTCCCGCCTAAGGAGGCTCAGCCCTGCGCCTTCTCGACCTGAAGGATTCAGACGAGGGTTCTTAGACTCTAGATGTTGGGACTCTAAAACGACCCTGTAGATACAATGACAATCCTAGCTCCCAAAATAATACATATTTGATCCTCAAACAGTGTTGTTCCGTAGTAAGGTAAGCATCCGAGATTCGGAACGCCATGTTTCCTGTCTCGTAAGCTTTGAGAAGCCATATGGTTCTGGATTGCAGATTTCGGATTCCAGGTGGCATATTTAGAGACATGTGTTTGACACTTGGTGATTTTAAGTAATATGTGCAAAAGTAGAATGCAGGTGTTGCGATTTGAGGTCGTGTTGATCCCGTCCACACCACGTAAGCAACTATATTGGAACTTTGGTTGTATTCTTTTCGCTCAAGCATTTTTGGATCGAGATAGACAAAGAGTCTCGCCTAATATTACAGATCGACTTTGCTCTAGCCTGAACATGTTTTGCGTGTTTGAAGCGCGCTTTTTGGTACCATGTGCGTCACGTGCGTGGTCTCTGTTGTGATGGCATCGCTCGGGGTTATGTTATTCCAGGATTTCTCGCGATGATTGTGGAAACTCTTGTAAGCAATGAAAAGTAGGGGTGTTTGACTTCTGTGTGCACGATTCTGATGAGTGTTGTCGTGACTCTCTAACTATCTGGGGCCAAGATGCTCGGAGATGAAGGTGCACACGAAAAAAGGATCAGGATGGGGGTGGTATCACCATCACCGCCTTACACCTTTAATGGGCCGCTTCTGTTGCTTGGGTAGCGGTAAGAAGAGACGCGAGATGACGAGCAAATTCCGTTGAACGAATAGTAATGGTAGGTGCATCTACACTTTTCGTACATCGTTTCAATGTATGGGGCCGAGGATGACGGAAATGTAAACGTGCATCCGAAACCTTGGAATCTTTTAATCGCTTGAGGTCTCTGGGAGAACTTCCTCGCTCCTGCGCGCTGGCCGATTGGAGATGACAAATAGCTGAGTTAATTTTAAGAGGTCAAAGGACATAACGTGTTTAAGATAGGGGCCGCGGTGGACGCGATAACCCCGCGCGGCAAATGACGAGTCTGGTGAAGCGAACGTGTGGAGTGAGATGTATCACATCCACCGACAGAGGTGCCGGGGACATGTGAGACTCTGGCAAAGGAGAAGCGGGGCGACGCGACGCACAAAACAAAACTGCATGCATGCATGCAAGCTGCACGTACGCCGAACAGAATATGCTCATTTTTTATTTTGAAATCCATCAACCCTTCTGTTGGGAATTGAAGCGGTGAGGCCGACGTGATACCCCAGCTTTAGGAACAATCGCGTCTCGCCTCGCCGCGCAAGTGCCGTCGCTTGAATGGGGGTTTAAGCATATCGGACCCGAGGAACGATCGTAAATCCCTCACAAACATGTATCCAAATGCAGAAATCTACATTTGGCTCCTCACCGTGGACAGGCAACCATCCTGGGATTAAAAGCGGACGAAGTCATCAAAAGAAGAAGGTGGTCTGCTTGGGAGATCGTGAAATGAGAACAACGGTCCGAACAGTGACAAAGGAGGAGCTGGGGTTGAAGTCAGCATTCATGTTACTAATGCAATTCTTATCCATTCGTTATTTCCATGCAAGCGCCGGGCGTAAATAATGCTCCAGTCTATCGTTGGTGGTGTGAAGTGTCGGCCCCTGCCAGGTTATCTGAGCTAGCTCCAAAGGGCTCGGCTCGTGCTCCCCTGCTATTCTTCAGCCTCGTACGGAGTAATGTTGCGTAAACCTGAAGGTGAGGCTGAAGCCCCTCAGGAGAAAAGTAAGGCCGCCGGTCGGAGCCGGAGTAAGGGAAAGCTCTGGGCACGAGGCTGTTTTCACGGCCTCAGCCACCAGCCACCTGTTTCGTCGTCTTGGCAATTCGTACCCCTCAACGCTATGACGACTGTATCTCACGAGCAATAGGAGAAGTGAGAGGAGGATGGGATTTTTCTCAATCGTTATGCTCTCATGGTTCGACAACCCATCAGCTAAGGTTGGCTGGGCTTATTGTGATGATATCTGCTCCTGAGCTCCTCAAGTCCAAGTGGTTGAGCTGACGTTGAAAGAAAGCTCGTTACACGCGAGGCAAGCGCGGTGGATCATAGGGCTGGGACCAGGCCGCGGTTATCCTGAGCCTGCGCGTGTAAAACGGTAATTGCGCGATATAAACGCGCCATCGCGGCAGTATTGCGCTTGCGCTCATGTACAGCGGTTACTTCAAATGAGGCGAGCGCTTTGGTCGCTGCACCGCGCCAAAGACTCAATCGCCGTTTAATTTGCCGACAGACCTCGCGCGAGAAATGAATTTGGTCGCACTAACTGCATTGCATCCTTCTCGGTTCCCCATGCGTCAACCCAAAGCCAGGAGTGCGGAAAATCCCATGACAGCCAGGCGGTCTCTGGTCGTGATCAAGTCGGGCGTAAGGCATCCCACGATGGTGTCAGAACTGGATTTAGAAATACCACTGGGTGGGCGCAGGTGAGGAGCTGACCCCCAGGTTAGCCATGAGGCTTAGGAACGAGGACTATGAATGAGTGTTAAGGAATAGTGGCAATGTACAGAGAGATGCTTATACTTGTTGTTCAATCCATTGCTAAGATTAGAAAACGACTTGCTTACACGCACGTGCCGTTTGGCTTGGAAGAGATGACTGTCGACGTTTCATGGCCACACGTGGTCTATCAGACGTCTAAATGTCCGGCGGCGAGAAGACGACGGAAGGATTCCTTCTAGAAATCGAAGCTACTTTATCTCGAGCACGATAAGGCCAAATGTCCACAGAGACGGACATTCTCGTAGGAGACTGAGACAAGGCGGGGTAGAAGGTATGATGAAAAGACTGTTGGTGCGCTCACTCCTCCGTTATCAGGTGTCGGAAATTGTTCCCCGCTCTGTGCAAACAGGGACTCAAGACTAAGTTTTCCAGCATTCCTCAAGGCGACCTTTGCTGTCCGTCGAGACTCAGATAAATGATCGGACAGTGTGGGTGGCGGTCTCGCACGAGAATGCCTGCACGAGCTCTCATGGGGCTTTGGCTTTTAGAAGCTTGAGAGAAGATGCTAATTTATCATATTACACACCTAGCATCCAATGAAGGTTTCAGAAAGAAGTTGCGCCAAGCAACTGTTCTGAGATCGGCGACGATGAGAAGGGCGAATACGGGTCAAGAGCAAAACGAGCCCTTCTTGCGACAACCTGATTAACGCGAGAGCCTGTCTTGGATTAGCAAGACCAACCCGGATGCCTGATACAAGTGTAGGGATAGGTGCAGAGCATGCAGCATGTTTTGCAGATTATAACCCGACACCCAATGGTGAGGCCGAGAATAATATGCGGATGGGGTGAGTTTGTGCCCTGCTGCATCAGTCCGGTAGCACTGCAGAGTGGATATCCAGTGGGAAATTTGGGTGAATTGGCCACTCCCAAAAGACCAGATATCGGATGGACTGTGTCTCAGTCACGACTTGTTGGCTGGTGGTACCAGGTGGAGGGCTCCTGTTGGTGGTGATTTTAGAAGAAGAGCTGGGGGTGTTTCATGCCAGTGCAGGCGAGCAAGCCATGGAGGAACGGTCCGCCAATGCGAGAGAAGGCGCTGTCCCGCAGGTCCCGACAGTCATGTGCTGTGGCAATAGACTAAGACATGCTGCAAGCTGTGCTGTCTCTGCCCACTTATGCTAATTATCAGGAGATGAAATAGTAACTGGAGTCCAGGGCAGAGAAACCCTATGAGGGAGCGGAGCAGCTTGCTGGGGCTGAAATAGCATCTGCGGGGCGAAAGGAACCAGATGGGCGGTTTAGGCAGCATTGACAGTGAAGTGGAGCGACATGCCATGGAACCCCGGCGGGATGCAGCGGGAAGGACGAGCGCAGTGGTCGAATGCTGACGAAATAGGTCATTGCTGGGGTTTGCAGCAGAACAAGAGCTTCAAGGTTCGAGGCGCTTCATCCGTGGGCCGTCCGGTAGAGATCGACCCCTTTAGCGAGCCGTTCTCGTCAGCACGGTCCAATCTTTGCAGACTAGCGACGCCATGGCTGCACAGACAGCTGCAACTTTGACCTCATTCACACCAGCGTCGTCGAGGGGCCCGCGGGCGCCTAATGGCTCTCTGAATCGCCCTGTGTTTTGAAGCTCGCTCCGACGCGCATCCTGCACGACATTGAAACACTGCTCCCCGCCGCTCAGCTGCTGCGGACTACGACAAGAAAAACCCTGGCAATATCAGAGAGACTCCATACCAGTGCGTCTAATAACCGTTGAGTGCACCAAGGTGGCGGGGGTTGCTGTGCCGCATGTTGGAGCGCATCGTTGCCCACTCATACGTTATCTCTTGACGGCCGGCGGCTAACGAGACGTCCAGCTGCACGATGCCTGCAGTGTTCACATCTGCAAATTTCAGCAGCCAAGCAAAGGGGCCCCTGCACACCTGGCACGCGGGTCGGACCCTGGCCTGACGGCAGCGATCCATGTCGTCTGCGCGGTTCTGCAGAGAACGTTATGGTCCCTCTCGGGGATCAGGGTGGGGCGGGACCGGAGACGTGCGCCAGAGCCGGTCGTTTGCAAATCATCAGAGTGTAGCCGTCAGACGATAGTAGCATTCACCAGGCAATCATGGTCCGAGAATGAAAGGAAAGACACTTTGACATTCGTGCGAATCTAAAGCCAACACGCCCCATGTGGCCTCCTAAGTCGCCCCAGCAGCCTGTCTATTGTGCCCGGAACACCCGGGCGCTCGAAAACGCCGAAAATGCTCATTCTCCTGTCAGACTCCATAAATTCCCAGAACTCCATGTTCGGACCCCAATGCTACATAGTACATGCCTGCACGTCAGACAATCCAATGCCGGAATTCCGCCGTTGCCCGGCAGCGAACTCTCCACCCAGCCTTTACTCTTACAGTTTGTAGTCGATTGGACTGCCAGGGAAGCAGTCGTCCCGGAACAGGGGCGGTGATCGTGTGTCATACATATCCGGCTGAGGGGGGTGGTAGTACGGCATTCTAGCACTAGGTCCAGTCCGCATAGATGTGCGTCGTGATAGAACTTCGTTTCGCTTGGGACAGCCGTCCTCTTCGTGTCTGGGAGCATTGTCAGCACACATTGTTAGCAGCAACATTCGGAGCTGTCCTACCGCCGAAGCGTGTCCTTTCGAGCAAAATGAGCGCCGCATCTTCCACATTTGAAGATCTTCAGCTTGCGGTGAACCTAATTGAGAGGTCAGTCTTTGGCTCCCGAAGGGGGATGGGTGTTGCACATACGGCATTCGTGTGGCGGTCTAAGTCAGTCCTACGGACAAATTGCTTATCACAATCCTTATATTGGCATACGTGTTCCTTCCTTCGGCACGGGTTGTGTATTTCCATGTGGGTCTTGTGGTTGTAGCTTCTCTGGAACAGCTTTCCACAGACATCACACGAGAAATTGGCATTCTCCTGAGTTGTGGGATTCCTTCTAAGCCTTGTCCGTGCTGTGATGCTAGTTGAACTATCACTCCCACGATGGCTTCTCGGTCGTCCTTCAAATGGCATTGGCTGGAATTCCCTACTTTCAAAGGTGTCGTCGGGCGAGACTTCAAATTTAGGCATTGGAGGTGATTCGTAGGCTTGATCATACGGAAATATGCCGGTTGTAAGTCGATCTGGAGATACGGTTAATGGATGATGGCGTTGGGCAGACGATGGCTCCTCGTCAGTTGCCCATTCAGAGCCCCCCTCGAGCTTTATTTGGGGATAAGCGTGCGCAGAACTTTCTCGTGAGAAGATAGATATATCCCGAGTCGATGATAATGAAGAGCGATGGGATGCATGGTGAGGAGCCCAGGGTAGTGGGGACCGAGATACCGGAGGTTCGTATGTCGTCACTGGCCAGGGATCTGCTGGAGCTTCAGACATGAGGGGAGACGTGCCTGTAGTGAGATGCGTCCAGGATTCAGTGGGTTGAGGAGATGGTGGGTAAAGAACCGAGCCTGCTGGTGGCCCAGAAACAGGAAATGATTGAGAGTAGTTGTAAAGGCCAAGACCATCAGTCGGATACCTTGACGACTCAGAATCACTTCGAGCTGGCGAGGGATAAGCCGGTGAGTGTAGCAATGTGGTTGTCTTCATAGCTTGCTGGTACGGTGAATTGAAGGGCGGGGTAGGTTGGTCTCGGGGCGACATGTTGAAACGAACGACGAAGAATACAAGAATTGAGAAGAAGGAAGCAAGTACAGAAGGCAGATTGGGTTGGAGGTGAGAGCGAGGGATAGGTGGTTATGAAGTACCTGGGTGGTGGTGGTGGTGGTGGTGATGACTGGTGGAAGGAATAAGGTGGGATATAAATCTAGGCGGATCGTGCAAGGCGAGAGCAGCCTCGATGGGGAGATCTAGTTCAGAAGTATTTTTGCAGTGCGTGCTGCGGCGGTGTGTTCAGAGCAGCACATCCAAAGAGTCGGGAAAGGCAGACACGAAGGAAAGGGAAGACGCTAATACAAACATGGACTCGAGCCGCGCTTGAGCGTCAAAAATGCCAGCATGGTTCTTGTTGGCTTTTGGGGCCGTGTCAAAAGCATTGAGCAACGGAAAGGATTGAGCGTAATGCAGGCATGCAAGGCGGTGGGGACATGGGTGCAGGCGCAGAGTGGCGGTCGACCAGGGCGTTCCCGAGCGCCAGCGCTGCCACATCGAATTAGATGCGCGCACCGCTAACTTAGGCGCAAGGACACGGTGAGCTTCTGCCCCTGCATTCGAGGAGTGGATATTGTGTAATGCCCGCGCTTGGGCATCGGCAGACTGGTCTCTGCGTCAATTTCTTAGCTACCGGTATCGTGCAACCATCATTCATTTGCTACACTGCTGTTCTTTGACCTGTGAGACACCAACACCGACCATTCGCAGACGCGCCAATTTCATCAATTTTTCATGGAGTGAGGATAAAGTGACCTGCCTCGCTTTTAGCCCGGCTCGCTGTGACAGGTGTCAGTGTGCGTGGGGCCATCTCTTGCACGAATGGAAGCGCCGGCCATCAAGTGACCTAGCTCGCTTCACGCTGCTGTTGAAGCTGCGAGACCATCTCAGTGAGTTGTTCCACCTGCAAAGTGAGCTTGAGGACCAACGATTTCAACGGAGAGTCCGACTCAGGCGGACCCCCTCTGGTGTGAGGCCGATTCGTAGGTTGCGATCTGCCAGGCGCATTTCCATTCCCCTCAACCGTGGCTTGGAAGCCCGCTGCCAACGGGCGCGGAGAATTCAAAGAAGATCTCAGAAGAACTCGTTTCGCCGTGGTAGGCGTTTCAGGTCCGCTGATGGAAGGTGCGCCAGGGCGCCGCTTCCGTGAATCAGTGAACTGTTCGTAAGCCCAGATTGCCCCAACGAAAGGGAGATGAGTTGCTTTCAGCAAAATGATCCTCGCACTCCGTAGTCTCTCCGAAGGCAGCATGAGCCGGAGCGGGCGGACAACCAGCGGGATCAGATTCTGCACGCAGGGTCAGTTGTGATCAAGCTCAAGCCCCTACAACATCTCTGTGCGGAATGTATCGGCATGAACGAAGTATTGTCGAGCCCCGTACTGCCTAAGACACCAAATATGCCTGCAGTTGGATATCAAGTTGCTGAAAATGAAGGCTAATTCGGACAGAGACAGTCAAGTCAGATCTGAAAAGACCTGAAAGGGAGTGTGAGTCAAGGCATCCCGCCAAAAGCATCCCCAACGGTTGGTTCTGAGCGTGCTGCTTAACGCCTGGAGGCTATGTCGGCTGGCAACGCCTGTGTTTGGGGCGCTTATTTGTGGTTTCAAAGGCCCAAAATAGACAGCAAAAATGAACTCACCAATGGGGGAAGATAATACGTCAGGCGATTTGAAGCCGATGCTTCCAGGACGTATACGGAATAACTGAAGCGAACTGCGGTCAGCAACATTGCGGTGACTTTCATAGAGGGTTGAGAACGAACATGAACAGATACTCCTCTCGTGCATGATCCAGTACCTGTCGGAGGCCACCGAATTAGTAACTTTCTAACGGAAGAAGCGAGAAAACGATGGTGGTGACCTCCTCTTCCATTTCACACCGCACCTTGAGCAGACGGACAGGCCGTAAGGCCCACAAGAACCACGGGGGTATACTCGGAAGGAGAACGACGGGAAATCAGCCACAGAACAAACGGGGAAATGGCGGATGCCGACGGACACCAAGTGCGATGAAGTTGGTGCCAACGAGGCTGAGGCTCGGGTTGGGCGGTGTCCAGGTCCCCGTGAAAGGTCCCATGCTCATCCTCGCTTGAGTGCATTTTCAAAATGGGACACCGAGAGCCAATCAATTTTGCCAAGCCCAATTTTTCGCTCAGACGTGCAGCATTAATTCAGGGCTACGTACCTTGGTCAAGGAATTAGAAAGCAACGAAATGAGGGACGTAATGAGGAGGATGTTCGTCAAAGCCACGAAAACCAACTGCAGGTTCAATCAGCAGACCGCAAATGTATGTGCACAGTTGCGTGCTCCTACCATGACGGGTGGTCCGAAGTATGGGGAGCTACAGTTCCTGGCGTTAATTCTCAAGCCTTTCATTGAATCGAAGGGAGCCTACATTTCTTGAGCCACATCCTGTTTTTGTGTAAGCCAACGCACGTTTGTCTCCAGGAGGCGGGGCTTTCGCCCCAGTTTCATCCTTACTTACGAAGCCAAGATAAGAAGACCTGTGACAGAATACACACATTAGCAAAGGCTGAATTGGCAGGAAGCCCCGCACAGCCTCACGTACCCAAAAAATACTTTCACTAAAATCCAGCTCATTTCCCTTGGCGTGAACTGGTCTCTAGCTAATAGCGTGAACGTGGTCAGGAAGCCTGCCGAGTTTGTAAGCTCGAGGATAAGTTTTTGGCTGAGTCTGTGGCTGAGGCGCAGACATCATACCTAGATAGAGAATGACCACTAATGACAGAAATTTGATGAAGTCCTTTGTCTGCTAGTCGTTAGAGTCGGTCAAGGACACCGCTGTTCACCCGCCGTTATACTGACCATCTCCTTAAGGCATGGAATCTTTGCACATGTTAGCCGGATATGGTTAATTAAGGTCTGCACGGAAAAGTTTGGGGAAACGCTGTGCCACAGCAATCAGGGCCCTCGGCGTTGCCGCATCCATTTCCTCGCCGCGGAAGGCAGTGGTAGGACATTCGGCAGCCGTGAACACTCAGAAGGAGGCAAGAAAGGTGCAAGAGGCTACACGATTGCTTCCATGTTCAACTTACCAATGTCCCAAAGTAAGGATTCAAGCTCAGCAGAGCGAAAATCCGTGGAACCAGGAACAACGCTTCGAGGCCGAGAACGTCGTAAGATAGATCTATTATGCTCGTTGAAGCTATGCTCAGACCGATGAGTCCTAAGCACGGTTAGAAAGAAGAAGATATGTCTGGAAGAGGTGCCGTTGGATCCACTCACTTAGGGCAAAGAAGATCGTCCCAACTAAAACGATGCTCTAACGAGTTGTCAGCGAAGCAGAAACACGGAATCGAGAGGTGAGTGTTACAATGTCCCAGATCCACCAGAAGTCAGACGCGTAGAAGCTAGTCTGACCTGCGTCAATCCAGTCCCCCAACTCGTCGTACGCAAAGCCAGCAATCCAGATGTAGAGTAGAACCTCGGACGGGGTTACATGAGAGAAACTCCGCTGGACAAGCACTGCATAGTACAAGGCAAGAAAAGTGGCGAAGAAGATTGTCTCGAAGATCTTCAGATATCGAGGGACTCGTAAACGACAGAATGGGTCACCGCGTCTGCGATTGTACAGCTTGGGACATTTGACCGAGTTCACGCTGAGAGTCTCCCAGAAAACGATATCGCCCTGGGCCGTTAGAATACGAAGTTTTACACAACAGAAAGTAAGAACTCTTACCCGCCAAACACCATTAATGATTTTCTGTACTGGTCGTTGGCTAAGAAATTTCTTCGCATCAGACACGGAGGCAATCTCTAGAGCACTCAGGTTTTCGAACTGCGATGCAAAGTTATCAGAATGACTGATATCTGTAGTCAAAGTGGCGGCCACGCTATCCGTCCCAAAATATGACGACGTTCGTCCAAATCGCCGAGAACCTAAAAGAGGTGTAGCTTCACCTCGCAAATTGGCGGAAGCACCATTCTGGTGAGATACACTATCACGCTCTTCATCCTGGGAGTTGTCCGGAGAAGATATGGCCGGCGGGAGCTCAAGGAGAAGGAAATCTATCGCTTCCCTCTCCGAAAGATTCGTCAAGAATTGCCATGCAACTAGCTCGCAAGCATAGCCCCTGGCTTCGTTGACGCCCGGCTCATCACTGGCTTCTTCCAATGCCGAGAAATGCGCTTTTAAGGCTCTGTTAACCTCAATCAGCTTCTACCCCAGCATATCTATATCATGAGGCGGCTACCACGTCCAGAGCACCTAGGAAAGAGCACCAAGGAAAGAGCACGTACAGAAGAGCACAGACAACAGCGGGATGATGCACATTATCAGAAATGTAGGCGATGAGAGGCGTCAGGATCCGACCGCATGGAAGGCTTCGTAATTCCTCAAACGTGTGTGGAAGCGTGATGGCATCGGTGAAGTAGCTAACAACGAATTAGTATGCAATTTGCCATGCGCATATGTAGGAGGGACCGCTGTGCTGAACATATGTCGCGACAAGACACGGTGAGACTCACAACGAGAGTTTCCTGGCCAGTTCTCCAAAGTCGTCGTCGTCCGAAATGAGCGGGATGTCGGGATGTTCTGCGGGCCACCTTGGGGTCGACGGCCTCGACATGTTCACGGCTGACTTCTCGCACGAAAGAAGGCGATTGCAGTTGCAGTTACAGTTGCAGCCATTGACTCGGAGGACTTTGACGCCATGTCGCGCAAAATATGCCCGCGCTCGTGCTTCCCTGGGGCTTCCGGCTCCGCTCTGCTTCGCGAATTATGTAATAACGGCGGCGCTAGTGGTCGCACCTTCCCAACATAACTCTCACTCACTCTCACTTTCCTGGGAGACTTCCTCCTCGTACAGGTTTCTCTCTCCGCATCATCTAAGCTTCTGATTCTGATAGCCATGGTTCACGATGAGAGTTTCTGTGGCGACCGCCTTAGAATGTCCTCTTTCCTCAGAGTGATCGCCAACATGCCCCCACGACCAGCTCGATTCAGGAGACATGAGAAGCAAGCTGACCAACAGAGCCACGCCATGTATGATGAGGTGGGATTGAATCAGTTCGAGGAGCTGAAAACGCACAAGTTTTCGTCTCAGAATCCAGCACTAGCCTCTCACGACAGTTCTACTGAAGTGTGTGATTCTCTTGCACGGTTAGCTTCAGCTCAGTCGTTACTGATGGTAGCTGGACGCGCTGAGCGGAGCGAGGCCGAAAACGGCAGCGCTCCTGATACTGGCAATGGGGTTCACAAGCCATCGGGAGCGCAATCTACCGCACCACGTGCTCGAAAAGACCACTATTCCTACCAGACCAAGACCAATAAGAGCAAACACGCATCAGGGAGAAGATCTGGCACTCGCAGAAGGATGCTACCTGTCAATGAACTCGCATTGGTGCGAACCACGACAACAGATGGCTTACCTGATCCGAGTGTATGGAGTCTCCACCTGGATCCCTCAACTGATGAGCTACAGCTGATTCAAGGGACTACAGGAAGAAGACGTTATTCTCAAAAGCCCTATTACAGAAATTGACCCAATTGAGGACAGCGAGGTCTATGGCGATGTTCCTGCACAAGTGAGAAATGAGGCTACTCAAAAGTCTCATCTAAGCAAGGGGGATCAGGTTAACTACACAAACAAGGCAACGTGGAAATCGAGACGACGCACAAAGCAAGGCCGTTTAGACGTAAGAGTTCTCCAATCCGTGCTAGCTTCAGATGGGTTTGTTGGCGCCGAGTTTTCCATTCCCTTCAGACACCAGAAGCAGCCAAACAGGCCTCAAATGAAGAAGATGGTGCCAGTAGCACAGCGCGGGTTAATTCTAGCTATGGGGAACCTTCCAAAGCCATCTTTCCAGAGCGATCGGCTCCAATTGGTCCAAGGCTCCCAAATGTTCGATGCTCGTCTGCCAAACAGACTCTCACGGATACCTCGTTTGGGTGAAGGCAATGAGTCTTGGAACGAAGAGACGCCTGCAAGGCCCATGCGAGATACTCCAGGGGGGCACGATACCTCCACCGTTCGTTCGAAGCCAATCAGGAGGAAGACTAAGCATTGGATCCATAATCAACTCGCTAGCATTTCAGCGCCAACAAGACACAGTACCAACAGCGGATCAGAAGCCACCGAAGAACCCGATGAGAGGAATAGCTCGTTCAATGACCCAAATGACAGCATCACAAATACCCGTTCAGAATTCAGCAGCGATGAGCTGAAGGAATAAAGATCAACCGTAGGAGAGTTTCGCGATAGGATCATCAAAGATGTCCGTGACCACTATTTTATGTCCCATTTTGATATACTTCATTCTGCACCTGCAGTTCTCGGTGCGAATGTCCCAACGTCACTTACAATTCACAGACAGATTACGCCACATCATGGTAGGTAGACTAGGATCGTAGGTGTAAATATGGCTGGCTGACAACTGGTCGCGTACAGAGAACCTTATTGAAATAGTCGAGGGTCGCCATTTCCGAAACGCTAGCCGCCAGCTCGACACAGTGCCCAACAATGTTGATAATTTCTGGGCACAGTACGGTGCCATTGGTTGAATGAATTTAGGGAAGTGGTCGCCTTTGGAGTGATTCGTATCCCTAGTGGCTCAGTCTGCTGACACTGACGATCGTATTGCAGAAATAGAGGATAGGTTACACTAACTGTAAGGACAGGGCTCCGCACCACTCCGCCAATACAACCAAAAGGTACGAATAATCAACCAACGTTGATTTTCGGGTGCAGAATAGTATATATACCTGTCGCACGTAAGCGCCATCTCGGCCTTACACTAACCAGCTATACTGCATCGTGCCATCTAACATGGAACAGCAGGGGCAATTTAAAGCAAAAGTTTGCATCCTATTCATGCTTTCGTTAAATCTAGTAAAATGGCTAATTAAATCAAAAACCCCCGCCAATGCTCTATGGTATGCAAAATGGATGGGAAAATTTTAACGCAGCTTGTATGTCTAAATACACCCTCTTTTCTCCAGCACTATGTTAATCGTTGTTTATGTTCTGCTACTTGTGTATGAATAGATACATCGTTTTATGCCGCATTTACCACGTCGTGTTGCAATCATTTTCCTCCCGACTATCCGCTGGTGATGGCCCCACATCTTCATCCGTGCGCAGCGTGCCGAACCACCGACCCTCTCTCGGCTGACTTCAGTCGGCCTTCAGTCGTGCCGACTTTGGCATCAAGCTGCATACGTCGCATATCGTGTGATTCAAAGAAACCCTTTCGGTGGGAACGAGGCCACACGACTGATTTAGTGGCTTCTCCGTGGAATGACCCTGGCCGCGCCACACTGAGGGGCAATTGTTATTTGAACAGGGCGTGGCCGAGCTCCCATGGTCACTCCGTCTTGCTACTTCACGATTTACCATTAAAAGGGCTGCACGGTGGTGGGTACGGCCTAGACTCTTTCAACAAACCGTTTGATTTGGGGAAGGTCCCCAATATACAAGATGGCTGCGCCAGGCGGAATCCCACCCTCTGTTTTTCAACAAATGGTATTGCCTAGACTCCACTTTCCGTGTTGCGCCGGTGCTGAAATGCAGTATAGATGGCCAACGGACCACCATATCTCCCAATGACATGGGGGATTGGCGGCATTCCGAGGAAGAACATCGACGTCCCAATCACCTCAGTTTTCCTATTCCTCTACATTCTTGCCGCTGTAACACATATGGCCCTGTTCCGACTCAATCAGAGACGGGGCCACAAATTTCTGATCTCAATATTCTTATTCGGCAAGCATAACTCCCAGTTATTCCTCCTTATCCTTCCCTGCTTTTTATTGAACTCAATATAATGATAGCTAACATGCGTAAGGATTCTGCATGGCCCGAGTCGTAACCTGCGTAATGCGCATCGCATCCACTTGCGTCCCACACAACATCTCCCTTGCTATCGCGGCCTCAATCTTTGTTGCAGCCGGTGTTCTTATAGTCTTCATCGTGAACCTCATCTTCGCACAACGCATCCTCCGCTCCACACACCCACACTTCGGCTGGCATCCGGCCCTCTCTATCCTCTTCAAAGCACTCTACGTACTCATCGGCCTGACATTCGCAATCGTTATAACGGCGACAGTACAAAGTTTCTATACTATAAGACCGCGAACCCGGACGATTGACCGCGATCTCCAGCTCTATGCCGCCACTCTTTTAACGACAATCAGTTTCCTGCCGATACCTATCGTTTTAATCAGCCTCCTCATACCTCGCAAATCGCCGCCTGAAAATTTTGGCACCGGCCGTTTCCGCACAAAAGTCCTCGTCCTGCTCACCAGCACCCTCATCATCTGTCTTGGCGCGGCGTTTCGGTGCGGAACAGCCTGGAAGAAACCCGTCCTGAGAACAAAGCCGTTACCGACGTATTACTCGCGGACATGTTTCTACATCTTTAATTTCGCGGTTGAGATTGTCGTTATATACCTTTACGCTATCATGAGGGTGGATCTGAGATTCTGGATCCCGGGCGGTGCGAAGGGCCCTGGGGGTTATGAGGCTGGACAAGGGACACGGGGCCAGTCGTATGGTGCGGATGAGGAGGAGAAGGGGGGAGGGATGAGGAAGGGCAGTGAGAAAGAAGCGATTAATGAGGAGGCGAAGGGTGTGGACGGTTGAGGAGTTGTGGATTGGTCAGTGGGAAGCGGAGTAGAGTGGTATTTAGGCGAACTACACTAGTTAGAGTTTAAGTTTGCATCCATTTAACTCAATGGGCATTTTCAACTTTACGACCTCACCAGGCACAAATTTTCCGTCATCCAGTCGACTCTTCGGAGATATCCCTTCCACAAGTCCAACTAACACGCACCGTGACCATGAAACACCCTCATCTAGTTCCGAAGTTTCAATAAGACTCCAATTCCCACTAATGAGAATGCCCAGCACCCAATAACAGAAGCAAGAGAAAGGAAGAAGCAGTTCCAAAACGAGAAACCCAAGACTCCCCTATATTTCTTCAAAGCCGTCCATATAAAACCGTGCTATGAATTGACCATGTTTTGTGCTACAGGGTAGATCTTGAGACGTCAGTGCTCTAGAATAGTGGGGGAGGGTTCGGTTTGCTGGCTAAGTCTATCGATCTTCTAGGCCTCCGGTTCATATAAGCTTTCCTATGTCTCAACGCCGGCCAAGGAGTAATAGGGTCTACATGGTGTAGTCGGGTGCATCTCCGTTCGTCAACCTCACAAAGCCATACTTGGGATATGATGAAAGAAAGCATCGGCCCGACGCCTCAATTATCAAAACGTTTGTAAATATAACCAAGTTCCCTCATCCTTCTCGTCCAGAAACGCCTTACTGGTGCCGGGGTCCCTGACTGAAAGCAAAGCTTGAGCTCATAGATCGAGACAATAATACATGTCCGGAAGAAAGAGGTGAAAGTCCAGAAATATGTATTTCATCATGTTCCCGATCACCAACCATGTCGACACCCAGATTGTCCCTGATCAACTCGCCAGTACCCAGACTGAACACATCGAGAATAAAAACACGCAAAATTACCGACGACCCATGGTCAAGTTGAAGTCTGGCGAAGTTAAAAGACAAAAAAAAAGTGCAAAATGCAACATCGCTAGCTTACAAATCCCAGCCTTTGAATTCGAAAACAAGGCCAGCAATGCCTGATTCAATTCATTGAACCTGGATCCGCACGCAACGCCAGCGAAAACTTATTCCATGTCGTAACAAAGGCGGTGCGAATATTGACTGTATCTAGTCACATAGTCGCCATGTCCCGTATCATGTCGTCGTAAATCATAGCAAACAGAAGTATATGTCATCGTAGAAGGGATATAACGGGGGCCTACCTCGAGTAGGGCTTGTTCATCAAGGCAATCTCGCGCGCAATAGTGGCCCACTCGAGTTCCCGCCGAAGTGGCTCATTGCGTCGCTGGCGTTGATATTCTTCCCACTTCAATAACTCGTATCTGAACAATTATTAGCTTGCATTTTTAGGACTACGCCGCGAGGCCACATATCAACTCACGTAAATCGAAGGTGGGGTTGAATAATAACATTCAGGCGCCTGGCCCGAACAAAGCAACTGACAAGATAAGTTAGTATGAGTTTAAGTGTAGGTATTACTGAAACTGACTAGGCACGAGGAAAAGAAAGTCCCATTTCGTTCATAACCTCTGCAATGCAAATCGTCGCTGACCGGGAAACACCGACCCGGCAGTGCACAAGTGTTGCTCCTCCATCAAGCTTTCCGCTCTCTAAAAAAGCACTGTCAGCTGGGCAGGGGCAAATCTAGGGATTAGAGATTATTTACCAATAAACCTAAGACACCGATCAAATTCGTCCCAGAGAGGGTCCACGCCGTTATCCTGCACTCTGTCGACCATCATTAGATGTTCGCTCGGCCAATTGAGCTTTTTCTTCATATCTTCCTGCCATGTCAACGACTCCCCAACGCTGAGTATGCGGGTAATACCCAATTCGCGGAGCAGCTCTGGGTTGTTTGCATGACCGAGATTCCCAAGATACATATAAGGGAGAATCCTGCTAGGGAGACTACCATCAATGCGCGATAACCATGAGGGCTCTGAAATGTTGATAACATCCTTTTGCCAGCGGGGTGACTCTTGAAGAATGCGAGGCTGAATCGAGGTGAGTAACGCGACATCTGTAGGATATGCGAAGAAGTTGCGACCCTTCTCCCGATGCAATTGGACCCAAGCTTCGTGCACTGGCAGTCCTTCGGCATACATGAAGTAGGCCAAGCCGAGCAATGATGACTCAGTATAGCCGTCCGTGCAATGTATCAATATTTTACGTGGTGACGTCGACATCTCTTCCAACTCAATTGCTTCGCTGTCATTGCGCTTTCTTCCCTCCATCTTCTTAACTTCCAGGGGATTCGCCAATTCATAAATCCACTTGCACGTCTCCATGAGACCGTCGACTTCGGCATGAGACCACGTTGGCGGCATAATACTCCCCGACGAGGGAAACTCCATATGAAGAGGATTTTCAGAATTACTTTCTAGGGCCGTACGGTGATTTCGCAGAGTTCGTGAGTCGGGAACATGGGCAAGATCATTGCCTTCGATGAGAATGTCAAACACATGCTCACTAGTGGATCCCGATTCCAGAACTGGGTCTGGGGTCGGTCCCAAGAACACATTTGAGCTTATTTCTGAAGCCTTAGACATTGCACACATTTCATAACGTTCCCAATAGACTGTAGAGCTGTCAATAACACAAATGCTCTGCCGATGCAAGACTGACTAGACTTACAGAAATCCACAACATTCCCAGTCATTGCCCCGCTAGAATCAACTGCAATCAGCTCGGGATGAGCCCTCTCAACATGGCTGAAAGGATCTGACACAGTCAGCGTCCAGGTCAGAATTCTCGACCGTCCCACGACATACCGCAGAGCATGAAAGTGTTAAACAATCCTCTATGAAAGCCATATCTTGCCTCATTCTGTCGCTGAGCCTGGGAGATGCGTGTAGCAAGAGCAATCGTGTCGCTGGGGTTAGTTTTGTCGTCGCCATAGACGATAATATCTGACACCATAGCCATCTTGCAAGCCTGGATCTGGAAGTTGCGAACTGAGAAACCGTCCTTGGGATCGCACTCGAGGAAGGCGCCAGAGTCATCAGATGAAGATGGTAGCAGCTCCTCGGGTGATATTGCGCCTTTTAATTTCGAAGAGGATAAATCTCCACCGGTCTTGACAAGAGTAATGCTGCGGATGCACCTGGGGACCTTTCGAACGCTCTTTCGCCGTGAGACAAAGAAGGCGAGCTGGATCTGGTTGTCAGCGTGGAGCCCATGCAACCATGGAAACACGTGCTCAGGGTTCGGCAATGCCTGGGTTGACATGTGCTCGAGGGCCTGTGCCAGTCTCTGTGAGGTGATAGTCCAGATGGGCGGGTCTCGTGAGTACTCAACGCAAAAAGAATCTGGCGGGTAGGTAATTGACGAAGTCTCAATGAGGCTCTCCTTGGATGGTGGTGAGGCGGGTGGGGTCTCAAGGCCGCGGGCAGGCACCGGGCCAGGAGAGCAGATGGGTATGTGCTTGTTGGGGACGGCAGCGGGTGTGCCCCGCGAAGAAGTGTTCAGTGTAAGGTGCGGAGGGGGGGTGGATGACCGACCAGGCATGGGAGGTGCCCGCGCAACGACGGCAGCCATGTTGGCGAAGACAGCCCGCCAAGGGTCAAGCGCAACTCGAGAAGATTTAACGAAAGAAAGTGATCGGCAGCAGAGGGGAAAGAAGGACGGCAATAAAGCAAGGTACTAGATTAGGGACTTGAATAGGATGATGGATAGGGCAAATCGGACGCTAAATGAAGTCGAGCAACGTGCTCAAGCCGTGGCGGGTCTTGGTAGTGGCTGCCCACAGACGTCGGCGTACAAGCAGATATATGGGCAGGCCACAGAGGGACGATTGGCCAACTGCGGGGTGCAGAGTGTCACGATAGCGTGGAGTGAAGTTGAGAGGGCTCTCGGCAGAAGCAATTGCTGCGTGCGTCAGATCTGGGATGGGATCATTGAGGGGAATATCGTACCAGACGGCATGAATTGTTTCAACGGGTTGATCAGCGGCACGCGAGTGTTTGAGCAGGAAGCACTCGAACGCCAGCACGCAGCCGGGGCAGGGAAGTCGCGGATTCAAAGGGCGGCGACGAGGGAGCAATGGCTCACGGGAGAGGGCATCGTGGTGGATGAAGAGTGAAGAATGAACGGCGGATGGTGAGTAGAGAAGAGTGCGGGAAGAGTGAGGGATGGTGGATGGTGGTGATAGTTACGACGGAATGCTGTGGGACGTCCCCCGCTTGCTGTGGTGTGGCTATAGGCCCTCACCCTAGTAGTTTTAGAACAAAGGCGCCGTTTGATTCAGCCCGTCCGGCTCGCTGTCCTGCAGCCCACATGCACGCTCAGCAGATGGTGGCCTGCGGTTGGACAGCGGGCTGCAGGCTCAAGTCCCAGCACTGCAAAAATAGCCCTGTTGCGCAGGCTTGGAGTTGAGTGCAGGCGCTCCGCGAGGGCGAGGGCTGTGTTATCGCCTTATCGATTTGATCTGAGACGCGATAAGACGCCTTCACAGAAGAGACCGCACACCCTCTGGCTCTGACCGTTTGTCGGCGTCGCTTTCGCAGTGGACAAGAAGCAGCTAAGTGCTGCCGGCGGCATGGATGCGGGCTTTTTCTGGTTGTCAATCGGGGGCCATTCGGATCCTCTGACGGCGTGAAGAGGAGCTCGCTACCCCACACGTCCATGGATTGTCTGGGTCCACCAAAGCCCACTATTCGCCACCCTCCTCAAGCCTCGAACCAACAGAACATCGACCATCCACCCGCCCACCAGCCTCTCAACTCCTGGTTGCGGTCGCCGTCATCAATGAAGAATTGTCCATGCTATCATTCGTCTCAGTTGCATTGTTCTCTACGAACTCCCCTTGACGCTAGCAAGAATCAATTGCGCGAGTGTGGGCTCACAATCCCGCAATTGCTCACGCGATTCGCCTCAGACAACCCCCCCCCCCAACTGTGCGCGGGAGGAGAATCACCCTGGCGCGGGATTGCGACATGTCTTGCTGCACATGTCAATTGCCATCCGGCCTTTGTGGTGGTCTGTGCCGGCAGAGGATCAAATCCGGGGTGAATACCCCGGCATCTCGTCTTGGAGATTTAATTTATCCCTCCATCGTTAATTCTACCCACGCTGGTGCACATCAAGAGAATGCATTCAGATGTAAGTGTCGAGCATGGTCTTTGCTATCGTGGCGTGCTTTCTGCCTATCGCGTGCTTCCCTGCCGACTATGGGCAGATAACGAAAATCCCCGAGAAAAATTTGAAACCAGCGGTATTGTTCCAGGACACTCCAAACGCCATGCACAAGAGTCCGATTCCAGATTTCCCGTTCTCCTCTACACTTCCTCTGCACGAGATTTTAGCAGCACGTCCACATGCGACCTTTGCACTGAGAGCTGGTCACTCCCCTCCTGCTCTTTCAGCAGAACTGCTAGCACCTCGATGGGTGGATTGAGGTTGAGTTTGTGTGCACGCTTCCACCGTTTAATTCGTGCGATGCCGGTGCTGGGCTGCAATGCGGAGAATAGGTCAGCATAGTGAAATTTAGATTTTTTGAAACAGCCAGCAAAGCGTGATCGGCAGAGACCATGCTTACCCCGTACTGCCCGCTCATGTCCCACTCCCGAAGCACCTTTTCGTGCAAGCTTAGATCCTCCTGGTGGACCCTCGGCGCCTTCCGCGCAGCCTCCTTATCCTTCCAGTACTTCTGGATCCTTTTCTCGGATATTCTCCTTGCTTCATCCTCCTCTGGTGTACTGCTGGCCTGGTGGGCGACGACTTCCTGCTCCGCCTGCTCGATGATGGCAGCTTCGGCGGTTGCCGGTTCGCTGTCGGCCGTGGTGTCGACATCAACGATGTCATCCTTGGACCCTTTCGTAGCCGGCTCAGACACAAGGTTGTTCTTCGCGTTCTGCACTCTCGTTCCGGCCTTGGTGACTTTGTTCGACGCCCCGTGGAATGCAAGGGTTGATTGGTTTGACCCGGGCGCAATGCCCGAGCTGCGTCGTTTTGGCGGCATTATAGGATATCCTCAGTCGATATTGGATGTGGAATAAGATGTATCCAATGCAATATCGGGACTGGGTGAGATGGAGGTGGTGAGTTGAAGCTGGTACGTGACCTCAATTAGGCAAAGCTGACGTTGGCATGGAAACCTTGGAACGCGGCTTTTTCGCCTCGAACCGCGCTAGCATGTGACCAATTCACCGCTTCGGCCTCGCTATACCACGCTGCAAGAAGGAACTGTGCACTGAAATCTCCGAAGCAGGCTGCTGTAGTGAAATCGGCCAAGCTGTGTGGTAAGCCGCTCTCCTTATTGTATTCTTCCTTTGAATAACTTGCTTTCCAAAGTCGTCCATAAAACCTTGGGACGACCCCATAAACCCCCTGGAATTTTCTCCAGTTTCCTTTCAGTTTGCCCCTCGCTGAAGTGAATTGTGGTAGATGTTTACGCTTTCTTTCACTATCAGTCAAATCCTTCCCCTTGAGCTTGTTTTCTGTCACCTCTTGAAATTTTCATAGGAAAGTTCTAATCACAATCACAGCACATCCTGTCTCTCTTATTAAACAACTAGCCATTGTCCATTATGACCTCCACGACACCACCAGAAGTCGCCGCGCACGTCGAATCCCTAATCCCCAAATTCCATCTCACCCGTCTCTTAAAACAAGATCAAGCCGGCCGGCGCATCTCCCTCCTTGGTACCATCGACTCGCAACCGGCCATCCTAGTCGCAGAACGTGCGGCCTTTGCCACTGACAGCTCACATCTAACCTCGTTCTCCACGTCTCTCTCCTCCATCAAGAACCTAGGCGCCAACGACATCTACAGCTGGTTCCTCGCCTCAAGCGGCCAATTCTCCACCCAACCCCCAGATCTAAAGCTCAATCTCATATACCCATGCACCTCACAACACGAGAAGAAATACGCCGCGCAAGGCCTACGAATGGTAACAGAGACACCGGAAATATATGCCAAATACGTCCGACCCTTTATGCAGCAAAAGCGCGAACAGGGGCGCTTGAACTGGGTCTTCAACATCATTGAAGGCCGCACCGAGCAAGAGGACGTCATATACCGCGAGCACGGAAACGAAGGGTTTCTCCTCCTTCCAGACTTGAATTGGGACCGCAAGACGCTTTCGTCGCTGCACTTGCTCGGGATCGTCGAGCGGCGAGACATCTGGTCTGTTCGCGACCTCAAGAAGAAGTATATAGAATGGGTCAAGCACATGCGAGACAAGCTTCTGGATTCGACGGTGAAGTTATATCCGGAGTTAGAGAGGGATCAGTTGAAGCTATATGTTCACTACCAGCCTACGTACTACCACTTCCATATTCACATTGTCCATGTCTCACTCGAGGCTGGTTCTACGCAAGCTACGGGTAAAGCGCTTGGTCTGGAGAGCATTATAGAGCAGCTAGAGATAATCCAAGGAGGAGATGAAGCAGGAATGGCGGATGTGAGTCTAACATATCATTTAGGGGAAGCAAGTGAGTTATGGGAGAAGATATATTTACCACTCAAAGATGGACAGCCAGTTGAGTTATAGCACGGGGTTATTGCGAGAGGGGTAAACAGATAACATTAGGTAATTGAGAGTTTGTAGCTAACGCTAGACTCTTACAGTAAGCCTTACGGAGCGGATGGACAATGCAATGCCAAAGTTAAAGCAACCTTAAACCCACATACTACCAACACTGTCTAAAGATATTTTGAATACACAACAGCATCCGTTCCAGACCCAAGCCCCCCTACGACCTCTCTTGAACTCTGCGTCCTCCCATCCTTCTCACTCGATGTGCTGGTCTCGTTTGTATCATTAGTCTCGCTTGAATCCAGCCCCTCCATGGACTGCCTCCGAGTTTGCCCGCCACCCTCTCTATTAACTATCCTACGATCTTCTTTCTCAACTTCTAGTCTAGCCCATGTCATGTCTGCTGCCGACTTTCGCTGGTCTATCGCCTTCGATGTTGTTGCACTCTGTTTGACTCTCGACAAGCTGGCCGTCAACGTAGGTCGAGGTATTGTCAGAGGAGGATTGAAGTCGGCTTCCGTTTTCATACGATGCATTTCTCCAATCTGACTCCTCCTTACGTCGCTTTCACCCGCCCGACGCCAGCAAAAAAAACTGCCCCAAAACTTACCGCCGGAGGTTGGTATATGGAGCCATGGCCGTTCCCTCAAACTGAAAATGAGACAATCTACAGCGCCCATTAGGGTAACGCATATTGTGCTCGTTAAGCCCAGCCAGTATAAAGGATGGGCTGCCCACTTGTCTTGGTACATTAGGCAATGACTTGCGAATGGAACAATCCACATCAGGATGTAGACGAGCGGGTAGATGAACATAAGACGGAGTTGGCGGTGGATGCGTGATCTTTCTCGAGCGAGACGACGTTGGACGTGGGTTATTGGGCAGGTGCTTAGCGGCGAAGTATCGTGGGAGTCGTTCCCCGTGTTGTTTGCAGATGGTTCACTATCAGCGATGCGAGGCGGAGACGGTGTAACAGACTGAAAGCGTCCTGCTTGTTCAAGTGGGTTTGAGATGGAGGTTGTTGTCTCAGTAAGAGGGCTTCCTGCTAAAGTTCGGTGGCAAGCGGCGATATTGTGTAGTGCCGGTGACGCTCTATGCCCAGAGGGAATCTGCTGACTAGCGCTGCTACGCGCCTCTCCGGGAGCTCCATCCTCAATGTCTCTTCCAAATAATATTGGGGTTGTGGTTGAAACTGAAAGTTTGACGCTCTCCCCTATGGTTGAAAAGGAGCGAAATTCAAAGCCGACATGCGTATAGATGGCAACTGCAAGACCGAGGATTATTGTAGCAATTAGGTAGCGGGGAATCCAGGCCAATGCGAGACGATACCAGAATGGACGAAGAGGAAGCGTACAGAGGGCGCCTTGAGAGAGATACCCGTAATGAGGATTTACGAATGCGAGCCCAGCCATCATTGCTGGAACCAGGAGTCCGGCAACGTAGATGCAACGACGAAGGGGATAGAGACCATCGGATCGTACGGATGTGGACGGGCGGAAGACCTGAAGAGCGCTATGCACAGCGATCACGAGGACAGCGTAGTCTATGATGATTGTCAAGGAGGGTTTCTTTACTTCGGGATTTGTCAATACTGACCGCTTGTCTCCGTGCCGTACTGGACTAGGAAACCGCTAGCTTGACAAAAAGAAGATTCGGTAGGGACGGTGCCCCGCGCGATGGAGACTATGGAGAATATGAATAGCCATGTTGCTTTCATCAAGTCACCGTATATGAGGAGTATGATTAATCTACGCGCGGTATCTGTCAGCGCAATTGGCACTATATTGATATTGGACGTTGTACCTATGACGGAAGTGTTTCTCCATCCGACAAAACCAGTAAAAGGCGATGAACGCGGCCGCCATTGACATGGCAGCACACGTTGCCGCTACCACCTGCACGACAAATTTTCTGTGTTCGGGGTAGAGGCTGACAGAGCTAAACTTGCTGTGACCGACCTGAGGTGTAGGAATAGGAGAAGAGGAGACGAGAGGAGCGACGAGCATTGAATGAAGAAGGAAGATAGAGCCCGAAAGTATAAAGTCAGGCGGTTGGGAGCGGATACCCGGGAGGAAACGATCGATGCGTAGATTCCTCTTTCCTGCACCCGACATGACGTTTCCTGAACGGCTACCATCTGCGAAAACACGCTATCTGGGACTGGAGAAGTAACGAAAGAACTAAGACATATGAGAGAAAAGGTGGGTGATAATCTTGCAAGAATAGTCCCTGAAAATTTAATATCCAGGAAGTGGAAGACAAAGTCGCCGGAAAACTGTTGCAATGACGGGATTCCTGAGGATTAGCACTAGATGTCCTACAGGGGTCATGAATTAGGATGCTGAAAACAGTGAACACAAAGAGACTGACAAGTTGTGATTGCAGACTCCCCACTACCCGGAACCGTTCCTAGCAAGACAAGCGCGTTAATTGTCTACGAGGAATCTCACAAGTGGCCTGGGAACATTGTTGAATCTGCGAAAGAAAGATGAGAAGTCTAGCCTTTCAGAAGCCGCTCTGCTTCGAAGTGTAATAGTTGACCCACTTCCCCGCTCACAGCTCCGCTTAAAACGAACAACAGTCTCATGTTAGTATTTTCACCACTATCATTCGCTATATTTCATTCTTGAAGTTTCTTGTGACTTGACGCTTAACCGCTTTCAACGAGGCTTCACTTGCAGATGTCTTTTGGCAGAGACATGGTTGCCACTTTACCGCGTGGTAGATAGGCGCATCAACGCAATCTCTAGACCCCGATCCTGGATCCTCCTCTTCGATTGAGTTGATGTTGGGAGAGTCGGCCATAAAAGGCACGGGGTGTGGCATGGCGCACGTACATGGTGTGTTTAGCGCTCAATCGAGAGAGGGTGACAGGACAATCAGACTGAAACGCAGCTCACCACCTCCCGCTTCCTCTTCACGTTTGAGGAAGCTCCGAACTCCGAGGTTCAAGGCTTTCTCGCTAAGCACGTCTTCGTCTGCAGCAAGCTCGCCGCGATCCAGCGGGCCCTTCCGTCGGCCGTCCATTTCCCAGAGACGGTTCTTTGCCGACTTGACAAAGCACACGTAGTGGAGGTCGATCTTGTCATCAGCAGACGGGGCTGCAGTGTCGCCTCCAGCAGCTGCGGATTGATGCGCACTCTCAAGAGCATCCGACTCGTACAACAGGTTTGCCCGGTCAGCGGGCTTCAATGAGATAGCATCGCTGAGCAGCTTTGAAAGACTCGAGTCGGGTCCTAGAGCACTCGTTAGGTCTTGGTGGTGCTGGGCAAATTGGGAAGGGGCGCAACAAACCGATGTAGGACCGCGCTTCCCCATTAGAGACTCCATGGAGCAACCCAATCAGACCGCAAGCATTGCCAATCGTTTGCTTGTACCATACAACCTCTTCATCTGGCCCGTGACCTTGGTACTCTTGCCGGTCTTGGTCTTCCTGAACACGGAACTTCTCGTACGTCTCGCTGACGGGAAAAATGAGCAGCAGTGCATAAGCGGGGCGAGGGACAAAGGCGAGCATGTCTGGATCGTCGATGCTCCAGACGTCATGGAATGACAATTTCTGGGACAGCCCGAGATTGTGGACGAGCGACGACATGACGTCGGGATTGTTCTCTGGCGGGGCTCGTTAGTAGCCAATCTTGCACTCTATGATGTGTTGCATACCGAGAGGAATGAACCTCTTTGCCTTGGGCGGAACATCGGGAGAGTCTCGCGCCGCCATCGTGGTGGATGAGTGTCGAGCTGAGGTTGTGGGGTTAAGGGAGCTTTAAGTACGTACTTGCAGCTCCCAGCCGCGGCGCGGGGCAAACGCTGCAGGCATCAAGCTCGTGCGTCACTGGCACGCCTCAAGCTTCAGGCATCACAGATCTTGGGATATTGCCAATCCTGTCGCCTGCTTCTATTTCTATATCGAAGGCAGAAGTGGATATTCAAGCAGGCATTATTTGGCCTGCATAATTCTTACTTTTGAGTTCTATGGTAGATATAACGCATACGTCTATCGGACAGTAGCCCCTTTCAATGTGCTTACAGTGCACATGCCCGCTGCTGTTTTCAGCCTCCCGACGCCTGTCTTCTTGTCAGATCCTTCGCCAGAAAGCTGCGGAACGCCTTCGACATCGAAGCCGACTTCAAGCGTGTCTGTGGTTGTGAAGCCTGGTTGAATAGTCTCCCAGATCTTCTTCTTCGGGTTCAGAACGGGCTCAGGTTCACCCTCCCACCCTTCGAAAAATACCCTGTCTCCAGCTTTTGAGTCTGAGGGCGGATTGACAAGCTCTACGGGTCCTTTGTGGCTATCCTCCCCTTCTGCAACCCTCGGCGAGGCAGCAAGAACCATAGCGGCGGACTTGATGCCACGCATAGTCACAGGCTTGAGGTTGCAGACAGCAACAATCTTTCGATTCTGCATCTCCTCGAGAGGTATCAATCCATTGAGACCGGAGCATACCGTCCGCACAATCTGGCCTTCATATTCTGACGTATTGTCCGTTCCTGGCGCATCGCCGCATGCGATGGTGCTGACGTAAAGCGAATCTGCGTTGGGGTGGGTGGTAGCTTTGAGGATGTGTCCGACGCGGAGATCAATCAGACTTGGAGACAGCTGTTTCTCCACCGGAGCTGCTTTCTGAGCTTTCGGTTGCTTCTCCTTCTTCTCCTTCTTCTTGGTTGGCGCACCCTCGGGCGGACCACCGGCAGCAGAAGCTATAGCATCATCAACCGCCTGGAGTTTGTCCTTGCCCTTCTCCTTCTTGCTCCTGCGTCCACCCTCGGAGGGAGTCTGGTCGCCGGCTAAGGTGGTGGGCGTTGCTGCGCCTGACGCGGCCGCGCTTGCCGCAGCAGATTCCCTCTCCTTCTTTTTGCGCTCCTTCTCTGCTTTGGCATCAACAGGCTTGATCTTGAAGATGACATTATCCACATCCACGCGAATCTTTTCCTCCAGCTTCAGGCCAAAGACGGGCGCGTTTTGCACGAAGTCCAGGTGTCGGACAATGTGATGGTATCCTTGCTCCCCCGTCCTCTCCTCCGGACCCCACTTCGCTACGATGGGTGCGAGCTTTTGGTAGAGGGCAATATCAGCGATGGAGGGTTTGGCACCAAGGAGGGTAGTGCGGCTAGAGAGGTGGGTATTCAGGGTCGACAGCCTCTCGCCAGACTTTGCGGCATCCTCAGTCGTAGACCCAAGGTGAGATGATGTGATGACCCATTGGCTAATCTCGGCCTTTTCAGCGTCGGTGTAGGTCGCAGAGGGGAAGAGAATCTGCGAAGCCTTCACGGCATCGGCCTCGGACGAGACATCTTTCGGAGTGTGCGTCTTGATGAAAGTAGCCAAGCTCTCGTCTATACCAGAGCTCGCCATTCTGGGTAGGGAAGGCTGGAAGAAGCTGGTCAATAGTGGCTGGAGTGGGATGAGGAAGTCAAGCTTGAGTGTGGGAGAGATAGAGATCGAAGCACTGGTGCGAAGTGGTGCTGTCGACGCGGCGTGCAGAGGAAATCTAAAGAAGGTCGTGCGTGGATTGGAGAATTGGCGGAGTGGACTGCAAAGCAAAGTGCGGGCAGGTGAGGGTTTGTGAATATGCATGCCTGCGTGACTCAAATGCTGGTCAAAATTCACCGCGCGTTAGAGGGGCACCAAAGGCGCACAGGCCATGTTACAGATTGCAGACCGCGCCCAAGCGTGAAGTGCAAGGCTTTTCTCCTGCATGTTATCAAGTAACGTAGAACTTAATTAGAGTAGACTTTACCGTTCAACTCCTTACTGGAATTAGGATGAAGGTTAATAAGATGCAAATGCCTGCCCTAAATTATCCTAGACATGTTCCAGTTAGGTGACACTATGCAATACATCAGCTTAACTGATTCTATTGTCTATGTTCATCATATCATCATGCTTTATGCTATTTATGTAGTGTATGCTGTTTAAACAGTCCAGACCAACACTTTTAGAAATCATCAGCTGTGTCCCTCCAAACCTTTGTGCCCTAAATGGTCGACACACTGTTAGATGCAGTTAGCCCTGCTTCTTGAGCGCATCGACAAACGCTTTGGGGGGATCTTGATTATATCCCTCCGGGTTATTCTCCGTCCATTTCCAGAGGTCACGACAAGCGTCCTCAAGCGTAAGCTCTGTCTTCCACTTCAGTTCCTGGTTAGCTAGGGTTGGGTTGGCCGTGAGGTCTAGGACATCACCAGGGCGGCGTTCCACGACTTGGAAAGGGAGATCATGGCCAACGACTTTGCTGAAGGCCTTGATCATGTCGAACACGGTGGATCCAGTACCAGTACCCAGATTCCATGCCTTTACACCGGGATGATGCTCACGGAGGTAGTTGAGAGCAACCAAATGACCCCTAGCAAGATCAAGCACATGTATGTAGTCCCGAATGGCAGTCCCGTCTTTGGACTTGTAATCTAATTTTAGTTAGATAGTTACAACACATCAATAAAGAAACAAGCTCACCGTCTCCGAACACAAGTAACTTCTCTCGCTTGCCAATAGCCACCTGAGCGAGAAGTGGGAGAAGGTTGTATGGAACGCCTAATGGATTCTCGCCCATGATACCACTGGGGTGAGAGCCCGCTGGGTTGAAGTACCTCAGCAGGGCGGCATTCCATTGTTCACCTGACTTTCCCGCTTTCTTGGCGTTGTTTCGCTGGGCCTCGATGTGATCTGTGATCACGGACTCAACAGTGGACTTGGTCCGGCCGTAGGTGTTGGTGGGGCCTATGGGACAATGCTCCGGGATAGGGATCATATTTGGGAAACGGGTTGCATCCCCGTAGACTGTGGCGGACGAAGAGAAGACAATATTGGATACATTATGCTTCGTCATAGAACGAAGAAGGGCAATGCTACCATATACGTTTGTTCGGTAATACTCCAATGGAATTTCGGCAGACTCGCCCACAGCCTGACCATGTTTGGTAAGCTAGTTCGTGGAGAAGGGGTTGGAGGATGCGTACCTTTAGAGCAGCGAAGTGGATGACGTTATCAATGTCAGGGTGGTCATCGAATACTTTGTCTAGAGCGGCTTCATCCGTAACGTCAAGCTTGTAGAAAGCTGGACGCTTTCCGCATATGAGCTCGATGCGGTTAACGACCTCTTGGGATGAGTTGTACAAATTGTCAACAATGACAACTTTGTAGTCCGCCTCGAGGAGAGCCAGTGCGGTGAATGAGCCAATATAGCCCGTTCCACTGCTCATGTTAGCCTGTGGCTGGACTTTTCATTGCGACATGGCGCCGTACCCTGTGACAAGGACTGATCCGACAACCATCTCGGACGTGGTTCGATGAGAGCAAGTTAGTAAAAGGGTTCAATTGAAGGCAGCTGAGTTTCAGCGAAGTGAGTGTATGTCTAGCAAGCGAATAGACTAAGTGTTGTTGGAATGAGGACGTAGGACGATGTTAAAGGTTCAGGTGTCCACTGCGACATGCAACTTGCGGACAGGCCCGCCATTTTGGCTTGCTTGGGGCGGTGAGCGGCCCGCATACCACGCAAAGTTAGTGAACCGTTTCCCACCTGCATTTCTGCTGCATATTGTCATCTAACGTGGAACATACCTATAGTAATGAAATGTGCATCTTATTAACATACTACCTAATTCTAGCAAGGCATTTAACAGTAACTAAGGTCTACTCAATTCTGTTTTAGCTACATTGTGTGATAGCATGCTGTCGCTCAGTATTGCAAAGCTTTCGTCAAATTTGAATTAAATCTAGCATCTCATTGGGCCCCCAAAGACGAGTGTTTTCCCGATTTATAGGTCACGGGTTCCTATCCTGAAAAGCTACAGTCCTAAGCTTCCCGTGTTCTCCACTTTTGACTAGTCGTTGGAGATTCCCGAGGTAGAATTTCAGAGTGGCTGCTTACGTAAAGTGTGGCTGGTAACGTTAGTTATTACCTCTAACGCAGGCACGCACGCCTCGGACGCGCGAAGACATCACCAACTCTATCATCACGAGTTGACATACCCCCGCCCCGCCCAAGAAGATGCTTGTTGACCCTATCTCAAAGTATCGAAGGCTTCCATTCCATTTAATAGATTCTCCATAGCTGCATCCACACCGGATTCTCGACGCGTCGAGCCTAGGAAACTCCTTGTTGTTCCACGTGTTTACCCAATTCCTGCAACGACTATAACCGCAACAACCATTACCGTGATACTCGTCCGAGATACGTCATAGCTAGGGAACCGGGTCTGTTTGCTGTTGGGAGTGGAGTGCCTAGAGTCTGGTATACGTTGTGGTTCAAGGTAAGTCAAATGCCGGTTCTCTGATCCCTGTTCACGTCAACGGTGAAAGCTTTGTGAGCACACTCTTCATCTTCACCATGAATATTTTCCCCCAGATTGATAACTTTTATATTCAAATACTATTTTGGCACCACCGCCACTATTGTACCTGATTTTTTCAATTGTTCGAGGAACACAGTTTTTCTTTCAACACCCTCCTTCCCATCCAGTCTCCAGATCAGATACCTCAAACATACATTCTCGCCCTCAATTAAAGCTAACCCTCAAAAGCATATTTGCGTCAGATTCGCGTTCATATTTGTCAAATTCCCCTTCAATCCTACCTCAACAGCTGTTGTATCCTGCTACGACCAACATGTCTCAAGTTCCTGGAACGCCTCTCCGTCGCTCTACACGCCTTTCCGTTGCCCGTTCAGTTGTTACTTCCGTCGCCGAGACCACTGCCACTCAGTCTCGCGCTGCTACTAACCGCCGCAAGGGCCCCTTACCCAAGGTCCAGGCGCAACAATCCCACGCTTACGGTTCCGCTGGTCGTCTAGCCACAGCTCAAGACCTGACGGTTCCTAACTCTGGTTTTGCTCAGGCCTTCGGCGCCCAGCGTGACAATGCTGTGGCCCGCGACGAAGAGCGGCCCTCCGGCCGTGGCTCTTCACCAGCTTCTTCCAGCTCCATTCCTATTATCGTGAAGCAATATGCCCGCGACTCCCGGTCTCCTGCTCGAGCTCCCTCACGTTCCCCACCGCTTGAGTCAAATGACGAGTTCGAGGAAAATGCTAACGGTAGTGGTATTGCTGGTAGTGCCAGCCCAAGCATTAATAGCGGCTCACCCACTCCATCTTATGTCAATACGACCAAGTCTTTCGGCATGGTTCATGAAGCTGGAATGACTGCCGCGCCGGCAGTTCAACTCAACGGTACTCCTTGCGCCCTCCCCCACCCTATCCATGACGGCAATGAAGACGGCAATGCGGATACCCACCCTCACAAGTCGTACTTCTTCCTCCTGCTGATGACGTTCATGCTCGGCTGCTTCGCTGTCGGTTTCCTGGCCATTCCTGGCGTGCCATCTATCAACACTACCGAGTCTTCCGCTATCAGCATGCTTAGTGCTATTAACTACCGTATCGTTTACACCTGGAACGGGATTAAAAACGCTATCATGCCGCAAGTTGACGGTGGGAACACTGAGCCTGGTGTCACCTATGGCTACGACCTCTCTCACCGCGTTGCCAACGTCGAGAAATCACTTGCTAATCTCGATGGTACTCTTACCCGCTTTAGCGAGTACCTGCCACCGGCCATCGTCCTGCGTCGCAACAAAAAAGGCCACCTGGAGATTCCGGATGAATTCTGGCGTGCCCTGGAAAGCAAACTCAACTCCGAGGGCCTCAAAAACCCCACAATCACTAGTGATGTCAATTGGATCGACTTCTTGTCCAAGAATCAAGCGAAGATCACTCAGCTGATCCGACACGAACTCAACAATGACACTCGCCAGTCCACCCTCGAGATCATCCAACGCAAAGAGTTCCTCGACCTTCTACATCTAGAATACACAAAGATATCCGACCGTGTTGATCGGAAAATTGCCGAAGCCAATAAAGCCTTCTCTAAAGAGGCCAAGACTGCGGCGAGGCAAATTGCCTCCAAAGCGTTCCTAGACCAAATCCGCTTCGACGCTCTTGCCTATTCCAACCTTGTCGCCAATGCTGAAATTAGCCTCCGCAAAGTCAACTTCTTCTCTCCTGGTCTTGGCGCTCGCGTAGATCCGTACAAGACATCGTCGACCTTTGTGGACTCCTCCTCTTTACAGTCTTCGACGTATAGACGACTGTTGTCGCTTCAAATCCGCCGTCCACCAGTCAGTGCTCTGGAGAAGTGGGACGAGCCTGGAGAGTGTTGGTGTGCGGCTCCCACTGATGGCAAAACGGGCTTAGCGCAGCTGGCCGTCAACCTTGGTCAGAATATGATCCCGAAACAGGTCACCGTCGAACACTTACCTAAAGAGGCCTCTCTCGATGTCGGCAGTGCCCCTAAGGACATGGAATTGTGGGTTGAGACGGACGTCTCTGTCGAGGACCTAGGTTGCAGTGAAGGCCCTAAGGGATGGGCTTGCCTGGGCAAATTCAAGTACAATGTCCACGGCTCCAACCACGTTCAAACCTTCAACCTGGACATTGATCTTTCTGCACCTGTAAGCAAGACCCTGGTACGGGTCACTAGCACCTGGGGTGCTTCCTATTCTTGCCTGTACAGGCTGAGGCTTCACGGAGACAGGGCCTGAGCGGCGACTTTTGTTACTATTTTCTTTTTTTTGGGTTTGTATTGGGATATTGGGCATTGGGATTGGGGCTCTGCGGTGTTTTTGGAGTTCTGATTTTCACGAGTTGTATACCCTTCCTGCCACAGTCCTGTAGTGCATAGTTCGGAATTAAAAGCATACTAAAGATGTCCTGTGCTTCTGAAAAGCCTTCCACTACTTACTTGGCCCTCTCTGTGAATGCGGCGCATGGTGACGATGGCTAGCTGACTATTTAGGGTGAGAATGTACCATCTGCTATGCTGTTCAAATCCATGTTAAACATGTACTGGCTTGCTGAAGAGAAGGCGAGCCTCGCTCGTCCTCAATGGATACGCGATGTCACATGATCTTATCGATAGCCCCAAAACGGAGCTGCATCTCTCTAGAACATCACCGACGTTGTCCGAAGCTTCCAGTGACACCACTGCCGACTTCAAAAGTGTCGGCGCATTCGCGCCCATAACACCAATGCACTCTCTCAACCGTTGCTTCCTTTCCTCTTCTCTCCTCTACCAACTGCGGTTAGCAAGATGTTTGGCGTAATAATATCCGGCCGTCCTGTCCTCGTCGAAGCGCAAACCATCTCTGCCACACAATTCGCATTCACGCTTCCCACGGCACCTCCATTCTCCCACATCGTTGTGTTCCTGTTGCCAGGAACCACACTCCCAGATGGCACTGCGGCAGCGGTATACGCGCAATTGGCGGGAGCTACGGAATTCAAATTGCTTGGTGCGATCGCAAACGAGAAACCGTCTGCAATATTCAAGGTTAATAAGTCGGCTGGAGGACCCGCTGGTGGGGGACTAGGTGGTGATGACGACGCGATGGTGGACGAGGGTCCATCAGCGCTGGAAAATGGCACTGTGCTGAGCGTTACTTTGGGTATTTCGGTCGAGCCAGCGACCCAGGTCCTTGCAAACCTCGAACAAAAGAAGGCGCAGGAGGCAGCAACTTCTGCGGTGCCACTAGCCGGGTTAGAGTTGGTGAGGAAGGGAAACACGACGGCTGAAACTAAGGTTCTCGCGCAGCGCATCATCAAAAACTGCTATGATTTTCTCGCGAGTTGGGGCACCGGGGACACGGTGCCATTGAAGGCTTTCCAAGCTTGGTGGACCAAGTTTGAGGGCAAGATGGAGAGAGATCCTAAATTTTTGGAGCGAAGTGATAGTGGTTGAGTGGCGCATTCGGCTAGCATCATCAGTGAGTGAGTTGAGCATTTGTCTGTATGAGTAGCATCAGAGCATAAAAGTATTATATATTGTGCTTTCCTCTCCAACTCTCCAATTGAATAGAACATCCCTTTCACCCTATGTAAGATTAATCCTTAGGTAGATATACTAAGATTTCTTTGAAACTTGCCACAAGGTCAAAGCTCAAGCTCCCCACCAAGACCTTCTCGACGCGCCAACCCATTCCCACGCCTGCTGGCTTTACCTAACCATGATATCTCTCCCAGGTCTCCACCTCTCCAACCCTACTCCTGAACCCCCTAGTACCGCCGAGAGCATTGTAACTCGCACTCAAGACCTCCTCGCCTGCTCCGAGTACCGATTCGAAGTCCCTTTCACGCGCACTTTGACCATCAGGCTGCTCACTGGGACCGCGGAGTTCTTCGGCACCGAGCTCGCCCCATCGTCCACCTATACATTCACTGGCACTAAGGGCGCCGTCTACACATGGCGTGGCTGCAAACTTGAGATTGGGGGCTTGGCCGAGAGCGAGTACACGAGCGAAGAGACACAGATGATGAGCTATGCGAACGCGCATTTCGCCCTCGAGAAGCTGCGCGAGAGGAGCGTACAAACGGGCGAACTGGGGCCGCGGATTCTAGTAGTCGGGCCTGAGAATGCAGGGAAGACGAGCGTGGTCAAGATCCTCACATCCTATGCTGTGAAGGCTGGACGACAGCCCGTGGTCGTTAACCTGGACCCCCGTCAAGGCATGCTGAGTGTACCCGGCTCCGTTACTGCGGCCGCTTTCTCGTCAATTATTGACATTGAGGATAGCTGGGGGAGTAGTCCCATTTCAGGGCCGAGCCCGGTTCCGGTGAAGATGCCGCTGGTATATCATTACGGCATTGCAAATCCGGACGAGGGCAGCCTCTTCAGGCCTTTGGTGACGAGGATGGCCCTTGCCGTCACGAGCAGGCTAGAGGACGATAAACCCTCGAGGCAGGCTGGTTTTATTATTGACACTTCGGGGGCCATCAGTCACGGGAAGGGCGGTGTTTACGAGAACATAGACCATATAATATCTGAGTTTTCGGGTGCGTGTGATGTCCTTGTCCTGCCCCATTGCCGTCATATACCGCTTCAAGCCGGCAAACACTTGCTGATTTATTCACAGTCAATGTCCTCTTCGTCCTCGGCTCAGAACGTCTCTACAGCGACTTGGCCCGCAAGTACTCGAATCGACCAACCGAAGAAGCCGTCTCTGTCGTGCGCCTCGACAAATCGGGCGGGTGTGTGGACCGAGATGAGGCCTATATGAAGCAGCTTCGACAGGCCCAGATACGAGCCTACTTCTTCGGACACGGCGAGAACACTCTTGGGCCTCATAGCCACATGGCAGACTATGATGAGCTAAACATCTTCCGGATCGTCGATGGTACGTAATCACTTCACCTAAAGTTTATATACTTAGCATTATAGCTGCCTCTGATGCGAATTCGTCCTTCCGACCGGGTAACGATGATGATGACGTCTACGGCTCTACGAACAACATCTACACGAAGGCGACTCCCTCACCGATGATTCAGAATTCCCTTTTAGCTGTCACGACAGCCGCTGCAACCGACTCGCAGGAAGTCATCCGGGATTCGAGTGTTAGGGGCTATATCTATGTTGCAGATGTTGACGATGTGAAAAAGAAGGTGAGGTTATTGTCTCCTCAACCGGGCCAGACGCCATCGAATGCTATCATACTGGGTTCATTTCCAGAGGATGTTCCCGGTCTAGTGAGCTAAGGGAATAGAGCATGAGCCACCCTGGCCTGGTGGATAGTAGGTTATGAAAAGTTCGCTCAAAGTTTACTTAGTGTGGGAGTAGGTTGCAAGCTAGACAAAGCCATTCACATTAGCGGGTATCTAGCTATGTAGATCCATGTTGCGTTCAAATAGAATGCATATCTACCAAATGTTCGACATCGAACCAGACCTTCAAGCCTTAGCAAGATCTACCTTGACTTGATCTAGGAGATCCTTCAATATCTTCTCGGCGCTTCTTATGCCTTGAAGCGCGTTCTCGTCCGGTCCTTTTCCAGGATGCCATGTTGCATGAGCAAAGTCAATCATCTTGACAGCTGCAAGCTTCGGAAGATCTTTCTCTTCGTCGTCTTCGTCCGTCGGTTCTTTGGCCGCTGCGGCCAGGGTCTCCTTGGTTTTCGCATATTCTTCCAAATCACCCTCATATACAAGGAGTATACTCGCCGAGTACATCCTGCTCTCTTTGCTCTCGAAGGCTTTCTGAATATCTGCGACTTCCTTCGAGAAGTAGGTAAGAACCTCTTCAGCTCTTTCCAAACCGGCTTTTGATCTAGACTGTGGGAGCACGTAGGCAACAAACCCCTCCATAACATCCTCTGCGTTGAACTTGCGGCCATACATCTTGTTGTACACCCACGTCCCGCTCTGATCAATCTTGTCTACAAATTCTTTAAGAGTCTCATCGACCTCAGGCACCGGCTCCCCCTTGTAGGTGCGCATACCGGCAATCCGAAATCCCAGCGACCCACTCGTCGTCTTAGCGGAGACCTCATCCAGCCGAGCCCGCTTCTCTAGCTTCGCTGCCTCGTCCCATAGCTGAGCCCCAAGCTTCAGATCCAGAACATTGGGCTTCTTAAACCCGTGCGTAATATTCTCTAGCACGATATGCACCTCAGTCTCTAGTTTCCTGCCATGGAGACGCTCAAGGCCATTAGCAGTCTGGATCATGCCGGACTCTGCGTCTCCTGTGACAACCTTCTGGTCCGCCCCAAGCGAAAGCGTGCCCATGTAGGTCGGGAGGTGCGGGGCTAAGTCGGGGTGAGATGCGGTGACGGATTCGTAGAAGTCGATTTCGGCTTGCGTGCATGGCTTCACCACCACGGAGCCGGATGCGTCGGATAGGACGCCGTCACTAGGAAACAACGTCAGCCCAAAGTACTGTATCTTATCACTTAACGTGGAACACGACAGGGAGTGGACTAGGGATAGAATTCTGCATCCCTCTAACTCTCTCCCCTTCTTCTAGCAAGAAATTTAACAGAGAGGCTCCGCCCTAATCATGTTCCACGTTATGTGGTAATTTGCTGCACAATGTAGTGGAAGCTGAACGGGGTGCACGTACTGGCCGGCAGCGGCGTGGCCGAAGGCCTGGAGGCTGGAGGGGTCGAAGGCTTTCTTTGCCATTGCGTGGTATGAGTAAGTGACTGTGCGTGTGTCTGTGTGTGTGTCTGTGGGTGGGTAGATTCGAGTGAAGGTGGATGGTGGAACGGTATTAGTAGTGTAGAATTGAGGGAGCAGTGGGTGTGGCGTGTAGGGCTGAGACATTGCCCCACGCGCTTGGACGACCGTGCTCTGTGAATGAGAGCGAGTCAAGTTTACTTCCACTGTTAAGCTTCATGACTCGTGGTAAATGCTTAGTAGTAAACGGTGGACCTTCACCTCACCAGGTACAACTGCTCATCTTGTGAATCACGTGGGAACGCGTCTTATTGACACTTAAGAGAATTGAATGATCATGCTTCTTGCTTGTGAACTTAATCAATACAGGTCACGCTGGTTGTACCTTTTTTATGTGTTTGGTCACACCAGAAGCCTCTACAAACAATGCTGACCGCAGACTCCAACTTTTACATCCCCCACGAATGCTTGAACCAACCCCATTTCTGAACTTGCACCTTCGTCCAATCTCCCAAGAGCCATCGATTAGATATGTTTTAAGAAGATCCCAGAATCTACTTCATCCGTAATTACCTCACCTTTACCTATTCTCTCCCTTGACTCTTTCAACTAACCTTGTTTGCTTCTGCGACTCACCCAACCGGCCGTCCACTGACTGATCATATCGGAATAGACCACCAAACTTAACATGTCCGAACCAACCAGTGCGCCAGGAGCTCTCCCTAGCGAGGACGCCACCTCAGTCCCCATTCAAAGCTGCCCCCAAGTGAACGATAGCAGTACACTAAACAAGGTGAACCAAACGGTTAATGGCGAGCATCCCGATGGACCCAAGATTCGCCAACAGGTTCGTTCTCAGATAAGTATCATGGCACAGCCCGACACACTTTGCTAACGGCCCAATAGGTCGAATTCTATTTCTCCGACGAGAACCTTCCAATGGATCTCCACTTGCTCCATTGCTGCGGCGGCCGCAAAAACATTCCCGTCTCCTTGAACCGCATCCGCGGCTTCAGGAAGATGCGTAGGTTTAAGGATAAAGCCTTAATCGTAGAAGCTCTCCGCAAGAGTGCTTTCCTAAACGTCAGTCCTGACGGTAAAGAGGTTTCACGCAAAGTTCCCTTGTCTGGCCCTTGTCTCCTCGACGAAGTCAATAGTGATAGTGAGATTTCTCATGACCCCCGAACCCAGAAACCAATCCAACATCCAATTCCTCTGCTTCCGCAAAAGAAGAAGGAGTATCCATGCGGCAAGAGCAAGAACATGATGAAGGCGACAGGATTTGAAGATATGTATGCCGAAGCCCCTCTCACACCAGCCGAAGCTGAGGAGGAGATGGCAATGTACGATCCCGACAAGCCCTTCGTTGAACGCATTGAGATTGCCATCCAGCGCTTCAAGCAGAAACGTCGCATGCATGAGATGTATTCTAAGATTTTCAATAAATGGATGCGCTTTGGTGGTGTTGAAAGCTCTCCGCGAATGTTTGGCGGGCTCTCCAAGCAGGATATGGCTGAGATGGATGCTGAACAAATCGCCAAAGCGCTAGCAATTCACCACGTTCCTTGGGACCGAGAGGATCCGAAGCATTGGATCGTGGACTTTGAGGGGGTGGGAAAGGCGTTCCTGTGAGTTTTCCTAGTTCCACCTAGCCTACTACCGTTTCACTAGCTCCCTATTCTAGTACTACAGAGGTGCGGTTGGTTGGGCAGGCCTGCGGTGTTGGGAAGTTTCTAAAATTGGCCCACTCATGCTAACGTTCACCTAGCTCATCCTACTACCCACTGCACTATGGTTACGACCCCAACCAGATTAAGACCGCTTGCCAGGTTTTGAGATCTTTCTATAACTACTTACTCTTCCACCAAGTCTGTGACGAGTACAAAGACAGCCTCCTCTTTGCTCGAGCGGTCTGTGATCAGGCCGATGTAGAGCTCGTGAAATCCAACCTATTTGGTCTCGCCCTCCCTGGCGCATTCAATATTGCCGCAAGCACAGTCTTCGGAGGTACTCATGCTGGCCAATGCATCGTGGGCCAGCACTGGGCCGAGGAGGCAACCGAAGGCTGGGCCGGTGACAAGAATCTTGGTATGAAAGCAGAGGAGGCTAGAGTGACATTCAAGACAGCCGTTGCCATTCTCGGCACCGATGAGCAATACGCCATCATCGAAGCACAAGGAAGCAAAGAAGGTCTCAACACCATCAAGGTCGAGAAGTTTGAGGATGTAGACCTTGAAGTCGTTGCCATCAAATTCTCACCCAAGGAAGTTCAGGAAATGTACACGATTCAGAACGAGGCCTGGAAACAGAAACTTCAACTTCAACCCCTCGGCAAGCTCATATGCAGGTCTTGGAACAAGGAGGACTTCGACCAGTGGGATCTCCCCAAGGAAAAGTATCCAAAAGGCAAGATATTAAAGGAAGATGAAGGCAAGATATATGAGTTCTGGGTCGAAGACGAGGTACTGGTGGAGTGTTTCAAGGGTGCAAAAATCGAGGCAAAGGTGTTGACGCTCAGCTGCGGTTTGACTATAATCGATTCAGTGAGCGTCATTCATCCTAGCTTCTACAACTGGTTAGCAAATGAACTGTGGATGGAGAGGCACCCTCGCGAGTTCAAGCTCTCAAAGAAAGGGTTAGTAGGCTTGGACGACGAAGATGTGATAGAGGTCAATGGAGAAACGAAACAGGGAGAGGAGATTATAAATCAGGGAGACATCATCTGATTTTTCGGCGGAAGGGTATGGCGAGATGACATGAGAGGTACTTTATTCGGTATTCAGAGTCCTCACCATGGCCCCTGACGATGCGAGAGTCGGCAAACCAGCTGGAGAGGTCGCCGATATTTCTAGGCGATAGCAAAGGCTCGACGTCTTAACACCTCCCAAGGAGCAATGAGGCGCAATTTGGTTAGATAGAACCTAAACCGTGAGCAAATAGGGAATGGTGAGTTTTAAGCTAATTGCATTTTTACAGGTACCTCCGTGGCATGCCATTCCAAGTAGCAATGACGTGAGCGGGGTCTAAAGCGGGGCAACCTAACCATGTAGGTAGCTGGAAATATTTCCGCAGCTCTCAGAAATCTGCACCTATTTATAATCAAAAATTTCTTCACTTACATTCCATGTTCCTTTCTCTTTTCTTTCTCTCTTCTCCTTATGTTAACAGTCTCCCGCTTCCTAAGTTCAGCTACTCGATTCTCTTCTACGCCTTCCATTACGTCAACGAGACTAGCTTTCATACACAGGGCTCTAGCTCTGAGGTATTCAGGAATACGAACAATGGTGTCTCTTCCAAAAACCATGAAGGCCGTGTGGATTGAAGAAACAGGCGGAACAGACGTTCTACAGTATAAGACTGACATTCCCGTTCCGGAGCCTAAGGAGGGAGAGGTGCTTGTTAAAAACGAGTTCATTGGGATCAACTATATTGACACGTACTACTCCTCCTAACCCCACTTTTGAGTACCAAGTGTAGTCGTTTAACACCTTGATACTGAGGCTTGCCATCTAGCTACTTCCGCTCAGGCATCTACCCAGTACCCAAGTTCCCGTACATCCTAGGCCGCGAAGGGAGCGGGACGATTGCTGCAGTCGGGCCCAACGTCCCCTCGGATCTCACGCCCAACAAACGTGTCGTTTACATGGGCCAACACGCCTACGCTGAGTATACGCCGGTCACGGCCAACTATACTATTCCGATTCCCGACGAGATTAGCACCAAGGATGCCGCTGCTGCGATTCTTCAAGCTCTGACTGCAATTACCCTGATTCGGGAAGCGCATCCTGTGAAAAAAGGGGAATGGGTGCTTGTTACAGCGGCTGCGGGTGGCGTTGGACTGTTGTTATGTCAGTTGCTAAAAGCCGTCGGGGCGCGGACGATTGCAACTGCGAGTACTCCAGAGAAGCGGGAGTTAGCCAAGCAGAATGGAGCCGAAGTACTACTCGCCTACCATGAAGAAGATAGAGATAAGTTCGTCGAGGAAGTGTTGCAGGCGACGGGAGGAGAGGGCGTGGCTGCTGTCTTCGATTCAGTGGGCAAGGTTACGTTTGATGCGTGTTTGAAGTGCGTGAAGAGGAAGGGAAGTATGGTGAGCTTTGGGAACGCGAGTGGAGCTGTAGAACCATTCTCTATTGCGTATGTACCTCCTTAAGAGGGAATCCAGGGCGGCATGGCTTGCTGACTAGGAACAACAGCCGACTCTCCCAGAAGAACGCAAAGTTGCTCCGTCCAGCGCTCATCGCTTACATCACCACGAGGGATGAGCTACAAATGTATGCCACCGAGCTATGGGACTTTATTGACAAGAAGAAGTTGAACGTGCGGATCCATGAGGTGTATCCCTTGAAGGACGTTGTAAGGGCTACTCAGGTGCGATGCAGTCTGGATCATGCTCCGTTGGATGTTCGCTGACAGTGTGCAGGATATCGAAGGCAGGAAGACGACGGGCAAGCTGCTACTCCAGCCGTAGGTAGGAAATACTTAAGAAGGAATATCTATTCCATTGTCCGTCGAAACCGAACTTTAGTCTTGATCCGGGAGTCTCCCACATCTTTCTCATCCTTACTTGAAATATGATAGACGTGTTCCCATGTGGTCGGTATGGTCCGGCGGGCCGCTTCACAGTATGCTCTTGTATATTGTGTGGAGTTGTTATTGAGACCTAGGAGGTCCTTGCCCTCGCAGTGGCACTTCTCTGATGATAATTCCTCGTGAATCTTTCACTTACAGTCGGTTTTAACGAGGCGTTTACCGTAATACCATTAAGCTAAGGTAAATAAAATGGACTCAGTGGATTTTACAAGTCTCAAGAGGTGAGATGGTGAAAACTCGTGGCAAGATGTGAAAACATGGTCCACTAGGGGACAGGAAGGCACAGGTGACAGATCACATGTCAAATACCTCCATACTCAAGGAAGAGGATTCCGGTATCTCTCCATTTTGAACCGCTAGCACGTGACACACTCTAACTACCCACTTGTCCACCTGAGCATCCCGGATGAAGGAAACCGTATGTAATACCCACCAGGACAAGCTAGAGCCGAGTACTTGGACAACAGGCGTCAAATCCTGGGATCAGTCGACCGTTTAAATACCAGGTCCTGATTCATTAACATCTCCAATGCCATTGGCGCAATTTCCTTGGATCCACGGATGGTGTAGTAATTCCCCGTTACCCCGGAAAGTCGATCATATCTCGCAGCCCATTTGCATCAACACTACTCGAGTGTGGAGTTCAAAAGAGTTGGGCTGCGGGGAGGTTAAATATGTAATATGTAGATGGGACAAAGTCTGTCGACGAGCTTCTAGGCAATTCGAAAGAGGATACACATCGATAGAACCGAGATTAGGTATCACAAAAGACGTATTGCGGCCCGAGCCTTTTGAAATGCATTCAATAAGAGTTCAGAGAAATATCGCGGTGCGGAGAGAGAAAAAAGAATGTAGAAAGAAGGCTTGATACGATTTGTCAAATCCACAGTGCGGGGAGAATAGCACCTCACAATAAAAACCTAGAAGGAAAAGTAAGATGCTTGTTGCAAGCCACATTCCCCAAATCTCTCTTTTAACCCTTTCAGGAATCGGGAGATTTCGTTTCGAAACGCCAACATTCCCTAACCGCCACTTGGTGCACTTTTCTGCTCCCACCAGTCCTTTTATCAAATCCCCCTTGCTAGCATGTCTGAAGATTCTCTAGCGCAAATCCCACAAAGACTCCCCGTGCTACGTAATTCTCACCAAGCTACTTCATTCGCGGGAAAGATCCTACAAAAAGGTGCTGTCTTCTTGGCGATGTCTCTTGTGTAATGTGGCGTTTGTATTCCGCTTGCTTGTCTCCCTATTCTATTCACTATCGCGAACGCCAACCCGCCAAGTTTCAAAACCACCCGATGGTAAAATTGCCAGGCCTCCGTGGAAGCATTAAGCTCGGAGCTTGAGGGCGTACAATCGCCATGCCGGAATCCTGATGCTGTTCTCCGATTCTCCATCAAACGCCGTAATTTCTGGTACATCGCCAAGTCTTTCGTTATATCGCCTCATCAACAAGCATGTTTTAGTGTTTGAGGGATTGAAGGAGCTCAAATTGGTGGACTGATAACAGTCCACTTGATCCTGGTATGAGAGAACAGTGTGAACTAGGATGCACGAGATTCCCCTCCCACGAGCTATAAAAGCAACGAAATCTGCGTGGCCAACTCACCACACTTCGATATTTAACTTACTTACTCAGCATTCGTCACTCATCGGCCACCATCATGGTCACCTTCTCCTCCCTCTTCCTCGCCTGTTCAGCCATTGCGGGAGCCTTTGCTGCCCCAAGCCAGGCTCTCGATAATCGATCTCCTAGCGACCTTCTTAACACCCGCGCCGGAACTCCAAGTTCCACTGGCACGCACAATGGGTACTACTATTCTTTCTGGACGGACGGCGGTGCGACGGTGACGTATACGAATGGCGCTGGAGGCTCGTATAGCGTCAATTGGGGTACAGGCGGGAATTTTGTGGGTGGGAAGGGGTGGAATCCTGGGAGTGCGAGGTAAGTGTATTAACCGGCTTCTCAAAAAAAAATATTGTGGTGTCATTTCCGTGCGGAAGGGCTTTGGATTGATGTTGATGTCGATGTTGACGTTGGCGTGCTGAACCAGAACCATAAACTACTCCGGAACCTATACACCCAATGGTAACTCCTATCTCGCTGTATACGGCTGGACCACCAATCCTTTAGTCGAATACTACATTGTCGAGAACTACGGTACCTACAACCCATCATCTGGGGGTTCTAAAAAGGGAACTGTTAGTAGTGATGGCGGGACCTACGACATTGTCTTCAGCACTCGGACTAACGCCCCGTCTATCGAGGGGACTAAGACCTTTCAGCAGTACTGGTCAGTCCGACAGTCGAAGCGTACTGGCGGTAGTGTCAACACTAAGACGCATTTTGATGCTTGGGCTAAAGCGGGAATGAAGCTGGGGACTCACAATTATCAGATCGTTGCTACGGAGGGTTACTTTAGTAGTGGGTCAGCTTCTATCACCGTGTCTTAAGATTTGAGACTTTAGGTGGAATGCTACTGGTTTTGTAGATAGACCTATGGTATTTCGCAATTTGCTTTAGTTCCTGTTAGTGAGTGATCTTGTTAGTACTACAAACTGTGTTCTTCATCTTGAATGGATGGCACTTGTTATCTGCTACTCTGAACACTGTAAGCTTCCGACGGTGAGATGAGAGGGGTTCTTTACGCAAATGCCTCGTCGTTCTCTCCCACGCCACACCCATAAACGCACCACACATTTCACAGACAGGTAACTCTTAGGTCAACGAGAAAAATGGCATTACCCGTCTCCAGCAACGAAGCTAAGCCGAGCCGAGCTCTATGCAAATCACATAGGAGAAATCATCATCTGCTAGCACTGTATGTACAATCCATTCTTGTGCTTTCCCATCATCTTCAATGCTGGTCTCTCCTTCCTTCTTCCAACGGCTTCGTTCTCGTCCTTTACTGGTTCTTTTTTGGCTCAGTAGGATCAGCCAGAATACCCTCTGCTTCTAATCTCCTCCGCGCCTCCTCGAGTGCCCAGGTCTGAATGCTGCATGAAAAGGTCAGCCCACATCCACACTCACACCATGAAACTTCGTCAGTGATCCGCCCCTACGACACGTTCCAAATCTTGTCGGCAATAGAGAGTCTGTTTAAACATACCTAGTATCAGGCTTGAAAGTATAAGCAATTATGGCGAGCGCAAAGCCTCCATAGACGCCCCAATACGTAAGCGTCTCCCAGCCTTCCTTCTGGTATTTCTCCCCCGGTTTGACGCCAAACAGCCATCCGGTGGGCGGGTCGTACTTTGACTCGTGACTTCCTGAAGCGGCCTTTTTGGCCTGTGATGAGGAGAAAGTCCGTGTGCGGATTACAAGCGGGAAGTAGAGGGTTGGGCGGGCGAGGGTGGTGGTGCGCGCCGCTGAGCGTAGGGATGCGAGAGGAGGCATTGGGCGTCGTGCGTATTCAGAGGTTGCGAGGTGAGCGGAGATATTTTCGCGGGTAGGTTTACTGCGGAGGGTGCAGTTGAAACGGGAGGTGTTGTCAGTGGTTTCAATGGTTGCGGGAGTGGTTGCGGTGAGGTTGGGATGTCTTGGCGATGTCGGATCCTGAAGCGGGTTAGCGGATCAATTCGGGAATACTCGTAAGGTAACTTCATGGCTTTTAATCAACCCTGGAATAGATCGCACTGACTCGTTTCTTGTCTTCATGGTGCCTTGTGATTGTGCACGCTAAAGGCCATTGAAAGCCAGAAAGCGGCAGCCTGCTTTATTACAAGATGGAAGTCCTAGTATGGAATGCGACACTTCAATCAGCGCTAACAATGCGAAAGGCCTTCAAGCCTATTATGTGCTGTTCAAAATATACTAAATATGATGCTCAAATTTACTGACTTGAACGATAAATTCGAGTTGTGCACGCTACCCAAGATTCTGTCTAGAAAGATATCAAGTGATCAAGACGAACTTCAAATAAATCATGCTGGTACGGGAACTCGCTCTTCTTTCTCGTCCTCCTTGGCACCATGGGGGTTTGACTGTTCCTTCAAAAATGACAGACCAGAGAAACTCAGACATGTTTGCTCAACGTCCTCCTCCGTCTTCTCTACGGGTTCCTTCTCCTGCATCTCTCTCTCCGCCTCCTTTAACCCTTGTTCCTCTGGCTTCTCCTTCTCTACTCTCTTTGAAGCTTCTTTTGCCAACCTCTCTTTTTCCACTTGCTCCAGCTCCGCAATTCTGGCTGCCGTCTTCGCCGCTTCTTCTTGCTCCCGTTTCTCCTTCTCCGCCTCCTCGAGAGCTGCAAACTCCTCATCGACTTCCGTCTCGTCGATTGGCTTTCCAGGCTCATTGATGATGTTCGAGATGTCGTCTGCAGTGGCCATTTCTTCCTGTAGGGCTTCAACAACCCCTGACACGCCCTCTGCACCCCCGACCTTCTGGTTGAGCCCTTTGAGTGCCACAGCGCTAGACTTCATTGCCTCGACAACCTCAACGTGGTCCGCTGCCTGTTGCAACTGCAAGAAGACACCCTCGAGCTGATGCGCAATGTCCATACGTTGGGTGAGCACAGATTCCACTGTCTTCTTCGAACGGAGCGAGGCTTTGGCACGGATCATCTGTTTGGACTTCACGGCTTCTCGTGCAGCCACATCGTTCTTGGCAACCTCCTCTGATAGAGAGGCAATCTGCGCTCTGATCTTTTTGAGCGTGTCTCGCAAATTCGCGATGGCGATGTCTTCCTGTGAAATCGGTTCCGGCGCCGCAGCATTGGTCGACTTGAACTTTATCGTCTGACCATCATAGGATATTGCCCGTCTATCTCGACTCAAAAATGTGAGGAGTATGCTTAGATCGTTCTGGGTCAGGGAAGCCGTCGGATCTAGCACGTCGGCGAATTGGCGTTGGAACTCTGATCTCGACATGATGAGGTCGACGGAGAACTTGTGCGAGGATATCTGTTGAAGAATCTTGTCGGCAGCAATCTGTAGCCCTAGATTAGAGAAGCGCGCGTAGATTTACAGAGAGTATGTACTTCGACATTCGTCAAGACAACAAAGTTCCCAACGTCCAGTTTATCGCCGAAACCCGGTTGCCCAAGGACTCCCAGCTGCCGTAAACCCCACTGGAACATAACCCATGGAGAAGGTACCCACGATGAATTGTAGATACTCGTCTGTGCGTGGTTGAAATCCTTTAGCGGAATCATCTCCTTCTTTGTCACAGCATCGTGCTACACCAACTGGTTAGCAAAGTATCACGAAAGTCCCTAGATATATAGCATACAAACACAGCTTTTAAGCACATTGGTTTTCCAAACTCCCTATGTTGTAACGCTCGTGCCAGCTCTTCGCCCGTCCTGATGTTCAATAGATCGCGGCCATTTCCCTGCGCCGGAATCGCGCCCGTGCGCGCAGCATTTGCAAGCGCTCTCTTCCACGCATTGATATTTGCGTGGTATCCGTCCGCATTCGTCTCAAGCTGGGTATGGAAGTCAGAGTACAGGGAGGCGAGCCTGCCGCGACTGTGAACGAGTATTAGCTTATTGGAAGCAATTGTCTGGTCGTATTTCAGTTAACCTTCTAAAAGCTTCCTCATGGGTCAGTATAAAGTCGAGCAGAGGGTCCATGTTCAGTCCTTCTGGAGTTTTCGCAGGGACAAATTGATAACGGGTTCTGGGACATGATGGGTAAACACCGGACCGAGCGCCTATGGTCTTTCGGAAGCTCGGACCACCGTCGTCATCGGTTCGTTTCCTTTTCGACATTTTTAACCAAGCACGAAATCTCGCAACATGAGTTGGCGAAACACGGGCAGTTATAAGCTAGGGGAGTTTAAAAGCGAGGCGAGAGTTTGGAATTGCCCGCTAAAAGACTCGTCGTGAATGGGATGAAACACGTGTTTGGCCAAATAAGGGGATGGGTAGTTGTGTCTAATCAATCACAAGAGTTGCTTTCACTGTCACAAGTTTAGGGGCTCCAGGACCGTTCTTGTTCGAAATGGGGATGGTTTGGCGTGACATGCACTCCTAGAATACTCCACCATAAATTCGAATGTGATGGGGTATTACGTGAAACCAGATCCCAGCGTTGCAATCCAACTACATCGTTCTCATTATTTCCTCACGATCTTGATCCCGCTATCTTTCTTCTCCATGAACTTCTTCATCTCCTCTAGATCTTCCATATCCTCGTCATCGTTAGGTCTTGCGCGATTTCCGGCGTCGTTTGGAACCTTGGTTTCCACGGCGCCTTGGGCATCACCGACTGCAGTATCTGACACAGGTCCAACCTCCTGCTCCCACGCTTTCCTCTCCTCTTCGTCCATTCCTTCTCTCCGGTCTAGCCACCGCTCCTGCACATCGCGAGCATCCATAGTAATGGCGTCCTGCTGCATCGCAACCTGCCAAACGGTGTCATTGGCCCCTTCAACCCCGCCAAATGCATAACCGCCAGCGCGATCAATCGCGCGAAGGAGGATCATCATACTCCTTTTATCCTCCACGGCAAGTGTTTCGAACCCAACAAGAGCGTAGTCTTGGACTAGGTCTACTATAGCTTCGTTCAGAGCGGAGAACTTGGACGTAGGAGGGTTGTTGTCTACGTCGGAGCCCGTCGTCGCTAAGTCGGCAGGCTGCGGCCCTGGTATACCAGAGGTCTGTTCTTTATCCAAGAATGGGAGCAAATATGAGAGGTCTTGTACTTCGGTGTAAAAATCCAGGTTGAAGGGCAGGTTAGGGTAGTTTCTCAGATTGTCGATCTTGGTCAGAACGTTAAGGTGTGGAAGATCCATCTGTAACATGCTCCGTAGGGCAAGCAGTAATGATGATATGTACAGCGAGGGTCGGCTTAGCACGATAGAGTCGGTAAGATGCAATACTACTAGCTGGGTTGAGTCAGCAGGTGTCTGCCATAGTGAAGGGCGGGAGAGTACTCTATACCCCAATTTTTGAAGGCGGAAGAATATGTTACGTAGAGAAGAATGATGTGTGAAGAGCTCAACCTGGCCTGGGCAGTCGAAGAGAATGTAGTCGTCTAGGAAACATTTCAGCGGATGTTCTTTACAACTAGACGTATGTGTTGCGGACCTCCGAGAGCCTTCAACCGCTCCTCTAGCCACTCGAAATTGTGTTCTAGTTCTTCAAGCGCATACAGTACACCACCATTTGGACCTAAATCCTCCTGCTCCATTATCTCGTCAATGGTGACCAAATCTCGTACATCCAGTGCGACGGGATATGACGTGCGGTCGTTTGCAGGATCGAGGTTCACGACAGAGCATTTGCGACCGATGGCGGACATGAACTGATGCATGCCGTCGCAGTACGTCGACTTGCCCGAGCCTGGGGGCCCTATAACAAGCTGTGCAAAAGGCATTATGACAATGAAGAAGTAAGAGTGAAGCCCGAGGGACAACAAGGGAGAACTTGAGAGCTTCGGAGGGGTGGCGGCACGGAGAAACTATTGCCCGAGTGATTAGCTTGCGACAGAGGTACCAGCTCCCTTGAGACCCCAGTCCCAACATAATATTCCCGAATATTTCCGCCATGAGCAGTACGTTGTGTCTTACTCCAGCAAGTTGTAACTTAGACGCACCCGAAGCTTACCATGACAGGCCAATTCGAGCTCGCCCAGAACCCGACCGAACACATTTCCGCGGTGAAGTTTGCGCCCGACTCATCAACACGGCTACTCGTCTCCTCCTGGGACCGAAACGTCTATTTGTATGACACACATGCAGAACCCGGCGGCAAGCTGCTTCAGAAGTTCCAGCATCGCGCGCCGGTTCTCGACATATGCTTCGGCCGAGACGACAACGAAGCCTTTAGTTGCGGAGTGGACTGGGATGTACGGAGGTGAGCTTTGAGCCCTCCCAATTTACAACAGTACAGTTTTCTGATCCTGCAGACTCGACCTGAATACCGGCGAGCAGACAGTGCTCTCCTCTCACCAGCAAGGCGTGCGCAATGTCATCTTCTCCTCCAAACACAACCTCCTTGTCTCAGGTTCTTGGGACTGCACCCTGCATGTCCACGACCTCTCCTCCGACAACTGGGCCACCATCCAACTTCCCTCTAAATGCTTTTCCCTCTCTGTATCCCCGTCGAAGCTCGTTGTAGCCATGTCCACCCGTATGCTCCACATTTACCAACTCTCGGACCTGGCCCAGGCAGTGGCTCAGTCGAATGCCCCAGCACCGAACATAGTCCAGGTCAACCCCTGGCAGCAAAGGGAGAGCTCTATGAAGTACATGACGCGCGCCGTAGCCTGTATGCCCAACGATGCCGGCTACGCTAGCTCTTCGATCGAAGGCCGTGTCGCCGTGGAATGGTTCGACCCGAGCGAGGCATCCCAATCCCGCAAATACGCCTTCAAATGCCATCGGCAGACGGTGGACGGGCAGGATATTGTATACCCCGTGCATGCGCTTGCATTCCACCCTGTTCATGGAACGTTTGCTTCGGGAGGTGGCGATGGAGTAGTTGCGCTGTGGGATGGTGTACATAAGAGGAGGATCAGGCAATATCAGAAATTCCCGGCTTCTATCGGGTGCATGGACTTCAGTGGGGACGGTAAGTATCTCGCCGTTGGCGTGAGCCCTGGCTTTGAGGATGGAATGGATGACATGCCTGATGGAGTAGTCAAGGTCTTCATCCGCGAGCTTGGTGAGACGGAAGCGATGGGTAAGGGCGCCAGCAAGAAGTAAATGGCTCGGAACAGGGTACGGCGTCAGGCGTCTAAAGACATCCTGCACGGATTTGATCACTGAGACGCATCCTTTGATGGGAACTCATTGCAGAGGCAAACCAATTGATTCCTTCTGCAATTCACGCTTCAGCAACTTATGCTGAACGGGATCCGCTCGGTGGTAAACTAAGCTTTTGTCGCATCTGAACTAATTCCTATACTATCCTCTCATATCCTAGCTACCCTCTCTGATCCTCTCCCGACGCATTTCACAATCCTCTGAAGTCTTAATTCTCATTCTCCATAATCCCAAACTTCTCAGCATTCTCATCCAAATTCCTCTCCATCCACTACCACGCTGCCTCCCACTACGGAAATAATTCAGGCAACCCCGGATTGAGCGGCCTCTGGTGGGCAACGCGTGCCGCTAAAGTAGGAGCCCTGTCTTGGTCCGAAGGTTGGACTGATGGAGCTTCGCTGGTCGGTAACTGGGAAGGCATCGACCCCGGTTTCCAAAGTCCGTTTCCCTGTTGCGTTTCCTGTTCCTGCTTCTGCTTTTGTCTCGCCTTACAACGCCGGTTCGCAAGAAGAAGCTCGGGGCGGACCACCCCTCCACGCTGACCAGCATGGCCAATCTTGCTTTCACATGGAAGGGACAAGGCCGGGAAGCAGAAGCTTTAGATATCATAAAGGAGTGTGTACACCAATGCCGCCGCGTTTTAGGTGCCGATCATCCCTATTACTTCTCTTCCTTAAACATGCTGGCTGATTGAGGGGATGAACAGGAGCTAGGGTCCGACTGAGATTGTCAAAAGTGTCTAGATTAGTTAGGGGATTAACTCTTGCAGTAAGGGGAGATATCCGTGAAGCATAGTAAAGCCTTATGAGCTGCATTGAATAGCCTGTCTGTGACCCTTGGCTAATATTTTATGTCTGGTTTGGGTTCCGCAAACTTTTTTGGCATAACAGGGGGTTTACTGTAGAAGTTACGATTAGCGTGGCAACCTACGGTACAAAAGAGAGATTTGGGTAGCAAATAACTAGCACACAGTTCGCCAGCGTGGCAATGTGTATGGGCGTGGAAGAGCGCCACGACTGGCAGGGAGGATGGCCGACCCGCTTAGGCTCTAGAATTATGAGCTAGCAAATTCTATAGATGTTCTGAGAGAATCGACTAGAGGTATATCAAAGGTTGAATCGCAAGGCGTGATTGTTCTGCACTAACTAGCGTGGACTAGTAAGCGCTTCAATTGCAGGTACCGGCTTGTGTGGCAATTTTCATGAATTCGCGCGCCACAGCAGACTCAAGGCTGATAGTAATATCCCAGTATCGTAGGAAGACTCCAAGGCTTAAACAAACCCCTCTTATAAGTATTGTGAGTAACAAGAGCTTGATAGTGATGCTGTAGTAAAGGAACTTTGCTACACTACAAAGCAAGGCTCTCTGTAAACTAGGCGCCAAGGCAATGATGCAAACGTAATATTTAGGCAGGCAGGGTCTTAAATATTTAGGAGTAGCTATAGCATACGACCTATATAGAATTATAGTAAATATCAACGTGTGCACAGATTTTAAGTTGCTTGAAATGGGGTGCCGCTCGTGTTTCTCCGGACGGTGTCTCTCGGCACGTAGGGAGGGCTGATAATATGACTGTTAGGGTAGGATGTTTTGGGAGTATTGTTTAGGACCTTCTCTGTATGCCTATATGGCGTCATCAAAGCTATTATCTTCATTGAACAGATGTTATATCAATCCCTTGGACTGTGAAGCAATACGAGTCCAGCAATTTTACGCCAAAGCCCCTCTCAATCACCTCAAGGGGTTTTTGACAAAGACTTCTCTTTCCGTAGTATCTGTCAGCTACTCACTTCCGCCATCGCTACTCTCTTCGTCAATCTCCACAAGAACTTGGTCTTCCGTTCTCCTCTTCACAGCTTTCACGATATCTACAGTAGACCCGCCGACCTCTATACTGCCTTCTACCATCTTGGCCCTCTCAATAATCTTCTTCGCTCGCCTAATAACCTCCTCTTCGAGCTTTTTGATCGTGCCAGACACTCTCACAACCTTGACTACAACAGGTGTATCAACCGGCCCGGGCAACTTTGTCATGAAAGTGAGAGCCGCCCATACCATTTGGTAATGAGCGCGTGGGCACTTGACTATGGCGGTTGAAGTTGCGTTGGAGAGATAGCTCACTATGAGCCGTGAACACTGCAGTCTTTTCTACCCGCAAGGGAGGGATTACCTTTCAAGCCCGTCGAGACCATACCAACACCACAGTCTCCAAAGAGCTCTGTCACGCCGTTCTGAATGGCTTTCCGCAATGTGCCTGGGTAGAATCCGTCGGGAGTAGGTTGGTGGAGCTGGAGGAGCTCAGGTAGGCCATCCTTGGGTTTGAGATTCGTCGGGGGTTGGGGGTATAGAAAGCTGACGAGGAGGTAACGGTGCTTTACTCGAACCATTTCGGCCTTGACTACAATTATTGGCGGAAATGCTCCTTTGTAGCCTAACCACACCCGTGCCCTTAGCCTATGGTAGTCGTTATACTATTGGAATCCATGGGGTATCCTATGTGAGACTGGTGTAGGTGAAAGGGTTGAGGGAAAGCTCAGAGCTCACCAGCCCTGCGCCAATCGCAAAGGCGGGCCCTGCATGAGCCAATCCAAACCAGGATTAGCCTGATCCTGACGCAAAGTGACGTGCACCCGAAACGCAGCTCTCCATTTCAACTCTCTCTCCACACCATACGACCATCACCTGTGCTACTGTTCCACGTCTCGCTAATCGTAGCTACGAACCCTTCCATCTTCGCTACAGTACGCAATACCCATAGGCACCACTAGAAGGCACTACTAGAGGGCACGCCTCCCGACTATCCCGATAACTGTAGCTATGGCCTCCTCATCCAGTGCGACGCCGCTGCTCTAGTACGCCCTCTTTCATTACCTGTTTATCTACTATCTGCTCACCTACTCCTCCAGCGCATGCATAGCTCACAACACTACCATACTCACCGAACATACGAGTTCGGCCAGCAGCGCCACATCCTCCCTCACCTCCGTCATCCTCCCAAAGATCAACCATGACAGCCACCAAATGCTGACCTACAAACTCAAGGACTACTTTGTCCACTACATTGCCTCCGCTCCCTCTGACTACCCGCCCTCACAGACCAGCGCCGGCGGCCTCACGTTCCTGACCATTGCCGAACAGAGTCTCGGCCGCCGCATTCCCTTCGGCTTCCTCGTAAACACGCAGAAGAAATTCCTCCAAGAATTTGACCCCTCCCAGACCGACTTTTCCGCATTGCCCAGCTATGGCTGCGCGAGCTTCAACTCTTCGCTGAAGAAGTTGATGGTCGAGCAAGGCGCTACACAGGCCGGACAGCAGGACGCTTTGCGCACTGCCCAGCACGAAATCGATGGCGTGCGGGAGATCATGACGGAGAATATTGAGCGTGTCTTGGAGCGTGGAGAGCGCATTGATTTGCTGGTAGATAAAACTGATCGCTTGGGAGTTAATGCGCGGGATTTCCGCGTCCGGAGTCGCGGCTTGAGGAGGAGGATGTGGTGGAAGAACATTAAGTTGATGGTGCTACTGGTACTCGTGGTCATATTTTTGATATATCTCTTTGTTGGTTTCGGATGTGGGCTTCCTGGTAAGTTGACTACGGGCTGAAGATACCGGTTTTAGCGCCATGTACTAACAATGATATAGGCTGGCACCGCTGCCTCCGGAGATGAACGCGGCCTGTCAACACTTGAATTTCTTTGCTTTGTACACATACGAATGAGCATGCACCACTATGGCGTCCGGCGTATCTCTACCATACCCGCCTAACAAAAATAAAGTCCCAACCTCCATGCTGCCGCAGTCCCCCGCAGACACAGCGTATGATTCCAGGAAAAATGAAATAGCTTCCCCCAGCCTTGAAAATGCAATAATTACGTATTCATACAATATGCTAGACCTATATGCCGCCAAATAATAACTCCCGTCTAATGCTTTTTGATCTCTACAAGACTATGTGATAAACTCTAGAATAAAAAACAACCATTTTTGCGTTACCCTTTTTAAAATCACCCAAGCGCCAAACATGAACTGCAATTTAGGGAGAGAGGAAAACATGAATGATACTTTCCGAAAGGTCTAAAAAGAAGTATGCAGTAAATTAGACTTTTAGGAGTGGCTCAGGAAGCCATGACCAATGCCAGAAGCGCCATGCGGGTATACAAGCCATATTTCATCTAGGCCATATTAGCAGAAGGAACGAAAAATATCCTCGTGGAGAGACTTACCTGTCTGAAGTACGCGGCTCTTGGATCAAAGTCCACCTCCTCATGGATCTCATTGTTCCTGGGCAGGGGATGCATAATCACCATGTTCGCCTTGGCACTCTTCATCACCTTGTTATCAATGACAAAAGCATCTTTGACCGCTTCGTAATGCGCGAGATCGGAGAACCGCTCTCTCTGAACCCGAGTACAGTACAGCACGTCCGACTCAGCAATGACTTCAGATGTAAGATCGTTCGTCTCCAATGACAATTGACCGCGGGATTTCAGTGCATCGCGCACTGACTCAGGTATGGATAGTGAAGTGGGGGAGACGAGTTGGACAGTGACATCGTAATGCTTCAGGAGTTCGCAGAGCGAATGCACTGTGCGACCGTACTTCAAATCACCGACGAACGTAATTGTGAGTCCGTTGACAGTTCCCAATTCCTCGCGGATGGTGAAGATATCCAGTAGTGCTTGCGTTGGGTGTTCGCGGCTGCCGTTCCCAGCATTGATGACTGGTACGTCCGAGAACTTCGTCGCGGTATCTATCGAGTCATCAGATGGATGGCGAAGAACTATGGCATCTCCATAGCAGCCAAGGGTGCGGATGGTGTCGGCAATCGATTCGCCTTTTTGCGTCGAGGATACCGTCTCGTTGACCACCACGACTTGACCCCCTAGACGCTTCATCGCGGCATCGAAGGAGGCAGATGTGCGGGTGGATGGCTCGAAGAACATAGTGCATAGAACCCTTCCCTTAAGAATATCGAGACAACCCTCCCGCTGAGCTCCAAGTCGCATTTCTTGGGCAATGGTAAAGAGGAGATGAAGCTCAGAACGGGTGAACTGTTTGACAGAAACGATATGCTTTCTCTTGAAAGGCGAATTCGCCAGTAGTTGAGCCAGAGATGGTGACCCGTTCAGCCTAGACATTTGAAGAGACAATTGTTCGCTTTGAGCGCCAGGTGCAGGGAAAAACTCCTGGAAATCAACTTTACTAATTTCAAGGTCATAGTGTCGGGATAACGCCTCAATGAGTAATTTAGCGTTCTTGACGTTAGTGACTAATGGGGTCTGGTAGTCCACCGCCATCCGCCTTGTTTGGTAACCCCTACTCATGTAGTTTGCGGGCCTTCGGAACCGGTTGCTTGAAGGTAAGTTGATGTAGAGATCAATGAGATTGTTAGAAAGATGTTGTGTCAATGAGTACTCTGGTTTCTGTTCATCTTGGTCTTGGCCTCTAGCAAGCACTTCTAGGAACTTCACTGGGATGCCATGCTCTTGAATGTAGTCTGCTGTGCCAGCTGTAGCGAATAGGTTGAAGCCCATCTTGTGGAGGCGCTCTATAGAGGGCAGCATCTCCAGTTTATCCTTAAAAGAACCAATAGACAGAAGGATGTTCTTGTTAGGAAGCTTGAATCCAGTGGAGATAAGGGCCTTGATGTAAGCTTCGTACTTTGTCCGACCAAAACACGCCACTTCGCCAGTGGAAGCCATCTCAACGCCGAGAACTGGGTCCGCTCCAGACAGTCGCGAAAAGGAGAATTGGGGAACCTTAACTCCGACATAGTCCGCGGGGATGGTGACAGTGGGGTACTCTACAAGGGGAAGACCTGCCATGGCTTTTGTTGCCATTTCGATGAGATCAACGCCCATGACCTTTGAGACGAAGGGGAAAGACCTCGAGGCCCGCACATTGCACTCAATGACCTTTATCTCATTGTCTTTTGCGATAAATTGGATGTTGAACGGGCCTGTTACATTGAGTGCGTTACCAATCTTGCGAGTGGCGTCTTCAATTCTCCGTACTGTTTCGGGATCCAAGTCCTGTGGTGGAAGAATCAGTGTCGCGTCTCCGGAATGAACACCAGCATTTTCTACGTGTTCCGAGATGAAATGACCAATCATCGTCCCATTTCGTGCTACAGCATCCATCTCAATCTCCTTGGCATTCTCGATATACTTCGTGATCACGACCGGATGCTCCCTGGAGACGTCGGCAGCTTGCTTGAGATAGGCGGCCAGGTCATCCTGAGAGTACACCGTGTTCATAGCTGCCCCTGATAAAACGTAGGATGGGCGAACGAGAACAGGGTAGGATACTTTTGCGCAAAATTCTGTCGCCTCTTCTATGCTTGTGAGTTCTTTCCACGCAGGCTGGTCGACTGAAATGCGGTCCAACATTCGAGAGAACTTGTAGCGATTCTCAGCCGTGTCGATCATCTCAGGAGAAGTACCTAAGATTTTAACGTTCATTCGGTGGAGGGGAAGGGCAATGTTGTTTGGTGTTTGTCCACCCATCGAGATAATAACTCCACTAGAGCTTTCCATGGTATAAATGTCTAATACAGTTTCTAGGCTTATGTTCTCGAAGTACAATCGATCAGCTTCGTCGTAATCTGTACTCACAGTCTCTGGATTGTAATTGACCATGACGGTCTTGAATCCTTGTTCGCGTAGAGTCCTGATAGCTCGCACAGAGCACCAGTCAAACTCGACGGACGACCCAATTCGATAGACTCCAGAACCTAGGACCATGATGCCTCGATCATTAAAGGTAATGTCGTGCTCGGCGCCGTTGTAAGTTAAGTAAAGGTAATTCGTCACTGCCGGGAATTCGGCGGCAACGGTGTCGATCTGCTTGACAACTGGGTAGATGCCAGCATCAACTCTGGCTCGGCGCACAGCAAGTTCATTCGAACCCCAGAATTTGGCAAGTTGGCGGTCTGAGTAACCGAGTTCTTTGGCTTGTTTCATCAATGGTGTCGTAATGGTTACGGTGTTGTAGGTGGACATGAGCTTCTCGAATTCACTAAGACCCTTGAGACGGCTCAAGAACCATTTGTCAATCTTAGTCATCTCCCATATCTTGTCGACGCTGTACCCGGCCTTCATAGCATTTGCAATAGCAAATAGTCGCTGGTCCGAAGGCGTCTGCAGCTCTTGGTCGATCTTCATCAAAGCAGCGGTCTCGTTGAATCCGAGATTGTTCAAGTCAATAGCCCGTATAGCCTTTTGGATAGCCTCTTCAAATGTCCTACCAATAGACATTACCTCACCAACACTCTTCATTGAAGATCCTAGTAAAGTGGAAACGCGAAGGAACTTCTTTAGATCCCACCGCGGGATCTTGACGACCACGTAATCAAGCGACGGCTCGAAGCAAGCGCAAGTTACTCGAGTGACCGAATTAGAGATCTCATTAAGAGGAATGCCCAGTCCAAGTTTCGCAGCAACAAAAGCTAAAGGATAGCCTGTAGCCTTGGATGCTAACGCAGATGAACGGGATAGACGAGCATTTACCTCAATAATGCAGTATTCCCTAGAAAAAGGGTTCAAAGCATATTGGATGTTGCATTCTCCAACCACCCCAAGATGTCTGATGACATTAACAGCCGTAGTCCTCAGCATGTTATAGTCCTCGTCAGAAAGCGTCTGTGAAGGAGCCACAACGATAGAGTCGCCTGTATGGATGCCCAGGGGATCAAAATTCTCCATGTTACAGACCGTGATGCAGTTGTCGCGGGCATCTCTCACCACTTCATACTCGATCTCTTTCCATCCCTTCATACTTCGCTCAATGAGTACTTGGGGGCTGGCTGCAAATGCTTTATTGCACAGGTCAAGCAGTTGGGCCTCGTCCTCGGCGAATCCGCTGCCGAGGCCACCGAGGGCATAAGCAGCTCGAACAATGACAGGAAAGCCAATGTCTTTCACCACGCGTTTGGCCTCTTCGAGAGAACTTGCGGAAGCGGATTTGGCACATTTCTCGCCAATAGACTCCATGCTACGGGCGAAGAGCTCTCGATCTTCCGTAGTAATTATAGTGCTGATGGGTGTGCCAAGGACTTCGACGCCTAGTTCTCTGAATTCATCCTTGAGCTGAATACCAACCTGGAGAGCCGTCTGGCCTCCGAAAGTGACGTAAATGCCATCCGGTCGTTCTTTCAGAATGATTTTCCGGACGAATTCAGTAGTGACGGGGAGGAAATAGACTTTATCAGCAAGTCCCTTTGATGTTTGGATAGTAGCGATGTTAGGGTTGATCAGAATTGTATAGATCCCTTCTTCTTTCAAAGCCTTGATGGCTTGACTTCCTGAGTAGTCAAATTCTCCGGCTTGCCCAATGCTCAAGCCGCCACTACCAAGCACGAGGACTTTCTTAACGTTCACACGAGGAGCTAATTTCTTATTCTCTTCAGCCGTACCTCCCGGGAATTGAACTGCCATTGACAGTGCCTCAGGTGATTCAATTGCCGTCTTGATAGTATCAATAAAGACATTGAACAAGTACTCGGTGTCACGCGGTCCAGGGGTGTGTTCAGGATGGAACTGAACGCTGAAGTAGGGTCGGTTGGTGTGTCGAATGCCCTCGTTACTGCCATCATTTGCGTTCACGAAGAGTTCTTCCCATTTCTGTGGCAGAGTCTTCGCATCCACTGCATAACCGTGGTTCTGAGATGTGATGTGACATCGCCCAGAGATCATATTGGTGCATGGAATGTTGTGGCCGCGGTTGCCGAACTTCATTTTCACAGTATCTGCGCCAGCAGCTCGAGCCAGTAATTGGTGTCCCAGACAAATCCCGAATATAGGGGTTTTAGCTTCGTTTATGGCTGTCTTAATATGCGCCACTGTAGCTCCCATCACGGCAGGGTCACCCGGGCCGTTCGAGATGAACAGGCCGTCGTACTCGGTGCCTGCGAGCTGGGGGAAGTCGTAGTCCCAGGGAACGACCTGGACCTCGACACCCCTCTTGACAAGGCATCGTAGTTGGTTGTACTTTAGCCCAACATCTACACATACTACTCGGACAGGGCGACCAGAGGGATGCTTAAGTGCGGCGGACGAGGTTGGGGAGTAGATCTTTGGGGCCTTTATCGACACTGTTCAGGTATCAGAAGAGTCCTCGCGGGAGGCAGCATTTTCACATCACCTTCTGCAACGAGATTCTTCTTGTTGGGGTCTAGCCATGCGATTTGCTCAAATTCACTCCTCCAATTCTGCTCTGGGACGTCACCGTTGGCCACGGTTTTAGTGTCGACTTCTCCATTGGTAAGGCGGGGGGCGAGGGGGGTCGGGGATGACGACCTTGTCAGCAAGCGACCGAGCATGCTTCCTTCTTTTCGGATACGCTTTGTTAGGGCTCGTGTGTCAACGCCTGTGATGGCGGGTACACCCTGCTCTTTCAGCCATGCTCCCAATGAGGAAGTGGCGAGATGATGCGAGTAGTCCTCTCCCGAATAGGACGCTACGACCAGACCAGCAATGTGAATCTGTTCCGCTTCGAAATAGGCTGGTAGGTCTTTGAGCAAGCTGTCCCTCTCCTCTCTCGACGGCACGCCATAGTTGCCCACCAGAGGAAAGGTTATGACGAGGATCTGCCCTCGATAGGAGGGATCGGTTATTGACTCTGGGTAGCCCACCATACCTGTCTGGAAGACAAGTTCTCCCGCAATGCTCTTGTCAGCACCAAAGCTCTGGCCGAAGCAGACGTGGCCATCTTGGAGCTCGAGGGCCATGTTGTGCTCATAGGAGGTCGGATTGGCCATGGCAAGGGGAGAAGAGGGGGCTTCGAGAGCCTTTAGGAAGAAGATTTCGGGCAGACAACGGAGGACGCGAAGAGGAATGGGGAATTTTCAGCTGGAAAAAAGATGCAGCAGCAAAAATTCACACCGATTTGCGGCAGCAAGGCCCAGATGACACTAATGCGGGGCGGGCGTCAGAGCTTTTTTTGGTGGGATGCAGCCGAGATGCATCTCGGCCAGATCGCGGCTTCCTGGAAGGATTGGACAAAGCAGCATAGCGAAATGCCTTCGCAAGCATGTCCCAGGCGACACACAGCATTCTCGGAGGCGGGCCGCTCATGCTGGAGAATGGCAAGAGTGAACAGGTGAAAGCGCTGTGGCTCACCACCCATTTTGTCGGGATGAAAAATGTTGACCTCGAGCCGGAGACGTACAATCACGTGCAAAATCGACGAGGGAGGAGCTTGCAGGTGCAGCCACCGCCGTTTGTTGAGCCACGGTTCGCCCGGCCGGCCAATGACATTTGACACGGCCGCGATCTTCACCAATTGCTGTTTACTCCGTGTCAAAATAGTAATCGCCTTGTCAGGCTTGCGGCATCGTGGATATCGCCGTCGAAGGGGTCTGCTGTTGCGCGCATCATCGTGCTGCATGAGATATGCTCGTTAATGTGCAGTCAGGGATCCGCCTTCTCACACTCGCCGGGGCTAACGATCGCTATTGGCTGGCCGTCACCCAAATCGTGGGGAAAGTTCATAGATAAGAGAAGAGGCGGCCATCTTCAAAGGCCTTCTGACCCTCCATCAGCCTGACAAGTTGGACCTGAGGAAAGTCGGTGTAGCGGGAACTGCAACTGTGTGGCACGAAGGGAAGGTGTGTGTCTCCATTTATCATTAGGTACTCCCCCTAGCCGTCGCTCTCCCAGCTTTCTAAGGGTCCATCCACCACAACCACGTTCTTTGGAGCTGACCCGTCAAGACGCCCTAGAGGACGCTGGAAACCCCGGAGTCCTCCCATGTTCGCGTCACTCCTGCGCACTCAGAATGGCCCTCGGTCTGAGCGCACGCCGCTCCTAGCTGCCTTCAATCTGTACCGCAACCGCCGCGAAGCACACCCCGATAACGAGCGCTCAGTGTCTGACGACGACAACGACGACGATTATGCAGCACAGCACGATGGCGAGGAGGACAACGAGGACACTTATGGCCATGTCCGCAATGACGGGCCGCTGCTGCCAGTCTTCTCCGAGTTCCTAGGTAGCACCTGCCTGATAAGCCGCTTTTGTTTACCTCAACATGCCCTGCTAACCCAAGCCCATAGATCGCCTCCCCATCTACAACACCACCCACTCAATCCGTATAATCGTCATCCAGCGGTGCGAGACCACCCTATCTTGGGAGCAGCTTCGCTCGCCGCAGGTCTCGCAGTTCCTCATCAAGCCCATCCAGCAGCAGATCCTCTCGGACCATTTCTCGCGTGGGACCCTGTATTGTCTGCTAGCCAATTGCTTGCAGTTCAGGAAGGAAGGAGAATCTAATCCGGGCAATGTGGGCGTGAGCAGATCAAGAGCGCTGATATGCGAGCTGCTTGCCATGCGCCTACTAAAGGAGTTCTCCACCCGTGAGCTTATTGATGCCCTGTCCTACGACTTCGATCCGCTGCAGGGCTTGGCTCCTGCCGCAGCTGGCACTGCGACTCCGGGGGGGAACAGGCCGCGATCGGGACCCCGTTCCGCCCGCATATCCACTCTCGAGATCTCTATCCGCGCTCAGGCCAAGAAATTCTTAGCCCACCCTCTGGTCGTCCAGCAGCTCGAGGCTATCTGGGCAGGGACGATAGTCTTCCACTCCGCCGCAGACAGCTTGCATCGACAACCAGCGCTAGGCCAACACATGCCTGAGCAGCACCGGCTCTATAATGCTATCAATGCAGACGTCTCGCCCGGACGAGGCCCTTCCCGTCGTCCGTCATCTGCGAAGCAGGAAACTACACGCCGTAGTCTTCCTGGCTTCCCGATCGTGAGGCGCACTGTAACTCTCTATGATCCTCATGATGCTTCGCTTTTTAAGCTGTCCCGGCTTCGTGTGCCCCGGTATCGGCAAATGTTCACCACGGTTTCATATGCGATTATGCTTGGGCTCTTCGTAGCAGTGCTTCGGGAGAAATCTGATGATATCACAGCCCTCGAGGTTCTCTTCTGGTTCTGGAGTGCCGGCTACATGCTCGACGAAATAGTTGGCTTCTCAGAACAGGGTTTTGGGCTGTATATCATGAGTGTCTGGAACGCCTTCGACCTTGGCATTCTGTTAATGTTCATGGTCTACTACATCCTTCGCCTCTATGGGATCTTGATGCCCGATGTTAGAAGGCATTATATTGCGAGCATGGCTTACGATGTTCTTGGCTCCACAGCCGTTCTCCTTTTCCCCCGGCTCTTCTCAGCTCTTGACCACTATCGGTATTTCTCCCAGCTACTCATTGCTTTCCGCATGATGGCCATGGACTTGGTGGCAATCCTACTACTGATCGTCATAAGCTGCAGTGGCTTCTTTGTCGCCTTCACCATGTCCTTTAAGAAGGATCTAGACGCACCAAGTGCAGCCTATGCTCTATTCCAGATGCTAATGGGTTTTACGCCAGCCGCATGGGAAATATGGGGCGATTATAACCCTCTCGGCCAAACCCTCCTGACTTTATTCCTCTTTATTTGTCACTTTCTCATCGTCACGATTTTGATCACCGTTTTGACCAATTCGTTTATGGCTATTGTACAAAACGGGAATGAGGAACACCAGTTTCTATTCGCTGTCAACACAATCTCGATGGTCAAATCCGATGCCCTGTTCTCGTATATTGCTCCGACGAACATACTTGGATGGCTAGTCATCCCAATGAAATATTGCATGTCGTTCCGGAGGTTCATCAGAATGAACCGGCTCATCATTAAGGTCACCCACATCCCAATCCTGTTCTCTATTTTTCTCTACGAACGTTTACTCCTGTCGAACTTCGCATACGGACCGACCGATCTAGTAGAACAGCGTGGCCGGGCTCACTCAAAATTGCCTGCGTTCACGCTCCGCGGACCTACAGATGTATTCAGTCCTGGGACCCGGCTACGGGAACCTTCCATCACCACTTTCCATAAAGATCGTGCCCTCGAGGAGGTTTTCCGTCGGCCTTTTCGTGATCCTACCCTCAATGGGACGTCGGAACAACTTCCCAGCAGGCGTAATTCGAGCAACGTTGTTACGGACTGGATGAAGGGTGTTGGCGATGGTGGAGAAGCCCTTCCCCCTCTGGAAGACACGCGATCAGTGCTTGACCGCCTCGAAACCCGTAAGAGGCCAAGACTACGGCGTACTATGACCGCAGGACATACTCAGTACAGGCGCAAACACCCTCTAGCAATGACCCGGTCTGTAGCTTCCGACCCAGATAACAACATCAACACATTCGATCGCCATTTCTCAATCGCCGAAGAGGAAGAGCCCGACATGAGTATGGAGGATTTGCCACAGCAAACGGATGCAGACGGAGATGATGAGCTAGTGACTAACGAAGATGATGACAGGGTACCTTCCGATCATGTCGCTGGACAAACCAACGAAGAACTAGACAAAGAGAACAAACATGTCGTCAGTTATGAAACGTCAGAGGAGGAATACTTCCGCACTCCCATGACAGTCAAGCCGCGTACACCTAAAATGGGAAGTTCACTCTCGTCGGCCGGACTACCGCACGGTACAGCTACCAGTCAAAGACCGCCCACAAGGACAAAGCCAGGGCACAGCCGGAACCTATCTACAAATACTGTATTATTTAGTCCGTCGAAGGAGACAATGGAGCAAATGTCTCGCTCAACGTCTCCGTCTAGAGCTCCCCCTGCGGGCACTCGAAGTGGCACTGTCACACCAGGCCGCATCGTGACAGACGGCCGTCGCACACCAAAGCGCCTCGCTTTGTCTGGGGTACCAACGACTCGACCGCGCCCCATAATGCCGCCCCACAATTTAAATCGATCAACACCAAACATCGCAAGTTTTCTCGCCCTCGATCAACGTCGGAGAGACCCTTCATTCAACGCAGTTGCTTTGGACTTAGCTTCAGACTTGGGTGACAACAGACATGGCCCCGACTACGGGGCGTTGGGCGCGTTGCCTGCTTCGTTCACTACTCAACTTGAAATGGCTGCGAGGGCTAGAGCTAGAGAAGGGGGTGACGAGGAGTCAAACAGGATGAGCAGGATTATGTTGGCCAGGATGACGACTCTAGAAGAAGGGTTCAGGGATGTTCTCAAAGAGGTCAAGGGGTTGAAAAAGGGCAGCGAAGACGGTGGGCCGAGCAGAGATGGAAGCAAAGGACACAGTGCGACGGAGGAGCACTCCAAGAAGAAAGGTAAGGGGAAGAGGAGAAACGACAGAAGAGGCAAAGGAGAGGAACGAATGGGCTCCAGCGTGTGACATGCATTTCTGCGGTTGTCTCGTGGTATTTGCATATTTGGTATATGGCGTCTTGGTTTTTCATGCATCATAAGTTTGTTTTCGGGACCGATACCTATACCGTATCTTCTCTTCTCTATAATGGCTCTGTGAGCGCTCCTTTGTATAATATACAATAAATTTCGCTGTTGGGACGCACAATTGCACCTCGCTGCTCAGCATAGAATATAATCGGGTCATTTAGGATAGGAATTCACATCTTATTGGCGTTTACCTAATTCTAGCAAGAGGTTTAACAACTACATGGCACTCTCACTGAGTTCCACCTTATGTGAGAATATGGTGTACAAGAGATGATCCCTCATTTGTGGGTCACGTGCTCGCGAGACGACATCTCAAGAGGCTCGGGAGTCGGGACACCCGTCATCGGGGGGGTTCAGTGGCAGTTCCTGCAGCTCAAAGCCGGATCTGTGGCGACCTAGCGGGGTACCTGCGAAAGTGCGCAGAATGGCCGGGCTCGATTGGATTCAGGATGTCTTGTGACATGTCCTCGGGCCTCTGACGTCTGGTTTTGGCTTGGCCTATGGCTTTTTCACATCATCCGCCCACGTCACTCTCCAAAACTGCGCCATTTCCAACCCGACTGGATCGTGAGCTCACGCAGGCAGGCAGCATGGCACATGCACGCTTCCTTCCTCACTCGCGTGCCCATCGTGGCCATGGCCCTCGGTCCGTCACTCCGGTCTCTTCCACTTCTACCACAGCGACACCCATTTGCGAGTGAAAAACACCACCACCTGTTTCTCCTAGATTTTGTTCCTATGCGCGCACCAGGTGTGTGACTTCTTTAACTTACTTGTTTACCTTCTTGAGCTGGTCTTCGCTATGGCTTTACTGATACCCTTTGTACTTGCTGCTTATGTCTTACTCTACGCCTTCGCCTTCACAATTCCGCCTCTCCCACCCATTTCGAACTTCCTAAGCGTTGGGCACGCACAGCAGGCGCAGAAGCCGCTACAGGATACACTGGATGCGTGGCTTGAAAGAGAAGAAAGAATCGCCCTAGACAAGCTGCTGGCGAACGTGGCACCTGGTGGACGGAATGTGAAGGATGCGGCACCGGGCTCTGTGATCGCCAGTCCCTCCCGAGAGCATCCGAACTATTTTTACCAATGTGCGTGCGAGCTCCTTCGTCTGTGTCTCAATTCTTTCGGCTGACTTGTCACCATAGGGGTTCGTGACGCTGCCATCACTACATCTACTCTCGTGGACCTGTACGCAGAAGATGCGTCTTCGAGTCTCTCGTCACAGCTCTCTGCCATACTTAACGACTATTCCAACCTCCAATCCGCACTGCAGCATACAAATAATCCGTCCGGCACTTTTGGCGATCTGTCAGGCCTGGGTGAGCCGAAGTTTGAAGCCGATGGCTCTCCCTTCGTGGGTTCCTGGGGAAGACCTCAGCGAGATGGCCCTGCACTGCGGGCCATAACCCTGATGGCATACCTACGGGCCTACAATACTTCTCATCCCTCGTTGTGGGCTAGCGATAGTGGAGAGGATTGGTTCAAGCCTCTCTATGACCCATCACTCCCTGCCCATAGCATCATCAAGGCCGACTTGGAGTACGTGTCCCATTTTTGGAATCAAAGTAGTTTCGACCTATGGGAAGAAGTAGACGGCTTTCATTTCTTTACCGCCATAGTTCAGTTGCGAGCCATGCGAGAAGGTGCCGACCTCGCTTTAGCTTTTGAAGATGGGGGAGCTGCAGACTGGTACAGCCAGCAAGCCCAGCGGCTAGAACGGTTCGTCCATGGCTTTTGGGACGAGAGAAAGGGGCATCTTGTTGAAACGCTGTTCAGTTCTCGCACTGGTCTTGATTGCGGCCTTCTCCTCGGATCTCTCCACGGCTACCCTTCTGCATCCTCTCATACCCCTGTCTACGCTCCGTACTCTGACGAGCTTCTCGTCTCCTTACTAGCCCTCGTTCAGGACCAACGCACCCGGTTCCCCATTAATGCCGCACCCTCGTCCGAGGAAGACGACAACGCTATGGAAGGAGTAGGCCTTGGACGCTATCCCGAGGATGTGTACGATGGTTACGGTACCGATAAGCGTGGGGGAAATCCCTGGTTCCTATGCACGGCCTCTGCTGCCCAAGTCTTGTATATCACCGCCGAGCATCTGGTGACTACTTCCAATCTCACCATCTCCTCTACAGGCCTACCATTCTACGAAGCCCTGATGTCCTCATCGTCGCTAGAACCACAATCGGATACAACATATGGTCCTAGCGATGCAGTTTTTCACAGTGTGATCGAGAGACTAAAAAGTGCGGGCGATGAGTTCATGGAGGTGATCAAGACGCACACCGATGCGGAGGGAAGTCTCAGTGAGCAATTCGATCGTGTCACTGGGTACGAGCGTGGCGCCAAAGACCTCACCTGGAGCTACGGAGCTTTTTTGCAAGCCGTGAGAGCTCGAAAGAGGATTTTGTGACAATGTGGTAGGAGTAATTGAGATGAGATGGTTAGGTATTGGTGTAAGGGTGGATACGAGATGGCATGGAAGGCAATGGGTAACGGGATATGAATCATGAGGCATGAATGTAAATGTATGTATATCAGGATTAGGGATATGGATATAGAATACAGAGGGCCTAGGGACTTCTGGTTCTTAGCCTTTTTTTCAAGCCCGAGGGGTATGTACAGGTACATATTTTGGTAACAAACTTCGGGGAAAGTAGTGAATGCTCAGACTTCCTGGGCAATCTTCCAGTACAGGCCACACTAATCTCTTGCATGCTATCGCATCCCACGAAACATAACCACAGTAGGTTTGATCTCTCAACCCTCTTCCTAGAATTCATTAAGGCGTCAAGAGGATTCTACCTTCTGTTACAAATCAGATTCTTTGCTACCTTCTCCGAGACCATAGAGATAGAGAGAAGGAAATCATCCCCTTTTTGAGCACAAGCAACCCGGTCAATGGGTAATGATGCGATCGTGCAACCAGCGAGCTCACTAGTGATAACAGCAACTCGCTATTCGACATTCTGGCCTTGGCAGTAGCTGAAGGTGCTTTACGCTTGAAAGTCGGAGACCATGTCGCTCTACAAGAACCACTCGTTTGAGTTGAAGCGTAAACCAAAAATGGCCATTCCGTTCTCATACTAGTGCGATCGCTACAATTCAGCCAGGATTATCCACTTCCAGTATCCCGCCATCTCCGCACCTCCATGCTCGTCGCCGCATCGCTCCCTTGCCAGAATTGACCATCGTTATCCTCCCAAGTCCTTCAAATTGACTTGTCATGAAGAACAAGAGTCTTAGGCACTTGCACATCACGCATCATCGCTGCGTGTCCTCAGGAATCAATTATCTCCTTTGAGGTTGTTGAAATTTCTGCAACTCCGCATCCCAAACGCCATCCTTCTTGATCACCGTCAACTTTTCAGAGTCCCCGAGTATAAGTTATCTTCTCTCTCTTCTCTGAAGCGCGCTACTCGCCATTGAGCTTTTCCGACCCAAAAACTCGAAGGAACATGGCCCCTGAATCTAATTCTCTGCATCAACCCAAATGACTGCAGGTATCTTGCATTGAATCACTTTACAACAAAGAGTGAAAGGACGCATTCGACGCGGAGGCTTATCGGTACATGCAAATACCTCACTTCAAAAGTTTTCGTACCCTTGGCGGGCTATATTCCACACGTCGACTTTGTGGCACGTCTCATGGTTACACTGAGATTGAGGCTGATCTGAATTCCCCCCTGTCGAGGCTCTGCACGAGACTTGCCATTCGTCCGCCCAAACAAAACATGTTCGCAAACCTGGATTCGTCTACCCAAATCCCGTACATTTTTTTGGATTTTGGGCGAGGGTCGTAACGACTGGTCATGGTTCATTACCCGCATGAGATCGACTTAGCCTGAATTCGTTATGCGATAGCATGAATGAGCAGATCGCTGCGGCGTCTATCTACCCTTTCCAGGTTCGACATCGGGCGAAAGTCACAAGGTACATCCAGGTCGAGATTTGGGCACAAAAATTGCTGACAGCCATGATGATATCTGGTGTAATGGCGACGCAAAGTTAGTCATACCTTGAGACAAATCCTCAGGTCCATTAGATGAAGGTCTCAATCGCGCTTGCTGGACCGAGAAGTTTTGCTCTGAGGATTACATCCACATTGGCGTACCTGCTTTGGATGTCGCCAAGGAGGAGGGAGATTTTCTAAACCGATTCTTCGGAACCAAGCTACTTAGTGGAGATCTTAGTGACTTGGCGGCTTACAGTACAGCAAGGCACGTGCTAGAATCTGAAGGAAACGTTCCCGTCCGCTCCGGAAGGTTCACCTCCTACGCCAAGTTCCTAACTATCCCAGTGATCCACACCTATAACACTATTATCAATTCAAAGCAATTGGCGCTCGCCCGTATAGATCCTTTGCAGATCTTATTCTATTTTGATTATCTGCTCCAGGAGTATGGCAAGATTTGGTAGATCTAGATGTCAGCAGGTAGTGTCCATATTGCTCCTGCAGCAGTATCCTTCCGAGACCGTTACGATATCGACTCCTGCTTCTTTCAGCTGCATGTGGCTAGTATTAATGGACGCTTGGGACCTAGGCTTCGTCCAATCTAAGATAGAGTCACTCATACCAACAATTCGGCGACCGCAGTCCTGGGCTTCGGCGTCTGAAGAGTAGCTACTGGGTTATAGATCCCTTTCCCCGCCGGCTTGGGTATGTGTTCTGGAAAGTTCTTCAAGATTTCCAAGTGGGGCAAGCAATCTGAGCGAACCCTGCACCTGAAACTCCATGGAAAGACGGAGTGTCAGCCTCCTTGGCATGCCTAGGGAAGCAGGTACTCAACAGTTCGTGGCATATGACATTTTAGAAACAGCTCTTTACTTTCAAGCAAGACCTTACAGTGTCAAGGTTTAGAGCGAGAAATATCGATACCATCATTCAGGGAAAGTTTCTACAACATACTACTGTAACGGAAACTCCTTTTTAAAAAACGCTCGTTCCACGGGTCCGTTCAGCAACTCACATCGATTACCTCCCAGGGAAACCATTTAGAACTTGATATTTTATCCGGAGTTTACTCTAGAAGCAACATACCCAACATTGTCTGGGTATCACGTTACCCTAGACTCAACACAAAGTAGCGCACAGATCTCCGCATTTACCCCAGAATTGCTCCACGATGAGAGAGGATCTCGTCTCCGTTTCATCTTTTGACCATTCCGTTTACTTTCGGTGTTCCCGGCGGGCCGTAGCCCTTGTGGGATTGGTGGTAATACTCTATGGCGAAGTCGATGGTTGGAGGCGCTCCCCCCCCTAAGACACCATTCAAGCTATTAAGCATGTAGACTGCAGATGGCTGACGACGTATATAAGGGTAGATTCCCTATGTCTTGAAGCTCCTCAGCATCCAAGAGCAATTCATCGATCCGCCATTATGTACAAATCACTCGCCCTCGCTTCTCTCTCCCTCTTTGGGGCTGTCAGTGCCCAGCAAGTCGGCACTCAGCAGACCGAGACTCACCCAAAGATGTCCTGGAAGACCTGCACTGGCAAGGGCGGAACTAGCTGCACGACCAAGAGTGCCTCCATCACTCTCGACTCGAACTGGAGATGGGCTCATCTCACCAGCGGCTACACCAACTGCTACACAGATAACGCCTGGAACACCACCTCCTGCAAGGACGGTGCGGCATGCGCGAAGAACTGTGCCATCGATGGTGCCGACTATTCTGGCACATACGGCATCACTGCCGGTAGCGATGCTCTTACCCTGAAGTTCGTCACCAAGGGCTCGTACTCGACAAACATTGGATCCCGAACCTACCTTATGGAATCCGACAGCAAATATCAGATGTTCAATTTGATTGGCAAGGAGTTCACTTTCGATGTGGATGTCTCCAAGCTTCCCTGTGGCCTGAACGGTGCTCTGTACTTCGTTGAAATGGCGGCTGATGGTGGCATGGGCAAAGGAAACAACAAGGCTGGTGCTAAATACGGAACTGGTGAGTGCGTAAATGGTTCCGCCAATCATAGTCTGACATATCTTTAGGTTACTGTGATGCTCAGTGCCCCCACGATATCAAGTGGATCAATGGCGAGGCTAACTCCGCTGGCTGGGTGCCATCTAGCAACGACAAGAACGCTGGAAGCGGCACATGGGGAGCCTGCTGTCCAGAAATGGATATTTGGGAGGGAAATTCCATTTCTACTGCCTATACTCCCCATCCCTGTAGTGGCAATGGGCTGGTCAGGTGTGAGGGCACTGACTGCGGTGATGGTGACAATCGATATGGAGGTATCTGCGACAAGGATGGTTGTGACTTCAACGTATGACTATCGCCTCCCCTATAAATATTTCAGAAGCTGATTTTATAACAGAGCTACCGCATGGGTGTCAAGGACTTCTACGGCCCGGGAATGACTCTCGATACTAATAAGAAGATGACGGTGGTTACTCAGTTTGTCGGGTCCGGATCCAGTCTCTCTGAGATCAAGCGCTTCTACGTTCAGGGCGGCAAGGTCTTCAAGAACAGCGAATCGGCAATCTCTGGTATCACTGGTAACTCTATCTCCGATGCTTGGTGCGAGCAGCAGAAGACCGTTTTCGGTGACACCTCTTCGTACAAGGCCAAAGGTGGACTGAACGCGATGGCTGCTTCCCTTGCCCGCGGCCACGTCCTAGTCATGTCTCTGTGGGACGACCATGCGGTCAACATGCTCTGGCTCGACTCCACCTACCCCACCGACAAGGACGCATCCACCCCCGGTGTCGGCCGTGGTACTTGTGCTACCAGCTCCGGCAAGCCGGAGGACGTTGAGGCCAACTCTCCCAATGCCCAGGTCATCTACTCCAACATCCGCTTCGGTCCAATTGGATCCACCTTCGATGAGGCCGCGGCCAAATAAGTTATTTAGGGGATCACTTTAAGAGAGATCTCGCATAACGGGTTAGAGCTTAGATCCTAGAGCTATGTAAGCATCCAAAATCTGGGGGTTTCATTATACTTTTCTGATGTATATGTTTCGGAGGTGAATGTAGGAGACACAAAACTGCATCTATAAAGGAGCGATTGGTGGTCATTACTCGATCAGATATTGCATCATTTCGCACCCTTTGCTATCCTTCGTCCACATTGGACTGTGCTGTGCCACTTTTGCTTTGAGTTCAGTCCCAAGTAATCAACGGGCATTTCTCTTTCATAATTCGAGTCGACTTAGGCTTGAATTAATTCCTGACTTTTAGCTTTCAGAAAAGATTTGCTGCATCGAATGTAGCCTAATCTATGCATTCATTGGGCGCTAAGGTGAAATGTAAAGGTTTAGGATCGGAGAATAAGGGCAAGCCCTTGCCCTTACGACGCAATAAGACTGTTGGGATGGCAAATGGGGACGCGCTCGGTTAGGATTGACGTCCACTATCCAACCATTTCGATGAGTCAAGACCTGCTGTTTGTATTCACAACCGTATATTCGTATTCTAAATTTGTGACAGCAGAGAAGGGTCAGGAAATTAGAAGAGAGAATGGACCAAGCTAATTTTTCTATACACAGCAACTAAGGCGAGGTATCACAATTGCGGCAATACTACCTTGTTTTCTTTTTACACTATTTTTAAACCTGAAATAGTGAGCATCTATCACGTACCACGATATAAGTTTTATATATACATATGCCTAATATTTATGGGGAATTATATATCATAGCTTATCTTTCTACACAAATTGAAATGACTAGCACAAGGAAGTAACGTTTCGTCCTGACCATGTGTAATCAATGATTTCACAATGACCAAAGCAGACCGCCCAAGCATGTGCACATGCATCTACCCTGTAGGTGCAATTCAAGAGGGGGAACATTTTGTTCAGTCAGCAATATAGCCTTAGGGCTCGAGTGGAACAACACCCAAATCAAATGTTAGGATGAGATATGCTTGCAGGCCTCAAGAATGGCTCTTCGAGATGTTGGCCCTTGTACTCATAACACTCGGCCTAATCGGCCTTACAATTCTTCTTCAATGTTGTCATGATGAGCCCGCACCCAAGCGGCGTGCTAGAATTACCCTGAGTACTATAGTTTTCATTGTCTCGGGGGGCTTCCGACGGGCGATGATAACGCCGATTGCCGCTTGTATCAGTCAACAAAGTTAGTTTACTCTCTCTAGGAAGCCAGAGAGTTTGGAGGAGTAGCGAATTTATGACCAAGTGGGCAGGGCATCGAGCTATGCTGTCCACTCTGACAGGATATCTTTGGGGGGAATAGCGGTACCGTCGCATCAAGGCTAGACGCTGGTCCCGACTGTAAACAGGCCTCGGAGGTGTGAATTGATCAATTTTGTGTGAGAGAGCCCCGATAGCGCCGGTGGCAGGACCATTGGGATCCAATGAAGAGGCTCTGGCAGAGTTCAGTAATGTTTGCAAGTACTCCTTGTTGTGTTGCAGAATACTGCATGGATCCCATTGTCGAAGGGACTAGAAGTTGGCCTCTCCAATAACATGGTGGCAGCCACCTACAGCGGTCTCTTATCCTCCCAACCCCTTGAGATTCCTAATTCACCCTTCTTGTCCTAGCAGTAGCTACATCTGAGATCCATCCTTGACATTGGGTGTTGACACACTCTACCTCAGCAATACTAATAAGATTCTGCTAAACTTCATTCTAAGCGAAACTAAACATTTATGCTTTCTTGTAGCAAATGGACATATTTTCTTTAAATCGAGACCATTGTAGTTGTATGTTGTAGAACCAGCAGCTCTGTCTTCCGTCGCGACCGACTGAGGTCTATATTTGATCGTTTGCTGGAAGAATGAATCCAGAGCCAAAGTTATGGCGAGGGATTTTTGGCCGGTTACATAGGCTTAACATATATGGTGGTCATACTCTACTGCGTAGATAGTACTACTAGAACTATAATAAATACAGCCTAGCATATGATCAACACCTTACAAATTAACGAAAGTATACTTGTGTAAAATGTATAGAATAATGGTTCGCTTAAAGTGTCGAGCTAACTCGTGTACGGCTAAACACAGATAAGTAAGCTATTCGTGGGAGTCAGGTAGGCATGACTGGCACTCCCTGCCAGATGTTAGTAATTGCATGCACTTTTCTCGTAACGACTATTTTGAAAACACATAGTGAACCTGGAAGTCTTTAGAAGGCGGGTCTGCTAGCGATGTTCTTTCATACCAATGTCAGGGAATTATTCATACCGTCGTGCGCAAACTACAAAGCGAGAAGGGGAATCTTCTAAACACTATGAGTGTGATTGAAGCCCCCATTGGTGGCAGCTCTGCCGGTCCGGCGCTTGTTAAAGTATCTAAACGAGAGCAGACCTGTATTCCAGAGAAGTCACTAAATTTTAAACCCGACCTTTCTGTGCTCTCCTAATAATTTCTTCCCAAATGCAATGTAGAAATCTAACTAGATAACCCAACCTTTCTTTACATCTCGCTCAAGTCTCTTCCTTAATTCCCCATTTAATTTTTGCAGCAAGACAAGCAGCTACTTCTTGTAGATTGTCTAGTCTAGCCCGACATGCTTTCTTTTCTGATTCAAGTTACCTTTTAATGCTGATATTAGTAATTTTATATAGACGGTATTTACAGATACAATGTCTGCACTATTCACGCATGGCTCACACAATAGCCACACGTTGCCAAGACTTACGCCTTTTCTTACATATATATAGACCCTAGGTACACTCCTTTAGCAATCAACTCAGTTCCTCATGATTTCTGTAACCCCCTACCCTGAAAGCTTCACATACAATAACTAGACAAGGCAATGGACTCTATCAGTTATGTTCTTAGACCGAAAAGTATTTCAAGTTTACCTCTGTAAGACCCTCCGTGGGAGTGAGATGCAGTGGTAAGTGAGGTACCTGATATTGCATAATAGATAAGTTAAGCGTTGATTTGCTGATGTGGATCAGATGATAAATTTACAATACCACCTCTAATCAGATCGAGAGGAATGGCAGGGCTGAAGTGAAATCCAGCGTGAGAATTTGGGATGAGGAAATGGCTCTGATGAGGTATAAATGCAGTCTAGAAAATTCTATGGAGGATAAATCTCACGACCTACGGACTTCAAGCCTTTCCACCAAGATCTGCGATGAGCCCCAAACTGGTTCTTCTTCGGTCGGTAGCCCTCACCTACTTAAGCAACAAATTAAAAGCATAGATCTCCATGTCCTCTTTCCCGCATGGCCTTCTCCACCAACGTCTTTCCATTCTCCACAGCCTGCTTGGCCTCTCTTCCAGCCAAACTGTCTCAATATTCATCCTTTCAGTCCCCCACCTTCGTGTCCTAGCTTTCCCTCCCAACCATTCCCATATTTCTGCCCACCATATGGACTAACGCCACTATTACCGAAGTGTTTTAGAACTGCTACAATCGGTGAAAATACAGTCCATAAACGCAAAGTGAACCCACCGAATCAAGTGTTTATCACCCCACTCCCTAAATATTGCGTCTTTAGTAGGGTCAAACTAGAAAGAAGAAACGAGAGATACTCACAGGTGAAGTTGTTTCTACCTATGTCAGACAGGTATTCTAACTCGATTTGTGCGGCCAGGTCCATTTCATCAACGCTATAGAAGTATTAAGCATTAGAGGGGCAAGTTCCTTCGTTGTCAAGAGAAACTTTGCATGCTAGATCGGTGAAGCCAGTGTCGATTGCCCAGGCCTTACTCCAGGTTTAATATATGCGGAGGGAATTGGAAGAGGGATTGGGGGGCAAGAAAAATGGTACCGGGCCCTGCGGTATGGAGGTATTTACGTCAAGAGGGCTATAGTTCGAGGGACTGCTTGTGGGGTCACCTGGACTTGAGAATCTGATGCGAGTGTTCATTTCGGGGTGCTCATCTGTGTGGGTTAATATGCTGGTTTTTACTAATACAAGGAACCGCGGTTTCTAGAACCTCCACTATTCCTCTTCCGTATCAACGTTTCCACTAGCAATGCCTCGCCAACTAGGCGCTGCTTGCTTAACGCTCTACTTGGTAGTGTTGAAGGAGTTAGTAGGTGCTTCAAATTTTCGCGTGCAATAGCTTCTCGTCGCACAGGCTACATTACGTGCAGACCTGCTATTCTCATCAAAGGGAAAACTCGGGTACCTTCGATGCCTATCTAAGTTTTGTAAGGAGATCTATATGCGCTTGCTAACTTGCGATCAGCCGCGAAGCATTCGGTCTAGTTTTCTTCATTTCTGACAAGTCTAGACTTTCGGCTAGGTTGGTTCAGCTTCTTCGATAACAATTTCACAAACCGTGACACAGGGTTGGAGTCCGTCGAGAACTATGCCAACCCTAAGCATTCTCGCTATCATATTATTGGGCTGAGTCAATGATGTAGTTTTGGAAGATTGACGTGAACCACAGATGAGACCTAGTAGCCACGTGTTCTCGGAGGTATTGAGGAGTAACCGAAATGCCCACATCTCAGAACCTTGTAGCATGCTGTGCTGTAGGAAGTAGACAGTGATATTTGTATGACATCAAGAAGGTAAAATATAGTCGACCTTTCTCGCCTTCAGGAGGACATTTCAGATTCTTAAAAGATCCTATTGTGGGAGTGGATTAGTAGGTTAGGCTTTGAAGTAACTATGGCACTGACATACGTAGCTCTTAGACTACCTGACTCACACACACAAATTTTGATACACAAATACCCACCTCCCCTCTCATAACCGGTTCCTTTTTCCAATGCATCGACTAAATCCGCCATCGGCAAGCAACTTCAGAAGTTAACATCAGAGAGCAACCTCTTTCACTGAAACGACACACGGCACCCAAGATGCCTGTCACCATTCGACCACCTCCTGGCCTTGTTGGCTGCAACTAAGACAAGAGTGCCGCTTCGCTAGCCTTATTTATCTGCAGAATAGCAAACAGCTACGGCTACAACTTTAGACCCCGACCAATCCTCCACTCCTCGTTCAGCAACCTTAGCAGCTCAGTCCCTGGAATCCATTGTGGCAATGGTCTCGCCCCTGGCATTATCCGTGCCTTCCAGCAGGATCTTCATCTCGCGCTACACCCTGATGACGTTTGGTTAACCCAGAACCAGTTCAACTTCTATGTGAATGCGCACCCGGAGGAGTTGCGCCCGAAATTTGTTGCGCACGGAGGCAATGGGGATTATTCATTGCCCTTGTGCAAAAACTCGCATGTACTATAGAGGAGAAACTTGTAAGTCTCGAGCTTCGAAACTGGGTCATGTCTGATTTCTCGACGACGACTGATGCTGGTACGGCAGTTGCATCGATGGCAATGACAGAAAATATGAAATACTTCGGCTTTGGGTGCAGCAAGAATTGCGGCTTCCCTCCGTCACGCTCATCGGCGAACAAGTGGACTGGGAGAAGACTCTCCAACGGTTGAATCGTCTTTCCTTCTATGGCTAGGAACCCACTCGCTGGGCAAACCTTCTCCGGCCAATATCCAAACGCTTCATTGGCGCATCCTCCATCCCGAATCGGAGGACTTGAAAAAATGTCTGGATCGAAGTCTACTACACAGAAATGGCGGCCAGAAATGGGATATCATTAATGTATTCAGGGTGAATCACCGCCCTCATGTACTGGACCCCTTAAGGAGGACGCAATATCGCAAGCGGAAGGAACAGTTCTGGAAAGATTGTTGTTGAGCTGGATGGCGAGTAATACCTGATAATCAAAAAGTATGACGTCCTAAGTAGGTCGTCGCCAAGGCTTTCTAGCTTGGGCATGAGATTGAGACCACCATTGTCGCGGGATCCGTGGGTGTGACGGTGGCTACGAGAGAGAGGATAAGGAAGGGGATCGTACAACTGTCCAGTCGGCGGTGGGGATGTTGGATGCTAGAGGGTTCGAGTAAACTACTTGACTCGGTTGACCAGTTCTGATTCGTTTCACGCTTTTAGGACGTAGTTTAAGGCCAGCCCGGAATCTCTTCATTGACGAGATTTTAGTTAGGGATTGTTCGGCTTTAACACGCTAAGTGCTAGTTCGAAGCAGAATATAGATCGGAATCTTTCTGGTGCGGGACAGATTCTTTTCAATGGCCTGCTTTGAACGAGAATAGTTCTGGATGTATGGTGAAAATCTCCTCTTCGTCCTCGTGGTCATACAATTCCTTCCACGTATTCTTCAACTTGTCTGGGACGTCCCATCTTGAGTCGTTCCGTTCATCGTGCAATATCAACCGTAGAAGATACCGCTTCGTCGTATTCTCATCTTCGTTACCATCTAAAAATGAATCACGTGCGTGCATTAGTCTGAGATTGTTGCAAAACATCATGTCGCCGCTTTTAAAATCAAAGCGACGAGACACCTCTTGGCCAGCGGCATGGAGCGCATCGACAGCCTCAATCTGCTTAGCGGTCAGAGAAGGAAGGTAGTTCGGTCTCAGACGTGTGGCAGTGCCGAAAATGCGCGAGCGGGAAGCTTGTATGGCGAGACGTCCGGACGCTTGGGTGAAGAGAAGAGGGCGCTCATCGAAGCCACCTTCTATTTTAGGGCTGAAAAGGGTATGAGTGACCAAAGTGAGGTTTTTTGGGGATGGTCATACTTAACCATAATATACGGCTTCCGGAGCGTCTCGAGAATGTCTGGCCGAGTACGGGCGATTCGGGAAGTGATATCATGAATGTCTGCTAGATGGAAAGCTCCCCCACTCGCTGGTCTAGATAGAACGTATAATGAAAGGATCGATCCATAGTCGGTATGAAAAGGCTGGAGAAGGTTAGATAATACCCTAGGCGAATATTTACGCGAACATCTCACCAAGGCTATAGTCCTATTTGCGGGACCTCTATATGTTGTGCATTCCTTCTCGCTGCTAATCGGAATGTTGGTAACGTGATCTATAACCAATGAGCAATGCCATAGTAAAATCATTGCCATACTTACGCAACACATTTGGATCACCAGGCGCAAGTGCTCTTTTCGTACCCACATGGGATGCGATTCCAGTGAATATAACAACGTTCTTGTACTTCGAGAACCACTGTGGTTTAAGGCCTCGAATTATAAAATATGGATGCTGGTCCACGAGGCCGACGCTCAACTTCCGAATCCTGGATGACAAAGTCGGCAAAGGGAAGTTCTCCGCCTGAAGTTTGTTAAGCGGGAGGGTAGTAGCTGTCTGTATGTCAGAATATACCGCTCGCAACGCGAAACTGAAGATTGTTGCCTTTGAAGCTTATGAATGCGTCCTCTATTTCCTGGATATCGTCCAGGGAGAGTTGTAGAACAAAGTCATGTTCATCACTCTCTCTATCATGAGAGTCCACAATCTGGGGGCCCTCCGATATCCATTTGACAGCTCCTGCTGACGAGTTGAAAAGACGTAAGCTTTTCTTTAACTCTGAGATGACATTCTCAGGGGGGGAGTAACCGGAAGTGTCGAACAGAGACGTTTCAGCGTGTGGAGCCATGCTGTAGTCTTAGCTTTGCAAGGAAGTCTGTGATGGGATAGGGTCGGAAACGGGCACAAACTGCAGATATCTGCTCGATTGTTGGCCTAATACTCTCTCCAGGTCAGGTTGAAGCTGAAGTTGCCTTATCGGCTCACCCGGTGCTTTTCTGCAGACCCCGCTCCCGACTTTCAGCCGCACTCTTCCTCATCACTTGTCGCCGCATTGCGTCACCCTAGTCCTCCGAGTTCGCATTGAGACATTGTGATCGGAATACGAGAAAATACCGTGGCTTGTAGCTCTTCCACAACTTTCATCCAATCGACTGAGTCTTCCTCACTCTTCGCATAGGGCCAGTGAACAAACGATTCCCTGGTCCACGTGGCCTTCAGACATTCGAGGGGATCGCGGCTATTTTCAAAACAGGTCGACGAATCTTTATACAGCAATCACACGTGTGGGAGTGTTCCTGCAGTCAATGAAGGAACAGTCCCAAGGGATAAAATAGTTCTGGGCCAGGTTGAGACTTGGGTTAAGTACTCACGTGCCCAAGAGTCATGATTTGAATTTAGAGTAAAGGTTAAGACGCTGAAGACGCTACTACTGTAAGGGAGAGCACAGGCTCAGAAAAGTTACATCTGCCTTTTTGGAGTGTGTCTTGGAGTATTCCAAATGGTTGAGATGTGAGGTCGGCCTCAAGGTGGCATGCCAAGAATGGCTATCCAAGAGCCATGGATGTAGACTTCCAGTTCGCGGACAAAAGTTTTCTTTATGGGCCTAGTTCCTCTTCAATAGGTTATAGCAAATTATAGACAAGAAGGGTTGATTCCTAGTTAATTTCGACATTACACTGAATCCTGGGTTCGCATGAGGAGTAGGTGTCCGGGAGAAACCAATAGTCAAAAATTTAGACGAGAGCGGTAACATTGGGCGCACAGTCCTAGTGGGCGGAAAAGTGCGGAAATATTCTGGGGAGGGGGGGTCGACCGATGGTGAGCAGCATGCACTCACCGGGACAAAAAAGGCTGCGGATTGATGGAGGACAAGCAGTCTTCATGTTGCTGTTTATTGCGTTTGACATCATATGTATGTTTGATGAAACCTGACCGAGCGAGCCGGTCAGCGGGAGGCCGATATAGGTACGCATGCGCCCTTTGTTCACGTGGCATCCAAAACGGGAACGGTCTTTGTGGACCTTCAAACATGCTCGCTTAAATGCCAAGGTAAGCCAAGCATCACAATGATGTCATATCCAACTCCGCCCCAGCCAAACTTGCTCCACCGACGTAATGGGGGTCCAACGCCTATTAGTTAAGGCTTTCACCGTCATTTAGTCTCTTAGACCCTGAAAGTTATTCTTCCTGTGCACGTTTCCCGAATATCATCATTCTTGGACATATCCCGACCCTATGTTCCCCTTTCCATCTCCCACGGGTCATGGCGACGGCTATTTGCAGCATGGAAACCACACACCTGACTGTTATCAACTAAGACCTGGGAAGAGGCAGAGAAAAATTGATCAGATGATCCTTGAAGCAGCAGCTACGCTACTGAATACATCAGTCGACAGGCTGCTTGCTACCGCCAAAGCATCCAGCTCAAGCCAATCATCTCCTCAACAACCTATCCAGCCATACGCTCCCTCTGGTAATGGCCACCCGAATGACAAACTCCCCGAGAATAATTTGAACATGGTGGAGTCGCTATTCTCCCTAGCTCTCCCGGATTCTGGGCCACATCTGAATCCACCCCCCGATTCAGTTCCAGAAACAAGTGAATATGCCGGGACACCCCGGAGTTTCGACAGCCTTTCCTTCCAAGGAGAATCCAACCAACACCCAGAAGACTTTCCTGTAGTACTGAATCCTAACACTAGCACCTCTTCATTCGGCCTTGACAACGATTTCACAACGAGTGCAGGACAGCCAACTGGGTCATATGCACTAACAACAACTGCTATGGATGAATCTGTCAACTCAACCACCAATTCCTATCAACAAGTGCCCTGGTCTGGGGTGTTCTATTGCCCAGAGTCCCCCTTCTCCGGTAACTCCAATGCTCTTATGGACGTTCAAGCAGACAGAATTCTTCAGGAATCTGAAGTCGGCCGAATGGGCCAAGACGAAACCGTTAGCTCTAGGCAGGGGACAAAGCGTAAACGTGGCCCCTTTCGAGACTCTGAGCAGCGAATTGAGACTGGCCTAACTCGGAAGTTGGGCGCCTGTATTAGCTGCAGTATGCAACGCATAAGAGTATGAACCTAACACAAACGTCTCACCTTGCAATACTAACCCATCTAGTGTGTCCCGGATCCACAAAATCCATCTGGGTGCTGCCGCACGTGTATCCAAGCAGCTCGTACGCGTTTGTATTGGCTACCATGCCTGCGCTACAAAATTCCAGACGCGGAACTTCTCGATCATGCTGCTTGCCCAAGGCCGTCATGGAGCAGAAGGTGGAAGAAAATGGAGATCATGGACATACCAGCGCAGCATTGGGCTTCAAAAGAAATCAAAACAATCCAAATCACTCAAGATGTTGGAGGAACATGCTACAAGTTGAAAGTTCGGCAATTCAAACCTACGGATGGAGACTCTTTGGAGAGAAGATGGAAAACGAATGGGAAACCACAATATTTCAAATGCACACCCTACGCAATTGCAAATATGAAAGAAGCTGGAAAAGTACTGTCTGAGTTTGCAGATCGTACCGTTGGGACGGCGATTTCTCATTACATCGATGAAACGGATGTCCTCTTGCGGAGCACATATACCATGGCCTATCGATATTCACGAATGGCAGAGCGTGATCAAGAAAGAGACCTATTGCGTGCAGTGTTGCGTCTATGGTGCGCCTCGAGAATGGAATCCCACTCAGACCGAATTTGTGGAGACGAGACATTGGGGATGACACCACAGGATTATGGCCGGGATTGCCCCAACACCGGGATGATTCTTACTCCGCCTGTCTTCTCCGCCCAGCTTGAGGTTATTGTCGTAGCAACAATCCTACAACCAGCAAAGAAAGAAGTCCTACAGAGACTGAAGGACTTGATGCAGGAGAATCATGGGCGGCAATCTTGGCAACAGCCATGTTGGTTCACCATCTATCTAGCCATGTTCGTCTTGCTCCACAGCTGTGCGATGCTGACCGCCGGGGACAACAAAAAGGCCCGGAAACAAGGTTCTGAGGCTCGTTTTTTTCGACATTCAGTGGTGGAAAGCCTTCACAACGGCGCCAAGATCCTGCTTGCATACTTTCATTACTGCAACAAGGGAAGCCGTCCATTTTCAATGGATTGGTCCTCGCCAGACCAAATGGCGAGAGCTGGTCTTGACACCGAACAAGCAGAATTTATGCGTCTAACCGCCAACGAAGTTCAGAAAAGAACTGTGAATTTCCGACAAATTCGAGAGCAGGGGATTTATGAGCACGACTACTATTTCATTTCTCAGCTTTATGATTCTGATTGGAAACCGAAACACACCATCTGATAGCGTTACTATGAAACTCCTGGCATTTTGGTATTCTTTTTTGCATTACGTTGATAGCATTTGAGCCATCGTTCTCATGATATTTAATGCTACTGTAAGATGCAGAAATGTATGAATACGAAGATGATTGAGGCAGAAAAGAAGTCCAGATTTTGCTGTTTTAGCACATTCTAGATATTTATTCAAAATATGTGGGCCCATGAATACAACAATGGTTGAAGCTGACGATGAGACCAAATTCTTGCGGCTTCAGCACTTTATAAATCTGCTTGTAAGACATGGAGACGTATAAATACAACGATGGCCAAGGCCGGAAAGAAGACCAGCTTCTTGCGGCTCTAGCACTTTCTAAATCTTCAGTCTGACTATCGTAACTAGATTCCTTCCCCAGGATGCGTCGCCTGTGAATCTCGAGCCAAGGAGCGAGTGCTAAAAGTGGTCTTACCCAATCAGCGACTAGCACCTCGCGGTGAGAGCCATTCCCACGGGTCAGCCCTTCACCAATATTGTATGCAAAAATCGTACGAGGAATTGTTCAATCGGCCTTGCACAAAGACGTCATCGAAACATTTCCCACCACCTTCTCTGGAGACCCCAAGCTATGAAACGTTTCTGTCATCCGTGGATACATGCAGGAACTCAATAAACACAATGCTTTTTCTCAACGCATCAACGGTTCTCGAACTGGGCGCCCATCGCACGCGTGAGGACATCATTGAATTTTGCTGTGGTGTTTCGATCTTGCGCGGGTTTCGGAGCTGGGGATCGATTCGCTGGGTCGCCTATGTTCGAAGGCTTGTGTTGCGCCTCCATAGAAAATGATTTCTGCATTCTCGGGGTCGCGAGCTGATCGCAGAATGCTCGATCAAACTCTTTTCTGAGTGAGCATTTTCCGGAACAAAAATCGAAACTCAAATGCAGGGCCATACCATTGCATGCCATCAAGGCCCTGTATCCATGGCTTTCAGGAGTAACGTCTGTGGCTTGCGGTGCCATTGGTGGAATTGCCCCAGAGGCTTGCAGCCGAATGCTGATAGTGGTTCGTGTAGAAGAGACAAGCCGCATTATTTCGAGGGCTTGAGATAGTTCCATTTCTCAATATACACAGAACACAAAGAAGAGCTTAAGGAGAAGTATTTATACATGCGCACCTCAAGTGAAGTAGTCGCCGTGCCGGCGAGCGGGCAATATCGCAAGTACTGCCTGAGGTTGTAATGCCGTTCACCTGAGACTTCGGAAATTCTGACAACTTCGCGCGAGTGGAGCTCTTGGGCATTCTAACTGGCTGCATTGACTTCCATTTCTATTCGCGCTTTTCCGACACGCTCACCTGCGCGTTCGGCGAGATATTAGTGGTGCCTGACCGGCTCATCGCGCGCTCACCTGTGAAACCGGGAAGATCGCTGTAAATGGCTGCCTAGGGGCCTCGGGATGTGGATTGCAATAGACATGATGAGAAATACGCATAGATAAAGACGGAGAAAACTTGGCTTTGATACTTCATCCATCTCGTCATTGCGCGCCTCCACACTCCCTTTGGTTCAGCCACAATCCTAGTTGCACGTCCTGGTACATCCTAAACCTGGGTTAGGTGGGAACTGCCGTCCAGTTGAAATATCATAGTCTTAGACACGCGTTTAGGTGCCAAGGAGTTTCAAATTATAGCATCTACACATGCTGAACAACCCCTCTATAGCTCCCTCTTGTCCTTTGTATGAGTATGCAACAATAGTATAGTTGTACTCTAGAATATCGCCCATCATACACTACAGTTCTGCGAGTGATTCGAATCCGGTTGTAGGAGAAGGCAAACGACGCAAGATCATTTTTCACACCTTAGAAGAGGCTATCCTTTGTCCAAAGTCACTGTGAGTAGCACATTTCTTAAGAGCTCCGTCTTGTGCATGATGATCGGGTAGGATTAATCTACAGCGTAGGTTAGCAACCAACCCAAGAATGCACGAGTTGTGCTCTGCCTACACAGAAGGAAATTATCCACCAAATTTCTTTCCAAACTTTTCCTGTGTGAACCAGGAAGTCTCATTCTATAATGAACCAGCTCCAAAAATTTATGGTAACTCAGTCATTGCTTTTTTCTTCGTCTTCGGTAATTCCCCAATCGAGTTTCATTAACAAGCGGTCCACACCACCAAGTCGCAACGGCTCATAGCCTCCCTCTTCTCTCGAGCCCAACGAGCCTAAATTAGGAGTTGAGCCCAGTCTCTCAGCATCAATGTCCCGAAGCCTCGAGATCAGTGACTTCATGTCACCATCCAGCCTCCTTCTCGAACGATCTAGTTCGATGCCAACGTCTTTCTCTTCCTGTTTGTAGTTCTTTAAAAAGTCTTCGACCCCATCATCCTCTTCGAGGTCAAGATTTTGGCGAACCGAATGCAGTCGGGTAATGAAGGCTACGAGCTCGTCAACATGCGTGAAAAAGTCTCGGATGATTCTTGTAAAAGTCACGTCGGTAAGTAAAAGAGAAAATGAAAGGGATCCGAGGAATTGGCGGTGCGCTGACGCGAGTGTTTCAGGGTCGTGGTGACGTTCTCGGTAGCTGGAAGACTTCCGGAAAGATCCAGGCACGTCAGAACTAGAGAGATTGGAATCGTCTTGAAAGATCCCTGTGGTGCTTTGTGGTGAAGTTGGATCAATGAACCAATGTAGGAAGTGCTTGTAAGACTCTTGAACAACTTCGCCTTGGAAGTAGGCCTCGCTCTCTGAAAGAAAAAAGATAGCAGCGGCGCAAGTCGCCCAGACCTTCCGCATTTCTCGGCTGCGCGAATTATTCCGTTGGCGCCGCCTATCCAAAATAGCTCTTCCTTCCTTACTGTTGCTAAACTGGTAATTAGGAGGAGGTGGATGCTCTCTTCGGATGGAGCTATGTCTCCATAGTTGTGCCAAATGTAAATGAGCACGCCGGATAGCAAGGAGGTAGGAGTTGATTACTGAGTAAGCTTCAAGATCAGATTTCGTAAGGAAGAGATCAAGTGGAGATCGGATGTCCATGGTGAGCGATATCGGCGCTGAGAGTAGCAAATCGTTGAAAGCTACGTTAGAGAGAACTGGAAGGGCTGTAGTAGATTCCCTAGCACGCCCCGGCGTTCCGGGCCGTTGGCTTGAGGGGGTTTGAAGGGTGAGGTGGAGAATATCTATAGCAAGATCCAATGCATCGTCCGTGCGGTCCTCTTCACCAGTCAGCGACGACAACACTGACCATGAACGAGACAAGGCGTTGTTGATCTCAGCCTCTTTCAATAAAATTCCTTGAAATCCCTGCGTTTTCTGGACATGAGCCGGGCTTCGGTGTCGAGACTGAATCTTCTCGTCCGCTTCTGCAATTAAGGCGACAGGAAACTCCCCTCGGCCAAGCAGAAAAAATTGGTGAAGTACACCAAGAATTTCTACAATTTTCTCTCGGGGTAAAAGGTGCTGCAGCAGGTTCCGTGAGAGCGAGAGTCTGATATTGGCGACTGCACCGGAGAGTTTAGCCGAGGATATGGGTGCGGTGACCTCGGAGAGGTGGCCAACATGAACTGGAAGAAGTTCCAGACCGGAGGCACCAGATATTGGGACCTTCAGCGCTTTTGAGGATCCTAGGGAACGTACTTGATTGAGGGACTTTCCAATGAACAGCATGGAAGAAGCGGTCTGACGGGTAACGAACTTAGGCAGGATCTTGTGGTCGAGAACAAACGATGACTCGCCATCTTCTTCTTCTGTTCTGATGAAGAAATCGGACGCCCCAAAGGAGGGCAAACGGCCATACAACAGCCATGTTGACAGCTGGCGCAGCCACGACGTCTCCGCAACCCTACCAAGATAGACGGAGGCAGCCTCGATATCGGGATAACCGGTCTGCGCTTCCACCCTAAGCTTGTCGATAAGTTCGGCGCCTGCAGCAACATTGTGGTCTGCCTGCTCCTCGCGATTGGTATTCTTGGAGACGTCGGAGGTCATCATGAAATCGCTGATGTACCACAGCCACTCCATAAGCTTGGTCCATTCCGAGAACTCGCTGACTAGCCCGGCCAAGGGGACAATGCCATAGGCGCCCACAGTAGAGGCATCTTTTTTCAGTACGCGGCTCTCTACGTCTAAAACCTTCTGCTGGAACTTGTCGAGGTGATGTGACGCGATGGCTGTCGCAACCGCGCGGCAGATGGTTGAAGGATGGCTGGCAGCAACATGCACAACATGGTCGCGGGTCCGGCGATGCAGGTGGGACAGATGGGCCAGCGAAGAGAGGAGCTCAGCCTCGGAAGGGGAAAGGAGTGCAGACGTCACGTGTGAGGTACTGTGGCGGGTATCGAACAGCGCGGAGGGGTGGCCAGAGAGCGAGAGGAGGATTTCATGAAGCATGGTCGCGGAGTTTCCTCGTCGTGTCCACGCCGGGAGCGACGGCCGTGTTTGTGAACAAAATCCAGAAATACGCTCAGGAGCTCAAAACGACACATTGATGGCCGTGTCGCATGGAGGCATTCCAGGTTGTGGTGGTGCCCAGGTGCGATTAAGACGCGCAGTCACGGGTGAAAACAATCCCCTCCTCGGTAATTGTGAGACGAGGATTTGACGGATCAGATCTGTTGAATGCCCCACTTGCCTTCTTCGGACCCAACCTCAAGCTCGACACCCCTCCAGCCGGCTTCACGTGCTGTGCCATTCACTTCGCACCAACTTTCACCACCGCAAATATGGTGCAACGGACCCTTTTGCGGCGTTCAATTCGCGTCAGCCTTCCTACTAAAACCCGCACACATCGTCAATCACGTCTTCGGTTCAGCACCGTGCACGATGCACCTCTGGAAGTATCTCGGCCATTGAGCGCTTCCGCTTTCCAGGATGCAGTGCAAGCAACCGCTCCAAGGACCAATTGGACTCGTGAGGAGATTTCAGACGTCTATAACACTCCCTTGATCGAGCTCTCGTATGCAGCCGTCAGTCAATCGTGAACCTCTTCCTGAATATGAAGTTGACCATCTCAGGCCACCGTCCACCGTCGCTTCCACAACCCCGCTGCCATCCAAATGTGCACCCTTATAAACATCAAAACTGGCGGCTGCAGTGAAGACTGCAGTTACTGTGCCCAGTCTTCGCGCCACAATACTGGCCTGAAAGCGACCAAAATGGTCGACGTCCAGTCTGTCCTCGACGCCGCCCGCATTGCGAAAGAGAACGGTAGCTCCCGTTTTTGCATGGGTGCTGCATGGAGGGATATGCGGGGTCGAAAGACTAACCTACGAAACATAAAGGAAATGGTCAAGGGCGTCAGAGCGCTGGGAATGGAGTCGTGCGTGACGCTAGGAATGATCGATGCGGAACAGGCAAAAGAGCTGAAAGATGCGGGTCTGACCGCGTATAACCATAATGTCGATACGTCAAGGGAGCACTACCCTAGCGTCATAACTACTCGGACGTATGACGAACGATTAGCCACCATCAAAAACGTCCGGGAAGCTGGCATCAATGTTTGCACGGGTGGTATCCTAGGACTGGGAGAAAAGGCCAAGGATCATGTTGGCCTGATACACACTGTCGCTACAATGCCTTCACACCCGGAGTCATTCCCAGTGAATGCACTGGTACCCATTAAAGGTACGCCTCTTGGGGAAAGCAAAACAGTATCCTTTCATTCCATCCTTCGCACCATCGCGACAGCTCGCCTCGTGCTTCCTGCTACAATCATCCGTCTTGCAGCAGGAAGAAATACAATGCCGGAGGAGAAACAGATGATGTGCTTCATGGCGGGCGCAAATGCGGTTTTCACCGGGGAAAAGATGTTGACAACGGCCTGTAACGGATGGGAAGAGGATAAGGATATGTTTGAACGATGGGGTATGAGGCCGATGGAGAGCCATGAGACAATTCAGGGGCAGCAGAAGCTCCATTCCAAGGAAGCCGCTAATTTACCAGCCATGCAGACGCCTGAGCCTACCTCAAAATCTGCATCTGTGGAAGTTTGACGGGGCACTTCTTGCGCTGAGGTACCACCCATTAAAAGCATAGACTATGTAGATGTTAAAATAGACGCATTGCTTCGATATTTGAATATTACATTCTTTCTCACGTCAAAGCCGCGCTTTTGCGGCTGCATGCTGCTCCTCAATCCCCGGCCTTGTCTCACTCAACGCCTGAAGCAATGTCCACATCTTCATTTTCGATACTAGGTCCTCAATTTCTTCTTTCGTGTTGCCAGCATGTAGGCAAACCCTGACCCTCGACGTGCCCTCCGGGACCGTAGGCGGTACAACAGCACGAACCACAATACCTTTGTCTTGCAAGAACCGTGCTAGGCTCTTTGATTGAGCAGTCTGAATTGAGAATATAGGAGATCTGGGACAGTCGGACGGCACTTGGAGTAAGGCCAGGAAGCTAGGTGAATTCACCGAGCGTAGTTCCTTGAAGAGGGTCTTGACTAGAAATTGCAGACAGGCAGCTAGCTGAGTTAGGGGTCAGCTTTTATCCTAAGAATCGAGCCGGGAAGGAGACACATACCGCATTTGTATGCCCGTCTTGTAGGAGACTGTATGAGGCACGGATCGCGGCCAAAGTGGGATAGGACATGAAGGTTGTGTAGATTAGTGGGCGCGCATAATTGACCAAGTAGTGACGAAGCAATGGAGAACAAAGTATGATTGCTAATTGAATGTAAATAAGGGTAAGTCCAGGGAAGGAGTGCAACCTCACCTCCGTTGCACGCTAGTGCTTTACCAAACGTATGTAGCCTGGCGAAGATTCGATCCTCCAGGTTCAGTTCACATACCAAACCTCTCCCATCAGGGCCAATTACCCCAGTAGAGTGTGCCTCGTCAACAATGACATAGCCGCAATCCCGCGGGACGACATCTTCCACAGTCTCGACGATGGCTTTCAGTGGCGCCAAGTCACCATCCATACTGTACACAGCCTCTACGGCAATCATTACGTGAGATCTTCCATCTCTCAGGCTTTGGGATTTTCTCAAACACTCCTCAAGTACCCTCCTAAGATCGTCGACCGAATTGTGCGAAAAGGGCACTCGTTTCGTTGCGCGGCTCAACCTCATGCCGTCATGTACGCTGGCATGGATAAGCTCATCATAGACAATAATATCCCCAGGTTGCGGAACGCAAGCGTAAAAGCCTGCATTGGCATCGAATCCAGAGTTGAAAAGCAAGCCAGACGGAGCTCGGTGAAACAGTGCAATGTCGTGCTCTAGATCCTCGGCATATTGGGAATTGCCATCGAGAAGCCGAGAGCCACCACTGCCAAGAAGTCGACAATTAGAAAGCTCATCGAGGAAGGCTGTCCTTAATAACTCGGATTTGGAGAGAGAAAGGAAATCATTGGATGAAAAATCGCATTGTTGAGTGCTGATGGTCAACGTACGGAGCGTGGAATTGGCGCGTCGGCGGTCTAGGAGTTTGTGTAAAGCTCTCTCGATAGGTAGCTGGTCGATTCCGTCCCTCATCTCTTCAATTGAGTGTGTGGGAAGTTTTATGTAGAAGGAAGAAGGTCCTTAACACATGGTGGACGGGTTCGGTTAGCGTTGCTAGCGCGAAAAGTTAATTCAAACAGCGGCACAACTCTTCTACCACCATTGAGCCCTATCTCTGGATATTAAACTTAGTTTCTCATGTCGAGAGTCGCAGCTGGACTTTGGCAAAACCTTGTTGCTGTCCAGGTGTACGGGGCGAATACAGGTGTTGGGAAAACGGTCGTCTCAACGCTCATTGGACGCCATTTTACTGGGAGATCTGGGAGGACAAGATGGAGCGTCCACTACATCAAACCCGTCCAGACAGGGCCTAATGAAGACGCTGACGATAGGTCTCTTACTCGTGGATTCATCTTTAAACGTATTACACTAACTTGAACTAGATACGTTGCTAGATACGCAGGACATAGCACCTCTACATTAGTCAAATTCCCTGATCCCGTGAGCCCCCATCTCGCCGCTCGTGGCGCAGCGGAAATAGTCAGTGCCCTTCTATTACTCGAAGCTCGTACTGTTGACACATCGAAAGCCCACTGATGATAGTCTCGTCACGCGTCTCTCCAGCAAACTACGAGAAGACGCACGCTCCCTATCCATGGGAAGGGGCTCTATGGGCGTTACGATAGTAGAGACCGCTGGAGGAGTTCTAAGTCCCGGGCCATCTGGTACCCCGCAAGCTGACCTCTTTCGACCGCTCCGTCTCCCTGTTATTTTAGTGGGTGACAATCGGCTTGGGGGCATTGCCTCAACCATATCAGCCTACGAGTCGCTCCTGATTCGTGGATATGATGTTGACGCTATCGCTTGCTTCGATAGTGGAAAACTGGGTAATTCCGAATATCTGGAAAAGCATTTCAAGGACATGGGAATCCCTCTCTTTGAATTACCGTTAATTCCAGATGTTGATGGATGTTCCAGACAGGAAGAAGTTGGGAAGATGATGTCCTACTATGAAACGGAAAGCAGGAATGGAACTATGTACAAGTTGGGTAAGCAAATTCTAGATTGCCACATAGAGCGCTTAAAAGATATGAAGGAGCTCGCAAGCTGGACGAAGAAAGCGATATGGCATCCCTTCACACAGCATAAAAGCATCCAGAAAGCGGATGAGGTTTTGGTCTTCGATTCTGCCTACGGCGATTGGTTTCAGACGAAACACACACAGAAGTCTATGGAAAATGTCAAAGAAAAAGCTGCGTCTCCGATGCTTTATCCAACGTTCGATGGATCTGCTTCCTGGTGGACTCAAGGTCTTGGGCATGGAAACCCACGACTGTCTATGGCTGCTGCCTACGCGGCTGGACGATATGGACATATTATGTTCGCCGGAGCTACCCACAAACCAGCCATATCCCTCGCCAAGCGTCTGTTAGAGAGGATGGAAAACCCTCGCCTGACCAAGGTTTTCTTCACAGACAACGGCAGCACAGGAATTGAGGTCGGTATCAAGATGGCCCTTAGAGCTGCTTGCAAGCGTTACGGTTGGGACGGCTCGACAGAGCAGGTCGGGGTCCTGGGTCTCAAAGGCAGCTATCACGGCGATACATTAGGTGCAATGGAGGCATCGGAGCCCTCTGTGTACAACAAGAAAGTTGATTGGTACCGGGGTCGCGGATACTGGTTTGAGTATCCGGAAGTCAAGATGAGGAAAGGGAGATGGGTCGTGGAACCTCCTGCTGGTATGGAAGAAGAATTCGGGCCGGCACAATACTTCCAAGACCTGAATGAGATCTTCGATTACGAAGCCCGGGGCCATTCAGCCCGTTATGAGGATTACATCGAACGTGTCCTGGACGCTCTCGTGCGAACGCAGGGTAAAAAATTTGGCGCTCTTGTCATGGAGCCTGTGTTGCTTGGGGCTGGAGGGATGATATTTGTGTACGCATCTCCCCTCAACTATCAACCAGAAATTAAAGCTAACATATCCACCAGCGATCCGCTATTCCAACAAAGCCTTGTCAGAGTGGCTCGCAGGTATCAATTTGGCTCGACGCCCAGCCCAGTCGAGGATGAGCAGAGTTGGACCGGCCTACCAGTCGTGTTCGATGAGGTTTTCACCGGCCTCTACCGCCTCGGGCGGTTCAGTGCTGCCTCATTCCTTCAAGTCGATCCTGACATCTCCGTGCATGCGAAGCTGCTCACTGGCGGCCTGCTTCCGTTATGTACGACCCTAGCAAGCAACTCCATCTTTGAAGCGTTTTGGGGTGATGAGAAATCCGATGCGCTCTTGCATGGCCATAGTTACACGGCACATCCGATTGGTTGCCACGTTGCTAACACCTCCCTCGATGAGATGCGAGTAATATCGCGCGGCTACACATGGAACAATTATCGTGAATCGTGGGCAGGCAAGAAAGAGAAGGAGCAGGGCGAGCTAGTCCAATTCGTAGGGAAAGTTATGCAACGAAAGAAGGTTCTAGCATGGAGTATGTGGTCTCAAGATTTTGTTGAGAAGATTTCGAACCACAATCGCGTGGATAGTGTTGTTGCTCTTGGTTCGGTGCTCGCCATTTCATTAGTTGATTCTTCGAAATCGGGTAAGTTCCTTCCTTAGTTGCATGCTTTTAACCATTTGGGCGTTCTAATAATGGACAAGGTTACTCCTCGAATGCTGCAGCCGGCCTTCGTGACAGCATGCTCAACGACCTAACTGACGACAAATTTGCTGTCCATTCACGGGTACTTGGGAACGTACTTTATCTAATGGCGAGCATGACATCCAGAAGAAATCATTTAGGCACAGTCGAGCGTGTGCTCTGGGCAAAACTAGGCTGAGGACGATTAAACGTACACAGTAAGATGCACGCCTTCTGGATTTGCGGAACTGCACAACAGACTCTAGCGTAAACAATGACATGAAAAAGGAACTTTGGGTCAAATTTTATTGCATTAGGGGTAGGGATGGGGATGCTCCGGCCCAAATACCACAATACAGAATACAGGAGAAAAGGAAAATCAGATGTGATGTGGCAACCAGCTTGCCAGACTTCCAATGTGTGTGATTGATCGACTCAACAAAAGAGCCCAAAACTCCGTCAATGTATGTATGATCCCCCATTTAAGCCACACCAAAGGGTCATTTCCGAAAAGTGTCCCGAAGAAAGGCAAGAGCGTCCGTAATATGGTCATTAAGCATGTCGATCGTGTCGTCCAGCGTTAATCTTGTTAATGACTCTACAGAAACGAAAGAGATGCTTAGAGGACTTTGCAGCTCCGCTTCTTGGGCTTCTTACCGCCTGCGAAGGCACGTGGGACGCCTGTCTCCTGAGGCTCCTGGTGCTCGTCACCGACGGCCATTGTCACGGCCATGTCGAAAATTTCCTCGACGCCGTCCTGCTCTTTGCTACTGCACTCCATGTACACGGCGCCCATCTTCTTGGCCACAGCGCGGCCTTGCTCGGGCGTGACCGGGGTGAGGCCCTGAGTCTTGAGGAGCTCGATGCAGTTCTTCTTGTTGCGGAGGTCAGATTTTAGGCCGAGCAGCATGAGAGGCGTCGTTGGGCAGAAGTGGAGCACCTCGGGGTACCACTTGTCCATGACGTTCTCCAGCGAGTTGGGGCAGTCAATGGCGAAGCACACGAAGAGAATGTCGGTCTCAGGGTAGGAGAGCGGCCGCAGACGGTCATACTCCTCCTGCCCGGCCGTGTCCCAAAGAGCCAGCTCAACCATCTTGCCCGTGGGAGGATGCGGCGTGTGGGTGATGTAGTTTTCGAAGACAGTTGGGACGTATTTCTGTAGTTGGTTAGCCGAGTACCGTGGGTGCTGTGGGGGGGTGTACCTCTGGGAAGTTGCCCGAGCTGTAGCTGATCAACAGACACGTCTTGCCGCAGCCGCCATCGCCGACAACGACGAGCTTCTTTGAGTACGACGGCGGCTCTGTGATGTTGGTTTCCCGCGTCGCTGTAGTTGCGTACGAGCTGACGGTGCCATTGCTGTTCCTCTCGCTAGGCGTGCGAACGGGCTTGCGGGCGGGTACAGCTGAGGAGGAGGACACCTTGGTCGACTGCTTTCGGCGGAGGTAGTCGTAGTTCTGCGTGGCGGGCGACGGCACCGACATTGCTGTTGTCGTGACGCGAAGCGGTGGCAAGAATGGCGGGATATGGAGAGCGGAGAGCGGAGAGCGGAGAGTGTATCAATATCGGATGCACAGCGAAGTCGATGGCGAGGACGAGCTGGGATCGAGGACGGAGAAGTGAGAGCGAGCGTGAGAGTGTGTGAAGGTGAGCGCAGAGCCGCCCGATGTTGATTGTTTGGCGGCTTCCCTGGCAACCGCTCCTCGGCTCGGGCTTGGCCATCTGATACCGACACCACCAAGGCAGACCTAGACCCAGCATATCGCGCCCCATTCCCCGACCCGCCCAGCGACCCGCCAGCACCAGCAGCCTGGCCATGATATTGGCTGCGCTCCTCGACCCTCCCGATGTGTGCGCAGCATGATGCGACGGAGCCCCGCCTCGATGCTGGCATGAAGCATCATGACCACTGTGCGTGTCTTGGCCGCGGGAATGAGGACTGAGGACTGACGCTGATGCGCGTCTTGCGCTGACCAGACGCCCAACGACTTCCCCCATGGCGGAACTCGCTGCGGAAGCAATTGATCCCCATCGTGCGCTGGGAGACACCCTATCTCGCACTATTGCAGCAATTGCGCACTCCCTCGCTCGACTCGTACTTTGCCTTCACCGCTAACCTGGGCACCCACACCTTCTTCATGGTCATGCTGCCCATCCTGTTCTGGTGCGGATACACCAATGTTGGTCGCGCGTAGGTCTCCACCTCCCACCTGGCGAATGCAACCACCAATTGACTCCCCCCAGGATGGTTCATATGCTGGCCGGCGGCGTCTTCTGGAGTGGCTTCGTCAAGGATATGCTATGCCTGCCCCGACCCCTCTCCCCGCCTCTGTATAGAATCACTATGTCTGGATCCGCTGCCCTCGAGTACGGCTTCCCCTCTACCCACTCTACTAATGCCGTCTCGGTTGCGGTCTATGCAATCCAGACGCTCCGGAGCGCCCCCAACCTTCATCATCCGAACGTCTCCCTTGGCTTGCAGATGCTGTTTTACTTCTACGCCGCCTCGATTGTGTTCGGGAGGCTGTATTGTGGCATGCACGGTTTCTTTGATGTCATTGTGGGGAGTCTCCTTGGCGCCGCCCTTGCCGTCGTGCAGCTGATGTATGGCGATATGCTGGACGTCTGGGTTGCCAGCGGTACTTACGTGAATCCCCTGATTCTGACCCTAATCATCCTGCTCCTCGTCCGCATCCACCCCGAGCCAGCTGATGATTGTCCCTGCTTCGATGATAGCATTGCTTTCGCTGGCGTTGTCATTGGCTGTCAAATCGGAGCATGGCATTATCATCGGTCTGGGTTCGCAATTGACTACCCAATACCTTCAACAGTCCCGTTCGACTTGAAGAGCATGGGTATTCTTAAAGCGGCTGCCCGTATTCTCCTTGGTGTCGTCATTATATTCGTGTGGAGAGCAACTATGAAGCCTACACTGTTCAAGATTCTTCCCCCTATATTTCGTGTGCTTGAGCACGTCCGGCTTAACATGCCTCGTGTCTTCTTCTTGAGTGCTTCGTAAGTTGTTTCTTTGCCCAGGCAACTGGGCATGTGCTCACGCCTCTTAGGAAATACACGAGTATTCCGACCTTGCGCGGAGATGATAATGTCATCCCACCTGCATCAGAACTTCCGCAGATGCTGAAAAATCTTGCGCATCCCCGCAAGAGATCAGTCTCTGTGGGACCCCAGTCTGCGGCTGATGCGTACGAGACCCTTGCGTATCGTAATAGACGGCGAAGGGAAAGTATAAACTCCCAAGATAGCATAATTTTGGAAGAGAGCGCCTGGTCCCCCTCCAAGGAGGGAAGCCAGAACGACCCCAAACTGCCTCCAAAGTCGAAAGCCAATATACTTCTAGGCGTGGGTCTATTGCCCACTCCGATATCCTCGCGGGTGCATTCCTACGAGCACATGATAGGTACAGGAGCACCGAAGGCAACCTCCATAACTCCTCCACCAGAGGGTGACGCCGGCTTCGCTGGTGACTTCTCTGGCGTTGAACAGTCTCCCGTCGAGGAAGAAAATGAGAAACGGGAGATATTTATGAAGTTAGAAAAACCTCGTGCGAGGTACGATGTTGAAGTTGTTACGAAGCTGATCGTATATGGTGGTCAGTTATGCTTGCTCATTATAATGTAGCCTGCTAACTCTTTCGAAGGTATTGCATGGTTGGCAGTGGAAGGCAACCCGATTCTCTTTGAATTATGTCAACTGGGCAGAGGCTAAATAGGCGCCTTTATGTTCCAGAGCGCTTGGATTAGAGTAAATAGGTACCAGTGCATCTGATGTGTGCCTGGCGTTGAATAGCCTGCAGCCAACAATCACTAGATACCCTATTATTTCTAGATTGGTTGTCTGTATCGCGCTTGCGTAGCTCGTGAATTACCTGCTGTTACGTACAGGGTAGATACCGTTGCAAGTTCAATCAGTCTTGGACTAACTACAACCATGTGCTCCAGGATCCTGGGAGCCGTGGCGCGGACCCCTTTTGGACGGAACCGCAATAACCTTGATCCGGGCCGAAAGCAATGTCCGATAGCACGCTCGCTGTTTTACCCCATCAACACTTACTGAAGATGGGCTGGCTACCGTGGTGTTCTATCCTTCTAGTCTTGTGCGTGTCGGGCGTGTTTGGCCATGGTGGACATGAACAAATCTTCGTGGCCGATAATGCTGATTGGATGACGAGGCATATGGCTGGTAAGACATTAAAGGGCTATTGAAATGCGCATGATTTGTATGAACTGCATCTGATTGCGCGTCTAGAGGAGCATCACATCTCGTCCTTCGACCCCGGCGTCTTCTTCACCCTCCACGATTACGATTCCACCGGCATCTGGTCGCCTGCTGACATCCGCCGCACCTACGGCCTCGAAGACGACTCAACCGCCTCCATTGCTGAATCCGAGAAGCAGCGCGTCGTAAACGAAGTTCTATCCCTCTTCGATATCGATAAGTCCGGCACCATTGACTTCCACGAATTCACCACACAGACACAGAATGGGGTCAAGTTGCCTGATTTTGGGATGGGGCCTGGACACCATGGAGATGATGAGTATGAATATGAGATCCATCATTGGGAGAAGTATCATAGCGGGGACGATGTCAAGGAGGAGGATCTGACTCATCCTGAAGACATTGAGCATTTTGCCAAGCATGAGGAGATGGAGAGGAAACAAGAGGAGTGGGAGAAGAGGGAAAGAGCCGGCATTGTGGAGTCAAATATCCCGGAAAAGTTTAGGGTAAACTGAGGCTGCGGCTTCAGTCTTGTGCGCTTGTTATTACTATACCAAAGGTGAGCCGTCCGCCAGAACGGGGTATATGATGTTTGTTTTACATTTGATGCGCCAAGGTCAGAGTTTGTACAGTATGTATTATTGTTTTGATCCATGTCCGTTTTCTACGGCTTAGCACCTCATAAAGCACATTCTGCAGTTGCAGTCCCGTTAACCCAGATATCAAAAACAATGTGCAACACACCAGGTGCAAATGTCTTCACTCTCTCAACATGGTCACAACTCACTCGCTTCAGAAGTGAGCCACAAGAACCCTTTTCTTGTTCCCATACATTCAGCAAATCCTGCAGCTCACTCACAACCTCGTCTTTCCTAGTGTCGACGTCCTTGGCTGCAACGTTCTCATGCACATGTATCCAGCCCCCGGCCGTCGAATCCACGGCGCGAATGGCAGCCCACCAGCTCTTATTCGATGATGGAAGAAGCCCGCAGTTCACATGTCGAATGCGAGGGATCAAGGGTTCAGTATTGAAGCTCCCCCCAAGGCAGGAAATTGGGCAAATTGCAGATTCATTTGACTGTTGAAAGACCAGAAAGTCGACATCTTGGACTGAGCTATGCCACTCGCTCCAATCTTTTGGAACCTTCGTGAAGACCTGGGTAGACCAACCGTTGAGCTCTGCGCCTCGGCGTAGACCCTCAACACTCCAGGGATTTAGCTCCCAGCAGAGCACTTTGGTGCATCCGGCTTTCTTGTAGGAAAAGGAAAAGTAACCGATACCAGCATACAAGTCCACTGCCGTACAGCCTTGTATAAATTCGTGGTCACGGCAGCCGATAGGGGGTGTCCATTTCCCCTTTCCTCTTCCATCGGATACAGATGTGCGGACGGAAGGCAGGTTAAGGAGTCGAGTCTTCTCGCGGATATTTCCGCGTGAGAACATTGTATACAATGGCGCCCAGACTTGATGGATGCCGTTTTGGCATGTAGATACCCATAATGCTGCGTCGAAGTCCGCCTGGGTAGGGTGGCTGAGACGAGTTGGTGATGGTTGAGGGCCAAAATAACCATATAATGGAGTGAGATTGATAGGACTGCGGAGAATGTTTTCCTTTGTGTCGCCATCCGATGTTGTTCCTTCAGTGGTTTTGGACCGAGGAGGAATTCCTGCATTTAAGGCAACATGAGTTGCCCCGACTGCTCCAGCGATGGCTTTCCAAATGGAGCTGAGGGATGGTGAATCCCACCCAATGGAAGAGAGAAGCTTGGTCCATGGCGGAGAGCTCAAAGCATGCGAAGGAAGAAGAAGCATGGGGTTGTAGACTGAGTATGCCCCTGGAAATGATGAAAGAAGCATTGGCGTTGTAAGTTCTAGAGAATCGAGCAGTGACTTGGGCAGATATTTTAGGCCTTCCCTTAGAGCTTTGAGGAAGGGGCTAGGCGGGACATAGGTGGACGTATTCGTATTGAGAGAAGGAAGCGACAAGCCGTGAATCTCGCCTAGCAGTTCCTGAAGCCCAAGTTCCATGAGAAGGTCAGGCACCTCCTGCTCTGTATTTGGTTCTTGGTCTATATCCCTAGGACCCAGTTGTGACTGCAGGATGTTTGTAGAAATTATCATTCGAGCTCTTTCTGCTGTCCTTTGTGCTTCCTTAGCCGTTGCTACATCCTTGTAGCTTGTGATACCTGCTTTTCGATCAAAATATTTGCGCTCCTCTAGAGCCGATTTCACCCTCTTAACATAAAGTGGAGGCACTAGTAAGGCAACTCGCATATCTGCCATTGCTATACACGTGGGATAAATCAGTAAATGCGAGGTCAAGCCAGAGGGATGTTCCCCCCCCTACCCCGCTATTCCCCGCTTAGTCTTTATCGATAAGTCGGCCATGACAACCTCTCACCGAAATCTTACCCAGCTAACTCCCACAATCTCTCGACTCTCTAACCATAATGTCTTGTTCGAACCTCGACCTGATAAACGAATGCGATAGGTACATACCCCAGCTAATTGCTACTCGAGTCTACTTACACTCCTTAGTTTCCCATATTACCAGACCGATCCGGACCTGTACGCCGCCAGCATTTCCACCTACTTCGAGCTCAGGGTCCGAGGACACGACTATGCGCTTGGTTATATCCTCCCCTCTGTCGCCGAGATCTTCCGGAACCTCCCTAATTGGGAACTCGACGACGATGACCGGATACTGACCCTTACGGGCGGTAGCACTGCCGAGGAGCGATCAGAACTGGTGATGCGCACACTTTGGGCCATGAAAGGGATCGGCCATTTCAAAGTTCTCGAAAAGTGGCGAGATGAGCTCTATCCTGTGTACGGCAAGAACAGAGAGCTCCTCTTCAACGTTGAGAGGTGCGCAAGCCCACTGCTTGGTGTTGTTACCTATGGTGTGCACCTCACAGCCTTTGTAAAAAAGGATGGTGAGCTGAAGATATGGACTCCGAGACGCGCGAAGACAAAGCAAACATATAGCGGGCTGCTAGACAATGCTGTGGCAGGTGGCATTGCGTCGGGCGAAGGGCCGTTTGAGAGTTTGGTAAGAGAATGTGGTGAGGAGGCGTCGCTGGAGGAAGAGCTTGTGAGAAGCAAAGCAAAGGCATGTGGCACCGTCACTTACTTCTACATCCGCAACGAAAAGGCAGGAGGTGAGACGAGACTGCTGCAGCCCGAGTGTCAGTACGTCTATGACCTGGAACTGCCCGAGAATGTGATACCGAAACCGGGAGACGACGAAGTCGAAGAGTTCTATCTGTGGACCGTGGGAGAAGTGCAAGATGCAATGGCGAGGGGCGAATTTAAGCCAAATTGCGCTCTGGTGATGCTGGATTTCTTAATTCGACATGGCGTCTTGACGAGCGAGAACGAGCAGGACTATATCGAGATTGTATCGAGGCTGCACCGAAGACTTGAATTTCCTACTCTATAAACCTCCACTTTTGGGTATCCGGACACCGTGCCATGCAAGCCTTAGATGTAGATGAAGTAGACCGCTCGCCCAACGCCGCCCATGCATACAGCTTCTAACATCCTATTACCTCACTTTTTAGCCAACAAATAGACGTAGTCAATGCGCAGCGACGTGAGCTTCTTGAATGGTCCTTCGAGGTAGAGCAGGAGCCCGCCAAACGAAGTATATACTTTGCTGCAAGAAGTAAATTAGGACAAACGGTTCCTCACAGAGGCATTAACTTAGGTGGAAACGTACATTGTCTCGCCGTTGCCTTCATCAAAGCGGTAGACCTTTCCGTGGCAGACATATTCGAACATGTCCGCCAGTGTCTGCTCGCTCTTTGAGGCCTCCCGCCAGCCCTTCTCTTCCTTTGAACCGTCAAGATTTAATGTCGAGGCCATCACAAGGGTAATGTTATCACCCGTCGCGACTGGGAATAACTCGTGGTTGATGTCCAGAGACATGGTGGTCGTACTGTCGGTGGAGGTCCCGAAAATGCGCGAGACGCGGTCATATTTCTCGTTGTTGACGCTGGTAATGCTAAACGTCTCTTCGAAAAGCTGTGCATCGGCCATTGTAAGGGTGGTTGCGAGAAACTCCAATCAGCGTCGGCAATATTTATTTGCTGTTGCTGTTGGCGTTGAAAGAAGTTCGCAGACGGCTGGGTGTGTGTTCATCACGTGCAACCCCCGGAAGAACCGCAGCCCGACTTCCGACCTTCCCCTCCGCGAATTACCCAAGTTCCAGCCGCATTGCTTCACTTTCACCTCCCCTTGTCTCCATCTCCGCTATCAGGGGTAACAGAGTGTGAGATACTCCTGGATTTCTTACGAAAGCGAAGGCAACCAACCCCAACGCCAGGCTCGAGGTCGGTCTCTCGACTCGCTCGGCGCCTTCGCTGAAGCAACCCTCAATCCAACGGTACACTTCGAGAACCCAATTCGCTCTCCATGATCCGCAACAACCTCCTTTTCATCGAGAATCTGCTCCACGATATGGCATCTTACTCTCCATCAAGCTCGAGTGCAGATAGCAGAGGCGTCAGCCCAGTGACGATGGACAGCGACAATGCTCTAGACAACGCAAGTGAAGCAGCCTCAAGCGAAGAGGAGAAGCAGCAATCTGCATTTTTGACCCTCCCCGTCGATGTCTTCAAATGCATTACGGATTATCTCGATCGGGATGCTGCCTGGTCGCTCAAGCGCGTCTGCCGGGGGTTATCACGCTCAGAAGTTGTGAACAGGCTCCTCTATAAATACCCTATTCAGCTGAGCGACGTCCGTGATATACGCTTGAGCGATTGGAAGTACAGGTCGATGGGTCGGCTGCGCTGGATTAGCTTCCAACAAAGCATCAACGACTCCAATAGGGCCTTTGTACAGAAGCTTGCTCTGTCCCATTGGTGTAGCATTGATGACTTCATCTGGATCGAGAAAAATTTGCCATCTTTGGTGAGCTTAGACATAACTTCGATAAAAGATTTCGTTTGGTCGCCTGAACAGCTCTGGACCTGGAAGGAGCTGGCAGAGGCCACCCCAAAGCTTTTTGCACGACTAGATTTTTTGGAAGTTGCGAATTGGTCGGATTATACTGCTCATTCCCGGATTGAGTACAGTTACTCATACAACGATTACAGGTTCAAACCAAAATTCCGAATTTCACGTCGGAGGGATGGGGGTTCCGTTGCCAAGATGATATTCCCTATCTGTACGCAACTCAAGAGCCTTGCTATTCGCGAGCGCTATTCTGGTTTTCATACCTGGAATGAATGGGAAGTACATCAACGAGTATGCTGCCTTATCGACGGGATCTCTAGCCATTGCCCACCAACCTTGTCAAAACTGAGAGTGTACGACTATGCTCCATATCGATCTCTCTTCTCCACCGATGTCACTACCTGGCAAAACCTCTCTCAAATCGAAATCGGTCTGTATTCTTGGATGGAGGAACGCCGTGATCGAGATGTTATCGGGCCCATACCTTACCGCATCACGCCGGGCCACCACCACAGGGACGACGAAGAAGCCTTCGATGATAAAACATTTGATACCTGCGATCGCAATCACATGGAGTTAGGCCAACATGTGGTGCAGGGAGTCAGTGCATCATTCGAAGATCTGCTTCTTAACCTTCGCACGATCACTAGCAAATATCCAACAGTGAACGTAAGGCCGATCCATAATAGCCTTCGCGACATAGTTTTGCACCCATTTCACCTGGTCAATGTCAACCAACGAAGATTCGGCCATCCTCCACAACAACAGCAGCAGGTCAACCCACCGGATCCTGTCTCTAGTCAGGAAATACAGGAGGCGCTGCGCTGGTTGGCGGAGAAGTGTGGCTGGAAACCGGTTCTAGCGTGGGACTCGATGATGTGTGATGTATTCCCTGCTAATCTAGAGGCAAACCGAACGTTTCTACCTAAGGCAGATTTACTGTCTCGAATCCGAACTATGGTCCAGACGTTGAAAACTCTCAACATTCCTATCCGACTGTCCATTGGAGATCGCACCAACAACTGTCCGAGCTCAGGGTTGGATGGGTCGCTTTACTTTGGAGACTACAAATGCTTCGTTGGAGAGGATGACAATAAGCGGGAAATCCTGGCTCCAACACAAGCCCGCTTTAATCTCACCGGGATTGCGCATCTTGTAGACGAGCTCACGATACAATACCCGGTCGATGTACCTGGAGTCGCAGGCTGGGGCAGGTCGAGCAAACGCCCTACTGAAGCAGAGTTAGAGCTCCTGCGACGAGAAGCTAGAGGATGGGCTAGGTTCTGGGCACGATACGCTTTGCAGTTCAAGAATCTCAAGAAATTGACAGCAACCATTCCAGACTACATATATAACGGGTGGGGCAAATCAGGGAATTTGCGGGAGCTGTTAAAAGATGAACGTTGGGACATGCTGCAAATCGATGAGAAGTTTATGTCTGATTTTACCTTCTTTGGTGGCTATCTCCCCTTCAGCAACATCCGGTACGGTCTTGCTAAGAAGAAACCGCGGATGAAGTTTGTGCAGCGAGTGTTCTTCAGACAGGACACGGAGGAATTGCAGCTCAACAAACCGTCCCTTTCAGACCAGGAGCTAGAAGAGAATGAAATCTTAGATTCAGCTATTACGCCGAACGAGGATAGGCCGCCGCATCGATTTTGGCCACCAAAGGCTCTGAAGGGCGAGAAGAGGAAAGTGGAGGAGGAGGAGGGCAAGACAATGCCGAGGGTGAAAAGAGTTAAAGTAGAATAAGCTTCTGGTATTACTGGTGCGCGACATCAAGGTAGAATCTTGTCTCCTCATTTGCATCATCTCTGCACATGTCACCGAGCGAGGACAAGAGCGAGTATCCCCTGTAACCATGTACTAAAACGGAGTACAATGCCTGGACGGCCGTTATTTACTTGCAATCACGGAGCACATATTGTCAGGAAATGATATAGACTCAGTTCATAGTAGCATTAGTAGTGAATACTTGAAGTAACTAGGACAAGGTCGTCCCTTTTTAAAGTGTCATGTGCTCTCGTGTTGGCGTTAATTGTTAGGGTAGCACTAAATATTTCTAGTTTGGAGTGAATACCTTCAACGCCAAATTACTATCGATAAGATTTTCACCACCAAAATTTCCCCGCGCGAGCTTCCGGAGGGGCAACAATGGCTTTCCGCAAACGCAATGTCGCTGTTTCTCGATCAAGAGAAGATGAAAAATGCCTTGCTTTGCCCATCGCCTCACCAGAGCAGACACGGCCAGGCACCCGTCCTTCGCCGATAGATGGCCGGCCTACCACTTCCACTGGAACTCCCTCGCTGGATAACATTTTAGCTGGACATGCAGGACTACCCCTCGGAAATTCAATCTTAATCGGAGAAAGTGGGACTACTGATTATGCAGGCGCCCTGCTGAGGTTCTACGCCGCAGAGGGCATTGTCCAAGGCCATCAGGTGCATGTGGTGGGCATGGGCGAGGCATGGGGAAGAGAATTACCGGGACTCGCTGTAAGCAAGGACGATGAGCGTAAAGAAAAGCGTGAGAAGATGAAGATTGCTTGGAGATATGAGGGTTTGGGGCAATTTGAGAACGCGAGAGGTCCGGGATTGCCGACAAGTGCCAGAGGTTCACCTCAGGCAGAAATTGACAACCCAGAGGAACCAGCAGTCTTCTGTCATACATTTGATCTCGCGAGGCGGCTCGCACTTCCTGCTGGCACTACCATAAACTATATTTCTATTCCTCGAAATAGTCAGACCTCGCTATTCACACCAGTGCTCCGAAACATACAGCACCAACTAGCATCGTCTCAACCATCTACCATCCATCGCCTCGTCATCCCGTCCATACTCTCGCCAACACTATATCCTCCAGAGGCTTCACATCCTAGCTCGGTGCTCCAATTTTTACATGCTCTGCGCGCTCTGCTCCGCCAACATTCCTCTCGCTTGACGGCTCTAATTACAATCCCTTTGTCTCTCTACCCACGGTCTGTTGGCCTGGTTCGGTGGATGGAGATAATATCAGATGGTGTCCTGGAGCTTTCGCCATTTCCATACGATCCCACTCAGCCACTATCGGTTTCCGGCGCTGCTACGCAAGGGGAAGAGAAGCCACAGGGTCTGCTGGTAGTGCATAAGCTGCCCGTGTTTCATGAAAAAGGTGGTGGTGGAGGAGCACATGGACTAGGCGAGGACTTCTCCTTTACTGTGTCAAGGAGGAAGTTCGTGATTTCGAAATTTAGTCTCCCGCCTGTCGAAGGAGACAGAAAGGCCCAAGAAGCAGCCGCCACAGAGACGCACGGCGGGGGAATGCCGAGCAAAGCAGAGCTAGAGTTCTGATAGGCTACTCGTCCTCATCCTCGTGCTCCCCGAGCATGTCTTCCATCTCAATTTGTTCCCATCCGGCTTGCCCAACGCCCGAGCCGAGTCCTCTTGCATAGCTGCGGCCAAAGGATGTGTGTCGTGGATTGAAAGTTATTCCCGAGACGCGCGCGCGGAACCGGTCGCCGAGACAGGATGACAAGGCCAAAAATACTATAAACAAGAGGAAGGGGAAGCCAAACAGCAGGCTAAGAAGAACGACGACGTTCATCATTGCATACAGAGTGTGCTGTGGACGTGGCACGTGAGATGGTGAATATCAAGCGCCAAGAGGATTAGTCATTTACGCACAAGTGTAACTACTTCTGAACTTTCTGCAGCAGGCTCTTCAAACCTTCCACGCTGCAACGCCCTCACCATGGTTGCATCTCTACGACAGGTATGTACGGCTGCGCTTACTCGCATGTATTTCCCAACATGATTATTTTATAAATCAATCTGTCAATCTACTGACTCCTTCGGGATCTTGATGACTCAATCTTTTGTATTCACACTATGACTCGCTTTCTCTGCTCTCATCTCATTCCCACAGCACGTCTGTATAACGTCTAACGCCTCGATTCTTACAGGACCCGCCATGGTTCCGATAGTCGAGCCGTTTCCCATATCCTACATTGCCGGTCGGTACCTGCTCTTCGACGTAGATGCTGTCAGCCATGCCCGCCGCGAGCACAATATCTGCGGTGTCCTGATCGGCACCATCCCCAATCTCTCACAGCAGAATGTCTTCCTCGGCATCCCTCTTGAGCTGATGCCTGAAGAGGCACGTGTACTGGTAGAACAGGGACATGCATACATCGTTGATGATGTCGAGGCTCACCGCTCAGGTTTCTTGAACATGAGCCGGGAAGATAGACTCGCACTTTTGCAAGTCATGGACGAGAAGGGTATCGAGCTGGCCATCAGTGCGAAACAAAAGGCCGAGGCCAGGTCTGAAAAGGCTTTGAAGGACAGAGGGTTGGATCGAATCGCTCAAGCGAATAGCCAACATCGCAAGTCTCCTACGCCTGAACGAGCTGGAGGAGATGCGACCAAAATTGAGGCCTACTTCCTTACTCCTACAACATCACACTCTCCACCGCTAAACCAATCCGTGCATCAATCTTTGCCGCTACCTGAAGTTCCTCGGTCCTACCCTTTGTTCAGATATCTGCATTCAAAAGGCTTTTTCTCGACGCCTGGCTTGCGTTTCGGCTGTCATTACACGGTATATCCAGGCGACCCTCTTCGGTTCCACAGCCACTTTCTTGTCACTGGCCTAGACTGGGAAGAAGAATTCGATCTGCTGGACATTGTCGGAGGCGGCAGGCTGGGCACGGGTGTAAAGAAGGCTTATCTAATTGGAGGGGAGGAACCTTCACATCTGACTTCGGGAACGAAGGACGGCTCAGTCCGGGCCTTTTCAATCGAGTGGGCAGGACTGTAGCCAATTATGATATGGACATTGTTACTTTTGCCCTTCCAGTATTCTTCCTGAGAACAAGGAGACGATAATACTACCAAAAGGCTCACAGTATATGAAGCATCTGCTGGACTTAATTGGGTCGATGGCTTCTCCAACGTGCACCGGAGTACATCAGAGGAAGACGAGAGCGAAGGGTAGTAGACAATGAGGGTCGAGAGTAGAAGTGGAAGATGAACCCCCCTGTTAGCAAATACATAATCCATGGCATACAAGGCCTCCATATCTTTTGTCTATTATCCAGCCTCAATACCTCTCTTGAGAGTGCTTTCAAGTCGTTGTGAACTGAAGCTGGTGCTGATACACTGATCTATTCGCGGCTTACAGTTTGCCGCTGGGAAACCATGGGCTTCGTCTCAAGTCCCTTGAGGTTCCATATCTCTCGGATTGATCTGGTCTGGTCCTGCTCGTAGCATAAATGGATGACGGTGGTTGTACCGCCTAGTCTTCTTCTCTTCCCACCTCAAAACAACCTGTAATCACAGGCCTCATTTAAATATCAAAGGCCCAAGACCCATGTTGTTCTGCACCAAATCGAAATGGACACAGGTCGCACCCTCATTTCCCAAGTTCGGTAACATCCGAATCCCCCTCCGGCAGACCCTCCCCTCCATCAACATTCTCTTCCGAATCCTTGGCCATCACGTTCTCAAACTGACTCCACAAAGCTTCGACGGGCGAGAATTCGTTACCGACGGCGATGACTTCTTCTAGCGATCGGTTGAGTTTGTTGATGTTTTGGAGGACGTGCTCGAGACTCTAGGAGTTGTGCGGATGCTCGTTAGACCTTGTTGCTAATAGGGCTGTGATTGGTCGCGTGGGAAGGTGGGTGTAAGAGGGGGGGGTGTGGAAGGCGGAGAGGGGAGGCCGATGTACGAATTTGTTTACCTGTGCGATTTCACCAACGAGAATCTCGCGCTGTTGCTCGAAGAAGGATTTCTCTGGCGCAGTGGCGGAGATGCCGTTTGCGGTGGATGCGCGGTTGTTCGTTGACATTGTTTCGGTTTGTATTAGGACCTGGCCTGGTGTGTTTATGTGTTGGTATCTGGGCGGGACAATCTCGGCACTGTTGGTATCAGTCACGTGATTCGGCTTGCACAACTGATAAGGAGGCACATAGTGGGGTAGAGAAGAGCGTCTATGGTTGTTCGACTTCGTTCCATGGAGCTTGGTAATGGCGGCTCACATAGCGCTTCAGCTCGACGCGAAAAGGTGGATCCTCGACTTCTCGACCTCTCTCGTATTTAAGCTGATCGGCATCAATTGGCCGTCGCAGATCAATATCTCCCGAATCCTCGGTCGGCGGTCCGGCAAACCATGGTTCCAGTAGCTTCTCAGGGATAAATGAGAGTTGCAGGTTGTGGCGAGATGTAAAGTTGAGGGTTGTGGCTATGGAAATGTTGGATGATTGTAATTAGGGTGATGAATTGAACTGTCTCGAAGATGCTCATAGCTGATGTCATCTGGTCTATAATTCATACATGTAGAAATTATCGCAGGTATCGAACGCCGAAATCACACATTCTTTCAAAGTACCTCCACCGTTCTCTCCGTGGTACTCTTATCTAAGAATTTGGTAACCCTCTCCTCAACGCCAAGGTAATGCATTATCGGCCTCGTCATCTCATCATGTCTCTCACCCCTGTTCACTCCCATGGGTATAGTCGCTGCGCACATCAAACTGCACATCCCGCCTAATAATCAATTCCTGACTACCCGCCATGGAACTTGTACTCCCATTACTTCCAGGTCGTTCTCCTCCGCCACTCCTGCCCGCCCGAATGGTCGTCAAGTGCTTTAATTTTTCTGGCCTGAGCTTGCCGACGTGATGTTTAGTGTCCTCGCCCACCTTGGTGCTTTCGGGCTCTTTTCGAAATTTGGCTGAACGGCGAGGTTTCAGAGAGTGCATCTGAATCGTATCCGGTGCCGACACATTCCGCTTGGGTTTTGGTTGATAATGAGAGTGGGAATGAGTAGCCAAGTGCGATTGTGAATTGCTGGATGAGTAAGTGTATGGTCCGGAGCTGGAACCTTCACCCATGCCAAAATTAGTGTCGAAAGATTTAATGAAGGACTTAAGGCAGGGAATTGTCGCGGAAATTAAAGAGTATGAGACTGTGACTTGCTGCCAGGCGATTGCGGTCGAGATGGAGACACCAGGGTTGGGAGCATGTTGGACGGTAGTGAAGATGCGAACGAAGAGAATAGAGAACGCGATCACGCTGGGAATAGTTGTTAGTCTAGTAGGTCAGCGTAGGATAAAGTGTGCTTACGGAAGTCGAAAGGCAAAGGCGATAACAACCCGTGCCTTTAAATCAAGAGTCATCTGAAGGGTCCACAAAAAGCAGATTGGAAGAATGAACATAACGAGTTCAGAAATTACATCAAGTGCAATGACTATATTCCATCGCGTCGCCTACATGAGTCAGTGCAAGCCCGTAGGGTGAATGAAGCTCGAAGACTTACAAAGCCTTCGCATGTCTCGTTCCCATTTGGAGGTACGTATTTAGAAACGTTGCATCCAACGCTCACGAGAACAACAGACGTAATGCCCCAGGTGCAAACGAAGGCGAGGGCGATATTGCAAATGAGCCAAAAGTGTTTCATATCCCTAGTGAAGACTCGACGGACAAGAAATATGATCGAGCATTTTGACAATGCTAGTGACAACAAAAGAAGTATTTCTGATGTAAACGCAGTCTGTACGACACCGTGTGAGATTCTGCATGGACAGTCCAGTATCGCTATAGGCAACTTACATTGGATACAAGTACTCGGGATTTAACGTTCAACATTTCAGACGTTCTCCCAAGTCCATAGTGCAGAGAGCCAAATAAGGCACCATATTGTCCGAAAGCGAGAACCTGCCACTGAAGTTAATACGAGCGCTTGCGGTTGAGCATGACGGGTGGATTCGGCTGACCTGCGCAGCGACCAAAGCAACATCGTCGGGTCCAACCATGTGCCATTTAATCACTCCTCTAGCGAAGAGAGTAAGGACAGAGTAGATCATGCAAAGTAGCGAGATGACCCAGATCACACCAGCATGATTGTTCTCCGTAATTTCGCTGAAGGTGTTCCCTACCATCATTGAGGGGCTTTTCCCTTGTTAGGAGAAAAGAGGAAATCGTATACAATTCGAGAGGGAAGGACAGGCTGAAGGACGAGAGTCTGCGATATGGTCTGAAAATCGTGTCTAAAAGAGCTCTTCTCCTCGGCCTTTTCAAGACGACATCGTGTTCACGAGACTTTAGAGAGGGAAGAGAGACACAGAGAGACACAGAGAGACACAGAGAAGTGGATAGGAGCGCAGGAGACCTATGAATGTGCGCAAGAGCTTATTAGTGGCCATTTCACTGTACTCAAGGAGGGAACGCTACCTTTCAGAGGATGTTCGAAGTGCGGTAGCTTGATCTCGCCCTCCCCTGCAGTCTTGGCCCATCAGCCTTGTTGTCTTCATGGCCAATTGACGGCCTTACTTTTGCCGTCGCTCGTCAGTACGAAACCCCCGTCTCCCAGAACAGCAAAAGTAAAGGAGAGTAGAACAAACCTACACTTATTAGACTTGATTCGTCCCGCACATCCCTTCAATCAACACCGGCATCCAATACCAAGCCCCCGATCTCAAAACTCACGCAATAGGCTCCCGCTCTGTCGGGGAAAATTGCGGGGGGATGGGGGAGAAGCTGGACGGGCCAACCTATCGCGCTGCAACTCCCCAGAACTGTGCATGTACAGATTTCATCTGTCGAGAAGAACTGATCCCGCTCTAGTCTCACATCAAGAGCCGTGACACATAGTGACCCCTCTTACGATATTCCGGAGTCCGCTAAACTAGACAAGAATGCTAGAAAGCAGGACCTTTTCTCTCGGCTTGTTCACATACACTGGTCTTAAAAACCATTCATTTGACAATGCAGCTTTCGGTGCCGCTTGTTGCAAACCTCAGATCTGAAACATACAACGAAGCCCTACTTAATGACACTCTCTGATCTACACGCAGCTGCAGTGGGTTTCTCCAACAGCACATTTCTGAAGAACATCGAGCAGTCCAGATCGCCGTGCAGAGGATCGCGTCCCATCTAGTTACGCCACATTATTCAAAAGATGGAGACGAAAAAAGATGGCGTAGGCTAGAGGTGGAGAATTCCGTGATCTTGATTCGAGTGTACGAAAAGTGCAAAATCAAGTAGTGGTGACAGCTATGACAGCAGCCACAACGATAGCAGCTTCAGTAGTCTTAAGTTTCGGTCCGAATATCAATAGTATATCTTCTTTGGAATTCTCGGCTGCGCCGTGGCGTTCACTTGGTTAGTCCTTTTCATTCGATAGTCACGAAGCAGCTAGCGCACCAGGCCGTGAATTTGAATGCTGTCTTTATTGCTCGCAACTCTTATCATGCCCATATCCCCATTGGCTTTTGTGCCCCAAGCAACACCCACTCAAGATAAAGGGCACTCCTCCACACAAGTCGAATTTAGTAGTCGAATGAGTCACGTCATCCGCGTTTAACAAGGGATAGTACAGTAATACAAAGCGAGCGGTGACTGCCATCCGCTCTATGGGTAGGAAGGTGCAGAGGTAGGCAATCCTCTGGCTGAACTAAGTAGCTTTACAAGTGACCCGTGGGATTATCTCACAGGGATGGACAAATGAAACGCCGAATACACCATGCAATGCTGTTACCGGAGGATTAAAAGACTGTAGGGGAATGGAGGCTGTGTCGCCTATGAACAGGGGCATATTTAACGACCTATTAATTGTTCCGCGGGCTAGAAAAGCTATCGCTGGAGTTGGGATTGTTGATGGCTGGACCAAACACATCCTTGTCTTCCTTCAAGACCCAGACGGTTTTGCGGAATCATCCAGTTTTTGGGTCGCCAGCAAAAGGTCCAACATCAAATTTTGGTGTGGCCTCCATATTTTGACTAGAAGGACCACTGTATTGGTGGGGCTCGGAAACCAGTATCGGGTCAATGGACTTTGTGTCGGGGTGGACGTCAATGCCGTCTTGGCCTTCCAAGTCGGATCTACTTCTGTTGCGCGAGAACTTCAAAGAGTCACTGTCTCCATGTCCTCTATCAATCGGAGACCATCCGGCCACACTGCCGGCAACAATACCTGCCATAACGGCAGCTGGACCAAATGCTGAGTTTGAGCGGGACCTTCCTCGACGGCGACTTCTGGAATCTGGTGTTGGAGGGCCAGGAGAGTTTTCTGCGGCATTATGTTCCGCACCATTGTTAGGGGTTCCGGGTAGGGAATAACTTGATCTCGACCTGGAGAATATCTCTCGGGGATGCTGAACCTTGAACTTAAGGTTGCTGAGACGTCCACCTCGTACCCTTTTTATGAAAGCAAGTTCCTCGCGAATCTCGAGGAGTCCTTGATTCCACTGGTACTCGTCTGAAACAACAACCTCTGGAGTGTGCTTTCTCTTCAAAAATGCAGGAATACAGCGGCGGATGGCCTCGTCTGGTATCAATCGAATGATGACACCAACTGGAAGAGACAAGGCACCCAAAACGATAGAATATCCCCATTGTGCACCGTTGATCCTAACAACGGAGAACGCATGGCCTCCAACGAAGATGATCATTATCTGTCCACCAATCATGATGCAATTGATGAAAATGAAAAAGTAGTTGTGATGAATCCCTTCAAAGATATTGAACCGGTTGTCCAAACGACGATTATTGATCTGGTTGAAAATTTGCATCCACACGAAAGTATTGAACACCAATGTGGGCAGACGTCTCTTTTCTTCCTCGGTTTCGTAGGACAGGATGGAGTTGCCGGCGAAGTAGAGAATGAGGGTGACGACAAGCTGGTAGATCGCTTGCCCAATTATCATTTTCCACATCCTTAACGTGATCAATGGTGCAGATTTTGGGTCTGGCTTTCGATCGAGCATACTGCGAGTCGGAGGATCTGTAGCCAGGGCCAATGCGGCGAATGTGTCCATTATAAGGTTGACCCAGAGAAGTTGTACGGCGGTAAGCACTGATTGCTGGTCCGAGTTGGAGACCGCGGAAACGAAGGTAAGTATGACAGCGGTGATGTTGACTGTGATTTGGAATTGGAGAAATTTCTTGACAGCATCGTTGACGGCTCGACCCCAAAGCAAAGCCTTGACGATTGACGAAAAGTTATCGTCCATCAAAATGATAGCAGAGGCTTCTTTTGCGACCTCGGTTCCAGCAATTCCCATTGAAAATCCAACGTCAGCGGTCTTTAAGGCTGGTGCATCGTTTGTACCATCTCCAGTCACGGCAACGGTCTCCCCTAATTCTTTTAGTCGCTTGACGAGCTTGCGCTTGTCTTCCGGGCTAGATCGAGCAAGCACGCAGAGTTTAGGAATGACAGCATCCATGTCTTTCTTCGATAGTTTTCTGAAAGCTGGACCTTCCATGATAACTCCGCCAGGAACAAGGATTCGACAATCCTCCGCAATAGCTTTAGCGGTCATAACGTTATCACCTGTGACCATACGGACGAAGACACCGGCGTGCTGGCAATCCTCGACAGCCTCGCGAACACCTTCTCGGAGAGGATCTTGGATACCAACAACGGCAAGAAAGACCATCTGCTTGAAGACATCCTCGAAGATAGCCTGTGATGGGTCATCGTCCCATTTGCGGGCATCTTTTGGGGGCCAACTCTCGAAATCACGATATACGAGACCAATCGTTCGAAGGGATCGTGAGGCGTAAGTCGTGATTAATCGTTCCAGAGTATCACGGTTGTCTTCGGAGATAGGGATGTCCGTGAGTTCCTTCGTTGCATCTGAGATGATGCTGTCGCACTTGGCAAGAAGTATTTCCGATGCTCCCTTGACAAACATCCTATAGCGACCGTCATCCAGCTTGACAACGACAGCTGAGCATTTGATACCGGAATCAAAAGGAACAATCTGAGCAATATTGGCATTCGAGCGCTCGGTACTGACGGAACCCATTCCCAGATAGTCTCGAGCGAAACCAAGAAGAGCAGTCTCCGTTTTAGATCCGATGAATGGGTCAGGACCACCCTCTTCACCTTCGAAAGCAGTCGTGTTTTGAACAATTGATTGTTCTAACAGGCTCTTGACCTCTTTGCTAAGGGTAGAGACAAATTCGGACGCTGAGACGTCGTCAACGTGGTCTACAGGGGACTCGACCTGCTTTCCCTTTGTCCCATCGTCCATAAGACGCGCGGCGGCCGGAGCCTTGAGTTTTCGGTCGCCAAAGCGAAGGGCCGTCCCAAGAGTCCCAGAGACGACCGTCATCTTATTCTGGGTGAGTGTGCCGGTTTTGTCAGAGCAGATGGTGGTGGCATTTCCCATTGTTTCACAAGATCGTAGTAGCCGGACCAGGTTATTGTCTCGAAGCATGCGAGTGGTAGCAAAAGCTAGGGCTAGGGTGACAGCGAGCGGCAATCCCTCAGGAACAGCAACTACCACGACAGTAATGGCGACTATAAGAATGTTGAGGAAGTTCTGTCCTTTCTCGGCGGGCGTTTCTTTGCTAGTCCGGAGAGTGACCAAGAACTCGATGAAAAGGACGATAAAGAGTAACAGAGCTGCAGCACCACCCAGTTTTGCGATGTACTCTGCTAGGACATTGAGTTTCGACTGCAACGGTGTAACTTCATTCTCTTCGCGAAGGGACATCATAGTTTTTCCATAGGTAGAGTTCACTCCGGTGGCCGTGACAAGGAAAGACCCGACCCCTTCAGAAACTTTGGCGCCAGACAAAATGAATGGGTCCATTTTCTTGACCGGCTCGTGGTTTTCCAGTGCTCGATATACATCATCTGCGGGAGTCTTTTTAAGTAGGTCCGATTCTCCAGTAGCAGATGATTCATCGCATTTGATGCCGTGGCCTTGGATCAGAATTCCATCGACAGGTACCATGTCTCCTGGTTCGAGGAGAACGACGTCCCCCACGAGGACATCATAGACGGAGAGCTCCCGAATCCTGCCGGAGCGGATAACTTTGACGTATCGATCCTCCTTTTTCTTATTCAACTTTACAAACTGACGTTCCTTTTGCCAGTCGTTGAGGGCACCGACAACTACAACAATGATGATGGCTACCATGATGGCAACTCCTTCGATCCATTCCACTTTGGGCGTATCAGGCGCGTGTGATTGCCCAAATGTTTGGTAGAGTCCGAGGGCAAGAGAAATAACGGCGGCAACGGTAAGAAGAATAAGAACCTTGTCATTATATGCCATCCAGGCTAACTGTAGAATACTCTTAGCTTTTCGTTCAGGTAAACGATTGTCGCTAAAGACCCGTTTACGATCAGCAAAGGCCTCCTTTGACAGCGGTTTCGACATGGTAGCGGTGGTGTCGCTTCTTCGGAACTCGTGATCGGGGGAAGGCTTAGAATGTGTGTTGGACATTTTTGAGCCCGTTGCCTCCTCAAAGGTAATAGCATTATCCCAATATTGCTCGTCGACGCTGAGGCCAGCCTTTCTGTCAGTTCTCAACCCCTTTTCCAAACCCGCCAATCCACCCAGGGCATGAAAAGCGCCTAAACTTTTCGGATTTAGAAATTTTCCCAACTGGCCAGGGGAAAAGGCAAATTTGTTGTCTTGTACTTCAAAATCGGCTTCTGTCCCGGGATCCGGACGTAGCGCCTCTTCGTCGCTTAGTATCTCACTTGGATTATGATCCCCTCTCAGCGTCTCGCCTTGAGAGGAGGTCTGGTATGTGCCATTGCTGGACGCAGACCCGCCTACTTCCGTCGTGGAGTCTAGGGAATTGCCTCGTGACCGTTTTCCGGGCACTGAAAGGTAATTGTGAGGGTTTCCCCAGTGTGATGTAGGTGAAGAAACATTGTGGGGGGATGTTGGCCGGCTCTCTCTGCTCTCGAACGAGTTTGCAGCCCGCAGCTCGCTCTGGGGCATCTTCGCCTGCGTCGGTGAAACAGAGCCGGCTGTGTCTTCGTGATGCTGTGATGATGTTCGATTATCCGGGAGATCTCCCAGCGGTACTGAGTCTCCCATGTTAGGGTTGGTAGCGTTGACGGCAGAGGTGTCTATGGTGATGGTGGGTGCCCTTTGCCTTCGAGCAGGCCCCGGCGAGGGCGTATTCCGTACTTCGACGTTTTTTTTGTTGTCAGCCATGGAGGGCGCCTTGAAGGCTAGCCCGGGCGCGCTAGGACTGGGGCTGTATTAGGTAGGCTGTGCAGGCCAAGCGATGGATGCGAATGGGAAGAATGTATTGAGGCGTCACGAACAGCCAGGCATTCGGGAATGTACGCAGAATAATAAAGGCGGGCAGGAGGGTTGTGAAGGCGAATGGACGAGGCTGAGCAAGGTTGGAGAGGGTAGATTCTGGAAGGGTAGAGCGGAGAGGTTGAGGTTACGTAGGAAAGAGCTCCAGGGCTCCACGAAGGCGGCTAGAGCAAACGACGGTTAGCAATCACTCTCTCCTGCTAGCAGACAAGTACGTATTCCACACAGCCACATTCACTGTTGGCGGTGGGGGCGCGTTTGTCTCATTGTGCTGCTGGACTCGGCAGGTGTAGATCAGACTCACCTTAGGAGTAGCAGGAGCGTGGAGGAAGGCGAAAAGCGACGACTCCAACTCTTGGTGCGTGCCGACTGAGCTGAGAGCGGTTTGTGACGGGCCTTCCGGGCGGTCGAGTGCGAGTCTATGATGGCGAACAGACGGACTCAGTGTGGCAGTGTTGGGCACAGAGCATGGTGAACAGCAGAATTGCAGCTACAGAGACATATTGGAAGGAAGCAAGGAATGGATGTGGCAACAACGTCGAAGGGCAATTAACAAAGGCACAAAGGCACCAAGATTGCTCAATGGAAATGGATGGAGGAATTGGCAGTGGAAACCAGCGACAGTCCAGAGTTCGCCGTTACTCTAAAAGGTCAAAGCGTCTACACAGCCCCCAGCTAGCGAGCATCAGGCTAGCAGAGCACTCTTGGGCGGCCTCGGCATGCATGGAGCGGCGGATGCAGCTCAACCACAAGAATTTCCACTTTTTATCCTCGAAACGCAGTCGTTTCACCTCCAGGAGTTCCGCGAGGCTGCAGGTCGTGGGCAGCTTGCACAGTGTCGCCAAGCCTCGTCCTGCGTGCGAGGCTCGGCGTCGACGAGTCCGCGCTGGCGACGTGGCCGCTGCCAGCAGACCGCCCGTGAAAGGAGTGCCCCCACAAGAAACCCAGGTTGTGCGTCCCGGAATCAGTGCTGTTCGAGGAGCCATGGAGATGAGGCGAAGCGCCTGCCGGCCAAGGCACTCTGCCTTTTGCTCCTCCAGCACGCCCCAAGGCCGCACATGCCACCTCACAAATTGATTCATGATGATTCCGTGCCCTACGCGGCCTCCACTGCAGCCGAGACGGCATGCCGACGTGTGCCCGCCCGCCACTGACGCGCCCCGTTGCTGTTATTCGCCACCACCCTCTCCAAGAGTCCAGTCCTCCCGCACCACTGAGCTGCAGTCTGGTTTGCCGCATCCACAGCCACACAATCTCTTGCCATCGGCCGGCCCCGGCTGCCATAGCTATAACATCCACTTGTCGCAGCCTGTCGCAGAAGACTTGCCATCTCGGCTCCACCAGCTCCAAGTTCCTGATCATCATCAGACAGTATCCCTGACCGAAACAGGACAAGCACCCTTCGCGCTGCCAAGCACCTGACATCTTGGAATTTTGGCCACTTCGACTCTTGACTTGCATCGGAGGCGCTAGACTGGTTCTTCAAGCGCCCAACACCAAGACCTCTATCCATTGTGGACTTCCCTCCTTCGCACGCGAATGCCATGCCTCTTGGAAATTTGCATAGCCTCAATTGCTATCATTGTTACCCGAAATCAAGGCCAAAGTAATCCCGTAGAGATCTTCCTTTGCATCCGGTACCCCCGGTCCACTACATGCACGACGTCAGACTTCCTGGTCAATAAGCATGTGTGGATTTAGTGGTATGAATGACGGGGGTCTTGACACCGTCTACTTTGAACGAGTATTACATTTAATTCACTCCACCGCGAAGAGACGACTTCTGAAGTAGGCCACTCAATATCGTCAGTACGCGGAGCGGCTCTAGCAGTGCTTCCAGAGTCTCAAGGATCATTAAAACTGCTGCATTTTGGTGTGCCATACGTGATCCCTTGGTCTGCGAGGCCACATGTTGAGACCAAGAAAAGCGTGGAGATTTCTGCCTCAATTTAGCAAGCATGAGCATTACGAATATCATCCCGATTGGCATTGCGACCCTCCCCCAAGGATCACGATCGCAAGGCGGACTCCGGCACTCGTTGGACCATCCTGGATTTCTCGACGCACACCTTGTGGTCATTCCATGACCTCAATTGCACCACTTACAACAAATATCAATTTTTAACTCCCAATATTTCTTCCTTCCTCCTGCTTCCTAGAAATCTAGAAATAGTGGCAGGCCTTTTCTTAGTAATTTTGAATCCAGGCTTTCATGATCACTCATCCAATCATACCAAAATGTAGTTCGCGTTCTCATCCATCCCCCAAGTCCGCTCCAGGATCATGATCCCTCTCTTCCAAAATAATTTTCCCTCACGTCCCGACGTCGGCCAGTAAGATTCCTGCAAAAGTCACACGAAACACAACCTTCCGGCTAAACGTGTCTATTCCGAGATGCGTCACTCCAGGTTTCTGCTGACATGCAGATCAAACCTCGCCCGAGGTTCCCCTCTCCCGCTCGTGACCTACTATCTATCTGCTCAAGGAAATCGAACGGGCGATATGGGGTTACTGATCGGCACTGTCTCCCTCCACGATTATATTGTGTCCAATTGACGAAAGAACTATATGCTGTCCTTGCTTTGTGATCACTGTCCCCGTGGCGTTCATTTAGCAGTCGATCATTCATGACGAATTATACAAATGACGAATGAAGAACGTCAAGTCAGCGTCTAGACATTTTCACCAACATTTACACAACAAGAATAAAGGACTCGCAATGTTCAATAAGAGATAGTTGAGGTGTTTCGATTCTTGTTTTACAGTTGGTGCAAATCCTATTTTCGGCACCCTATCTATTTCAAGGCTGGAAACCTAATATCAGATCATCTGCCCCCAACTTCTCCATCTTCCTCGTCTACCCCAACCGTACCTGCATATTCGCCCCCAAAAGCGCATTGTGCAAAAACAGAACCGGGTTTGCGATGCCAACCGCGCGGAAATTTTAGAGCTCAACTCTGTAGTGTTACGAATTCGACCTGGCCATCATGCCTGACAACATCAAAAGCGAGGAACTGGCATCGCACGGCTGGATGTCAGTTCCCCGCTCACAGTTGAAGACCCTTGCGCATGCTACTCGTAATTCCCCGGCGAAAGTTTCGGTAGACGATATAACGTTACCAAATTCGAGTCTTGTAAAACAGACACTTGAATTTGCGAAGAAGGAGCTCCCTAAACAAACATTCAATCATAGCATGCGAGTCTATTATTATGGTACAGCATTTCTATTTATCCTTGAATCAGTAATATCTCCGCCTGGAAGATCTGTCCCCATGACTGCGAGAGAAAATGCATGGTATTAATTCAGGATAGGCTCCGCAATCGTAAAACACCATCTCCCACAGATGGAACCAATGCTTGAGACATACTCCCTAACTTGTCTCCTGCACGACATTGGAACCACTAGAACGAATCTGAACGCCACACGCATGTCATTTGAGTTCCACGGTGGGTTTCTGGCACTCAACCTACTTCAGAAACACGGCGCTTCAAAGTCTCAAGCAGAGAGCGTCTGTGAGGCGATTATTCGACACCAAGATTTAGGGGAGAGTGGGTCCATCTCAAGTGTTGGCCAGCTAATACAACTGGCCACGGTGTTTGGTAAGTAGGTTTTTTGTCGACACCACTTGTTCACCGTCCACCAGTTAGCCCCAACCGCGAGACATCAACCGATTCACTAGCACAAAAAGCAGAATCCTAGGCGAGTTGAATACTTGTGCCTTCGGGAAGCAAATCTCGTGAATTACCGTATTCGGCACGACCATCCCAATCCAGCAACGAATCATCACCCATGTTCCCAATCACCAGCGACCGACACCTCTCGGCCCGGGGAAACTAACATCGGCATCTTAGCCTCATCCTAGTCTTAGTGGCTTTCCGCAATTCCACATACCGATTGGACCGGTCTCTAATCTCGGCCTTCTTCCAACATTCAAGTCGGGTCTTGGCGCAGGCTGTGCAACATCCACGAGCCCGTACGAAAAATGTCTCAGATCGCAGGATGCCGATGGATCGGAGGGGCCCAGTTAAAGTGCCAAGGAAGTTGCCGATCCACAGCGGCGCTTGGCGCGTCTGTTGGCAAGCTTGCCGGCTCGCCGTGGTGTTGGGCGAAAAGATGTGCCAAGGACAGGGGCAGGAGAAGGAACCGGTCAATGATAATTCGACTTGCTTAGGCCCAAAGCCAAGCACGTGCCCAGCAGGCCGCCTCCTTCCCCGTCAGCGGCTCACGAGTCACCTTCTGTCTACGAGTTTTGTTTCGTTAGGAGGCGAGTAGCTGAGATCGTATGGCTGACATGTGCTGATCATCAGATAACATGGGCATCAACCCTCATCTGATCCATCAAGACACTATTCACAGCGTTGTTGCTGCCTTCCCGCGCGAGAAGTGGTCCAGCTGCTTCGCCGAGACCATTCGTGAGGAGATTAGTCTCAAGCCTTGGTGTCATACCACAGCCATTGACGGCTTTTCCGAAGGGGTCGAGAAGAACCAATTGATGGAACCTTGGGACTAGTTTATTAAGAGAGACGTAAGGGGATGGCGAATATGCGGTGAGAGCTGTGGCGGAATTGATGAAGTATCAAATTGTTGTGACAAGTGGGGTGAAAAGTTTGCAATTTGAGGCGGTGCAAGTTGCACTACAAGATACTAGATACGAAATTCGACAACTTGATAATTGTATAATGTGGAGCCTTGTTTCCTTTTTCGGCCACTCTACTTTCCGACGATAGATTCCAGTTGGCATTGAAACATTCTGACAAGTTAGCCTTGCGACGAGAAATATCATGCTTCGGTGCACTGGTCTCCCCATCGTCCCCATATCTCGATCTTACACAGCCTAGCATTCCGGACAGTGCCGTGACACGGATAGTAGACGGTCCGACATCCGCATCAAGCAATGCTCAATGCTCTAGATGGAACTACAAGTGATTCAGCCTTGGGACAGGTAAAGCCGAAATAGTTATCGCGAGTACTACCGTATCCACCTCGCAAGCCAATACTTTTGATTTGATTTCCAGATACGGGCGCACATGTCCCGAAATCCGGTGGTAGCATTCGTCTCCATTAGGAAGACTCAGAAGAGTCCTCTGAATCATCTGAGTTTGGTTGTTGTTTGCGTCGAAGATTGGGCAAACTGACTGCTACCACTAGAGCATTGACTATGACAAATACTGCAATAGCTGAGATAAATGTAACATTTAGACTGCGTGCATATGCATCGATGACTGAGAAACCGTTAGGATTGGGGGCTGTGAAGAAAGTGGGACACTGGTGGGCAACCTTGGCTCTGATGTATTGGGTCGAGATCGCGAATTGCGTGGACAGACTTTCGTACCCGAAGGATTATCTAGTGGCAGTTAGCGAGGGCTGTAAAGGAAGGCGAAGTCGTACTACCTCGTCTTTATGTTCACCGGCGACAAATTTATTGAGGTATGCTGTCAAGGCGTTTTGCAGGATTAGACTGCTGAATGAGACACCCATCACCGTTCCTAGACTCCTCCATAGAGTCAAGGTGCTTGTCATGACAGCCTGGTCTTCCTGAGTGCTGGTTGCTAGAACTGCAAGGGATGTTGCAGGAAAGGAGAGTCCCTGGCCGATGCTCGCGGGCGCGAGGAAAATGGTTGCCAACCATGCCGGAATAGTATCCCACATGGCGGAAAGACAAATTGCTCCTAACAGCATAGATAGAGATCCAGTGATAATAAGCCATTTCATGCGTCCCGTCGCCGTCATTATGAATCCAGCAGAAACACCACAGACTGTCAGGGCTATCGATGGGCCAGCAAGTCGAAATCCAGAAGTAGATGGCGACTCTAGCTTGACAGCCTGGAAGTATAGCGGTGCGTTGAAAATGATCGTGTTAATACCCAACTGGGCAAAGAAGTTATTGAACACTAAGTTGCCACGCGGCTTGCTTGATAGCATCGCCATAGGCATGACGGGCCTCTTAGCTTTAGCTTCCACGCGAACAAGAATAACTCCAGCAACGGCAGCGACCGCAAGAGATGTTACGACAAGCGGATGGTTCCAGGGAAAAACGTTGCCACCCAAATTCAGACCGAGGATCATGAACGCTACCGACCCTGTCAGAAGAATCGAGCCGGCAACATCAAACCCTCTGATCGTATCCACGATTCCTTCCCCAGACCGATTTGCAAGTTGCGGCCCAAGCATCGGTGGGGTGGTGAAGACTGCGTTTACAAAGATGACAAGCAAAATAGGGATCTGAATACCAAAGGTCCACCGCCACCCTATCTTGTCGCATAGAAATCCGCCGAATGCAGCACCGGCGGCAGATCCTCCTCCATAGAAAAGGTTGATGTAAGCCTGGTAGGTGCCTCTTACTTCGATACTGACAAGGTCATTGGTCATAATTCCGCCTAAGAATGGTCAGTCTCAATATTGAACCTAAAGGCGATCCAACTCACCCATTGCAAGGACACCCGCGGCTCCAATGCCACAAAATGCGCGAGCAGCAATGAAGCTTCCAATACTTTGGGCAAGAGCACACCAAGCGGTGGTAGTTGCTAGGAACAAAAGGCCTGCGAGGTATATCGGGCGCCGACCGATTGTATCCGATACCCTACCGAGGAGTGGCTGGAGGGAGGTGGATGTAAGAAGGAAGGAAGTAGATAGCCATGATGCAGAGTTTGAAGCATTGAAGTAGGACGTGATTACTGGATGACTAGACGCCATTAAAGTAGAGTCAAACAACGCTATCTGGAAGCTGGTCAATTCTCTGATGAATGCTATGGAAGAGGATAGGACGCTCACAAAATACCCTAGCACAATACCTCCAAATATGAATCGGAATTGTGTTCTTGAGATGCCACCAAGCAAGCCGTTCAATTGAAAGTGTTCTACGCTTTGTGACTCGTCTTGGCCTCCTTCGTCCTCATCCGGGGCAAGCCAATGACTGTGAGCATAGCTCCGTCTTTGTCCGAGTGAATGAGGTTGACCTTGTTCAAGAGCACCACACCCAATTACTTCTATTGCTTCCCCATCGTCTTCATCAATGGCTGGCGCAGTTCCTCGGCGGTCCTCTGACCGTAAGAGAGGAGTTCGCGCAGTGGGCTGGTGGCCATTTTCTTGGGGAGGAGAAGTCATTCGCTGGTCATCTATTATAGGTGTTTGACAGGACAGTCGAGGGTCTAGTCGTGAGTGCCCAAAAGGAGTAGAGAGTAGAGGGTGGAGCTTCTGGATTCCAACAAAAGCCGATCGGAACTATTTCCGAGAGGTCCTCGGCCAATATCGGTTAGTATCGGTTAGTCAGCGATATCGATAGCGATATCGCCTTGTGCTAAGAAGTGGAGTTAACCGGCACGAAACAACCCTATTCTTCTTTCAAGTTGTTTAAACAAGAATCCATGGAGACGCCAATTCGAATAGCAATACTCGAGTGTGACACCCCTCTGGACCACACTCGAGCAAAGTATGGAGGGTATGGCGGCGTGTTCAAAGCACTTTTGGCAGCGGCAGCAGATACTTTAGGGCTACCTGATTTGATATCATCTATGAAAGGCCTTGAGTTAAGCACTTTCGATGTTGTTAATGAGCAGGAGTATCCCGATTTGAATAAGATTGATGCTGTTCTCCTAACAGGCTCACGTGGGTTCTCAAAACACTGTCGGTCAAGCCCACCTCCTCTGAGTTTCTACAGGCCACAATTCTTTCGATGATACACCGTGGATTCTCAAACTTGTAGAGTTCACAAAGGAATTGCTCCAACAAAACCGTATACGAATCATCGGAGTATGCTTCGGTCACCAGATCCTTGGCCGTGCAGCTGGAGTCAAGGTTGGTAGGAGTGAGGGCGGCTGGGAAGTCTCAGTACTACCTATCGAGTTGACTGAGAAGGGAAAGGAGCTATTCAAGCAAGATACTATTGTATGGCCTCCGTTTTTTATCTGCCCCTCCTCCACTTCCTTCCCTGACGCATGTTTCAGAGTTTGCATCAAATGCACCGAGATGCTGTCTTTGAGTATCCTGAAGGAGTTGAGAAGCTAGGTGCCTCTCCTCGATGTCTTGTACAGGGCATGTACGCGAAAGGAAAGTTCATCTCGGTCCAGGGGCATCCAGAGTTCAATCAGGAAATTGTGAGCGAGCTCGTAACAGCAAGGCACTTACAAGGAATATTTAACGAAGAGATGTATAAAGACGCGATGGTCAGGGTTGCAAAGCATCACGACGGCGTCGCTGTGGCTGCTGCGTTCTTACGGTTTCTGCTTGAAGAGTAGAGCAGCGGCAGCATCTGTAGAAAAGAATGAAGCATTTGAAACCGGACATATTGTGTCAATATAAGGGACATTTAAAGCGACAATGACAATGGTGTGTTTGACTGGGGCGCCCTAGAAAGATGAGGTCATTGCAGGAATAATCCCTGCAGTAGGTTGCTCAACGGTAGGGTTGCATGAAAACAAATTGCAATCCCTTACCAGAGACTGACAACGGCTCAACAGCCATGAATACACAGTGAAGCGTGAGTGGATACGAGATTGCCTCAGATGAGAAAGCCGAGCTCGTGTTGTGATGTGAAAGCGTGTGGCGTGGGGGTATTTTAAGCATCTCGCCAATGTGGCTAAGCCTAAAGCAGCGCCGACCCTATCTCACAGCCAGATCAGAGTGCAACACTCCATCATCCGTCGAACCTTCCCCGCCTCCACGTCGCTCGTTACCTTCGTGCCTCTTCTTTTCTACGCAGCCACTTCCAAATCGACATTATTTGACTTTTTTTCTTCTATTCTTTGACTGTCGCTGCTGCATGACTCCTCTTTCGTAGTCCTCCGAGGCCGCGCCATCTCTCATGGGAAAGTGTACGCAATCGCCTTCTACCTCCCGCAACAGTCGCTTTTTGTCAACAACACTAACGATGCTTGTGTCGCAGGGAGATATGGTGTTGTCCTGGATGCTGGGTCCTCCGGGACGCGGGTCCATATCTATCGATGGCTGAATAGCGATGCTGCTCGCGCTCAGGCGAGCCAAAGCCAGTTACAGAGCCTGCCAGTGCTCGAGACGGACAAGAAGTGGATCAAGAAAGTACATCCCGGTGTGTTAAGCTGCTTCCTAGTCGTTCGCTGTGGATGCGCTGCTGATTCGTTCGCTGCAGGTATCTCGACATTCGGTGATACTCCCAACGACGTCGGACCGGAACACCTCGACAAACTTCTCAGCCATGCGCTCAAGTATGTGCCACTGGAGGAAGTGCCGAACACGCCTCTTTTTCTCCTCGCAACCGCCGGTATGCGGATCCTACCTCCTCTCAAACGCAAAGCTATCCTAGCCGAAGTGTGCAATTTCGCCCGGAAGACGACCAAGTTCCAACTCCCCGATTGCGATTTACATGTTCAGGTTATACCAGGGGAGACGGAGGGTCTATACGGTTGGATAGCTGCAAACTACCTTCTCGGAGGCTTTGACAAGCCCGAAAATCATGATCACGGAAAAGGGCATCACACCTACGGGTTCCTGGACATGGGAGGCGCGTCGGCCCAGATTGCTTTTGCGCCCAACGCGACTGAATCAGAAAAGCATGCAAACGATCTCACGTTATTACGTCTACGGACTATAGATGGCGCGCCTATGGAGCATAGAGTCTTTGTGACTACCTGGTTGGGGTTTGGAGTCAATCAAGCAAGGCGGAGATATGTCGAAGCACTCCTCGAAGCCAGCCCAGGCGCAATGGAGCTACCTGATCCCTGTTTACCTTTGGGCCTGCGTGTTACAACTGATGGAAAACCTATTGAATCTGGATCAGAAGAGGAACAGGGACATGCGCCTCAACTAGTAGGAACCGGTCAGTTCTCTGAATGCATGCACCAGGCATACCCCCTCTTGGAGAAAGACAAGCCCTGTCTAGACGACCCTTGCCTCATAAACGGCCAGCATGTACCTGCTATCGACTTTGACGTGAATCATTTTGTGGGCGTTTCCGAATACTGGCACACTACACATGAAGTCTTTGAGATGGCGCACAAGGATCGAGCATACGACTTTAAAAAGTACCAGCAGCAAGTCAACGAGTTCTGCAGTCAGAGCTGGGAGGAAATTAAAAGGGGCATTGACAATAAGAAGTGGGGAAAGAAGGTCGATGAGGAGACGGCGCAAGAAGTCTGCTTCAAGGCATCTTGGCTTATCAATGTGCTCCACGAGGGTATTGGTGTTCCCCGCGTAGGTATTGAAGAGTTGAAGGGAAGCCAAAACACTACCCACGCCTCGTTGAAAGGCGCGAAGGAGAAAGGTTTCCTCGATCCATTCCAGGCGGTCAACAAGATTGGTGATATTGAGGTCAGCTGGACGCTTGGAAAGATGGTATTGTACGCCTCAAGTGAGGTCCCAGCACCTTCGACAGAAGCGCTGGCAGTGGGTTTTGGGAGCAACGATCCAGGCATTCCCGACGACTTCCAGTTTCCAGGTGGAGAGTACAGGCAGTACGGGGACGATGACTGGCATGATCACCTCTTCTCCGAAAACCCGCGACGAATTCCCGGTTTCCTCATCTTTGTTCTCATCGTCTTCGTGATCGGGTTCATGCTCTGCGGCCGAGAGGGTCGAAAGTCCGCTCGGCAGAAAGTTCTCCATTTATTCGGTGGTGGTGGCCGACCTGGCTCGCTAAGACGGCGCCGTGGATTTCCAGGAAAAATCTTTGGCCTTTCCAGTACACCATCGTACGAACGTGTCCTCGAAAGCGGTGAAGGGGCCGACGATTTCGAGCTTGGCTCCTTCGACTCCACCTCAGACAACGACCACTCTGATTCCAGCGAAGGCAGTCGTATCGGCCGAACTTCTGGATGGGCTACTCCGCAGATTAAAGCTAGTGTTGTGGATCCAGGGACGCCGTCCTTTTATGAACCCGGACGGGATATTATCGGCCAAGGTGCTGGTCTGGGTTTAGGTCCGCCGTCTATGTTCAGCAATCCAATTGAAAGGGGCGGGCTAATGGCCAGAACAGATAGTAGAGAGAGGTTGGCGGGTGGGAAGAGGAGTCGGGCGAGCAGTCCGAGTCGGCTGCGAAGTCCTATGATGATGCCGCTAAAAGAGTCTGTAGACTGAGCTATTTGCTTCCAGTGTGTTTGGCGTTTACATGAGCATTCATTGTAAGATGGGCTGTGTTAAGGAAGGCCGAGGTCTTACGCCTAGACAGGCGTTTATGGTTTTTCTATTCCACCTGCACTAAAGGAAGGTTCACTAATGTGCTTCGAGGAAGGCGTTTTGCAATTGGGTGAAGATGGTTACGTCTGATAATGATGTCTCTTCCCTAGATTTGGGTGCCTCGCTCCCTAATAGCTGCAATCTCGACACCCTTCGTATAACTTTAACTCCTGTTTCATACAGAACCATTTTTGTAGAAGATTAAATATTCTCTTCTGATTACTTCCATTCATCTCCGTAAATCTGACCCGGACTTCCAAGCCCAGCTGCTTCAATGCATCCAGGTCTAGACAAGTGGGATAGTCCTGCAGCGGAACGAGCCTGGTATCCCGTCTGTTTAGCTGATCGGCTTACATTTGGCATGTATTGTTTGGTTCTTAGTGAAAAGGCCAAACTAGCAAGAAGCCTGGAGGATACTTTCTTCTCTAAGACAGGAGCCTAGGTGCCCCCGGCTTTCTATCTTGATCAACCGTGGATAGTGACATAGTTTGCGAAAATAGATAGTCAATCAACATGAACATAACCCTTCAACAGAAACTGAACCATGTTGACTAGCAAATAATCCCAAACGCATCTTTCAGGCTCTCCGCTTCCTCAACACTCTCAACCCGCTTAAACTTAGCCGCAGGGAAAACATGGGGGTTCTCCACAGGAACCGCCACATCTTTCAACACCGCGCCTACGAACACTACCGAATTCCCATTCAGCAATTCGTAGAACATATCCATTCCTGCCGCCTTCCTTGAATAGCTCACGAGCAGCTTGAACACTGCAGGTGTATTCCTTGACTGACATGCGATGACATACTTCAACTTAGCCTCATCCTTTGGCTTGTGCTCTTTCAAGGCGGCGGTCAGGCGAATCATCGGTGTGTCAATGGTGTGGTGGACTGGGTTAGGGTAGTAATCACGAGCGCTGACATTCATGGTGTAGTACGAATGAAGTTTATCGGCCCAGCCATCGATGCGGCCGGTGTAGAAGAGCCAGGAGATGTTTTTGACATCGACATCTGTGTAGGGGTATGTGGTTGCATAGACGCTGGTGTGGTTTGGGGTTCGGATGAGACCCTCATGGGTATCTACTAGGGCAAGCAGATCGCGCGAGTTTTTGATGACTTTCTCTTCCTCTTCTTGGGCGGGGACAATCATGCTGTGATACAATTAGGTCTTGTATTGAGCCTTGTTGAAATCTTGGGAGAAGAAGTGTGGTGCCGTGCTGGAACGGATGAGGACGCTTACACTTCAACTGGTGGACTAGGATCCACCTCAATAGCTGGGGGTGTAGTCATTGTTTCTTCGGCCATAGTTAGAGATTGGTCTTCTTTGAGTAGACTTGAGAGAAGGCGTTTGGAGTACGATTATTTTGAAGAAGACAGAGAACAGCAATGTTTAAATGTTCCTGGGGGATCCCCCTTTGTTGCCTATCTGCTCATGCCACCCTTGGATGCACGAACCCTCTAGCTGAATCCTGTTGATACGAATAAGAAGGCAATGAGGGGAAACCATGTCGTTGTAATGCTCAGCTCCGAGAAAGAAGCCGTCGGATTGGTCGGAACCATTGCCATTCTAGGGTGGGGTCCAAAGTGTGAAACTAGAGCAGAAGGCAACTCGGACATCTCACATGTGGGCGGTAACAAAGCAATACCGACTGGCGTGAATTGTGTCGGTTCTTGCAGACATTAGTCTATCATTTTCGAGTGCAGTTTATCTCGATTTAGCCCTTAGAGCCTTAGCAGCCTCAGAAGGGCGACGGATTGCATCAGGAGAGCTATCTTTGAATGCTTCCTATGCCACTGGGCAGCGCTCACCTACCCCTCCTAATTACCCAAAACCGTTACATCCGCAGAGTTGATATTCACAACTTCGTCCTCAAGGTCCCACCGGCGCCTATTTTCCTGCTCTCCATAATGTATCCACTTGCAACAGGACTCCAACCTTGACTGGCCATCTCAGGTATCGGGAAGGGCGGTTTCCTCAGCTGCTCGGTGAAAAAGACCGGATGCCGCACTGCGCTATCGTACAGATTCCGTGACGGGAACAACCCAGGGGTTTGAGGGGACCCAAGCGGAGGCATTGCTTGTATTTGATTGTGTGGCTTTGTCGGCTTTAGGGTGCCCGTCGTATTTGTAGGCGCCTGAGGGCTCAAAGGGGCTACAGGACGCGATGGCTCGTGTGGAGCACGCTTCTGTTCATGTGTAGCACGCTTCTGTTGATGTGTGGAGACAATTCGTGGATTCTTCTGTGGAAGCTGAGGCACTATGTTAACGATTGGACGGCTATACAGTAAAGCAACTCATCCTACCTTAGGCCGTGAGGGCTGCAATGCAGGAAGCATCGCCGACCCCAAGTGCGAAGTTCATACAAGCACGCACTAGCAACGGGGTGGGTGAATGCTAGTGAATCAACCTCGGTTCTGTGGTCGACGTCATTTCAACGGCTAAACTCCACCTACGGCTTGCGAAAGGGACCAGTCACGCAGGATTTAAAAACCTCAAGCTCTGACATAACTATCAATATCTCTCCGACATGCGAGGAACGTACCCACACTTTTCCCCTGCCTTAAGATGCGTGCGGTTTAATTCCTCCCGTAGACACTTCTCATTACCAATAATACAAATATCCAATGGCACCTTCTACCGCCAACACCCAGCGTGGCAGCCAGCGCCGGGTCAAGATGTTCCTCCGAATCCGCCATTGTTTCCTGGCTTGACATTATCTCTTCCTTCAGCCTCCTTCCCGAACCAGCATTGGGCCATCCTAAGTCCCTCTTCCACAATTAGAACTGCATTCTTGCAGATACTACGTGGACAATTGCTTTGTTTCCCTCCTACAGCTCGCTCATACCCATTCCTCCTCTCCGAGGAGATGAAGGTAAAGAGTCCCAAACTTCGCTTTCCGGAACGTGCAATTGAATACGTTGGCTTTGATGTTGAGCGCAAAGCTTTTGGAGGTGCATATCTAAGCGCTCGGTACGAGAGTCGGGTCGAGGAGACAGACTTCACACTTGCCCAGTACCTGACTGGAATCACTGGGCTGAATCCAGGCGAGGATCTCGTCAGGGAGAGAACGCCAGATGAGGAAGTTATGCTACAGGTTGTCAAGGATCTCGAGCTAGCGCCCTTCTTCAGGAAGCCTGTAAGCATGCTCAGTAATGGGCAAAGCAGAAGAGCTAGGATTGGCAAGGCCCTGTTGACTAGACCGGAGATGCTATGCCTTGATGCACCCTTCAGTGAGCTTGAGTCTGATTGCTTTGATTTGACTTCTGCGAATACGCTAATGAAATTGTAGTCGGTCTGGATCCGTTCGTTTCACAGCATATATCTCAAGTCTTACATCGCCTTGCAGAAGCCAGCTCGCCTCGAATAGTTCTATCACTAAGGCCGCAAGATGCAATTCCGGAGTGGGTAACCCACATCGTCTATGCGGGTGAAGATGGAGAGGTAGGTGCCCTTGGTCTGAAGGATGAAGTCTTCCAATTCTTGAAGCAGCAGTATGAGAATATTGAAGAATCATTTGCTGCTCAAGACAGTTCACGAGAACATGACCTTGATCCAAGGTTGGTTGAGATGAGGGAGGTCGGGCGGCACCTCTCGGAATGGGGTGGGTTCGATGTCGGCCCCAGCGATGCGGAAACGACAGACCGTCCGGTTCTGAGTCGGGATGCATACGAAAAAGTTGATACATCAGCGACCCCGAGAGGCGAGCCCGTCGTACAGATGGAAGGCGTACGCATCAAATACGGGAGTAATTCCGTGCTTGGCGACTGGACGCAAGATATAAATGGAAGGGCGAGAGACGGACTTTGGTGGAATGTTCATCGAGGGGAGCGGTGGGGCATCTTTGGGGCGAACGGGTCGGGGAAGACAACTCTGTTGAGCCTTGTCACCTCCGACCACCCACAGACCTACTCGGCACCAGTCCGCATCTTCCAGCATTCAAGGCTTCCAGCTCCCGGTATCCCCGGCATAACTATCTTCGATATTCAGGATCGTATGGGTCACTCGTCCCCAGAAGTACATGCGCTTTTCCCGAGAAACCTCACTGTGAGGCGGACTCTTGAGTCAGCCTGGAGCGAAACACCGATCACGAAGCCTAAGCTCACACCCGATGCATCTAAGCGTGTAGATGCATGTTTACAGTGGTTTGAACCCGATCTTAGTCCCATACTTAAAGACGGCAAAACCTCCAGCGGGAAATTAGATTGGGCATCTCATTTCATGTTTGGCGAACTGTCCTTCTCTGCGCAACGCGTCCTCCTCTTCCTCCGTGCCACCATTCGAAACCCGGACATAGTCATCCTTGACGAAGCTTTCAGTGGTATGGATGACCTCGTACGAGATAGGTGTCTTTTGTTCCTCAGCCGTGGTGAGAGTATGACTTTACACTACCAGGAGTCAGGCCCCAATCCCATAGAGAGCGATATATCAAAGAAAGGAAAGGTCGTTGTTCCTGGCCTCCAGGATCATCAGGCACTTCTATGCGTTAGCCACAGCAGACAGGAAGTGCCCGGTTGCATCAGGGAATGGATATGCCTGCCGGAACCCGGCACAGGACCTCCGAGGTTTGGGAGATTTGATGGACCTGTGGAGTTGAGCTATAAGCGGTGGAACTATATCTGGAATTGGCCACAAAGGCCATAAAAAGGGACCACATGTCGAGAATTTAAGTTCAGAAAAGTTCTTCGAAAGCGCATCTACACTTCCTTGCACCGTCACATTTTGTTCGGGAGTTCAAAATTAAAAGCCGCAAGCAGTGAAACGTACATGCTTCACAAGGATATTCATACTTGCTGCCACATTCTCGTAGACGTCACTCCTATCCTCCCCATACCTCATGCTCACACACTCTCTCCTTAATTTTCTTAATGGGCGCAAATGGCTACTCAAAAGAAGGCTCCTTTCCCCCTATTACGTGAGGCCAGCAAGGAGATACTTACGGCTCCTTCTGCTAATCTGCCCACAGAATAACGTGTCGACAGTTTGGTATTTCTTGAATCTTCTTTTCTCTAGTACAAGCTGCACTCTCTGATTTAGGTCTGATACATTTTTCGGTCGTTGTAATTCAAGATTCTTGGCAATACCTCGTAGTATAATTCATATGCTACCTCATCTTCTGAGGCTAACTTGAAAAACAGGCTGAGCTGATGAATGGCTCATAGATGTGGAAGGTGGAGGGGGTGACTCAACAGGATGAGGTTAGTGGCCAAGGCAGGATGTTCAGAGGAGCTCTTGCACGTTGGAGCTAGAAGCTTATTGACTTGTTCCAGACTGTATTTTCCACCACCCAATCCTGAGAACGAATATGCTAATGGAGGCAACGATAGCGGCGTGGTTCTGGGGCAGAAAGGTGATTGAAATGCTGACATGGATAAGAATCAAGTGCCCGGTTCAGCCGAAGCTTGTACTTGATAGTGGAACTACGCCACTCGGTGAGTCTTGAGTTGATTACTGCTTCCCTTCTCGCCCGCTGCCACCTCCTCACCTGTGCTCAAGCGCTGTCGTTTACAACTTATTCTCTCTCTTCTTCGAAGAATATCTGCCAAGATCTTGATTGATCTATATTGAACTTTGGTACCCCCTCTAATACCGCTAGGCCTACACGATACCCAACAATCAGCTAATTTATAATTAAGATTTAACGAAGAACCCCCTGCCAAGGGTGGTATCGTTCCTTCCTACAAATGCCTTCTGATTGATTCTACTTCATGCCCCCTCCCCTCGTGCCTTGAGCTGCGAATCTTCTATTTCCATTGGACAACTATCAACCTGACCTCACCACCTTGAAGCCGGACCCCATGGTGAGATGAAGGTAGCTTTGTTGGCTTCACCGCTAACTGGATCGCATCCGGCAGTCGTTATTGCCCTCTCATCATCCTGCGAGCTTTTAGAGACGGTTACGGTTGCTCAAATACGCCATTCGCCGTGATCGCCTTTGAATCAGTAATTAGGGTTGCTCCAGAGCTGTCATGCCGTCCATATTATAGGCCTTTGAGCCACCACGGCCAACAGTAAGTATCTGCCCTCCTTAGCTTTGCCACTTCGCTCACTCGTGCATGTAAGACGGCCTGACTTTTCTCGGTCAAGACCACGCTTAAGCTAGCCTCAGACGCAAAGTACTAGCCAACAGGTTTGGGAACGACGACTTGTTACTCCCCTCACAAAGCTTCTACGCCTATCCTTCACTATGGCAAAGAATTTATGGCTACTGGAGAAGGAGCCTGCATTACACATTCGTCCCAGCCACAGCAGCGGACTGTCGTGCTCGTCGAGACGCACCGCCGCCACAGGGGCCACACATATGGATGAGCATGGATTCAACTCATCCCAGCACCTAGTTATCAATCCATGTTATTGTTGACACAAATCCACACTCTATCCACACTCCGCCCAAAAAACCGTAAGGTGGCCTTCTTCGTCATCTTTTTTAGCCAGATCAACGCCGAATTTAAAGTAATATATGGTGCTACTTGCAGGGCAGAGATGATCTTAGACGATACTCATGAAAGAATAATATTTTCAATCCGATTAGGTTATACGCCGTGGCCCGAACGAATCGTTCCCCCTATCATTTACGACTAGTAAATACTACAAGAGATGGAGCACTAGCCGCAGCAGGAAACTCCATCCTGGCTTCGGAGGCAAGAGACTATGGCCTTGTTTCGTCTCCACCCAGCAAGCATCAAAATCCTTAACTTGTAAGTGGTTATAACTCACTTTACGGCCTCCGTTCCATTCAGCTGAGCTGACCGTTTGTGAAGGAATAGTCGGTGATTCTGTTAAAAAGTGGGCTACAACCGGTGTCTCTTTTCTGGTGTCGTTGAGAATGGGTTCCTAGCTACTTCAACTCTCTCAGCGAGCCAACAATTGATGTCATTGCGAGACATATACAAGCGGTTCCTCCATCAAAGGATATTGGATACAAGCCTTTTTTAGGACATATAGGAGAAGAATTCTCCCAAGGGGAAGACGTCCCGTCGAAGTTGTCCGACCTAAAGTACGGATGTTGTTTGAATCTGTTAGAGGAGTTCAAGTCAAAATCTGGCATCCACCGAGATCACGAAGTCAAGCACAGGGCTTCCAACGAGGCGTAGTACTGTACGATTGGGCGATTTTGAGGCCTGTACGGGTGAGATTTTGTGTACGTTCGTACGATAGGGAGGAGGAGAGGTAGGTGTACGTATCGTAACTGTTACGGCTCACGTGATCTGTACGAGTAGTACGATTCGATTAAAGTACGCCGTACTCCAGTCAAAACAGCTAAGACTATAGGTCCCTAGAGACGCAAGATTAAGGTCTAATTAACTATAAAATAACTAGTTCTCCCTAGTAACAAGAGCAGATAGGACTAGATGAGGCCTGTAAGGCGGCAAGAGGCGTGGTGTGAGGGGTATTGATCAGGAAACACAAGTCACAGAGAGGGAATGCAGGATAGGGGGTAACGAGAGTAAACCTTAGGGTTGGAGGCAGAGGTACGGAGGCCTAGGAGCCTATATACCCCGTGCCAATCCTAGGGTACTGAGGGGTTGGATAGCTGTAACATAACTGTGTATACAAACTTCCCAAAAGGGTAATACAATCCGTACTACGTACCGTACCTAGGGCATCATTAAACGTACGGTACGGCTCACGAACTCGGTACGTTCGTACTGAACACGTGACCGTTACGGTTCACTTTGTACGGACCGTAGTACGGCGCGTTGGAAGCCCTGGTCAAGCAGTCCAACCAGAGGAAACATGACGAGACTCAAAGAAGCAATTTACATGGCTTCTCGTCCTCAGCCTCGAAGACAGGTCAAACTCCATCTTCACATACTACAGATGGAGGAAGCAGGTCATGAGACTCAAAGCAATTTATGTGGCTGCTTGTCGTCAATCTGCGACCAGATCCACTCTCTTATCAATGTGTAAGCATGTGTCGATACAAATATCGCTATCTTGTTATATAGCACCAAAGGAAATGAAGCTAGCAATGAAGAATACATCGGTATGAAGTATAGTGTTTGAGGGGACGACATATCGACCACTATCAGTGACCCCAATTGGGAACGAAGAAATCCCGCAATATGGAGGGCTATTTAGGCTCAAAATCAGCGAACACCGCCAATGAACTAGCGTTCACTCTTGCGGAGAAATCTAAGGAATTTTTCATCCACGATATATAAATGGAATAATGGTGGGTGGATGCATCGACCATAGTCCTCCAACATAAATTGTCTCAAATCCAACTCTACTCTCCCAGACTTTCTGAGCGAGCTTTAAGAGAGTCGGAGAGTACCTTAGCGCACAGTATACCCTCAGCAGAAGCTTTGGTCTCGTCAATGGAGTCAAAACGAACGAGCCCAACTTGAACATGGAGTCTTGTAGACTCGGGTTCAGATCTAGACAAATTTAGACATCCACCGCCTCAGGGAGCTCAAAGAATACCTTGGCACAAAGTTCGATCCTCTTCGAGAGTCTATTGGTATTATTGACAAGACTGGCAAGATTGCACTGCATCACGGGGACTATTGAAATTTGCACTATATGGACCAGCCAAAAAAGATTCGCTCAAGGGCAGGAGATGGCCTCGCAGCCGTTACCAAGACTCCATTTCAAGTACCAACCCTTCTTTTGCGCGCGTGCACTATATACGACAATACCTCAAAGTAGCCAAAGTCACTTGAAAACTCAGCAGCACTCTCCCACGCCCTTGAGGTTTATCAAAGGTATGTCAAAAAGAAGAAACGCCTAAGCGCCCAGAAGATTCTATGTGTCTTAGACATGCGTCTTAGACATGACCTTGCTGTACTGGAGCTGTCATTAAACTCTGAGCCGTCCCTAACCCGCGAATATCGTCTTACAGTAGGAATACCGTCAGTGTCGCTCACTCGAACCCACGTCATCACGAAGATGGAGGTCAAGTTTATCACTAGACCCGTACGGTTCGTTTTTTTTATACATTATACTAGAATATTTAGCATTTTATAGTGATGTAGGTTGGGGGTAGTTTTAAGGTGGGTGGCTGATGAGTGAAAGCTGGGTTAGGGTTATTCGCTCTCATGCGAATGAAAGATATACATCGATACGCTGAAGACCACAAAACTGCTCGTATCTGTTGGAACATTAGTTCAGAAACCGAGCTCCCACTCACCACTTTTGCCATTCTGAGGGTATGGGGTTAAGGAATGTGGAGTCTAGGGGAGAAAAACCTAACGAATTCAACGTCCACCATAGCACTTATGAAGAGTACTTTGGGGGTAGCACTATCTCTTCTTAGTGGAGAGAGGTGGGAAATGGTATTCTTACTTTGATGATAGTAAACTAACGAGGGAGTTACGCATTATGGAGAACTGTTGAAACTAGGTACCAATTGAGAGTATGCTAGCAAATCAGAGACAATTTCATAGGAAATATGAATATGGTCTCAACAGCAGATGATGTTGTCATATGTCCTAGGAGAACTACATTGTGCCGGACCTAACAAGTGGGTGACGAACTGAGGTGAAAAGCTGGATTGTCCTAGATTGTCACTGTTTAGGAGTTAAAGCGGTGTGGCTAAACTCCTCGAGTGATAGAGGATCTTGTGAGATATCTGTAGCTCAAGAAATAGGTTCCTACATGTAGGATGTTAGTATAGCATCCCTATCTATAAATTGCAGTCACCCCGCCACTCTCTTAACTTCGCCGAAATTTGAATCGATACTTCCCACTTTTCCTCCGGGGAGCCACCTAATCCTCAAACGCTCCTAGCCCGACAGAAGATTGGGTGACACGATCTCTTCGTTCGTATACGTATAAGAGAAAGTATGAAGGCAAAACAATATCTTGATTTCAAGGATACTAATTGTGTCAAAACCACGACCGCGTGGGACAGGTATCGTGCACGCCAGACCTATAACACCTTGTACCGGCCGCAACCCTTTAGCCATTCCCGTTACCATGCTGGTACCGTATCCGAACGCCATAAAGCAATTAAAGCCAAATGAACACCATCACCAGTGCGCCTTTAGAAGGCGTTACAGTGATATGCGTCAGAGAACTTGTGATCTACACCTCCGCTGTTAATGAAAATCTCACGAAAAACCTCAGATGGTATAGACCGATAGTATGAGGGCCTTGGATGCATCCCATAGACTGAGCCCGAGCGAAACTGCGTGAGCTGTGCGTGCTCACGAAACCATAGCCTCGCCGGACTCACCTTCTTCTGGCCCCACCTGGACCCCGAATGGTAGGAAGGGTGGGATATTTCTCCCAGATTCTCTTGCCTTGTCTTCGGCCCACTGTCGCAATCGGACCAAGTTACGTAATTGCGCTTCCCCTCGTGCTCCTAGGCTAGCTAGGATGGCTTCGTTAACGCGGCCTGCGACTTCTCGGCGGAGGGATGGTTTGATCAATTCGGCAAGTTCTGGTTTCAGATTCTCAGTGGGAAGGAATAGCAAAAGGGACATGGTCTTTTCAAGAGCATCTAGGAATTCAGGGTTTGAAGCAGCGCGAGGGGCAAGCTGCGAGGATGCAAAGTTGAGAGCTGGAACGATATCCGAGGTTTCTGTAGCTGTGCAGGTCTTGATGAGTTCGATGAGTTGGAGCCTAAGGAGAGCAAAGTGGAGGGCTGGGTCGGTATCGAGGATCTGTTGGCAACATAGTCAGCCAAGCGTCATATAATGGATGAAGCTACGGGAACCAGGCTTGGTTTTTGAATTCATACTGAGGACTGAAGGTTTGCTTATCATCACAGCCTTACGGCTATGCGTGGTGCATGAAACAGTGTATAATCATAATAAAGAAACATTGGATTTCGAAGGAGAAATGCTCACTTGAGGATTGAGATCGTTTATCTTGTTGATCGCAGTGTCAATGTCGCCGGTGTGAATGGCTCTTCTGATCTCCACTCTTGCTTGGATCGACTCCTCTTCCATCGGTATATTGATGTTTGCCTCTTTCGCGAACCTCTCTGCCGCCCGGGGGTACCCTTCGGTGATGAGATAGTCCATGATTACGAAATTAATATCTCTGTCAAGGGCATCATGGTCAGCAAGACTATGTTCTGAACAATGCGTACATGGATCGAACGCTTGTTGAGAAAGCAATAAAAATTGCTTACGAAATCAGAGATACAAGTTAACATTTTCTCCACATGAGGTTTCGGAGAGATTCCCAACTTGATTTGAACACATCATATGAGCCGCAAGACCAACACAGTGCAGGGTGTATGAGAAGGATTACTTACGCTTTCGATGTCTTGACATCGTCCACGCGCCGCTGGAAAGGATGGAGATGCTGTGTCGGCGTTGCCCCCGACGCGGAGACTGTGGAGGAGCTCTGAGGTCCGAAATTGTTAGTATGCATATCGCCTGTTCAATGAATAATAAAGGCTTACCATGGTGGGAAGCAATGTTGACTGATGTCCATCAGTCGGCGGGGCGTGTTGCTCGACCGTGGCCGAGGTGCGTGGACTCGCACGCAGAGTTTGCAGGTCGGTGGAGGTCTGAAGGCAGCCTCTGTCCGTGAACCTGCAGCTGGTGGCCCAAGCTTCTTAGCGATGCTTGGCAGCTGCCAATTAGATAAGCTCGTCCTCGAGCTCACCACGCTTCCAGGTGTTATCTCACTTCTCACATCACTCCCCCGTACACATTCGCGTTTACCAATATAGATTCGTTAGCATATTCCCGTCGTAGCCTATCGCCTGTCATGAGGTAACTATTATAACCTTGGAGGTGCACAGCCAATCTTTCTCCCACAAACATGACCGCTGCATCTCGAAACCACTATTCCCCTCCCTGGGGGGATGCAAGCATTATAGGTGTAGCGGGGAGCTCAGGCTCTGGAAAGACAACGCTGGCGCTGGCCATAGTAGCTTCCCTGAATTTACCGTGGGTAGTAATCATGTCTATGGTGCGAGGTCTACTTTACATGTGGTTTATTTCTCTCACATGAACATTTAGGATTCTTTCTACAAGCCTCTAACTCTTATGGAATCAAGAGCTGCCTTCCGAAACGAATTTGATTTTGATTCGCCCGATGCTATTGATTTTGACTTATTGGTAGACAAGTTGAGTGATATTAAACAAGGGTAAGCCATCCTCCTTGTAGGGGTACGAACGCTGGCTGATCTTTGCTCAAGGAGAGTGGCCGAAGTTCCTGTTTACTCGTTTGAGAAACATAACAGACTTGAGCAAACGACAACTATATACTCTCCCCACGTGCTAATCTTGGAGGGTATCTTTGCACTCCACGACCAGAGGGTCTTGGATATGCTGGACTTGAAGATATTTGCAGAGGCAGACGCAGACCTCTGTCTCTCTAGAAGATGTAAATTCACTACGTCATCCCCACAAAGCTGTGTTTGTTCTGATAGATTGAACAGTGGTCCGAGATGTCAAGGAACGTGGCCGTGACATCGAAGGTTGCATCAAGCAATGGTTCGGCTTTGTCAAACCAAACTTCTACAAATACGTTGCGCCCCAGCGAGAAATAGCTGACATCATTATACCCCGTGGTATTGAGAACAAAGTTGCCATCTCCATGATCTCAGGCCAAATAGGGAAAACCCTCTCCCACAAGTCTGTGAAACACAGACTGGAGCTTAGCCGGCTAGGTAAAATTGCAGAGGACTCCCCTCTATCGCCAAACGCTCTCATATTAGAGCAAACAAACCAAGTAAAAGGCATTCATACATTATTGATGGACCCGAACACTTCGAGAGAAGATTACTTATTCTACTTTGATAGAATGGCCGGAATGCTTATCGAGAAGGCGGTTGATTTCCTCCCACTCGAACCCGCTCAAGTCATTACTCCGCAAGGAAATGTATACATGGGGTTGAGGAAGACCGCTGAGGTCAGCGCTGTTGTAATCTTGAGAGGAGGAAGTGCTTTTGAGACAGGACTTCGGCGGAGTATACCAGATTGCCGGACCGGAAGGATCCTGATCCAGACGAATTATAGAACAGGCGAACCGGAGCTGCATTACCGGGCCCTTCCCAACAATATCGCGGAACACGGCCTGGTACTACTTCTCGACCCGCAGATGTCGAGTGGAGGAGCGGCATTGATGGCAGCCCGTGTCTTGACTGACCATGGTGTTCCGGAGGACAGGATAATATTTGTGACTTATCTAGCCGGGCGAGTAGGCGTGAACCGAGTGCTGAGCGTTTTCCCTGATGTGAGAGTAGTGGTGGCAAGAATGGGCGATGATATGGAGGACCGGTGGGTGGAGACTAAATATCTAGGATGCTGATGTTAACTGTATTTTTTGAGTAGCTTACCCTTAGGTCAGATATATAGGCACTTGGACCTGTAGGCCTGGAACTTTGTACATATGTATTACTTCTACATTGGCTATAACTAGAAACCAAGCTGTACATCGCCTTTGAACTGTAATTTCTGACGTCTCGACAAGCGCTATGATGATATTCAGTCATCACCAACACATCTATGCCAAGATTCGCCTCTCCCTCATAGATGCATTGCGCAAGTGTCCTATTATAAGAAGTACTCTGTGGTTACCTCTTTTCCTTGTTGCTGTTGCTGTTCCGCTCGATGTAAATCGTTCTCTGGACTCGCGTCGAACACGTTAAAGAATCGCTCCCCTGTATCACTGACCTCCAACACACTCGCCATATTTCCACAACGATAGCAGTAATTGGGGGCGCTCCACACTGTACTCAATCGATCATCGTACAACACCTGGAACCCCTCCTGACAAAGCTGATGTGCACGTAGTATATGTGACATTGCGTTGACCTCGAGGAACTTTTTGACCACCTGCGCCCCAAAGGTGTACCCTGCCCCCCTCGGGCTGAGAGAAAATTCGTCTCTGTCGGGATCTGGATCACTCCATACAAGATCTGCCATCGGGCCTTCATGCGGAATCTCTCTGAACCGGTCTATAATCTTGATCTGGTCGATTGAGTGTATCGAGGGTGAGAGTCCGCCATGGACACAGAAGATCTGGTCGTTTATGACGACGGAGAGGGTTAAGAAGTCGAACATGTCGGTAAAATAATGCCACACATTTGCGTTGCCGTATTTGCGGGAGCATTCGGTGTAGAAGCCGTAGGATTGTGTGACACCGCGCGACTCATGGTTGCCGCGGATAAGGTGGACTCGGTGGGGATACCGCAGCTTGAGACACACAAGCAGGGAAATCGTTTCAACAGAGAAGAGACCGCGATCGACATAATCACCTGAACAATGTTAGCCTCCCAAGGTAATGCTTATGCCTCCGATAGAGGTCGCGTGCTAGGGAGCAGAGGCAGCCAACGCACCGAGAAAGAGATAATTTGTATCTGGACACGGTCCACCGATCTTGAATATCTCAATCATATCAAAAAACTGCCCGTGGATGTCCCCAACAACGGTAACTGGAGCCTTGATGTGCACCACGTTGCTCTCTTTCATAAGCAGCTCTTTCGTTTTGGCGCATATTGCCTCGATAACCGACTCGGCCAACAGTTCCTTCTTGTAAAGCCTTGATATACACTCATCGAGGTCGACGGTTGCTGGGAGACCTGGCATCGTAGGATTTGTAAGAGACTCGACGGAGCTCCAGCATTCGCGATGGGCTCAAGGGAAAGAGTCTAAACTGGTCGCCAGCAGATGTCTGTATCGTACAATCATTCTCGGAACATGGATGCGGGCGCAGGACGGCGGCGGGGAAGGAAACCCAGAGTTGAGTGTTAAAGTGGTGCTGTTGTCGGTGCTTCGACATGCAGCACTGTCCGCCTTGGCCCAAGCTCGAGCGAAATGAAGCATCACGTGATTTAGCTCCAGGTTTCTCAACCTCAAGAAAGTTCGACACTCCCAAACCTCCAACGTTTTGCTTTCAATCCTATCGCAGTATCTCCTTTCTGCTTCTAACGCATTCTCAAGTACCGGATGAATCGATTCTCTCTGTCTGTCACACACTCTCCTCTTCCTTTCGACTTCTTCAGCTCCATATCTCAGCAGCGCTTTCTTGGCCTTGCTTCCGTATTCCCCTCACCTCAGCAGCCCCTCAGGCCCGTCCGCTTCCCCCATCTTTCTCATCTCTGTGCACGATAGCTCTTCACACCCCTAATAAGTTGTTTCATTTATCCTCTACACTGAAGTCTCTCCTGCAAGCTGGCCTCGGCGGGCTTTGGGTGCTCTCACCGCCTTGGCACGTGCGCCAAGACCGAATTTGAGTAAGTTCATCTTGACTTCACTCCGCCTTCTCACATCATCTGCTACACCTTCTTGCCCCAACACACCACTTCATTTAAATCTTCTCTACATAGCACGCTCTAACATCTTATCAGGGGCGGCTCTCAGGGGGTGGAATGGCGTGGAGCGGACCTGCAACTGGCGCAGCACAGTACCAGCCACCACCGTTCGCTAACGGCCAGCCTGGCTACAGCCAACCCCAACAGTACCAGTATGGCCAGCAAGCGGCCTACGGTCAGTATCAAGGCGGGCCTGCTTATCCTCAAGGTGGCCCTCCGCAACGACCTCCCGACAATCGGTAAGTCAGTGTATTCGTTGCTCGCCTTGGGTTCCTTTCACTCGCAATAATATTCCATTGTAGCAAGCTGGCTTCTTTCCGTTTGATTCAGAGCCAAATATTCTGATGTTGTGTTAGGCCTCCTAAGAAGAAAGGCAACCCAATAATCACGCGATATCCTCCACCGCCTGGCTATCGCGGGCCTGCTCAACCCCAAGGTCCTTATGGAACCAATCAGAATCAGGGTCAATACCAACCTCCTCAGCAGGCCTACCCGCAAGCATATTCAGGGGCCCCAAGCTACCCAAACCAAGGTTATTCAGCACCATCCACCTATCCACCAGCTCAAGGGTACTCACCCCAGGGCTACGGACCCCCACAGAACTACCCACCACAGCCTAACTACCAGCAGCCACCATACTCGCAAGGACCAGGCTATCAGTATCCGCAACCCGCTTACCCACCTAATCAGGGTTATTCGCAAGCTCCAAGCCACCAAGGCGGTCATGGTGGTCAAAGCTATGCACCGCAACAAGGTTCCTTTCAAGGATATCCGCCTCAACCCGTTCATGTAGACTCGAACCAACAAGCTTTCTCTCATCCTCATGGCTGGCAGCAATCGAACGGCCCCACAGCGTACAGCCATGATCAGTATAGTTCATATGGTGGCGCCCCGGCCATCAAGCAGGACCCAGAAGCTACCCCAACACCGACATCGGCGCAAATCGCCGGGACCCAGCAGACCTTCCCCCTAGCTCAAACCGAAGGCCCAAAAAGTGAGCAATCTGCTGGGGAGAAGCCCCAATTATTCCTCGCCTGGGATGACTGGGACTTCGATTTTGATGGTGCAATCTGGCCAAAGAGTAATGAGCCCGTTGACCCGAACTTGAGTCTTGGCGTTATCATCTGGCGTCCAGCGAAACAAGTCACTCGTGCGTTACCTTGCACATTTAGTGATGCCGAGGAACAGGCCCTCAAGCCTCCAGCTGAGAAGTTAGGCAATGGGGAGTCTGTGTCTAATTACTTTACTCTTGAGAACTCACATGAAGCTTTCTTGGATGTCCGGCAAACAGATGAATGGCCAAACATCAGGGCCGATCCAATTTTTGTTGTCTTTGATGACAACGACGTTGACCTGATTCCAATCGAGGACTGTATATCGAAACGCGATCGTCCTGATGAGCCCTTCGAAGAGGCGCAGGGAAATGAGGACGAGGATATGAAAGATTCGTCTTGGAATGTCATGGACAATCTTGAACAGGCCCTATCAGGTGAAATGCTAGACACAAGGCCTCCACCACCGACTAAAGACGTGAGTTCCTCTAGGAATCAGACACAAGAAGACATTCTAGCGGCACTGGGCGTAACAGGATCGCCTAAACCACCATCGAACGAGCCCATGCCATTTCCGTTCCCCTCAGTTGATGAAAAGCCGCCGGCTTCGCTCCCAGAGAAGCCTCCTGCGCCCCAGTAAGTGTTTTTCACTAAGATCTTGAATTCTTTAGCTCATCATATTCAGACCACAGCTCCCCTCAGAACAGCCGCCTCAGAGATCTCACTCATACGGAGGTCATCGCAACTCCGATTATGTACCTCGACCTCAACGTCCATATGGATCAATGTCTTCCTCAACTCACACGCGGCCGCCGCCACCTCCTCAGGAACGAAGACACGTCGATTCGTGGACCTCTGGGAATTCTCAGAACTACATTAATGAGCACGCTCTCGACGGGTCTCGAGAAAGCCCAGCAAGGTCTGAAGGGAGCAACCGAACACTTGTGGGGTCTGATTTCGAGGCCGAACCTCCCGCGAATGCCAATAGTGGTGATAAATCTCAACCTCCAAGTGTCCCAAAGTTGGAACGGAGCGACAGCTCGTTCTCAAGAAAGCGAAGTTACGATGATACCGATCAAGACGATGAAAAACTACGACAGCAGGATGATCACACGAGGCGTAAGAAACGCCCTCAGGTGGCTGCTGCTTACAGGTGAGACTATTTCATAAGCATCTGTGCGAGGATCTAAGCGTGATGTAGTCGTCGGTAAATTCATCTGACAAGCCACTTCCAATTGCGGGTTCCTTTCTGGATCACCCTTTTCTCGACACCCTAACGTCCCGATACCACGACCTTCCCCTCTACATGTTTATTACCGCTTTCTCCACCAACTCATCGCTTGGTTTTTGAAGACAACATCCTATCACTTCACCTTCAGTTGAATGCGATTCCGGTTGTGTAGGATGACAGGCAGTTGGGGAATCGTTGCACTTGCCTTCAGGAATTCCAATGTTCGCCTGCTGTGCTAATGAACAAACTACGGCACTGGTGGGAGTAATTTTCTTCTTCGTGTCAATTTCCCTTTGTCAATCATGGTTGCGGTCATTTGTCCCTTCTAAGCATATGGTATTCAGGTACTCGGCGTCACTCGGCGAGAGAGCCAGGCCGTCCCGGTTTTTTCACTCTTCCTCTCCAGATCTCAAGGGTCACTGTTAGTCCCAAAAGTTCATTTCGGTCGGTGGCTTGGCATTTTCCTTTTTCTTGCCCATCTGAAGACTCGAGTCTACAAATTCTTAATAAGTCATGTTGAATGGCTACTTTCTTGACGTGTCATTTCCCGCAGTATGATAATAATTCTACTTTTCTCCCGCGCCATGCGCTCGATTGTCGATCATCCATGTCGTCGTTTCCGAGTCAATTCCCAACGTCTCCCTTTTCACATCATCTAATAAGGTGCCGCGAGAGGAACCAATGCGTCGATTGGTGGCCATACTTCTTGATCCCAGGGTCGTTGGGTGAGATTTTAGCACGATGTTCAACTTCAAGATGCGACTCCAGGACAGACAACAGCAGACCTTGGGTCAAAAAACCCCTCATGTGCATTGGTGCGTAAAATTTTCACTGTTTGATGTCTTATTGACCAGTTTCACGTTCTTCTGTCATAATTCAATGGGCTTTTGATATTACATTGTCTCTTTTGATGGTCTAGTCCAAATTTCTTCCGACTCCCTTCAACCACGATGCTTCCATTCTGAAGCCGATTCTTTCTTGCTACGATGTCTTTGCTGCTACGCAGAGGTCAAGACAGGTATCCGAAATAGATAACCTTCGTTGCTAGTCACTGGAGACGGTTGTATTTGCCTTTTTCATCGCCGTCACGGACGGAGACGAGAGTTTGGATAATGAACATCGCCATATCGCTGCTAGAGCGTCATCTTAATCAGTAAATACGCCATCCAAGTACAGGATCAGTGACGATCTGGATTGAGTATCATTGTCGGTTGATGCAATAGACAACCTCTTTCTTTCAGGGCAGAGGCTTCGACGTCCCATGGATAGAAACGCGGTCATCTCTGTCCAATCCAATGATCACAACTATCAGCCACTTCAGCTGAAATTCGATACTTCATATTGGGGAGCGCAGAGTCTTCAGGCAGAAATTCTCATGCTATTTAGTGGCGTAAAGCACCCAACCCGAGATCATAAATATGTACTCATGGTATCAATTTCCATCTATTTCATCAACCTATCCTTTTCACTCCCACCCTCACTCTCTGTCTCCTCCTCTGTACTCTCATCTTCCTCATCTGTCTCTTCCTCACTCTCATCATCATCATCGTCCCCCTCCTCCAGCCACTCATCCAGCGTCTTTTCCTTTCCAGCACTTGCTGCTCCAACGCCAGCCCCAACACCTACACCATTCAAAATCCTTGCCGGTGACACAGCAAGATCGGGAACCCTACTCGAAGCCGCAGCATCCAGCCTCTCACTCGCGGTAATACTCCTACTCCCACCACCAGCCTCATATACATTAGTCGCCGTCAACCCAACCTCGTCGCGTAGTCGTGGGTCCGGCTCCTCACCTTCCTTCACCCACGGCGGGAGCTCTTCGTATCCTTTTAGCCCCCCAACGCCGCCTTCTTGTCCAACAACGAGACTCGCGCTACCGAGCACGTAACCTTTTCGCATTTCGCTCGGGCTCGGAGTCTGTGGCACGGGTTTCGGCGCTAAGAGGAGTAGGGAGGCGAGTTGTATGGAGCTAGGAGTTGATAGAAGGGCTTTGTAGACGCGTGCACGGTCGCGGAGGTCGTAGGAAGTGTCGTAGCGGGTGAGTAGGAGGATGTATTGGTATAGTGCCTCTGTTGGGTGCAGTATCTCTCGTTCCTTCATTGTACTCTGGTCTGGGGAGTCGAGATGCAGATCCCGGAACCCGCCTTCTTCATGGAAATCGTCTAGTAGTGAGTGCGATGATTTTGATTCTGCTGGTTTGGGTGGTTCTGGAGGTGGATTGGCGTTGATATGGTGGACGTAGACTTTTGCCGCTAAAAGCACGATTTGGAGTTTCGCGGGTTCCGCTTCGTCTGCAAAGCCTTTTGCTAGAATGCGTAATACGTCTGCTGCGATGTTGTTCTCCGGGTCTAGACCTGCAAATTCGCCGACTAGCCAGATGATGCTTGCTCGAGCTTGTGGACTGGTTGCAGCGTCTAGATGTTTTGCCAATCGAACAACTGTTGTGCGGTGATTGTCCGGGTCCCGCTGAATCAGATGTCGGATGACTTCTAAGCTCTCGGCGACCAGGTGTGCATCTGCAGATCCGATGTGTGCAAGTAGTAGTCGCAGGCATCTCGCAGAAGTCTTTGGAGTCGTAACGCTGCTCTGCGCACAGCGCCCAATCGCCCTCACTGCCTCTCTCACTAACCCTGGATCTTGACTTCCGGAGTGCGAAAAGTGGCTGAGTTCCGCCAATATTAGACTTTGTAGTCTAGCTGGTGCGTAGGGAAAGATCAACGTTAAGAGTTCTAGTTTAAGTCGCCAGATATGAGGAGCATCAGTTGACCCGACAAGGAAATGTGTATAGTATTTCACAAATGGCTCCGGGTAGGCCAGACACACTTGAACGATGTTGTAGAGCGCTATGTGCTGGAGATCCGAGGCAGAGCGGAGGAGAGATATAAGAGGTCCAATGGCGGTAGAAAGGAAGGTAGGAGTACCAAGATAAAGGTACGTTCTTGCCACGGCGATTACAACTGCAGAGTTGCGCGAGTGGAGGAGCGGTTGGCATGCCTTCAATAGTAGCTCAAGATCTGGGTCCAAAATCACAACATCTTCCGTCCCTTGATCCTGGGAGGAGTCAGACTCGCTGTCTGAATCGTAGAATCCTTTGGTGGTCCTTGTAGATTTCGCATTGGAAGTAGCATTGGCCAAGGGCTTCCTGACCTTTTTTGTCCGCCGAGGAAAGCATTTCCGTACGTATGTCATCATCAAATGTAGAGTCGCTAATTGCCCCCATTCATCCATATCGACGAGCTTACGGATAAGGGAACGGTAGTGTGGATGTATTAGATCCATGCGGTTCGGACACATTTCTAGAAACGCAGCCACCGCAGCCCCCGTGACGAAGTACTGCTTATCTCCTAATAGCAACGAAAGATATTCCAGTAATTGGGGCTCGGTACTGGGGTCCAAACTGTAGCATTTGGGTATAGCCAATGCAGCAGCTCGTCTCACATATGGAGACATATCCCCCACACCCCGTTTGATGCCCAGGCTCACAATCTGGCTTATGACGGGCACCCGTATTCCAGACATAACGCGTAATGCGAGGGCACGCAGTTGAGGATTGGAGTCGGTAAGAGACTTCTGGATAGTGTTAATGGATAGCAGCGCGGTGTCCGGCTCGTGTTCGGCATGTTGGAGGAGGTAGATGTAGACGAGCTTCTTGACCGGTAGGGACGGAGAAGCGATGTTCTTAATTACGGAGGTGAAGAACGGGAGGGTCTGGGAGGGAGGTTGTCGGGAGGACATCTGAACAGTGCATAGTTAGTGGCTGTCATGTGAATGCAGTCTATTCTTACAGTGACAACCCTCCGCAAGCCCTCCAACACATCTCGCTCAGACCGGCTATCCAGCAGCTTCTTTAGCTGGGCCTGGGGCAGCATTCGCGACGACGTCTTGCGCGCGGAGCTGGCATCGCGAGCGGCTTCGAGGGTGAGGTCGCGGGCTGTGGAGAGGGACCAGTGAGCATAGGTCGATGGATGCATAACTACAGTTGTACAGCATCATCCCCTCAAACGAAGGCTGAGCTCGGAATTGAAGGAGAAAGGGGGGTGGGGGGGCATGAGTGCGTGCAAGAATGGCGGACGCACCTGTCTCCAGCATGCTAGAAATGCGAGATATGGATTCCATCAGGTGCCAGACTCACACGAGCGTCCTCCAGAACAGCCTCGATTATGCAGCGTCCAGCAAAGCAAGGGAGGGTGAAATGGCGATTGTGCGCAGCCTGCATACTTGGTGCTCCTCTGTGTGTGGACGTGCAGCAGATGCGGTGCCCTTGGTGGGGCAAGCCTTGACCTCGGGGAAGCGTGGAATTGCTCCGGGACTTCATTCACACCGCCACCGTTTCCTTCACGTACCAGACGGGAAGAGACATGGATAGGCAGATCTTGCATGGACAAGCCGGTAGATCTGGGTTCGAGCTTGCGGGAATGGCTTTCACGCCCGTCGTCCTCTGGCCCTTGACGCTTGCCGCTCTGCTGAATTACGCTCTCACCACACAGTCCACTACCACCCTCACCACCCTCATCATTTGTTCTAGTCGCGAGGCATTCCTCCAGGCCCTCTTGCACACAGCCCAACGTCAGGAAAGTAAAGAAGCAGATAGCCTCCAGCAACTCATCACCCCGACCCTGCATAATCTATTCACCACACAGAACGTCAATGTTGCCTTCTGTGGGTCAGTCCAGACACTGTTGGCCCACTTATCAGCGCTAAAGCTCACGCCATGTTGCGGCATTGATGGAGAAAGGAGTGCTTTGAGACTGGTGCTTGTCAATCCTCTCGCCCTCCACGCGCCGACCCCGTCATACTCAGCACAAGGGCTGTCGCGGACGTTTGCTGCTGCCGTTGAGACGGCCTTCAACCTCAATGCCGAGCTTATGGTAGTAGAATGTCTGGGAATGAGGAGAGAAGACCGTCTCTACGACGAGGATGATCTGGATGCTGCGATGGCGGATGCAGAGGAGGGGGGGCGGTCCGAGGCCAACGAAGAGGATCCATGGAACCAAGAGGTGCCCATCCTAAACGTCTCTGCAAGGAGATTTGGCTCGGGAACGGGCGAACGAGCATGGGCTGGTAGGACTATCAAGGCAAGGAGAGTCGCTGGGAGATGGTTTCGATTCCAGCAGACTGAAGGCCTGCAAGATCCGGGGGGAGCAGCGTAATGTGTGGAAGCAAATGGGGAGACGAAACAATTCTTGAATGATTCAGTAGATGGTTGGGGCTAATTCGGGCATCGGAAATGCGGTCTCCAGTTTGGCGGTCGCATCACTGATGGCCGAGGACTGGCCAACTTCTCCGACCCATCACTATAAAAGCCACCACGGCTTTCCACAAAACAGACGCAGTAAGCAGGCAAGGAATGTTCAAGCATTTGATCTGATATATGGTTTAGGAATGCGTATCCGCCCTTGCCACCTCGGGAATTTGTCTCCTCAATATCATCAACTATCAAAATCACTATTTTGAAGATGTATCATGTGTTTGAGGGACTCATTCTCTTCTCCCATAGAGGAGCTTTTCGGTCCACAGAAGTAGACGTCCACTCCTCACGAATCGTGCCAGCTTTCAATGGGGAATAGCAGTGCAACTACCAGTCCTTCTTGACGTCGAAAGACCACTCGAACGTTAGGTGGGACTCGCCATCGTCGTCGACGAATTTGGAAACAGCGTTATAGTGGCCACGGCCGACCATGCCGGAAGGAGCGGTTTCAGGCTCGACTGGGAAGGAAGTCAGCATCCCGCTAGTACAGTTTCGGGCAATGGCTGAGCTCATTGGTGATAGAGGTCAAAGGCAGCATTGCGAGGCTTACATTTCTTCTCGTGGAATGGCTTCTCTTCTGTGTTTGGTCCATAGGATCCCTACGGTACGCGTTAGGGACTTCTAGACGGTTCCCAGCATCCTGATAGGACTCACAATCATCTCCTGCATCTTGTGTTTGACGCCCATGCGCTTTACAACTTGCAAGTATTTCAAGCCTGCCAAAACCTGATGCTGGACCTGGAAGGTGGCCTTCATGCGGAATTGGGCGCCTTCCTTGATGGTGAAGGGCTTATCCTTCAGTGCCTCTAGGGCACCGGGAGTCTTCAAATCGATGATGATATCAGGCCGTCCTTCGACTTCGAGGCCGAGGGACAGGATGATGCATTTGCGGGGGTCGTTCTTGTCCGAGATGTCCTTGCCAGCGCCGATACCGAGTGACTCTTTCCACTTGCGGAGGGACTCGTCGTTTTGGTCTGTGGACAGGAAAGGTCAGCGAGGCTGAAGAGGAGCGTTGAGACATCCAGAGTAGGGAAAGAGGAGCATGTCGGAAGAAGTGGCAATACCCAGCTGCTGGTACTCGTCAATTGTCTTCTTCTCGCCAACCTTGAAGCCCTCGGTGTGCTCAGGCGTCAGGTCCTCGTCGTGGGCGCCGGCCATGTTTGCAATGCGCGGGGCTGTGTGGGTAGATGATGTAGACGGGAGAGGAGGGTGCGAAGGTCAAGTAACGAGACGTGTGGGTTGAAAATGTTGCGTGGGAGTACAGTGTGGAGTCTTGAAGGGAGGGGCAGCAAGGAAGCCGTTCTTGAGTGAGCTTCGACCGTTGGCGGGGCACTGGGGCATTCACCGCAATTGTTAGCGTGCTGACCACTGATTGGCCTGTCCCTGAAACGAGAGCTGTCAGACCCGTTCGATTTCTTGCTTTCCTCATCAATGCCCGCACCTCTCGAGTGTGGACGCTGGCCAGGGAGCGGATATAAAAGCAGCGGATTGTGCGTGGTGGGGTCTTGACTTGCAGTCCACTTTTGAGGGGCTGTCGGAATCCCAGTGCATGTTGCGGAAGATAGAACATCAGTCGAGAGGCCCTCGCTCGACACAACCCAGAAAAGCATCATGCAGAAAAGGATGCCGACAATCTTTGAAAGGCTCTTTCGTCAGACCACAGCTTCTCAACGCCCGTGACATTCCTGTGCGCAATCCAGAGGGGTGAGGTTTCGTGATGCGCTAGACTGCTTTGGCCATCCTAGACAGTGAACACCGCCTTCGAGCAAGCTTCTGGTGAACAGCGCGCGTCCAATCAATAGTCCTAGCCGCCTATGAAAAGCCAAAAGAGGAAACCAGAAATTTTGCCAGCGCAGCCGACATCCCAGGGAAGGGTCTGGGGAAGAGGCTGGTCGCGTTGGCTCTTCGTCCAGCCACCGATTAGTCTGCATGGGTCCCCGAGCGAGCGAACCAACTCCATTTGCGGAGCTCTAACTCTCACCATCTCAGTCTTTCTCTCCCTCGCTTCAGACGCCTGACCCCTCCCATCTCTACGCTCCCGTCCACCCAGCGCTGCGCATCCAGAGTGCACCTCACTTGCATCGCAGTCGCCTAGCAGCTGTCACTTTACTGTGCTTCACGGCTGCTGCGCCTCGCGACAGCTGAACAGCATCGTCGCCGCCCTTTGCGCGCTGCGGCCACGTCCATCTCCGACTTCGCCCTCTCGCACCCTGCGCGCTGTGCGCCCCATCTAGTTCTCGATATTCTGTCATAATATCATACTCATACCCCAATCATGGTCGCAAAACGGGCTTTGCCGGAGAAGACAAATGGCCTGCTCGAGCCTGAGCATTCTCCGCCTTGTATGTACACGTAGCGCATCGCCCCTCATCGCGGTCCCATCGCTGACCCTCCGCGCGCAGACGAGTCGCTTGTGGATAGGCGCCGGCTGGGCCAGACGAACCTTGCTGTGAAGCCTGGCATCGTGGGTGTCACAAATGCCTCGCGGGCGGAAAATTTGGGCACATTCGACTACGCGCACTTGCGGGTACCCCTACCCAAGGATCTCGCCGGATCGGGCATCTTTACCCTTAAGACAGCCACCTCATACCCGGAATCGTATTTTTTGATGGTACGGCGATGAATCAATTGCATCCCGCAACGATGAGGCAATAGATTGGCTGACGGCGTCACAGAGACGAAGCAGTGATGGATACATTAGCGCAACTGGAATGTTCAAGGCTGCCTTCCCGTGGGCGTCGCTCACTGAGGAAGAGTCGGAGCGCAGATATCAAAAGACTTTCCCGTCAGCAGGCCCTGATGAGGTGGCGGGGAGCGTTTGGGTCGCGCCAGAAGAGGGTAAGTGGATACGCGCAGCCCTTTGACTCCTACGAGGTGTGCTCAGCAAGCTTTGACTGACGTCACAACCACCAAACAGCCCTCCAGTTGTCCGAAGAATACGGCATGCGTCCCTGGATTGAGGCGCTACTTGACCCTCGCCCGATTGAGAAAGGCACCAAGGACCGACACAACACCCACATTGCAATGCCTCCTCGATTCGATATCCACAAGGTCACCATAGCGCCGGTCGTTCTACCCCCGACTTCTGCTTTGCGCCCGACCCGGGCACGATCATCGCGCTCAGCTTCTCCCAGCAAGATTGCGACCCCGAGCCGGAAGATGGCGAGCCCGCGCAAGTCCCGCGCGACGCGAAACTCGGCTAAACCCGAGGCCTTGAAAACCGAGGACGTTTTTGAGACGATCAAGGTTATTGAGAATGGAACGGGAGTGTCGGAATCCGTTGCGTCCGAGTCATTAAATGGCGAGGTGAAGGAGGCGGATTCCATTCACATTGAAGTGCAGGAGACTGTCGAGCAGAACGGTGACGTGGATACCGTGTCCACCAAAGTGCAGGTTGATCTTCCCGCTAGCTCCGCAGAGCTTCCAGCCCTCGAGAACCCGGAGAAGTTGATCGAGGAAGCGACGAAGATGGTTGAAGAGGCTCAGAAACTTGAAGGTGTGGCCGTGAACGGAGTCAAATCATCAAAGCGCAAGATCGAAGAATTGTCAAAGGGCGAAGATGACGACGCGGAAGCATCGGAAGAGCGACCAACCAAGCAGGCAAAAACCGTCCCCAACCCAACACAACAATTAAAGAAGGAGAAGGCAACGAGGAGAGCGCTTGTGGGTCTCGGTGTTATGACGGCGGTCGGGTGCGTACATCTCAGCAAGTTCATTCATATCCAAAGCTAACAGTTATAACAGGGCTGCTGTTCAGTACTTCATGACAGCATGAGTTTCAGATCTGGTCTTCATTTTCCGAGCCGATCTACTTCCTTGATGTTACGGTCTCGATTGACGTCTTGGCTACTTTGCGTTCCCCTTCCCCTTTTCCATACATGCAGATACCATCCCCTTTGTTCTATTATGTTCTTCATCTATGTGCGTCACGGCGCAGGTTGTGTGGTGTTTATCTGTCCCTTGATTTCGATGGCGTTGGAAGAATAGCACTGCGTTTGCCCATATCACACCCTAGCACTCTCACTGCAGGACCACTTTTGTTACCGCGATAGGAGCTGCAACGGCAGCTAGCCATGAGTAGATCTTTTTAATTCCATCCCTCACCTTCCTCTTCACTCCTCAATGCACATCCTCCCGCCCACCGACACTCATCCGTGTCAGTCCCGCTAACGGCGGGTGAAAACGACTGCATCTGGTAGCTAGAAACCAATGAAGCTATCTGGAGACGCTCCGTCTTCAAATAACCTTGATTTGGGTGTGCCAAATAATTTCGAATCCGTGAATGTTTGTACACGGCCTTTTTATTTATTTAATAACCTGCAAACAAGGGCATAACACCACGAGGGGCTGTAGCAACCATGAAGACACTTCCCTCACTAAACATCTCAACCCTCACTTGATCCTATCCCATATGCCCCCCCGTTACGGCCTTCCCCCACCAGATAGTCGCCCCACCTCTTTAACCGCCTCCTCAAAATCATCAAACGCCCTTATCGGTAAACTCGCTTTCTCTAACACCTCCCTCCCCATCTCTTCATTCGTGCCCCGCAATCTCACTACCACCGGTTTCTCGACACCAACTTCTTTGAACGCGAGGATGATGCCTTCGGCGATCATGTCACACAGCGTTAGGCCCCCGAAAATATTCACGAAGACGACGGAAACACGCGGATCAGAGAGAATAAGCTTGAAGGAAGTGGAGATGGTTTGGGAGGTCGCTTTGCCGCCTGTGTCGAGGAAGTTGGCGGAGGAAGTGGAGGGAAGGGAGGGATTTTGGGGGGAGGAGAGACGTAGGTGGAGGACGTCGTTTGTGTTCATAGCAAGGCCGGCGCCGTTGACGAGGGTGCCGATGAGGTTGGTTGGGGCTTCTGCGGAGATGGTCGGAGGCGTTTGTGTGGAGGTGGAGAATGGGGAAGGGGAGACTAGAGGGATGAATACGATGCCGCTTTTTTCGGCTTCGAGCTCGGTCGGCGGAACTGTGGATGTGTCACGCAGATTATGGAGTTCGGATTGCCGTTTGTTAGATTTAAAGGCTGCGTCGTCGAAGTAGAGGTATGGGTTGTACACGATGAGTTCATCTTGGTTGTTTGAGAGAGAGAGCGAGACGGCCGCGATGATGGCTTCTTTTTCGCGATATAGTTTCCAGAGATTTTGCATTAGCTCGACGACCTGGGTTTTTGCTTTGAGGGGTGCGGCGTCGAGCTGCAGGTATGAGAGTGCAGATTGAATTGTATCCTGGGACGGGCCATTGCGGAAGTCAAATGGAAATCGTTGGACACGGTAATGGAGTTGCTCTGGATTCGTAGTGGGCGCAGCGATAATGCAGGGACTGCGGGCGGAGCGTGCGACGGTTATTCCAAGAAAGTGTGTTGATTCCGGGGCGGGAAACGGTTTAGGAGAGATAGGGATCTTGTAGGATTTTAGTAGTGAGGAGGATTGGTCTGCTGTCAGATGGAGAAGACGTTGTTGACGGGATGACTGGACAGTTGCGGGAGGAGGTCGCGGGCGAGTTGGGAGTCGGGAAGTATGGTAGGATCGACGTTGTTGGGCTTGAGTAGCTGATTGCTCCTTCGTATGGTTAGGACTTGAAATAGGATGCTAGATTATAACCAAGCTAACTTACAATCTTAAATCCGTCTCTCCCGGATATGGCAAGGATTTCTTTCATGACTCCTCCGAATTTTGCAGGATGATCAACCATGGTTACTCCAGCATTTTCGAGTGCCTTGTACTTAGATTCAGCAGTCCCCTCTCCGAGGCCGGTCCAAGCACCAGCATGGCCCATGACTCGCCCTGGAGCTGCTTGGAATCCACCTACGACTGCAGCAATCGGCCTGATGGTTGTTAGCACCATTCGCTTTGGGCGGGCCTTGACAGTAAAATCTTACTTTGGATCTCTAACCCGCTTCCTATAATCCGCTATCCAGTCCGCAGCTTCCTCTTCAGACGTGCCACCTAGTTCCCCAATGATTATGATAGCTTCAGTATCATTGTCATGCTCAAAAACCCGCAAAGCATCGACGAAATTAGTTCCGGCGATCACATCTCCGCCCATTCCAATGCAGAGGCTCTGTCCTAACCCGGCTCGAGTCAGTGAGCCCACAGTTTCGTAGGACAAAGTACCAGATTTAGCCACGATACCAATGTGGCCAGGTAAAAAAGTAGGAAGAGGCTGGAAGCCAATCCTACAGTGCCCAATTGCAGAGATAATTCCAGGTGCGTTGGCGCCGACTAATCGAGACTTGGACTGCGTGGAAAGCATCGAGTGTATCTAACGGCCCGCATTAGAAACTAAAGTTGTGTGGTAGAAGGAAAGAACCTACCCTCATGATATCATGCAAAGGGATATGTTCTGCAACGGCTACAATCAATGGTACCTCTGCCTCAATTGCTTCCTCTATTGCTGCAGGAGCTTGATGTGCCGCAACGTAGATTCCAGTAGCATCTGGCTTCAGCTGCTCCATTGCCGCTCGCACCGAAGGGAGGACCGGAAGACCTAGGTGCTCGCCTGATCCATTTGGCTTAACTCCTCCCACAATCTGGGTTCCCCATTCTATCGACTCTTTTGCGTTGGCCGTAGCCTGCTTGCCAGTGAATCCTTGAAATATGACGCGAGTGTGCTTTCCGATCTTTAAGTTCTGAATAGTGTCGTCGTAACCATTGCATCTTGCTGATGACGAGAACAGGGAGCATAGTGGACGGAGATTGAGAGACAAAGACTTGGGTCTATGGAGGAGCATCCTGCTCAAATAACGCGAATAAGGGAGAAACATGGTAGCCAAAATGTAGGGTTGAAGGGAATCTATGAAGAGAACGAAATAAGAAGGGATATATCGACAACTTGGTCCGCGTCTGAGCCAGCCAACTCTCGCCAAATCGAAGAAGTCTAAATATGATGTGATCAGCTTCGTAACCTCCAGTAATGATCCTGGTATCTTCTCTGGTGAGATATCTAAATATTTATTCGAAAACAAGAGAAGCTCTGAAAAGATGTTGTTGTACCACTCCGGAAATAAGAGAGGGGTACTCTAGGTGGATTTGCCTCGGGAACTGGAGTGAAGCTCCGATGCAGGTGATCTACTGCCGGTAGCATACTTGTCTCACAGCCCAGGTGTGGCATTTCTCCGATATCTTCTTTAAATGACCTACAATTCTCACTGGCATCCTATTTCAAAAGGGGGAGTTGACGGCAAACATGAAAGAGGGTGAAGCGGACAGGCGACGTTCACAGGTCGGTCCAAGCTTGGATCTTTGGGGGCAAGCCCTTCCCCCACATCTCATCTGCAGTGAGCTGGGGAGACCTTTGTCTTTCACCAGCATAGTTCTATATATAATTTGCCCCTTGCTGCGTTATCAGACGACTTGTATATAAAGCTGCCGTGTACCTTTTCCATCGTACTTTCATTCGTTCTTTGGAAAATATATAGGCTTGTGGTCTGCTGCCGTCTCGCCATCCTTCCATCACCTGAAAACCTACCCCGCAAAGCCAGCAGCACAACAGCAAAATGTCCCACGCAACACCGTCTGAAGCAGGTACATTCAATTAAAGCCTTCATAACCATTTGCACATACGTCTTACAAGTATTCGTAGAAGTTGCAAAGACACTCTCCCACCTGGAACTCTCCGCGAAATCTCCACAGAAGCCTAAACCCAAGCCCAAACCTGCGGCCGTAGCCGACAGCTGGGACGAGGACGTTTCCTCTGGCAGCGACACTGAGACCGAGAGCCCTGATACCTCTGCGCTGTCTCGTTCCACGACTTCGAGCTCAAATAAAGATGCCCTCTCACCAATCAATACCGCTCCCTCTTACGACGCACCAAACCCTCCACCACCAACCCCTGCATCGCCGACCCCCTTCGATTTTCCAGAGAACCTACCCTATGGACAAGCACGCTCTAAAGAAGGTAGTCGGGGAGGAAGTGGAACTGCGAGTCCAGCCCGCCGACCAGAGAAGACGACGGCAGTAGCGGGGAGATTGATTGCGGGAGCTTTAGGAGTTAAGGCACCGAAGAGGACGGAAGAGGAGAGGGAGTACGATAAGGCGATGAGGGAGAAGGAGAGGAAGCGGAGAGATGAGGAGAGGAGTAGGGAAAAGCGAGAGAAGGAGGCAGCGGAGCAGAGAAAGAAAGCTGTGTGGGATGACTAGAACTGGGTTTGCGCTTGCTATTAAACGAATTTCTTTAGTCTGCAAGTCTATCTTTCCGATGATATCTGATAGGACATTGTACGTCTAGGCACTCTGTGATGGAATAGGGCCGTTGGTAGTTTCACTGTAAATATTGTACGGAATCCGTCTATCTGGTTACTAAGCGGGCGTTCCATTCGGCCTAAAACTTGTCAACCGCAGAATTAGAAGCGGCAGGTACAATTGCGTAAGTCGGGTGGCCAGCCACAAAGGCCTCCAGGGCTGTCATATCACTAATTACGGGCTAAATACGCACCCGAGCAAGGGCTGGGAGAGATATTTGGATTTGAAGAGACCTTTGGAATGTTGGGCGATGTTCAGCACCACCCGCGAATGGTGTCATAAATTACATGAAAGCATATGGGGATACGATGCAGAGCACCCCCTATGACACCAATACGCCAGGAACGACCAAGAATCCGTAAACTGATAAGCCCACCTTTCATCCTATCTTCATTTCGCCGCCAGCTGAACATCTGTCTCATTGCATAGCAGCCGTGAAAAGTATGGAGATTCGTGGTCGTCAAGAAGTAGCATAACCGAATGGGTGTCAAGCGAAGGGATGGAAGGACTACGCCTGTGGCCGTGAAGAAGCTGCAAGGACACTAGCAGGTGCCGCCGATCTGTTCTTGATGTACCTCAAGCGTATCTCCATCCTGCATATCAAGCTGTAGGCAAGAGAGTTAACAAAGCGCGGGTCTTGCAAGTAAAGGCTGTCGTCGCAGGCTGTGGATTAAGACTCACCGTCTCGGGGTTATCCGTAGGCTGCACGCGCTGCCCATCAAAGAGGAATCGGACGCTGTTGATGTTCTTTCCTTGACGATCGCAGAAAGCATCCATCAATTTTTTCAGCTGCGTGGTGCGCTTTATCTTGAAGAAGACCTCGTTGTTGTTGTCTGTAACTTTGATATTGAGATGCTCAGACTGGCCAGCATCCTCTGGCTTCTGCATATTGTTGGGCGATCCGTTGTCCGACATTTTGACAGCAGATCCGGGTGACTTGCAGGTGAAGGTGGAGAATTCGAAGTCAGAAATGGGTTGGCCGGCTGGAGGGGGATTAGCGACCGTGGAAGGTGGCAGAAGTGGTGTGAGACGAACTCGAGCGCGGTTACAGACGCGGATAGAGGTGTCGGCGCTGGATGCCTATCGCCGTAAATTAGTAAAGAGTGAAGGAAGTGAGAGAAAAGAAGACGGTCGCTGTCTAGACGCGTCGCAGCTCTGTATAGAGGCGGTGGCAAGGGGTCTGGGAGTAAGGAAGAAGAGAAGAAAGTGAGAGAGTTGCGAGGAGAGGTGGTGAAGTGGGAGAGGCTAGTGGGGTCTGGTTGGCCGGAATCAAAGAACAGTCCAGCCGAGCCGGCGACTTGCGTGCACTCCCAGGCTGTTCCACTCGACGCGGGAAAATTCTGGCTCGGATTAAGTTGCTGCCTATTCAAATTCGGTGTCAGATTTTTGCGAGACGACAGAGGTATTGGATTCGCAATTGTTGCTTTCACCGGAAGGAGCGCCTGTCCACGTGACAGTCAAAATGGTAGGCATCTGATGTCACTTCGAGGCACAAACGGACCGGATATGGGCTCACAAATTTGCACAAGGGGTTGAATGAAGACCTTCGGATGGATCCACCGTGCCATCCCCGGGCATGTGCAATTCAAAGTGAGTAGCAGAGTTTGGCTCGGGAAGGTATTGCTGAGAGGCGCCACAGATTGCCTGCAGAGGTTCGACTATCGGGAGGAGAAGTGCAGAAAAGAGGTTTGTTCCATTGAGGTCCTCCCCTGCTTGTTTCCTAAGAGAATGAAGGTCGATGCGCTCTATGAATGCTGCAATGCGTTCTACCAGAAGAACGGGGACGAGGCCAGGACGGTTAGCTGCCCCAAGGCTCCACTCCTCAGGTATGATGACATCCCCTAGACTGGTCTGTCCACCGTCCACTGATGACGAACAGACTGAAGATGAAGCAAAGGGGACAAGGCATCTAGTCGAGATAGCTGTCAATGGAGATGAATGCACGAGCAGATGTCACACCCCCTTTCGAGTCTGCGCCTTCAGCCTCCATAAAGAAGTCCAGCCAGGTAGTAGAAGGTATTTTGTTCTAAGGCGATCGTGAGCACGCAAGAGACCGCGAAGGTCTGTACAAACATTGAATGTAAAGTTTGAACCGAGACTCTAATGAAAGCCTAAAGACATTGAAGAAGAAAAGAGGAGGTGGAGCGGCAGCCTTTGCAGATATTTTGTGAAGCCGCCAAGCGAGACACGCTAAGCGCACGAGCCACTCACATTCGAGCTTGTCGCTCTGTTTCCGTTGAACAAACAACAGTGAATTCACCCCCGACAACAACCTCGACCCCCTCGGGCAGCCAAAGCCTGCGTCTTAGCATTACAGCTTCCTTCCCCCACCTGGTCTTACTATCCTACTCCGCCATCCTCACTTCTCCCGCAATCATGGCGTCACCGTCGAGGCGACCGCAGCCGCCTGCATTTCAAGTACGCTCCCGATTCAAGCTTCAGCTCCATCATACAATTGATTTCACCTTTTCCAAAGCCCGTACACTAACTTTTGCGTCTTCTATAGCTTCCCGTTGCAGGCCCGGGTGTGACGCTCGGCCTCAGCTCCAATGACGACCCTCTCCAGCCGCTGCGAACAATGGCCGATCGGGTAGGAAAGGAAGTAGAGAAGTTTGCTGAGCGCGTCGACCACTGGCACACCCACGGCAACGAGGATGACCAGGCCAAATACCAAACTACCTTGCGCATGGTCGGCAAATTCAAAGACCTTGCAGAGTCAACAGTCAAGGAGTTGAAGAGGCAGAACGATGCCGAAAACAAGGGAGAGCTTGCTAAGAGCATGCGTCGGCGCATAAAGAATATGGCCGAATTGCCCCACCCAGACCACGAAGGCGACCTCGGCGACTCCTTCCAATCCGTTGTTCCCTCCATTGAATCGAACTCGGCCCCGTCTTCATCAAAAGTCCAGGAATTACGGCAGTGGCAGGCGGAGCTTGCGACGTGGGAACTCCTTCGGATCATCATAGAACACTACTACCACGAGCCTGGTCTGGACGTTGCGGCAGCAAAACGGAAGCAGCTGGCTGAGGTGGGAGGAGGATCTCGATACAGCCCCAATATTGAAACCTGGAATCGCTTCCTTCTCGAGGACGACATTGCAAAGGAGAAGGATATCATCCTCAGGTGGCTAGAACAGACGGCACAAAGCAGCGAGACAGACATTCAATCTATGACCGAACAGCTGGAAGAACAGTCAGGAAAGGATACCGACTCGTGGAATGTCGGGTGGCTGGACACGAGAGCGAAGATAAAACAAGAGAAGCGGTTGCAGGGCGTTGATCACCCGTTGCGACCTGATGCTGTTGGCCTGAGGACTTTCGAGAGGACAGAACCACTCATCACCCAATTAGATCCAGATGCACCTACGAGACAGAAACGAAGGCTCGAAAAATCCGATGACTACTATGAGCGGGCCCTGTGGATGGCCTGTTACGAGATGCTACGTCGTGGTACCCCGTGGGAGCAGATCTGCGAATGGTGCAAAGATAAGAATGAGGCATGGCGTGGAGTCAGCATGGGCGCCGCGTACGAAACCCATCCCAACGGAGGACCAAATATTGCTGGACCAAATCTCGGATACCTATATCGTCGCATGTGTTGCTATGCAGCCCGCGGCGCCCGCTCCCAGTATGAATGTGCTTTGTATGGGCTCTTGGGCGGAGATCTGAAGACTGTGGAACCTGTCTGCCGGACCTGGGATGACCATCTCTACGCCCATTACAACGCCCTTCTCCTCACGAGATTTGATAGCTATCTACAAAAGGACCATTCAGTACGCCAAGTTCCGCGCAAACTTACCGATCAATTTAGATTCAAAGACGCAGTCGCAAACACCGGCAGCTGGGAGGACTCTGCTGCGACAATCATCGCCCTTCTGAAACAACAGAAATCTACCGCCGCTCAGTCCCAGTCGCCCATGAAGCTCATCCAGGGGAGTCTCATCGGCGGCAGTGTAGATGACCTTGTCTACAAGGTAGGGGTGGCCATTTCCTTCATGTTGCGAGAAGACTCCCGATCCGGGAATCTGATCGTAGACCCAGAATCAGACCCTAGCAACCCCAAACCGAAGGCTTCCAACGAGCAACCGAAGATCGCCGCAGAGAAATGTTACCAGAACCTTGCAACAGATCCTTACGCGCTCCGCATTCTAGTCCATGTGCTCATTGTTCTTCGGAAAGGGTTGAATGTTTTAAATGTTCCGGGATTTGATCGGTGGATTGCAGTGGACAACGTCATCGCATTGTATATTGAGTTCCTAAGGCTTACGAAGAGGACGGACCTTATCCCGTTGTACGCCGCCCAGCTCCATGGCGATCGACAAGTCCATTGCCTTGCGCGCGTTTTAGCCGATATCAAGAGTCCTCAGGATCAGATGCGTTGCATTGCTCTCATGGAACAATACCGTATCAATCCGGTTGATGTCATTTCCCGGAACTGCCAACACGAACTGGAGAAGAGCGGGCTCACAAATGAGGGAAACTTTGTTAGCAAATATGAGGTCATGGAACGTGTAAACGATAATGAATACCTATGGCCGGGTCAGCGCGTTAAACGAGAACTCCCTGGCGTGCACCTCACGGCGAAGGAGAATTCTTTGATTGAGTCGCTGAAGTGGTATATCCATCTGGAGAAAGAGAAGACCTGCACGTTCATTGATCTTACCAATGCACTGAAATACTTCTTGCGTAAGTCTACCCGATTCTTTACTTTTCCAACGGCAACTAACAAAAGCTGTGTAGTCAATGGTCGAATGGGGGCAGCCAACAAGCTCGTGTCGATGATGAGTATCGAGTCTCTTTCCTTGATTAAGACTGAGGCACTATGCGGATATGCATTCGACTTTACACTCCCCGGCTCAGAGAAAGTGGACCAAGCAGAGATATCAAAAGCTATACGCAAACTTGCTGCGGCGAGCGCTGGGAGGCCTCGTCCTGCGGAACTGCCATTCCCTGGCAGCCATGGACATAGGAAGCATGTTATGCAACTCAGGCAGCGGAGCCAGACTTACTTCGAGCTTCAGTCTGTGGTTGGCTTTGTCGGGCTCCTCCTAGAATGGCGCGAGGAAGAAGACAAGCTCATAAAGTAAGCCTCTTCCAACATTACCCCTAATATGTGAAACTCACAAGCATGTAGGGCAAAACGCGAAGGCGCCAAGGTCAGCACAAAACGCGCTAAAGACCTATTTGAGAACCTCGTCGTAGTCCTAGGTCAACTCTTCGAATCCTTCCTCTCCCAATCCTCAGATGGCCAAACCCTCACCAAGTACGCTCTCGCCTCCCTCTCTGACACCAATCCCTCAAAACCCCGCCTCGAGCGCGAAGCCACCGAGCACTGGCGTCTCACCCTAACCTATATCCCCGAAGTGATACTCTCGTACCTTTCCGTCGTCCAAGCAGCTTCCTTCTTCCTCTCCCGCGATCTCAGCGTTAAGGCGATGGAAGTTGCAAATATGGTGGCGGATGTGGCTAACCAATGGGTCCAAGACGCGTTTATGGAAACGAAACGGATGACGCAGCTGGTGGATATGTTGGCGGTGGTGAGTAAGGCTATGTTGGAGCTGAGTGAGATGGAGGAGAAGAAGAGCCGAGGGAGTGGGAAGAAGAGAGGGAGTAGGGGTGCAACGTTAAGGATTTGGGATGTCAATGTTAGGAATTGAAGGGAGAGTGATTGGAGAATCGTGGAGCATTATAACTGTATGACCAGATTCTGAAGGCCTTAGTGAACGGGTTTTGGAAGTAGAGGTTTGCATTAGGCACTTTGATTTAGCCGACCAATTTCATCAAGGAAAAGCTATGGAATGAAATCTTCTGCCCTAGCACACTTGTAATTCCTTTTTCAAGCGCTTCAAAGAGAAGTGTCTGTGCAAATTGGCATATACTACAGACATGCTTGAAGGTGAATGGAATTGCCCAAGTTTAGGGCTGGACAGCTAAGTGACAGCGCTTTTAGCATCCTCATCAACACCCGAACAAATTGTTCACCAGTCTACCTAGTTGCTAGATTTTGAAATTTCTTTTGATTCGAGAAGCGAGTACTTCAAACGTGCGTCATCTATACCAGCTTTGACTCCGGCCTTATTCCATCGGCCAAGTGCCACGTACCCTATTTCGTACTATACATATGCAAGCTGCTGCCTGCTCTTTTTGAGGCCGGCTCATATGCAAAAGTGTGTGTGTGGAGAGACACAAGACAGGAAATCAAGGGAAGAATGACTGTGCATCCAAGACAACACCACATGTATACAAGGGGTCCTGAATGCACTATCCAGAACCCCACTTTCTGACCAACGCAAACGAAAAACGCCGGACGAGCTCGCGTAGCATGATCAGATCAGACCAGACCAAACCAGACGTAGAAGAGAAGAGAAGAAAAGATGGCAGGATGAGGTCGACATGGACACATCGGCCATGCCCTCCCTTTGGCGAGAAAAGAATGCCTAATCGATCGGTCATGAACTCATCGCATCGTTGGTAAGACATGACCTTTTGGTGAGAAAAGAATGCTCGCTTTAACGCAGCAATGAATGCATGGAACAGAGCAGAACAGAACAGAACAGAATGAACAACAGAGCAAGCAAAAGTACGGACAAGAACAGAAGAAAGGTATGCGAAGTAATATGTACGCAGCTGTAGACATGAGAAGAGTGCGATGTACAAACGCAATGATGCTAGGTAAAGATGAGAGATACCTTATCTCCAAGATAACGCTAGTCATCACCAGTATGCATGCCGGACGTCCTTTTTTGGCCAGGACATATCCAACACGCGATAATTGACCATGAGAGAATTGGGGCAAGGAGGTTGTGTAGCTAGGAGATGGTGTGGGTAGGAGGTGGTGTGGCTCAGAAGTCCACACTCCACCTCATCCTCGGATCGCGTGGGGGCACACCCAAGCTGTCGAATGGAGTTCTGGTGCGATCGCTGTCAATCTGGTCGGTGGCCCAGTCTCGGCTGATGCCAAAGCCGCTTCCTGCCCAGACAGTCGATCTCTCACCACGGAGCACCTTCTCTTCGTCGGTATCCGATGGTGGGAGCTTGATCCTTGCTTCCATCAATGGAGCTGAGACGAATCGAGAATTGAGGAGGGCGCGCGGAGACACTAGATCCTGGAGAACATTGAGGGATGAGACATCGGAGGAGGCTAGAGGAGTTCGATGCTTCGTGTAGTAGGGTATGGAGTCGGATGATGCGGTTGAAGAGTACTTGGTAGGTTGCTGAGTGCGCTTTCCTGGTGAAGATTTCCTAGGGAGGTTGTTCTCAGAAGGGGCAAGGATCTGATAGGCTGGAGAAGGGTCTCCGGAACCACTGGATATCACGGTTGAGAGCCGCTGACGACTCGTCCGGACACGAACGACCTTGAGGGTAGGGATTGAAGAGCTTGGTGGTGTGGTGACGGCCCCTATAGGTGCACCATGGACGATGGTATCGCTGGAGGAGCCAGAAGACGGTTCGAGCTCGGTCATCTTGGTGTGGGCAGTATCCCGCCGCTTCTTCTTGCGTGAGCTCGCTGCCGACGGTGGCCGCGCCTGCGGGGTCCTTGGGCGCTGGCCTTCGATCGTTTTCTGGAAATTGCTGTAAGAACTTCCTCGAGACAGAGGAGGCATCTCAGGCGTCTCTCCGCGCTCGAGCTTGTGCCGTAATTGCTTCGCACTCACTTGACGCTGGAGGCTCAGCTCCACACGGCTACTTGCGCCACTCCCGCTGCGGCTTCTGTTGGTAGCTCTTTCTTTTCCACTCATGACGCTAGCTTTGGGTGGAGGTTGGAGCATCCAGCGGTTGTCGGAAGGGTGCGGAGACGGGAGGCTGACGACTGGAGGGTGGAGGTCGTTTACGGGAGGGACTCGGGCGGTATAGTAGCTTTCTGCGGACGATTTCGACGTGCCTGGCCTGCTCAAACCGCCGACGCCGACCGACGAGCCTGGCATAGCGGCAACCGCGCTCTCCGGCTCGCCGAACCCCCAGAGGTCTTCGTCCTCTCTCTGATAGCGCCTGCGATTCCAATTGTCGTCGTCCAGGGTGTCGTCGCTCAGTCGCGAGGGGTCGTCGGCTTGGCGCACGTCAATGCTACTCCCACCCTGGCTCACAACAGTGCTGTGTGTCCCTGCCGTAGTAATTGCCCTCTGGCTCTCCGTCCGACTGCCCGTGGTAGCATTCGTCTTCCCGCGAGCTCTCCGTGGAGGGGGACCGGGGCCGATGGTTATCTCTTCGGTCCAGAACGGATTAGTGCCCGAGGGCTCAGGGTGATGGTACAGCTCAGGCTGTTCCAGATGCAGGCGCTGTCTCGCCTTCCTCTCCTTCTTGGCCTGCTTCCGCCTCTTATTGCGATACATGTATCCAGTGCATGGGGCGCACGAGACATAGTGGAAGACGGCGGACTGGATCCCCCGCATGAGCCACGACATTGCGGCAGAGGGGCCTACGCGCAGGAGCCCGGAGAGCGACGCGGATGCACGAGGATGCGGTCGTGAGAGGGCAGAGGGCGGAGCGGGCGTTGAATAGGGAGTCCTGACGTGCCTCGTGGGTCCCGGGGGTGGGGGAGGTATGTCTTGTCGAGGCACGGTCACACGGATTCGGCGTCGCAGAGCGGAGGGTCCATCTCCTTCCTCGAAATGAGGACTACAATCAACACTGGAAAACTTGTTTTCAAATCTTTGTCTGGAAGCGGCGCCCACGACTCCCGCACGGGCTCGCCCGTCGCGAAGGGGGTTGGAGAGGTGGTGGAGCGGAATGCGAGCGGAAACGGCGAATGGGCTGATGACGACGGTTGGCGAAAGCTTGTCCTTAATCCCAGCGGCCTTCAATCGTCGCAACGGCAGCTGCACAGTGACGGTGAACCAACAAGAGGGAACGCGACACCGGTGCGGTGAAGGAAAGGACGAAGTCAACTTTCCAAAAGACTCGCTTCGTGTCTAAGGGCCTACCGCAAGCTGAGGAGCGTCTCTCCGTATTTCAGGGACATCAAACGTTTAACGAAACATTGATCCACCTTATTCGGGGCAGCATCGTAATCACGACGCCATACGAGATCCACTACGCCTCTCTTATTTCCCCCCGTCATACTCCTGTCTGCTCGGCACAATTCTACTCCCTCGTTCTTCGTCATCGTCGCTTTCACTCCATCTTCTGGATAAAACACCTCATCACTCATCAAAAGGCAGCCTTAGCGTGGCCTCGCTATGCATCTAGCCACCGGGCGGCCACCAATCCCCTCCATTGGGTGACCACGACTCCTGCATGTGTTGGCTTCCGGGCCACACAGTTGGATCCATGCACGTCAGGCACCTCCATACCCCTCACATTATTAATTCCTCGACTCCATCAAAGTCAATGTTTCAAAGGCCTTCTTTCCCCGGACCTGAGGAGGTTGCTAGATCTAAGGCTAAAACTACCCCCTGAGACCACCCCGCGAAACCAGGATTCTGTATATGGATTTTGCATCTGTGTCAGTTGCAGATACATGCAATACCATTATTGTAAATGCATCCCATTTCAATCGCAATTCGTGTATCCATTGCCAATCCTTGCGACATGTGGGCAAGTCGCTTGTTACGCCTCTGCAGACTCCAGCCAAGACTCTGGCACGAAACATCTTTTGAGAGATCAGTGTTTGGCCCAGCCCACTCAAGACGCCCAAGATTCTGGAGTTTCTGGAATAATGCCTCGAAACGATTGTTGAATCATACATATCCTCTACAGTCCCAGAGAAAGTGATCCCAGAACACTTTTCTAGCTTCGTGGTCGCGTTACATGCAATAGGATCTGACTTACGGATAGCCTGCTACTCTGCGCTGTTTGAGCAAAGTGCGAGGGAATGTTTTCGCGAAAGGAAAAGGGAGTCTGGTTCCTTTTTGGCGGTGAAGTTGTCCGTTGTTCGAATTTGTTGTCATTGCGGATGCCTGTTACAAGCCCCTCTCTAATACCACAGTCAGAATTCTCAATCGTTGTTCGCTCCTAAAGCCATTTCAGCGCACCCAGAAGACACAGATATTCTAGGTGGCAAACCATGAGGACAAAATAGATATCAGCTCGCTATTGACGGTCGGCTTTGTGTGACTGGCCCAGACGTTCCATTCCCTTTCAGCATTATAGGTAGGAAATCTCCCAATGACTGAATGTTATATGCCTTGATATTGGATAGGAGTTTATTTTCCTTTGGCTAGCTCCCCAGTTCCACCAAGTGGCCCAAACGGCATTACCTCACCTTGTCAGTGTTTCCGAGCATTCAATGCAACACAGGCCTCAAAACGGGCACTCTGTGAATGCTTCCCATGTCTATACTCCTGTTCACAGACCGTGAAAGGGAGGTATCGGGTAACAATGATCACGTGCCCATGAAAGACTCCATGAACTGGTTCGCTCGCACCTTCCGAGTACATAGTGGCAAGCTCCTCCGACCGAAAGCTAACGCAAGCAACACTGACTCTCGGCTCCGGTGGTACTCGACCTTAAGAAAGATCTACCACACGAGAAGAAGTCCAACCCCTCTTACCTGCTTATAACTAAGTCTTTGACACACCGTCCCAAAGAGGTCGTCTCCTCCGTAGAAAACTCTATTACTAGAGAATTTTGTTCAGACAAAGCAACCATGGACGCCCTTCCGGAGGAACTACTTGATCAAATCATCTCAAGTTTCAAGTTAGAAGCACTGATCGAAGGAGCTCAACAAGCTCCCCCTACCATCTCAGATCTCTCGAGCCTGTGGAGTCTCTCAATCGTGTCGCGCAAATTCCATCGAATTGCAACGCCTCACTTGTATTGCGCCTTACCGGTAACACTACTCAACTCCAAAGGACGGGTTGAAAACATCTGCTGGGAACCGAGATCCAGCGAACGGCGTTTCTTGAAGTTCTTTGACTTCGAGATCCCCACTACAGAAGGAAGCAATGCTACCTCGCTGCTCCGAACGCTCAGGTCGAACACTAGCTTCACCAAGTATGTGAAGGCCCTTCTCGTTCGAAGACTCGATCGCGGATGCCTACAACGGGGGGCTCTTGGGATAAATGGATATGACGATGATGGCATAGGAGCAATTCGCCGCTTGCTAGTAGACGATGAAGCCCCAGAGCGCGTGAGAAACCTACTTCTAAGTTGGATTCACTTCGGAAGCTTTGGAGGAGCGCTACCATTATCAGGTGGCCTAAAGCCTGACCCACAGTATCAAGTGTTTCACGATCTGCTGTCACTTCTTCCCGAAATCGAGACGCTGGATTTATCCCAGTACAAGAGCGATGCGCCTGGTAGGCCATGGCTCGATGTTTTGCCATCTTCCAAGGAGTGTGGATGCGGCACAAGCGCGCCTTTTCCACACAATTACCCCCATTTAAAGACTCTCGTTATCGACATGGTAGGCGCAAGGGCAGATGTACTTTGGCCCCTTTTTGGACTCTCAACCTTGGAATCTTTAGAGATTATCCATGCGTCTATCCACTTTCAGGCCAATATTCGATATGCGCTCCAATGGGAGGCCCTCCCAAATAAATCCCCCCTAAAACATCTTACTCTTAGGGACATATTCGTCAAATGCCCGTACGGTGACCCACGACACGACAGCGAAACTGGCGCTATGTCCCTTATTTCTCAGGCATGCATTGGACTCGAATCTCTGTCCATCATCCATGACGAGGAGAACGAAAGCGAATTAGACAATAGCCGCCTTCGAGCCCACATCAAGGCCTTTAGACCCCACCTCACCAATGGTGGTCTTCGGCGGTTCGATTTATACAACCAGACCCACCATATCCTTAACACCCTAGCGATTAGACACGACAATTCTATGTCAGCATTCAGGAACACTCCAGGACTCGAGCATCTCACTATCGACCTCGAGGTGCTGATTGAGGTCCTACACAACGACCCGCTTCCATATCCCATCACGGCAAGCCAGTCTGTAACTCCTGGGAAATTCACCGAACCAAAGCATGCTCCTCATATCCTTTTCGTCGATATCTCTCTTCCTTTCACGCTCAAGTCTCTAACTATCCGCTGCCAGTCTGAACTCCGGGCATTTTGCATGCGACACAAAGCGTTGCATGCCGTCATCGAAGAGTTCAGCCAGGAGGTGCGGTCCCAATTTCCAGATCTCAAGCGTCTGACTTTCCATCGATGCTGGTCCTACGACGCCATCTCCGAGGACACGCATCGAGCTTTTGCTGTGGCTGGTGTCGAGGTCCTTCAGCAATGGCTCTAGTACAACCCAGTTCCAGTATTCTAAAGTTGAGCTGCGCAGCCCAACTTTAGAATACTGGAACACACCCTGGACCACACAAGGAGAATAGAACTACTTAGCTCGGCGCTGAACCCAAGAGATTGGAAAAGAATGTATCTCCCTCGGCTCCAATTCACAGCACTTATCATTCAATGGATATCATCGACAGGGCACCTTAGGGAGGGCTTACAGGACAAGAGAGCGGAATCCCTCGACCTTGTCATAGCAAGCAACCCACCCAATTCAATAACAATCACCAACCTCTCGCCCCGGCCTTTCTTAAATCCGCAGACAGAGAAAATCATCAAATATACATCATTCAAACCATAAAATCATGCATTGTAAAGACAGCTATGTGATTCCTTCCCAGGGGTATAATCATCATCATTTCCAAGAAGATCCCGGATTGTGGTATCTATAAACCAAATAGAAACATGGAAAGAGAGTTCCGAGTTCCAAAGTTGCAAGTTTCAACCCGTACTAAACCATTCCACCCCAATGATCACACTGGTGTCATAACATCGTGAAAATAAAACCGAAGGAAAATAAAAAACCACACATACGCGTGAGCACAACCGGATCCGCTCCTAGCTAGATTCTTGGAATATGTTCGCTCACCCCTAAGGTGTCTCCCCTTCAGCCTCACAATTTTTGTAACCTCTTCCACCTCATCGTTTCTATTCGTCGTCGCAGCAGACAAGGTGAGATATGGAATAGGCAAAAAGGAAGACGCGGAAAGCAAGAGAGGACTAAGACTGCGAAAGCACACAGTATTAGGAATGGGAAACGATGAGGTATCCATTGGAAATTGACAGACCAGAATGATCCCTGTACCCACCTCCGCAAAACAATGCATGTCATCGAGAATGTAGAATACAAAGCAGAATTGTAGCAGAGCGATGATGAAGAATTAGAGCGGGTAAGAAGAACTGAGGCTCAGAAATAGGAGTTGGGTTGGATCAGTGGATGAAGGGGTTGATGAGCTGGGTTCGGCGCGACATAGACCTCGTGGTATGGATGGTGGGGCATATTGAAGTCGGCCTCAGCTAGAAAGGGGTTGATGATCCCCATAGGAGGGCGTGAGCGTTGGACAGGAGGCGCCGGGGGCAGCGAAGTCGGTGGTATCATGGGTTGGAGAGTGACCTGCGGTTGAAGTGTGGGCTGTTGGTAGACAACGTGGTTGGCTCCATTGTTCTGTATGTTGGCATTGACATTTTGCTCTTGAGGAGGTTGGGTGTCGGCGTTATTCCAACCCCATTTTTCCTTGAGCTCATTGTTCAAGAAACCAACCCGCCACCCCGTCTCCTGGCGTATCTTGTTGAAGATTTGAAGAACCTCTTCCTGCTCGCGTCGGGTGGTCAAACATTCAGCAGCAATGGCGAGAGATCGAAGAGCAACGCTTGCAACACCACTACCTTGGAGGTCAGTAGCTATCATAATCCTGAATCTAGTGAACATACCGGTCCTTGACGTGTGCACTGATGCCGCAAATGAATTGAGAGTGTCGGTGTTGCAGATCATGCATCTCGGGGTCATCTGGTCCCGCCACAGGGTTTATTTGCGCTAGAAGGCACATACAGGTGTGGTAGAAGAGTCGGGCTACGATTGAGGTCCTCTTAATCAGCCATACTTCCGGAAAGGCGGATCCAGAAAGTGTTTGGCCTGGATACAGATAGGCCAAGGGGTGCATCGTCCGTGGGATGCTTTCATTCCATAAATCGGCGAGCTCCTTGAGCCGCTTCCATTCATTGTAGCGGTTCTGGAGGCGCAGATTTTCCTGCCGGGGTGACGATTCCTGAGTTCTCGGTATTGAAGCACGGAAGTTGGCGACTTTTGCTACAATGTAGACGATTCGATATGTCCACACCTCCTCTCGCCCATATTCGGTCTCTTTGGAAAAGTCCATGTCGACGCCCCACTCGTCGGGATGCCAAGCTACTTGCCAATTGAAGTGCAGACAGCTGAGGAGTTCCATGCCAACATTGAGCCAGAAACACGCGGCACCAATACCTGTCGACCTCGCATTCCAGCCACACTCTTTGATCAATGCCCGGGCCCCTGCGATGTGGTTCATCCGCTGGAGAGCCCGCTCGCACATAATCTCGTAAACGTTCAAGATGACTGCTGTGGTTGCACAGATGACGGTATCACGATTTGGGTTCTGTAGCGAGCTGAGCAAATAGCGCGTGGCCGTGTCGTAATAATGCAATGCCTTGTCCTCGCTGTACTTGGGGTTCACAAGCGCGAGATGTCGTGCACCGCATGCCAAGAAGGCGTTAAGCAGCATGGGTTCGCCCAGGGCATGAAACGGAAGTAGTCGCGAGAACTAAAATATTGTTAGCAACGCGCGTATGCGAGACGCAAGAATAGACGCAAATCATACGTGTTTCATCGGGTCCATGCTGTCCATCCACAATCCCACTTCTTCAACAAATACCTGCATGAAAAGAGTTTCTTCCTGTGTGTCGAGATAATCACGTGCACCTTCTGGTGGAGTCCGGGACTGCTCTGGGGTCTGGTACGACGACCCTGCAGGTGCAACATTGGAGCCAGAATAAGTCGACTCGGAGTGGGAGTGTGTGTGGTGGTGGGAGGGTGCCCGCTGGTGTTCGTAGATCATGTTCTGAGGTTCTTCTGGATACGCTCGCATGCCTTGAATAGCAGGAAGAGGTTGCTGTGCAGCAGTAGGTGGAGGTGGCATGCCATTCGGTATGTCCATGAAGAAAGCATTGCTTTCCGGTGGAATCGGCTCATTCTCAGCGCGGCCGTATCTTCCAAGCCCGCCCTTGTACTCGCTCGCGATGTCCCTCGACTCGTCGTGGAATGCAATTGTCCACTCATGGGTGGGTACAAGCTGTGTCGGTGGAATTGCGACAGTGGTGTCGATAAAGTTCAGCCTGATGCCCCGTTTGCACTGCCGGCTGGACTTCTGGCAATTGTGGCAGACTGGCTGGGCCTCGTCACATTTCAAATGCCTCTCTCTGCACGTCAAACACCCAGTGCGCACCCTCTTGGGCTTGCTATCCTGGGCTGCTTTGTCGGTTGCGCCGGGGGTGTTGGCGGCCCCATCGCTGGACATGGCTTTTCCGTGCTGCTGCTCGCCACCAGCAGCTCTTCGAGTGTTATCGCCCCGTTGTGTTTGCCGTGGTCTTTTCGCAGGCCGGGGGCTGGAGGTTGAGGTAGAGCTCCTACGATTGTCGTGTTCGTGAACTGCGGTTTCCGCAATCAGCGTCGTCGTGGCAGGCACGATTCCGGTGCCCTGGTCATAGAGAAAGCCAAATCCCAAAGGAGGCTGTAAGAAGCCAGGTTGCTCGAATGACGCCGCCACGGTGAAGATTTGCTGGCGGGTGTTGACAAAAGAGTTGGCGTAGTGTTGCACCCAATGGGGGGGTTTTCGGCGGCTGATTGGCAGCAGCTGACTCTCCTGCACAAAAGATGATGCGGCTACAGGTCGTCGCCTCTGAGATTACGCCTGAGTCGAGGCTACCGAAGAATGTGGCGGTCAGTTGACAGCTACGATTGCTGGGCAAGAGTTCGGGGGTGATTACCAAAAGCTGGGTTGCTGGGTATTGAGGCGATCAGTTACCGCGTAGCACAGGAATTTCACCGCGTAAAGGCGTCACAATGCTCAAAAAGGCGGCCGTGAGGGGAGGGCTGTTGTCCGGGGGGGGGGGTGTTCTGAAGCGAATGGCGAGTGACGATATTGCGGAATGGTTGAGCCCTGGAGAACCTGGGTCGGTTGTCGAAGAGGGGCAAGTGGAAGCGGCACCGTCGATCGAGCACACAGCAGAGCGTCAGGGAGACGGCGAGGAAACAGCAGAAGCGCAGCTCGGGATGCAGGCGGGCGCAGGCCTCAATTGAAGGCCAACGACACGAGCAAGAGCAGAAACAGGGAGCACTCTCCCGAAAGCTGGAACGGGAGAGGTAAGGAAGTGTGTGTGAGAGTCGACCGGCAGGCTTTGGGGACGACGCTAATGGTCGATCTGAGATGCGCTTCGCACGGTACGTATGCGGCGCCGCCTGGCTCCAGCCTGCAGTCTCCCGGTGATGTCGGGGCTTTTCGAGGGCAAAAAGAAACCCTCCCACGGCGAGTGTTCTGATCTGTCAAGGGTGCTGAGTCCTGTACTTTGGTGGTCTGCCGGCACGTGTGGCGAATCTGCTCTCCGAGGCTGCACCGCATAAATAAACGCAGAGGTAGAAAACTAATGAGGGCTCAAATCAAGACTCGCAGAGAGCAGAGTCGCGGCCGCTCGATGATATTGTATACTACAGCTACGGACTCTTGGTTGCTGTTGACTGGCCGCCGTGGACGATAGAATATGCTTTTGGTGTCCCGCCCGCAGCGCACAGCCTCCCCTTGTTTCTGCTGGCAAGCCGAAAGCGAAAGCTTGACGGCACCGAGGTCGCAGACCCCCCAAGCGGAGGATAGATGGCACACTGCTGAACACGACGGGTGTGCAAAGAGAGCTTCGACCAGCCCATGGCCTCTCCACCGACAGGTCAGCACGCAGGCCACCGTCTGCAACTGGCCGTCTACCCCCTGCACATCCAAGAGGGCAGCGGCTCCAATGGCGTCACGACCAGATGGGAAACACATTAAATAAGCTTGCCCCTAAAATAGACCGAATGCACGAGGCCGGCAATTTTTGCTTCGACTGCATCCGTGGTTGAAGGAGAAGAACACCGCTATCCTGGCCGCTGATATATTAACCAGCCGTTCCTGAGCCGGCACACGGGCTCCTCGTTGCTGCAAATTTCGGACTTCTTCAACAGCAGCAGCAGCAGCAGCAGCGAGGAGAGGCGGTAGTCGTGGGGGAAAGGGGCATCAGCTTCTGCGAACGTTCGGCCGTTTGGCGCACCTCTAGCCAGCCCTAGTAGCTATTCATAGCACCTAGACCACCCATCAAGCCAACGTCCCATCTCAATCAATCGTGAACTCCCCGCCGCAGTGGGCAGTGCCTGCGCCGTGATGGCGCCTTCATCGACCAAAGAGGGGGTCTGGTTGGCCTTTGACAGACGCCTGAGGTGGTTCCGCCCCCAACGTGATTCCCATGCTGTCGATCACTCTCGGTCCGGCTTGCCTCATGAACCAACCTTCAGCTTCAAGCCCGTGATCCCGTTTGGTCATCAACATGGCCACGGAGCATCGGTCGTCTTTGCTCCCACCAGCCCAGCCTAGCTATATTTTCCGTGGACACACTGCGCACATTCACAGCGTGCAGATTGTGCACCAGAACACTCGCCTTCTGACCGGTGATGCGGATGGCTGGATCGTATACTGGAAATTTGAGTCCAAGAGACCTGTGGCTGTGTGGAGAGCCCACGATGCAGCGATCCTCGGGACTGCAGAGTGGGGGTGCGATAAAGTCATAACGTGAGTGTTCATCGTTGTCTTCAATCAACTGCAGCATCTTAGAGACATTCAATCGCTTTGGATCCGTTTCGGCAGCCGCCCGCTTGTGCTACTATTCTTGCTCCTATCTGTCATTCGTCCTTTTCTATTCCTTCAATTCTTCGTTTACAACGGCTTTCTTCCGAATGTCTCAGATCGTCGTACATTTTTCCAGCTTTCCCAAGATGGTGGACGACTAATTGTTCCGGTCCCATATATAGCCACGGTCGTGACAATGCACTCAGAATCTGGCAACTCCGCGCCACAGACGAGCCCAATCTGTCCAGTGTTCTACCTGCAGATCGGTCAACTGTGCACAGACCCAAGCCATGGTTGCTGCATTCGCTGCCTGTGAACACTCTAAACTTCTGCGCATTCTCCATGTGCCATAAACGACCTGCAGTTAATATCCTACGGGATGAAAACATGGCGTTGGGCCAGGAGGATGCATCTTCTGCTAGGTCAAGCGACACAATCCTTGTGGCCGTGCCAGCCCGAGATGACAGAAAAATTGAAGTCTATCAGTTTCCAGACGAGAAACTGGCGTCCGTCGTGCCACGAGTGCAGCCGCAAGATACTGGTGAGCCTCCTGCAGTGGACCGATTTCTTAGCCCTGAACATCATCTCCGAAGGCAATATTCGTGTGTATGTGGCATGGAAAGCCCGATTTGCTCATAGCTCAGCCCTCTACTGATGTAATTCAATGATATGTCGTAACCCCAATGTGGCGTACATGACGTTGACATCGTGGTCGGAACTTTCCGCTAACAAGAAGCAGGCATGGTTATGACCGTCAAGATCACACACCACAAAACTTCCAAGAGAGTCATGGTAATCGCCGGATACGAGGGAGGTTTTACAGCTGTGCATCTTCTCGGCCTCAACTCCCAATCCAGACCCCAGGCAACAAGACCGAGCGGACCTACACTCGCTCAGACCATCTACCTTAGCCAACCCCACAACCAACCGGTATTGTCACTTGATGCTTCACCGGATGCCAAGACATACTTCACTTCTTCTGCCGACGCCGTCGTTACTGCACATCGGTTGCCGGAGCTACCCCTTAATATCGACCACGAAGAGTCTACCTCGAATGTTGCTGATGCACTAAATCCTGCATTAAGCATCCCAATAGTTGTGGAACCCCCTTCATTACAACCCCCTCTGAGTACCGCCAAGCAGGCGGCCCCGCCTGCCAAAGCTGCACACCAAACACGACAACGAAACTGGTCCCAATTCTCCATACCATCATCATCGACTCTTGAAACATCTTCTCAAGTTCCAGCATCTTCGGACCTCGCAGAGCCTACAGAAGAATCCCCAGCCAACTCAGCTAGCCTTGTAACCCTTCCCAAGAAGTCTATCAACACATCATCATCAACAACGCCTTCACCTCTCACCTTTCCCAAGCAAACCCAAAACTCGACATCTTCATCGTATTCCCAAGGCACCGGCGCGAAGGCCTCAGGACTATCGTCCCTGCTCTCGTCTGCTCCACCGCAATCCAAGGCCAAACCAGTTGCCCCAACGGTGTCAAGCCTCACTATACAAACGCCGTTCAAGACAGTCCAAACCAAGCATGCGGGCCAGCAATCGCTACGTGTTCGCTCCGACGGCCGACTCCTTGTAACAGGAGGTTGGGACAGCCGCATACGAATCTACAGCACGAAGACGCTCACAGAGGTAGCCGTCTTGAAGTGGCATAAGGAAGGCGTCTATGCGGCTGGCTTTAGCGAGATTCTCGACTCTTTTTCGCTCGCCAAGGCCGATCAAGCAAGCCAGGACGATGATGAGAAATCCACCAAAGACGCAAGCTCTCAAAGTGCAGAGCTCACCAGACAAGACGTCAGAGTTAGTGGGCTAGGAAAGCTACAGCGTCAAAGGGAGGAGCAAATGCAGATGAAGCATTGGGTTGTTGCTGGCGCGAAGGATGGGAAGGTGAGTTTGTGGGAGGTCTATTGAGAGTGTTACAGGATAGGTCCCGGTCCTTTCTCCACAAAGGACTAGAAATAAAGGTGCAACAGCTAGAAGGCGTCTCATTTGCGGGGCTGAGACCCAAAAGCACGATCACAATTTGCACACCAGCGTAGTGCGTGGTTTCATACGGTTATGTTTTGACTTAGTCTCGGGCCACTGAAGAGTTCTCGTAGTTTTCGTACACATAGACTAGTCCACAACATCTCATGCCTCTAGCATGGCCGGAGTCTGTATCCCCCCAACAGGCTCTAGTTTCTTGGTTTGCAGATCTTGTGCTATTTCTCCCACTAGTTATCCAGCTTTACGAATTGTTTGTAGAAGATAAGAGGCGATAACATGCCATGAAACCCTTCCTGGATACTAGCAGACTGGAGAAACGCCCCTGTGGTTCTTCAACGAGGATGTTGGAGACGCAGATGATGGTACTTGGAGCTTAGTACGGCATACTCTCACATGACACGGAGCATGGCCAGGGTAGAGTCTGGCTCTTAAACTCTTGCAGATAGTATGCAAATTCCTGTCCCAACTTATCCCTATTGTGTACTATGTTAGGTACGAAGAAGCAGGAAGATCCTGTGGAGGCTCGAAAATGTTTCATGCAACGCTCTCAACCGAACGAAACGAAACAAAACGTAGTAATCAACGGACGTCAACGTCTCACTTTCCTGCTACGTTTGTACAGCCTGGGCGACTTAGCTGTCCGTTTCGCTGCTAAACTAAAACGCACTAAAATCCTTATACTTTTTAACATTTTATCTTACTTACTGCTGTTAACATTTTATAGTATAGTAACTAGCTGCTTTTAGATAAGGTTTATAAGCTTAATTAAGTTGCTTTTTATAACTTAATAATATAGCTAATTCTTCTATAATTAAAGCGCCTTAATAGTAGCCCTAGAGAGAGAACCTTTATTAATTATAACTATACGCTAGCCTCTACTAAAGGCTCTCTCGCAGTTGCAGCTAGTAGAGGGTATAGCAAGGAAGTTAAAGGCAATTTTAAACAGTGTAGGATACTGTTTTTAACCTACTTTAAGCTACTAAGTAAGAAGGCTAGCTTATAAAAAATAGCTGTCTTTTACCTTAGTGTCTTAAAAGTCTTTTATATAAGTGTTAAAGTATTACTATAACTCTATTATTTTCTAAGCTTTTTTATAACTTTAAGCTTTAATAAAAAGAGAAGTATTAACTATAAAAGCTTTTTAGTAATAAGAGTTATAAAAGCTTATTACTAAAAGCTTTTACTAAAAAAGATTTATATTAACTTTCTTATCTTCTTTAGCATTAATGTAACGCTAGAAAATAACCTTTATTAAGGTCTCTGCCTTCTAGTACTAGGATTAGTGATAACACTAGTAGTCCTTAAACTAAAGTAACGTACCTAACAGGTTGGCCGGCCACACAGGTTGGCCGGCCACTTTTGCCAAGCCCCCACCAAACTCTACCTATCTACATAATGCCTTAACAACAACACTAGATTAAATCTTCTAAAGAACGTTAGATACAGCTTGCTCTTTAGGCTCTTAAACAAGACTTAAAACTCTCCTTAGAACGCGCTGCAGCTATCTATAATGTCTCTCACACAACACTAAGTAATCAACGCGCTGGACAGCCTTCACAAGCAGAATGCTAGCCTAAATCAAGGAATCTAACTAAGCTTAAAAAGGAGGTAGTTGTTAAGTACATACTTAAGCTTATTACGCGCAGATTTCCCCCTAGGCTCGCAGCTGTAGCTAATATGGCTAATTCCTTGCCCGCAGAGCGCAATCTAGGCCAGGTTAGCTTAAACTAGACTAGTATGTGGGTTAAGCACTGCCCTAAGTTCACAATAAAGTTTAATTACAAGTATAATTACAAAAGAGCGCTCTATAAAGATTTAGAGGTTATCTAGGGCTAGTTTCGCCTAGTAGCTAACATAAAAGCTAAGTACAGTATCTAGGATAAAGACAGGTATAACTTTAACAAGTTAGGCTTTATAATAGGCTAGATATTAACTAGAGCAGTTGTTACAGCTTTAGAGAGATAAGGACAGCCAAAGGCAATACAGTAAGGCAATAGGGAGTGGACAACAGTTATCTAGGGCATTAACGTGACAAGGTGGGCTATAAGATTACAGAGCTTTAAGCAGCAAATAAGGCTGCCACGCAACATAGATCGCATAAAAGGAAGCAGATTTAGGCAAAAAAGACCTTAATAGTTAAGGATAGGGCTTGTCTAACTGCTCTAAAGGAGTTTAGAGCGCGTAGTAATAGGAAGAAGCTAAAGACGCAGGTGCGCGCTAAAGGAGGTAAGCTAAGTTAAAGGCAATGTAGGCAGTGCAATTAGACTAGGCATAACTTGCGTACGTGTAAGCAAGTAGTAGAAGTAGACTCTAAATAATATCTTGTGTTGTATTACTCTATACAGGGCTAAAGTGGGCTGTTTTGCGAGAGAATGGGGTGGTTTTAGTGGGGGCTTGGCAAAAGTGGCCGGCCAACCCGTGTGGCCGGCCAACCCGTTAGGTACGTTATATAAAGTTATAAGTTAAGTATAGTAGTAATTACTAAGTAAAAGATAAAAAAATTAATAACTATTTTTTAAAAATATGTGTTAATTTTTTTAAGTCTAAAAAAGACACTATTTTTAAAGTAACTATTATTAAGCTTAGAGAAAAGTTTTTTTTTATCTATAATAGCTTATTATATAGCACTTACATGTTAATAATAAATATCTATAGAGAACTATGCTTACTGTTGCCCTCTAGCTGTTTTATTATTTAATAAAAGACTTTAAAAAACTTAGTAAGGCATTTAACTTTTTTTTAGTCTTTTTTACTAATAATTTTTTAAAGAGCTGTGTTGCTAGGTATGTTAGAGTCCTTAGTGTTGTTATCTATGCTGTGCTACTTCTAGATAAACTTAGTAATTAGATCCTTAAGCTCTAGGCACTGTACAAGCATTAGATATACAGAATGCTAGCAGACACTACTGTCCTGTATTAAATTAAGTGTGCTAAAGCTTTAAAGCTTGTTTTTTTCCTCTAAAGATAATTATACAGCTATAAAGGCCTCCTAGCATTTATGTAATAAAAAGATAGTATTAATAAAGTTATATAGCTTACTAACAACTTTATGTTTATAATAAAGCTTAAACTAATCTTAAGAAGCTGCGTTTATAAGAGCAGCTTTAAATTATAATAATCTTTTACTATAGATAACTGCCTTTAGCACTAATTAAATTATGTGGCCTGTACAGCATATATAGTGCTCTCTATTAAAGTTAACTCTAAGATATTTAGCTAAAGCATTAATAGTAAAGTTATTATTATTAAACATATTATTAGTAATAAAATAACTAAATTTTAACATAATTTTATAATTCTAAATAATTTTAAAAATAGCCTGCGCTTAGTTAGCTTTTATATAGTTACTATAAAGGTTATAGAAGCTAATAAGTAAGTTTTATTATTAATAATTAACATTTATAAAGTAGAAGTTAGTTATTATTTATTATTAGTTTTTTAAGCTAAGATACTAAAATAGCCTTTTTAAAGTTTTACTAAACTTACTAAGAAAGTAAGCTACTACTCTAAAAAAAGAAAGGTAGTTTAGTAAAGTCTATATATTAACACTTAACGCTACTTTTAACTTAGCTAATTTTAATATTATTTAAATCTTCTCCTTCTAGTGTGTTAACCTTTACTTTATATATAATAATATTATTATATCTAAGCTTAGAATAGCAGTAAGAAGATCTAGTTAGTTTTAAGTAAAAAGGCTTTAAAGTTTAGCTAAAGATGCTGTTATAAATAATATATTATAAAGTATAACCTAGTCTACTAACAACCTCTACAACAACCCCTTTTGCTAGGGATTATAGAAAGTAACTTAGGCTAAGCCTACTACTATAGCAGCTGTTGCTGCCTAAGGATTAAGTAAAGCATAAAAAAAATTAAGTAAAAAACTTTTATTACTACTAATATTAATTTTATGCTTTTTTTTAAGATAGTAGCTAATATAGCTATAGCTGTTAACTATTTTAGTAGTAGTGTAATTACCTCTGTAATAGCAGAGTTAGTAGAGCTAGAGCTTTACCTTTAAGCCTTCTCTAGTGTATAGTAAGTTAGCTTTATAGTTTTACACTACTAACACCTTCTTGTTACCTTAGAGCTAAGAAGAGTGTTTTATATAGTAACCTAGCTTCTCTGCCTTTAGCTTTTTACTAGTAAGCTATATATTATCTTACTTTATTAGAAACATAACTTTTAAATTAAGAAAAAAATCTTTAAAGTATTCTTTTATATAAAAATTATATACAAAAGCTAGAGAGCTATTATAAAATAAGAACTTTAATAATAATAATTATAACTTTTCTAGGCAATAGAAATAAGCATAATAGATTATGTTACTACTTTAGGTTAACTAAGAGCTCTAAGAGCTCTGCAACTAGCTAGTGCTCTATGTAGAGGCTTATTAACTAAGAAAATTGCGCATAGTTAACATAATATTAAGATATAAAAAGATTTAGTAGTGTTAATTTAAGTAAAAAATGCTACACTTAAGTTATTAGGTAATCTTACCCCTTAATTAATAACTAGCTTATTAAAAAACTTGTCTAACAGTGCTATAGGTCTCTACCTATTAATGTCTAAGCTAATAGGTAATCCTTACCTAAAAGTTAAGCTTTTAAGACGCAGTACAGTCTGCAGCTATAACTTACAAGACAAAACAAAACGTACAAGGACTATACTACGTTTGCTACGGCTCACGTGACAGTACTGAGACGAAAAGTATGAAACGTAATTCGTACGGTTGAGAGCGTTGGTTTCATGAATAGTGTGGCGTTCCTTCCCCGCAAAAACTTCCCTCGGCAGCATATGAATTGGGGATGATCTCCGAGAGAATGCACGGTGACAAAACCCTCCCGCCCAACATGTTGAACACCTCGAGTGATCTCTCCACCATGATATGAAAGGCCTGTCTCACCACGGGTTGTCATAATTGGCGCACCAGAGCGACCGTTCCCGGTGCCTCGATGAGCCTCCAACAAACGCGTCCCTGAAAGTGGCCCTCGGAGCCTCCCTCCTTCTCCTCCTCCTCCTCCTCCTCTCCTCTCCCACGACGCAAATCCGCAATGCTACCGACATCCAAGAAGCGCAAAGCCCCCCGCCCCTCCGAACAAGCCCCCGATCTCAGTATTACCGCCGACGACCAGGTCCACCTCCACGCTGCCGGCTACAATGAGTCGCCCGAGCGCGGTCTCGTCCACAGCATGGCGCGGTTTCGCTCCGCACCGCTTGACTTCATCCGCGAAGTCAGTCTGCACGTCTCCGGCACCGGGTGGCGCTCATATGACAGGATCGTCGGCCAGCCCATCTTCTACTCCGGATTCTCTGAGGAGATGAAGACGCGGGTGTTGAGCAATCCGATGCTGGTTAGCAAGGTGAGGGAGCTGGCGGCGAAGAGGGTGGATGTTGAAGCCATTGAGGGCCTACTTGGGGAGGAGGTGAGAGAGGGGCTGGATGTGAGGGCTGGGGAGAAGGATAAGAGGGTGCGCAGGAGGGTGCAGATTGAGGAGAGCTTAATGGACGTTGCGGAGACCTTAACAGATAATATGATCTGTAAAATGGAGAGCAAAAGTTTTATTAGGGGGGCTTATTATCTAACCACGCAGCTTTTGACAAGGGCGTATCATCAGGGTATGTAGATTTCGTTCCCCTTGGAGAGACGTAAGAGAATTTGTATGCTTTTGGAGAAACAATCGTTGTTATCGATGCATGCTAACGCCTCTCAGGCGTCCACGTTTCAAGCGAGGAAATCCTCCGCCTCCGCTCCGTTGCAGAGCAAGCCGCGAAAGACAAGCACTCGATCATCTTCCTCCCATGCCATCGCTCTCATGTCGATTATGTCTCCCTTCAAATAATATGCTACCGACTTGGTCTTGCCCTGCCAACCGTGATAGCTGGCGATAATCTCAACTTTCCAGTTGTTGGTTCCTTCCTTCAACATGCAGGGGCTATGTGGATCCGGCGGAGTTTCGGGGATGATCAGCTGTATACTACACTTGTCCAAGCTTATATTGATACCCTACTTCAAAACGGATTTAATTTGGAGTGTTTTGTGGAAGGGGGCAGAAGTAGGACTGGGAAGCTGCTGCCACCTAAGTTTGGGATATTATCTTACATGTTGGACAGTGTAGCATCCGGGCGAGTCCAAGATGCTATCATATGCCCTGTTTCTACGCAGTATGATAAGGTGATTGAAGTCGAGTAAGTAACTGTTCTTCCCTCCTTGCACTAACAGATAGCTAATAATTAGCACCCAGTTCGTACATTAGCGAACTTTTAGGCCAACCAAAACCAAAGGAAAATTTAATGGACTTCCTCTCCGCATCCTCAGTCCTTTCTCTAAAACTCGGCCGAGTTGATGTCCGGTTCCACGAACCCTGGAGCCTGCGGAAATTCGTCAACCAACAACATGATAGATTTAGTCAAATGCCCCAAAAGCTTGATTTGAAAGAAGAGCGACTCAGGATTTTACGGACTCTCGGTTACAAAGTTCTCTCTGAAATCAACGATGTATCTGTCGTAATGCCTACCGCGCTGGTCGGCACTGTTCTACTGACTTTGAGAGGGCGAGGTGTTGGGAAAGCGGAGCTTATTAGAAGAGTGGAGTGGCTGAGTGAGCGTGTACGAGCCCAGGGTGGACGAGTGGCGCATTTTGCCAGTCAACCTACCAATGTAGTTATTGAAAGGGCTCTTGACGTTTTGGGACCTGGGCTTGTGGGGCTCGTGCCTGCCTTGCCTGAGGAGACTTATTATGCTGTTGATAGGTAAGGCTTTTTTAGATGCTCCTGCGCATGTAGTACGACGAGAGTGCTAACCATGGCTCAGATTCCAGCTCTCTTTTTACCGCAACATGACCATCCATCTCTTCATCCTGCAGGCCCTAGTCTCGGCATCAATGTACACTAAAGTAAAGCTCGGTGGTGGGCCTGAGTTCCAAAGGATATCGTATGACGACCTCCACGACCAAGTCCATTTCCTGTCACAGGTAATCCCCAGGCTCTTCCCAAACCCACACTAAGTCTAACCTCTCTCAGCTCTTCCGCGGCGAGTTCATTTTCCCCACCGAAGGACTCGATGCCAACTTAGCCAAAACTATCTCCAGCCTCGAAAGCGACAACATCATCAAAGTAACCCGCAACCCCGCTGACCCCTCCAAAGTCTCATTCGTCGAACTCAGCGACGCGGAACGCGAGACCGGTCGCGAGAACTTCGACTTCTACTGCTTCCTCATCTGGCCCTTCATCGAAGCCTCCTGGCTGGGCGCCATGTCGCTCATGATGCTAACCCCGCCCGTTGGTCTCTCCGGGGAAGTCTGGCTCGACTTGAAGAAGGTTCAGGATAGAGCGCAGCTGTTTGGAAAAACACTATATCATCAGGGGGATTTGTCGTACTTTGAAGCGGTCAATAAAGAGACGTTGAGGAATGCTTATCAACGGTTTGAAGAAGAGGGGATGATTCTTGTTACTAAGAGTAAGGGTGCTAAAGAACCGAGTACGATTAGGTTGTCGGATGAATGGATGCCTTCGAGGTCGACTACTAAGTCGAACATTGTTGCGCAGGGGCCGTTGTGGCTCTTTGCCGAGAGGATCAGTTTGAGTAGAAGGGAGGGGAAGAATAGGAGGGATGGCTCAACGGTGCAGAACAGAGTCTTGAGTCTGGCGGATGTGGTTGGAGCGCCACTTTGGGAGGATGGCGTCTTGGACCACGGCGCGCTGGAAACGGAGGCTGTGGTTGCGGCAAAGGCGAAGGGGAAGGCGAGACGGAAGACTATGACGGTCTCACCCAGGTTGTGAAAATGGGGTAGTGAGTATGTGTTGCTGTTGTTGTATATGCATGCCTTAGATTCTAATTCCTCTGTACAAAGATTTTGCTAAAGGTTTTGCTGTCTCATTGCTGTGTCTAGAGTGGTGCGTGATGCTAGCAGTCAATTCACATGGTAAGTCTCTCCTCTTGATCTTAGGTTCACCAGGCTCTAAAAGCAATCCCCTTCCCAGTATCTTAACTCCGAAGCTCATCCCACACTGTAAGGAAAATATATCGATTATCAAATCATGTAAAAATAGCGTGCCGGGACCCTAATAGATAAGGTTGAGCATATTCTGTGGAGATAGACTAACATAAGTCCATCATTTGCTAGCAAATCTTTGGGCGTGGGTTGTTGCGTCGTCAATTGAAAGGATGAATATTTTGTTACTATGAGTTACTGGTTGGGAGAACGTGATTCCTCCTGATAAGCCTAGACAGTAGCAAGCGTCGGAGTAAATGGTTGTAAAAGATACTCGCCATTAAGGGATAAATGATATATGTTATCCCTCAACATAGTACCAAACGTGAGCAGCGGGAGCATGTTTTGGTGTAATTGATGAATTCTTTTCTCTTCGTTTTTCTAGACAGAATCTCCCTAGCTCTCGGTTGTTCCTGAAGTGTGTTCCATGACAGTGAATACAATATCATAACAGTACACTTTCCTTCATTTTTGCGCAAAACCAATCTATGCATTTTGCCCATTTTCCCTGCTGACCTCGGGTTTCCTTTCCTTTACACAGAACTCCGACACGGATTTTACAAGCTTGACATTTGTTTAAATGAGAGCTTGATGGTAGTGAGGGCATTTTATAAGTCAACCATTTTTGTTAAAGCGTAGAGATGAAGCATACTTGCCATCCACTTCTTACATAACTCTAGTCCCCGCTTCTTTGTCCGGAATTCTAGCGAGGACTTTGTATATTGATTGTTATTCACGAAGAGATGTTTGAAGCGGGGTGTTGAATGGGCTCTGACAGCTAGCTGCTTATGGTATGAGCACTTAAGTAGCAAGAGTAAGAGTGGTGTACGGTGTGCACAGCGTACGAGGTAGGTAAGGTGAGGGCAACATGTTTCTGGTTCTATTGCTCTTGTCTTTCCTCCGTACGGAGGAAAAGGGGGATATCTAGATGTTCGCGCACGGAGGTTCGCGCACGAGCATCATGTGACATAGATACGTGATCCTGCTCGTGCGCGATCGTTCGTATCCAGGACGCGACGCTGCTGCTGCGTACGGACACGGGGAGTAATTTGTAATATTATACGCTTCTTTAAGTACGTAAAAGTAACAGTGTTCGTAATAGGTAGGCAGGTAGGCTTATATTACCTAGAATTAGACGATATTCCATAGGTGAATTTGCGCCTCTGGGAGGTATCTGGTGTACCAAGCTATACTTTATTAAGTATGCTAGGATACAAGAGAAATAAGAGCAGAATTCCCTAGCTTCCTGCTTAACTCTGACTTTGATTACTCCTCGCCCATGGATTAAAAGCCCGCCCATTACGAACACTGAAATGTAAAATAATTATTTTACCTGCTCTCTTGTATATTTAAGCTCTTGTTCTTTCCTCCATAGAAATCTAGCAAGTATTTATAGGTTTGATATTGTTCCTGAAGTTGTCCTTAATGTAGATAAAGTATAACAGTACACGGTTCTTTAAGTTTAAAAGTAAAGTGTCTATCCTACATGTTTTCTTCCATGACTTGAACTCTCTTGCCGAGTTCCTAAAGCTATGCTGAGTTGTTGCGTCGAATGCTAAACTAATTTTGGGGAATGGGTAAACGCTAACATCTCAGGAAAGGTTTCACACATGGTTAGACTCTATAAGCAACGTTATTTCAGATTTATTTCATTGCTCTAATTGTATAGTAATCATCATAAGAGAGCCCTATAGGCATTGTGGGTATCACGTCATGATCATCAAGTCATTGACCCCATCCAGACTCCAGTGCAGAATCCCTCCCAAACCAGACCATTTACCACCGTGAATGCAATAAACAACATAAACCTAAAAGCAAACACCAGAAAGGACCATCCCGTTTCATACCTGGAAGTTACTCCAATTCACCAATCGTTTTGCTGAGGAGTAGAGTTACAGCCATTTGGCGGCGTGCGTCGCTCATGCCCTTCTCAGAGACAACTCGGTCTGGTTGCTCATCACGGAGGAGAGCCAAGGCATTCAGGACAGTGAAGACACCACAGTCGTCTCCGTTTTGCTGAAGCTGGCTTCGTTGTTGAACTACGCGCCACTCCGCGTTGTTGTACGAGTCGCCGAGTTCCATACGTAGCCATTCCTTAGCCTTGGAGATGTATCGAGAAGAGGTGGTAGATTGTCCGCTAGGCTTCTGCAAGCTGTCAAGATACTCGATAGTACGCTCCTTTGGCTTGATGGCAAGAAGGCGCCAATGATGCCCTTCGCAGATTGGAAATAAGAGAAGTTTGGCATCGAGGAGTTGTTTGCCACCGAGTTGCTTCTTGGTGGCCCACCTCTCCACCTTTTTAATATCGTCGTTCACATTTATCCACCATTGCGACGGGAAGGCATGGACCGGAGGGGCTGGGCCTCCTCTACGGTGCTTATAGCCCTGTTTGGTTTTGATGTGGTCAACCAGAATGCTCAGATATTCGTTGATAACGTTGTCGTTGAGCCACCAAGACGATCCTCCGTTGAACAAGTCGGGCAAGATGGTGCCGAAATCGTGAGTGTTGAGTTTATGCTGGACAAGGTCCATTGAGATTTTTCCATAGTCTGTCTTCTGCACAGCGGCGTCCAGCTCCTTCTTCCACTTATCGCAGAGGGGCGCAACCAACGGCTTCTGAATCGGGACAAGAGGAGCCAACTGCGGAACAGTGAGAGACGGCAGAATTGGAACTTTAGTCGACTGTTGCGGCCCTTTGGTCTGTTTCATTGGCTTGACGTTGTCGGACTGCTGATCAACATCCTTCTTCGTCGTTGTGATAGCGAGACCTTGCTCGATTCCTTTCCTGATGCCATCGATAAGATCCAACGAAGGCTCCGCCTCGAGAAGAGAGCTTTGTTCGTCATCTGACGAACCGAAAAATATATCTTGTGGAACACCTGTGAATCCAACGGTTGCAGATTGCTTGCTTGCGGCCTCCTTGGGTAGAGGAGATTGCTGAGTGGTGGTGTTCGTAGGAATTGAAGATAGGCCATCAGTGCTGAGAGATTGCAACTGTGGAAGAGATAGGTAGTTTTGAAGGGTCACATCCTGAGGCGGGGAAAGGACGACGTCGACTATGAACGAATCAAGCCCGTCGCAAATCCTATCGTCTTGGAAGAAATGCTTGACGTGGGCTTGATCTGCCAGTCGGACTGTCTTTCGCGGTGGGGCATCCGGGAGCTCAGACAACTCCTCACAATATGGGGCATCAGGTAGACTTCCAAGGTCCTCACCGCTGAAAGTGGGTAGTGGAGGGGCTGAGGATACGACTTGGTCGTACGCGACCGCGTACTCTTTCGCATATATCTTCCGTTCTTTTTCCTTCTGCTCGGCTTTCTCTTGTCTGAACCTCTCAGCTTCCCACTCTGCCCTTTTATTCCTGTATTCTTCATTGGCCCTCTTTGCGTTAGCGCGATTGTTGGTTATGGTGTAATGCTGAGCATTCTCGAGGGGCTTGGTGGTGATCGCTTGGGCGGGGGTGTCTTTTCGGGAAATGCTGCTGGAGGCATGTTTGCTGGGCACTATTTTATTGTTGGAGGTGGTGTTCTTCCTTAAGGTCTTGATACGGTTGTTGAGCGGCGGTGAGATATTCTTTGTAGTTGGTGCACCAGACTTTGTAGCGGCTTCGAGGCCGTTTGCGCGAAGTCGCTGCTGTCTAGTGACCTGATCACCAGAAGTAGACTGTCTTGGGGAAGGCGCGCTTGCCTGTGCGGCGGCGACGGTGTTAAATTCGCGAGTGAAGAGGTCCTGCGGGCCCTTGGTTGGGCTTGGGGGTGGGGAGATGTATGACGGGAGGTAGTCGGTAAGTAATTTCGGGGGTGGGGGGACGTATGGAGAGGGGTTGTCATAACCATTGGCGGAATCAAGAGGACTGAGGATCGGGGACGGCCATGCGCCTGGGACGTTGACGCAGTCGAATTGGAGTCGAGACTCTGATTGTTTGGTGAGGAAGCGCTTGTTATTCTGCGCAATGACCGCCTTCGAGTTTGCTACCTTCGCGATGCGCGTGGGAGTGGCAGGGGCGTCGGCGAGACCAGCATCGATGAGTATTTTCTTGCGGGCGCCGTCGGGGCGTTGAACAGGCTCCGCACGGATGGCTTGCGGGCGGGTCGATGTCCGCAGGAGACGGCGGAGGCCATTGGCTATGAAGGTGCTAACGGTGCCCACAGAGGGGATCATGTTCTTGATCGTGGTGAAGTAGGAGGTCGTCGGGGTAGCTGCGCCCGGCGCGAAGTCGATCAATTGGCTCTGGGGAGACAGGAGAAAGTCGTCGTCATCCATTGCAATTGCACCAGGCATCGCGACTGCAAAGGCGTAGTCGTGGGCGCGCTTCGCCATGGCCGTGGTGCAGCTGCGTTGTAGATGGAAGTGTTGTTGGAGAGAAGAAGGAGCTGTCGAGAACGGACGCGAGTTAAGCAAGCCGAGCTCAAGCTCGGGCGCTGGCTGACGTAAGGAGGGGGCTGGATGGCACGTGCACATAAGCCCCTCCAACCCGCTTCCGGTCGGAGGAAGCCTCGACGCCTGCTTGCAGCTCGCTGAGGGTGGTAGAACAATCTGTGGATATGGAGTCAAGCTGATAGACCGGTTTCTGGGGAGAATATTCAACCGTTGCTTAGCGACGGAGTGTCGGCGCCCGCAAATGAGGCTCTGCGCCATTCCGAGTGCCAAGCTTCCTCCCAGGGCACCGGAGATAGGTTAATGCGCTCCGTCAATTTGCTTCCAGGGTTGTCACCAGCGGTCTGCAGTGCCAACAGAGGAAGCGACCTCGAAACCCCCCGTTTCACGCCGCATTCTTCCACTCCAACCTAATTTTTCACACAATCCCCACTTGCTTGTCCAGTGCAAATCGCTGACACACTCTTTCAACCTCGAAACCTCCCTCATTAACGTGTGCCTCCGACCAGGCACGTCATCTGCGCGCCAAGTTCAGCGCGGCAAGAACCCCCCTCACAAGAAGCCTCACAACACAAACAGCGATACCCACAGTTTCACCTTCCACGGCGTCCTGTTACTGCAGTCATGGATACTAATATGGAGGATGTCAAGATGCCTGAGCCCATGCAGCTATCGTCAATCCCGCTCACCGAGCCCGCGTCCATTCCAACGCTAGACGGTTGGATTGAGGGTCTTATGAACTGCAAGCAGTTGCCTGAGAGTGATGTACAGAGACTGTGCGACAAAGTAAGTTGAAGATACTGTATGAATGACAAGTGTGGCATGGGCTGATAGCTGTCGCGTGCACAGGCCCGTGAGGTACTTCAGGAGGAGTCTAACGTACAGCCAGTGGTGAGCGCTGAATATGCCCCCAAGTGCTGAAGCACATGCTCACGACCCGTAGAAATGCCCTGTCACTGTGTGCGGAGACATACATGGCCAGTTCCACGATTTGATGGAGCTGTTCAAGATTGGCGGTCCTAATCCTGATACCAACTATCTCTTCATGGGTAAACAATACCCGCGCCTGCGACGACTGGCGGCTAACCAAATGCAGGTGACTACGTTGACCGTGGTTATTTCTCCGTTGAGACGGTGACCCTCCTTGTTGCTCTCAAGATTCGATACCCCCAACGCATTACAATCCTACGAGGGAATCACGAGTCTCGCCAGATCACTCAAGTTTATGGCTTCTACGACGAATGTCTTCGGAAATACGGAAATGCGAACGTCTGGAAGTACTTCACAGACCTGTTCGACTATCTGCCGCTTACTGCCCTGATTGACAACCAGATCTTTTGTCTCCACGGCGGGCTTTCCCCTAGCATTGATACCCTGGACAATATTCGTGCGCTTGACAGGATACAAGAGGTACCGCACGAAGGACCGATGTGCGATCTGCTCTGGTCAGATCCTGACGATAGGTGCGGCTGGGGTATCTCTCCTCGTGGCGCTGGTTATACGTTTGGGCAGGACATCTCAGAGGCCTTCAACCATAACAACGGCTTGACCCTGGTGGCAAGAGCTCATCAGCTCGTGATGGAGGGGTACAATTGGTCTCAGGATAGAAATGTGGTGACCATCTTCTCTGGTAAGCCTGTCCCTCGTAATTCCACACCCAAGTTGCTCACAAATACAGCACCAAACTATTGTTACAGGTGTGGCAACCAAGCGGCAATCATGGAGATTGATGAGCATCTGAAGTACACTTTGTATGTTCCTCTAGATCCTACACTGATGCGCATTGCTAATACTGGCTCAGCTTGCAGTTCGATCCTTGCCCTCGAGCTGGAGAGCCGATGGTATCTCGCAGGACTCCAGACTACTTCCTTTAGACAGCATCTCTGGCGCTCAAATCCTCCTGCATAGCGTGGTAGACTGTACATAGCATCAGCCTATCGAACGACCCACAAAAGGTCTCGCTACTGCATGTCTAAGATTTGTCTTCAACTGGCGTGAGGGACGTCTCCTGCAAGGCCCACCTCTTGCCTTGTCCAACAACACATTAAATGTTGAGTGAGATAAGGATAATTACGGAGATCACGCAAGCTGAAGGCGGTCTGCAGACCACAAAACGTAGGCCCGATCATTAGACTGTTAAAGATGTGTATGATTCCCACGAATGTGCCAAAATGTGAACCAAATGAAGTAGAAAGTCCATGGTTATATTTGGAGGTGTGGGAGCCTTTCCTAAACAGGAAGGGTAATTGTGTGGCGCGCGCCAACGCGACGCGTTTTTGCCGAAACACGTCCCCCGCGAAGACCTCCTGAACACCATAACTTCCATCTTTGCCTGCATCACAACAACACACCACCTTTTCTGCCCACAATGTCATCGCTATTAGATGCTGTCCTCCATTCCGACGCTGCAGTAACGCCGTCAAGCGATCCTGGAAACGCACGGCGGTCGCAAATCCGCTCTTCTTCCGCCAGACCCCGCGCTCCTCCTTCCGAAAGCGCTGGCGCGAACAGCGACATCGAAGGATTTGCAGATGATGAAGTCGTGGGAGCAAGAGGCCCAGGACGGAGGCCCAACGGGCCGAGGACCGATGTACCTAAAGTTGTCGACGTGACTGGAGAGACGCTTTCGCTGCGGTTTCAAGAGTTCTTAGAGAGGTGAGCTGGACCAAGTTGATAGTACTGGGGACTCTGACAGATGATAGCTATACTGAGGACCCAACCGCTTCAGCGCTACCTGCCTCCAGCGTCCCAACCACTGACAAGTACTACATTGCCCAGATCAGAGGGCTCCGCCTTTACAATCTTTCAACCCTCTATGTCGACTACACTCATCTGCTCCGGCATGAGGACGGTGTTGTTGCCGCTGCTGTTGCCAGCGAATACTATCGATTTCTCCCCTATATGATCCGCTCTCTCCACAACCTAATTGCGAAGTACGAACCAAAGTACTTTCGCGAGCATCGCCAGCCTGCATCGACATCCTCCGTCACCGCCCCATCGAACGTTGGGAACGCCACAAGCCAAAACGAGTCGATCAACGAGAAGACACCCAACCAGCAGACGGACAAGATATTTACTCTGGCATTCTACAACATCCCGCTAGTCTCGCGAGTCCGCCAGCTGCGCACTACCTCGATCGGACGCTTGCTGTCTATATCAGGGACAGTCACAAGAACCTCAGAAGTGCGACCTGAGCTCTCAATGGCTACCTTTGTATGCGAGGCTTGCAACACCGTTGTTCCCAACATTGAACAGACCTTCAAATATACAGAACCGACACAATGCCCAAACACCACATGCATGAACCGGGAAGGCTGGCGACTCGACATTAGGCAATCTACCTTTGTAGATTGGCAGAAAGTTCGCATTCAAGAGAACAGTTCCGAGATCCCAACGGGAAGCATGCCCCGAACAATGGATGTCATCCTGCGAGGAGAGATGGTGGATCGCGCCAAGGCCGGAGAAAAGTGTATCTTCACAGGAACTGTCATTGTCATCCCTGATGTGAGCCAGTTCCGAGTCCCAGGCGTACGGCCTCAGGCGATGAGGGATAGTTCGAACACATCTCGAGGGAACGACGTGGGTGGCTCTGGGGTGAGCGGCCTTAAGGCTCTCGGCGTCCGCGATCTCACATATCGAATGTCGTTTCTTGCATGTATGGTGACGCCGGACACTTCTACTCCCGGCCAATCAGCCAACCACCACATGACTGGACAAGCTGCCAACATTCTTGCCTCTTTGAACCAGGCCCAAGCGATGGAAACAACAGCCACTGGTGAAGAAGCTCAAGCTGAATATCTTGGTACCCTAACGCCCGCGGAAATCCAAGACCTCAAAGATATGGTGCACAAGCCGAACATCTTTATGCGACTGGTCGACTCCATTGCACCGATGGTGTACGGCCACCAGGTTATCAAGAAAGGCCTCCTGCTTCAGCTTATGGGCGGTGTCTCAAAAGAGACTCCCGAAGGCATGGCTTTACGTGGAGACATCAACATTTGTATCGTTGGCGATCCCTCGACATCGAAGTCGCAATTCCTCAAATACATCTGCAGCTTCTTGCCTCGCGCTGTGTATACATCCGGAAAGGCATCCTCAGCGGCTGGTCTTACCGCTGCTGTAGTGAAGGACGAAGAGACTGGAGAATTTACCATTGAAGCTGGTGCATTGATGTTAGCTGACAACGGAATTTGCGCCATTGACGAATTTGATAAGATGGACATTTCGGACCAAGTTGCCATCCACGAAGCCATGGAACAACAGACTATCTCAATTGCAAAGGCAGGGATACAAGCAACGCTCAACGCGCGTACTTCGATCTTAGCGGCCGCAAATCCCGTTGGAGGACGATACAATCGAAAAACTACGCTCCGCGCCAACGTCAACATGTCTGCTCCCATTATGTCTCGCTTTGATCTCTTTTTCGTCGTTTTGGATGAGTGTGACGAAGATGTGGATCGCCATCTAGCAGAGCATATCGTGAGCATTCACAAAGATAGAGATGATGCGGTCGAGCCTGAATTTAGCACTGAGCAGTTACAACGTTACATTCGTTTTGCGAGGACTTTCAAACCCGAATTTACCGACGAAGCGAAGGTTAGTTTAGTGGAAAAGTATAAAGAGCTCAGGGCAGACGACGCACAGGGCGGTATTGGCAGAAACAGCTATCGCATAACGGTCCGTCAACTCGAGAGTATGATTCGTCTTTCAGAAGCCATTGCGAAGGCGAACTGTGTCTCTGAGATCACGCCGGAATTTGTCAAAGAAGCATACAACCTCCTCCGACAATCTATCATTAGTGTTGAGAAGGATGATGTTGAAGTTGAGGACGAGGATGATGAGGCTCTGGTTGCGGTAGCGGAGGCCGCAGAATCAGCACACCAAGACGGAGATGCTCCTATGGGTGATGAAGAGGAGGAGGATGATGGTGGGGAGGCTGCGCGGGCAAGGACAGCGAGCCGCACACCAGCTGCACCCGCAAGAGAAAAGACCAAGATCACGCATGATAAGTACGTGGCCATGCGTAATATGTTCGTCAAGCGAGTCAACGAGGACCAAACCGCCACTGAGGATGGGGTGGAAGAGGAGGAGTTGTTAGTGTGGTACTTGGAGCAGAAAGAAGGCGAGTTGGACACGCAAGAAGATTTGAACAAAGAGCGGGTTCTGGCAAAGAAAGTGCTCAAGAAAATAGTCAAGGTAAGTGGCATTATCGTTGGAACACAAAGACTCTCTGAATTAATCATTACCCTGTAGGAGCAATACCTTATGCAAATCCGTGGGGAAGGACTCGCCGATGAGCAAGGGCAAGGCCTTGCGTCAGACTCCAATATTGTCTATGTCCTTCACCCCAACTGTCCTGTAGAGGATATTGTATGAGGAGCATTACGAGATTATTAGAAATACATGATTAATCCAACGCACATGGTAGGATTGAGGACGGGCGTTTGGGGCTGACGGTCATGGATGAGGGGTTGGTTCGTAGAACTATTGGATACCAGTTAGATTTCCAACTTACACTTGAAACTAACGTGCTTGTCACAAGTACCATTAAACGGCCTATTCGAAAGCAGCGTTTAGGAGAGACAATGTGCTACAATTTTGGTCATATTGTGTAGAGCTTCCTCCCTGAGTACCTTCTAATGGCTAAGAAAATTAGCACTATAATGCTGTGCGATGTCGATTTCAAATAGCTGACTTAAGCTTAAGGCTGACTATTTGACTAATGCAATCTTTTCAAACTGCACTTGGCTGCCATGCTTCAAAGGTCTTGCTGGAGTTGAGTAAACAAGAGGGGGTTCAAAGGAATGCTGCGAACTACCCCCGACAACAACCCGAGCCCGGGCTATTTCCGTTTTCCAAGCCCACCGCTGACATATCGAGATGAGCGAAAAAGGCAGCAATTCCTTGTGCCCTGTGTTTCCCCCCCACGATCTAGGAATGCAGGATGCTGCACATTTGCAGATGGCTTAGAAATGTCCCAAGAGACGGCACTTGGAGTCAGTCATGTACCACTGTCCCTCCTGTCCGACTTGCGTCACCCCACGTCATAAATATGTATTTAAACTTTAAATATTTGGGTTCCCCACTCGCTCAAAGTTGATAAGCATAAGTGGTATTTCTCAAGCTTTCATTTATTCTTTTATATTCGCAATGGCACCCTCAACCGCTAAGCAGTGGACTATTGAAGGCAAGGACGGATTCGAGTCGTTGAAGTTGAATGAACAGGCGCCCGTCCCGCAATTGGGCGACAAGGACGTTCTTGTTAAAAGTATTGTCCACCGGCTCTTCTACCGCTATTTTTTTCGGCAACTTCAAATGCTAATTCTTAACAGTACATGCCGTTTCTCTGAACTACCGCGATCTCATTATACCGAAGGTATGTTTCCAATTATCCTGAACGGTCGACCACAGACTAGAGTTTAATCGTGTTAAGGGAAAATATCCCTTCGGCGTAAAGGATGGCGTAGTCCCGGGTTCGGATGGTGCTGGAACGGTTGAGGCGGTCGGGTCCCGCGTCACTCGCTTCAAACCCGGGGACAAGGTCGTGACGCTCTTCAGTCAAGGACATCTTGGAGGATCTCTCGATAGCCATTCTATTGCCACAGGGCTTGGAGGTGCCGTGGATGGCACTCTTCGTGAATATGCCGCCTTCGACGAGCAGGGGCTTGTTCACATGCCAGCCAACTTGAACTGGTTGGAAGCAAGCACATTGAGCTGTGCGGCTGTGACAGCTTGGAACGCTCTGTATGGGTTAGAGAGCAGAGCGCTAAAGCCGGGAGACACTGTCTTGACACAGGGAACTGGAGGGGTTAGCATCTTCGCTCTGCAGGTTTGTCTTCCTTCTGATTACTGGAGCTTGTGCTAAAGGTCCATCAGTTCGCAAAAGCGGCAGGCGCAAAAGTCATCGCAACGACCTCGTCTCCGCAAAAAGCAGATCTTCTCAAGAAGCTTGGCGCAGATCACGTTATAAATTACAAAGAGAATGTAAACTGGGGCGAGGAAGCAAAGAGCTTGACGCCTGGCAAAGCGGGTGTCCAGCATGTGGTTGAAGTTGGAGGCCCGACCACAATGGCGCAGTCCCTCAAGGCCATCAAAATCGATGGTGTTATCTCCATAATTGGATTTATTGGAGGCTTTTCCAAGGAACAACCGACATTTTTGGACTGTTTGGTACGTTTAGACATTATGGCAAGATGACATAAGGCTGACGTTGACACAGATGAACATCTGCACGGTTCGGGGCTTGCTTGTTGGCTCTAGACTTCAATTCGAGGACATGAACCGCGCTATTGAAGCCAATGACATCCACCCAATTGTGGACGAGAAGGTGTTTGATCTAGTACACGCAAAGGAAGCGTACGAATACATGTGGGATCAGAAGCATTTTGGCAAGCTCTGCATCAAAGTAGCGTAGAGAAAGGAATAAACCTTGATGTGGCTGCCTGAGCCGGAACAGGTCCTCTGTTCAGGCGTTCTCCACACAAACGTGCATTGTGCAAGCGAGTGCACTAAGTTGAGAAAGTGCCTGAGTTTCGCGTCCGCACGTGTTTCGTCCGTCATTCTGGCCTGGAGTTCAAGATGTTGGGCCCCGAAGACATGGATGGCACAGCAGGACATGATGGAGGGCTTGTCTGACATTGTATACGTAACTCTTGCAGGCAAATTCGGCGAGTAGCAACCGAATGGAGACGGTCGGCTTTCTTGTCGACCAGGCGTGCGGCGCTCAGCCTCCTGCAGTAGTTTAGTGCTTATGATGCTTAGCTACCCTGTGGCTGGTGGAGTCGTGGACGGTCTCGCCATCTCCTCCGCCATGGGTGTTATTGGTTATTTTATCCAGCCACGAAGTGGGAGCATCTCCCCCTCTGCTGCTATGCCTCCACCTCCTCCCTTCCGAGAGTTGGCCTATTCAGGTCGCTGCTGGCACCCTTGTGAAAGGAAGGTAAGCACCCGTGACCTCGCAGTTTATGGACTCTGGTCCCGTCATGCAGTCTTGACGTAGACCCGAGCTTCGCCGTTGCTGAATGTCCGTAACACAATCACACAAATCTCCGAATCCACCCTGAAAATGGCTGAGCGAGGGAATCTGTCGCCTTATTCCTCACGGAGTGTGTCACCAGAGAGGTACGACCCGTTCGATCCGCCGCTGGACCCCATCGAAATGTCGAACCAGATCCACCTATCCGACGAACATCAGAGGGATCGTTCACCGGGAGAGATATCACTGTCAAGCCTACCAGCAGGCTCATACTTTCCCGGATCGCGGGACGATGGGGCAAGCGGTCAATATGCGGCGCTGCCACGTCGAGCACCAACGACGCACACTTCGGCGGGAACCTCTTCTCTCAACTCAATGTTTTCTGGGCTATACCCATACAAAACACACGATGCAGATACACAGGCTTTAGTGGACAGAAGGGCTGGAGAATTGGCACAATGGCAGGTGCACTGGTCAACACCGGCAATCATACTCGCACTGTTTGTGGCCGGCCTAATAGGCGCACTCGGACACCATTTTTTCTACGTACACCTGGATGGCAAGCCTGCAGAGGCTCAACTTAGGATGATAAGATATGGAACAGCCCTTGCATTCTTTGTTAAAAGTACTCTTGTAGGCACCGTTATTCTATGCTACAGGCAGAGAATATGGACCACCTTTCGAAATAAAACCATGACGATAAAAGCCATCGATGGCTTATTCTCTGCGACAGAGGACCCCACGCAATTTATTGTCTGGGAAATGGTACGAAATGCGAAGCTTGCCACGGTGATGGCCATTTGCAGCTGGCTCATTCCCATAGCCAGTGTCCTCTCTCCAGCATCGCTAACATCGGAACCCCGGACGATGTACAATCATACACAATGTCCCGCTGTCGCCTCGCTCAATTTCACGCACGAATCGTCTTTCAATTTTAGAAACGAAAGTAACTTCCCCGGGTCTTCAATTATATACTATAATACTACGGATACTACTGGGAAAATGCCAGGATTCTTCGACTATTACGATCAGCCGTCAAAGAATGCTAGGAGATTAACCGTCACGAGTGTCTATCTCAAGAAGCCCGCAACATACCCCAATGCCTCAATCGACTCCTGTGGCGAGGGATGGAACTGCGAGTACTCCATCTCTTTCCAAGGACCTGGATACAAATGTGACGAGATCGCCAATTCTAGCAACCCTAACACCCAAGAGATTATTGCAGGAGGAGCGCCATTTAACATTAGCACGCTCGCTCCGAAAGGAGAATTTCTCTACTACAGCTCCGTCGACATTGGGGATTATGCATCGCCACAAGTTGACACAAAGGACGATGGCACCCCAGCTCAGGGGCCTCCCTACCCAGACAGCTTGGGAGTATTTGAAAGCGAACCGGTGCTCTGGATCGGATACGCCAGAAATACTTCAACGCCTTACGACCGATCAACCGAACTGGGCAAGAAATGGGGCAACGTTCATGAAGCCTCGATTCTCAAGTGCGTCGCTCACCACACCAAATACACTTTCGATATACAATTCAACGAAACAATCCAAAGCGCGACTCGCAAATCACGAAATTTCATAGCTCCCATCGTCGATACAATGGTAAACGCAGAGAACAGAAGTGACGTAGTAGCAAGTCCAAGTTCCAATTATGTACGACCAAATACGGATGTTGGGAAGTACAAATTGACTGCTGCGTACCATGCGATGGGCTCTCTCCTGCGCAACTTCCTCCGTGGATCAATCGCTTATACCCCTCCGTACTATGTGACAAAATCAGATATCTCCGAATCTCGACTTGTGGAGGCGGGTACATCGTACCCGCTACACAATCTAATGGAGGGAATCTCCTCGGTCTATGAGGACATGATCATTACATTGCTTAGCGAATCACATCTTGTCATCGCGCAGACAGAAAGCGTTCCTTGCATAAAGTCGAAAACTATGAATGTCTACATCTATCACCGAGAAGGCCTTTGGGTTGGGTACGCAATTGTTGTCGCGGTCGCTTTTGTCTCCATAATCGTTGGCGCCTGGTCCATTTTTCAAAACGGTGTGGCTTCCGATACGCAGTTTTCTCGTATTATGGTCACGACGCGGAATCCGACAATTGACAGATTGAGCGTTGGGGCTTGTCTTGGAGGTGACCCTTTTCCGAAAGAGCTTAGGGAGACGAAGTTGCGATTTGGTGTGTTGTTGGAAGATGATCACAGGGAGGGACCATTTGGGAACGTCGAGCATTGCTGTTTTGGAGCTGCGGGCGAGACCAAGGATATTGTCAAATACGGGACGTATGCTGGTTTGAGAAAATGGAGAAAAGTTGATGAAGAGGAGGCTGGCGATGTTCTTGAGAAAGGGCACCTGCTCGGTGAGGCCGACACACATACATGAGCCTCCGATCCGGTTCTGCAATATACTGGGACGAACTAACCGCGACTTCTCTATAGCATATCGGTTTTGTTGGTGGCCGCTACGACGTTACGACTCGACATGGTAAATGAATAGACTCGTCTATGAACTTCATTTCAAGGAGTATAAAACGGGATGTTTACTATAGTCTCATGTGTCGCCGCATGACTCTAGGACGATGTTAGTGTTATAAGGAGCTGATTTTGGACCGGTGCATGCTCTTTCGAAACCGCTTCGAGTCTTTGGTGGAATATTTCTTTCTAGATACCCCTTTACAGCTCCCGATTGTATTACGTTATCTAGTGATAATTTGTATACGTTATTACATCTTAGTTCCAAGGTCTTGTTTGGCTGTCCACCTCCCTCTTTCTAGACGACGAACGATGAACCCTAGAAGAGGATCCTCCCCCTAGTATAGCCACGCAATGAGAGACAACGGATTTCTAGCTTACAGTCGCGGGAGTACTCGGGGGTTGTTCACTTTACGGCAACCACATGTCGCTAGCGCATATGTTTGATTTAGAAGATCTCTATTACGGAGGGAGTGTGGGAGGTACACGAAAGTCGTCACTAATCTGCTAGGATCATAGAGCACTACCTAGCAAAATTTTGTCGTAGATATGGCTATAGTTGTTTGTCTATTAAATCTTTCTACTATCATAACATAAGGACTGGGGTACAATCGAGGGGATCGTTAATACCTTATATTTCTATGCTCGACAGATTTATATCTTGGAGTAGAAGCTATTGTTTAGTTCTCTCTCTGGTTTTAGGGGCCATTCTATGATCTCCGTTATTATTCATTTAAGGAGAGTAGGATGCATATGCCGCTTGGCTGATCGAGACAGTGGCCTTGTCCTCCGAGTTGAAACAGAAATTTTCTCCAGCCGTCAGACAGCAGCGTGAAATGCCAGGCACCTACATCGTGTTTTCTGGTCGAGACAAATTTCGGACAGAACTTAGCACCTTGTTGGCATCCTCCCTAATTTTAGCAAGATGTTTGGAAATATTCCTGTCACTGTCTACACTTTTTTGGTACTTTCCCTATTAGGAAAGTTAGGCGGAGTCGGGCATCGCTCGGACATCGTGCTGATTCTACGGAGATCTCAACCCCGCTTTCGGACTTGCGTCCGAACCAACCAGTGAGACAATCGACAATTCGCTGACATATCCGGTCGCTGGCTATAATTCGATCTAAGTGTACAGAAACTTCTAGGTTTCCGGATTTGCTTTTGTTCTCCCAATCCTCCTCTTCTGAAAAGGCGTGTTGGAACCATTACATTCACTTTTCACGACGTGTAAATCGAATAAAATGACACCCCCATCTAGAACTCCGCCCCAAGAAAGGGTTGACGATAACGGAAAGAACCAAAAAGCATCATATTGGGGCCTCCCAAAGAAAGGACAGTTAGCTGTGCTATGTCTAGCCCGAATAGCAGACCCTTTAGCGATTACTTCCATCCAAGTAAGCTCTACTTGCCTCTCGAAACCCATTTCACATCACATCACATCTCATCTCCTCTCATCACTGACTATTCAAATAGTCATATATGTTCTACCAACTCAAATTTTTCAACCCCTTAGCATCTAATGCCACCATCTCTACGCAGGCCGGCATTCTGGTTGGTACACGAACTGCAGCTCAAGTCTTCACAGGGATGATTTGGGGACGGTTGGCGGATTCGGATTTGGGCGGGAGGAAGGTGGTGCTTTTTATAGGGTTGGTAAGTTGCGGTAGGTAACATTATGTTTAACTCCCCAATTAGATAGCCCCTCAGCTGAGACGGATATACTAGGTATCTCTTATATCGGATACGGTCTAGCGAGGAGTTTTGCTATGGCAATCTTCTGGCAGGTGTTCGCGGGATTGATGAGCAATAATGTTGCAATTACGAGATGCGTAGTTGCTGAACTGAACCCCGAGAAACGGTAAGGCTCCGGTCTGTTTCTGAATTCTCCTAGATGCTAAGTGTATGCAGATATCGAACGAGAGCTCTACTACTCCTTCCTCTCTGCGCCAGTGCTGCACAGCTACTTGGCCCATTGATTGGTGGACTCTTGAGCTTGAATACTCGCGATGCTTCTCAATCTAAAGTTCCGTATCTTGCGCCCAACCTTCTGCTTGCTCTGATCTACTTCCTGGCTGCCCTTGCCGTAATCCTGTTCATGGAAGAAACGCTCGAGAGCCTACAGGGAACCCAAAGCCATTGGTTGGAACGCATATCCCAAAGACTAAAGGCCCGATTCTCGAAGAAATCATACTCTGTGCAAACTGCCGACACTTCCTCCAACTCTAACTACACGGCCTCAGAAACCACCCCTCTTGTCACTGCTTCCACACCTACAAAACCAAAGCGCAAACGCAAGCTTCCCTTCCGCCGAATCTGGACTTTCAATGTCGTGTGCACCATGGTCTCGCATTTCATCATTGCAGGCCACCTAGGCACATTTTCAAACCTCTGGGCCATCTTCCTGACCGCTCCAACTGGGCCCTCCAACCCCTCCCAGCGCTCCCCTCCCTTCAAATTTACCGGCGGTCTAGGCATGCTTCCCCGAGACGTGGGCTTCGCGCTCTCATTACTCGGCGCCATATCCATGATCTTGCAAATGGGTCTGTATCCGATGTTGCAAGACCGCTTCGGCACGATCAAGATCTGGCGAACTGCGCTCTTTATCTTCCCATTCGTATACCTCCTCGCACCGTACCCCTCACTTGTAGCCTCCGCTCCTGAAATCTCCCACAAAACGGCTTACATCTGGGTCTCTATGACAGCGGTTCTGCTGCTTTTCACTCTTGGTCGCACAGGCGTCACACCCGCCACTACTCTCCTTATTAACGACTGTACACCGCATCCCTCTGTCCGCGGGACTATTCATGCGGCAGCAACGGTGTTGGGACATCTGAGTCGTAGCATTTTCCCTGTTATGGCGTTAGCCGTGTTTGGACAGGGACTTCAGATTGGAGTTGTAGGGTTGGGGTTCTGGTGTCTTGCAGTATTGGCTGTAGCGAGTTGTGTGGCGAGTGCTTGGGTGAGGGAGGGGAGTAATGGGGACGAAATTGTGCTTGAGGAGAGTGGTGATGATGAGGAAGAGGATGTGGGGGAGGCAAGTGGGAGGAATGGAAGTGGGCGCGGGGATTTGAGAAGGGGGTGAGGATAGATGGATTGGAAGCGACGAAGAGAATGGCTCATACCCCACCAACTATAAAATTGTCTGGATGCAGCATCCTGGGGAAGAACTTTGAGTTCAAGGCATCTCTAGTAAAAACTACAGAAAACATAGCGTGTTCCCGTAAACCAATTCCAGACCAAACCACACCAACACCATTACTCAACGATGCTTCTTTTCCGCAACCGGCTTCCCCTTTTAAACATGGAAGACGTGCTAAACTTCCCTTTCTATCAATATATGCCCTGTCACCAAACCTCGTCTCCACGTCCAATCCGCTACCTCATTCACTCACCCCAACACAACCACTCTATCAGCTAGCTAAAAATACCAAGCCCCAGTTCTATGATCCCTACGCATGAAAAGCTTCCCCCACTTCTACCAGTTGCGAACATGTACCTGCACCATTGAATGCGGGATAGTCTCTTTAGAGAACTTGCTATCGCATACCCAAGAGATCCAAGTCTCCAATGCCGCACGGCCAAGCGTTTGCATTTCTTGCAGAAATAGAGGATTTAGCCTATCGTACTGGGCTGCGGTATGAAGTATCCGCATGGCTCGCAGCCATGAGGGGAGTTTGAAGGAACTGTTCTCGGTATTGCGCCGCTTCCGCGTTGGAGAGGTTTTAGGACCATGTTCTAACCACTGCCAGTGTTGTTGAAAATCATGCCATACTTTCAGATCGAGTAGGTGTGGTATGTCTGATACATTTGGCCTTAGTGGACTGGGTATGGGGACATGCTGTCCTGACACAGCGGTTATCTTCGAAGGTTCCTGCTTGTTACTGTCCTCACTCTTGGTTTTGAATTTGTGTCTTGGTTTGGACTTATGCTTTGGTTTTGGTTCATGCCTGGGATTAGGTTCGTGCCATGGTTTACCTCCGTCTGACCTTAGTCTTGAGTCTGAGCTATAACCGGAATCTGCGTATCCGCTGTTTGTGGCACCTCCTCTAAGACATGGCATCCGGTCCCTAGGAGGAAGTGATAAAGAGGTAGTAGATCCAGACTTGATTTGACTCTTGGGCTCCGCAAACAGCGACTGAGACACATCAGTCGAAGTTATACTCTCTAGTGTACCCCATCTAGGGTCTGAATTCATATCCGGATCACTAACAAGCGCCAAATCATTGTCCGAAAGCCTTTGTGGCCGTGACCGACGAAATAAATACCCGTATGAAAGCTCATAGCCTAGCACGGAGAGGTTTTGGTGCGACGGAAGAAGTTCGAAGGGAGCCCCTGGGTTTGCCGAATCGATGGAAGGAGTTGGAGGTGCGGCTCTGGGTGATCGGTGGTGGTGGTAGTGGTGGTTGTACATGCCGGGCGGAGGATTGAAGCCGACTTGAAGGTCGTATGGAGGCGACGAATGCTGTGGCGCCCCAGGCCGCACCCAGTACGTCGACATGTAGGGATTTCGGGGTATTTCGATGGACCAAGAATTTCTGTGAGCAGGACTGAGTGGGGTGATAGGAGATTGTTGGGCTGGAGCGAAGTTGCCATGATTGTGTTCGCTGAAGGGGTATTGATACATATCCGGCCTAAGAAGGTAAAAGACTGGCTCATAATCGAGTGAAAGGGAGCCGTGTCCTTCATCATCATGGATAGCTTTCTGCTGGCACCACCTCGGTCCTGTTGGACAGTAGCTGCAGTGGTCTATGTCATAGATCGCATATACGGGGGCTGGACAAGGCCTGCTGGCCAAGGCGTCGGGGCATTTCCAGCTCATCCGCAAGACGTGTTCTGCTTTGCCGCAGGGTGGTTTCCATGTGAGATAGTTACACATGTTTAATCTAGAGGCGGTCAGTAGAAATTTGGTATATTTTGAGTGCCCCAAGGCGTGGGGTATAAAAGTAGGTGCGGGTGGGTGGATGTCGATAGAGAACAATCCTGTGGCAGTGACTGGCATAACGAACACTTGCGGTGGGATGTTGTGGATACTTGGCTTATGAGACGTGCTTCTCGGATGGCGATCGCTTACAAGGGAGCGTGGAGCGCTAAGGGAAATGTAGACATGAGCTAAGATGCTACAGAATGGATGGTGTCAAGATGTTTTGTAGATGGTGAAGGAGGTTGAGCGGAGGAAGAAGAGACAAGCCTTGTTCAAACTGAGCAAATAGGTGAGTGCATTGCCGCTGCCGTGTTTGAGCATCATGGTAGTTCCCTAAACTAATGCTGAAGGGTGGCTAGTGGGAGGGACTTATTTGGAACAGGCATTTGCAACCTCATGGGAACTTGCCCCAAATTGAGCAGTAGAAGATGCAGGAACTTATGTCTAGAGTTAAGATAAAGTAAATGGATGATGTTCCAATGTTTTACAGCCGTAGACACATGCCGTCTGAGGAAAATCGTATACCTGTCATCGCGGAAACTTATGCTACCGGATCAAGGACAATGTTGTCAATAAGTCGAACAGGTATTTGGCCGCCACCAACTCCCAGTTCCTCGCCTTCCTTTGCATCTTCTAGGGGTAGCATCTTCACAGCACCGCTCAAAATAGCACCCTTCGCTTCATCAACTTCCTCTAACTCTTCCATTGTTTCAGGATTGGCTAGACTTATGTAGTCCACTTCAAATCTAGCTCTCTTGCCCGGTTCCAAAGCTTCTTGCTCGAGCAAAGTCTTATCCGCATGATCGTTAGCAGGCCAGAGGATATCGCCCCTCTTTCTCTTGCCAGCGTTGTATTGCGCCTCTGCTTTCCGCAACAATTGGTTGAGCACAATGCCAACGTTCCGCCGGCGAGTACCTAGGTATACGTTCCGAGACGACAATGCTAACCCATCTTTTTCTCGCTCTGTTGGTCCAATCCGGACTTCGGTGTTGAGGTGGAAGTCTTTGACAAGGCGTTTGATCACCACCGTCTGCTGAATATCCTTTTGACCGAAATAGACGCGGTCCGGAGCGCAGATGTTGAAGAGCTTCATGCAAACCGTTGCCACGCCCCTAAAAAACACAGGGCGGGATGCACCTTCGAGCAGTTGGCCTAGGGGGCGGATCTCGACGAACGATCCTGCGCCGGGGATGCTGCTGTCAGGAGGCAAAGTAGGGTACATAGTCTTGGTACTCGGTGCAAACACAGCGGATATACGGCCTGCTCCCAAGCTCGCCAATTCTCTATCCAGCACGGTTAAAATCTTCATGTCGGCTTCCCATGTTTTGGGGTAGGACGCTAAGTCCTCATTCATGCCGAATTGTGTCGGATTCACGTATATCGAGACAAAGACGTCTGTGTTCTCGGCAGCTGCTTGACGGACGAGGGAAAGATGCCCTTCATGAAGAGCTCCCATTGTTGGCACAAGACCGAGCGTGCGATTGTTGAGGAGTAGGTCCCTTCGCCATTTTCGCAGTGGGTCGACATCACGGAAGACCTGGGTGTGCGGAGCAAAGGGTTTAGGGGAGCGTCGTGGGGAAGAGGAAGAGAGGAAGCGGACGACTCGTCTCACAAAGGGAGCGGAGTAAAGAGGTGAAAGCCGTTTGGGAGGGCAGTGGTGGTTGGTGCACACTGTCACGTATCAGCCTCGCGACTCAATGGGTCGAATTGAGGTTGTCTACTAGCTAAGTACCGGAGGGCTTGGAACTGAGAAGCCATGGTGTTGCGGAGATGCGGAGGCCGTCCGGAGGCCGCCGTTCTTGGTATCAGGGAGATGGTGGAGGATGGAGTTTGCGGTGGAAACCCTCTTCGGCAACCGAGGAGCTGGCCGAGTGAGTGAGCGAAGCCATCTGTGCAAACTGGGGAAAGAATCGAATCTTGGACTGCAATCTGCAGTGAACATTTCATAACAGTCACGTGCACGGTAAGGTCATGCACCATGCAGGTGAGCAGTCTGTGCGTGCTCCACCGAAAAGTTTCTGGACCGAAGTGGGCTGGGCATTGTGCGTGAAATCTACCAACCATCAACCCTTACCCTCCAACAATCGCACTGTGTTGAGGCGGGGCAATCATGGCGGACGATGGCATGCTCCTCAATTTCTCGATCCCCGTCGGCGGTATTTTGAACAAGCCAAAATTCAAAGGTGGCACTTGGAGGGACCGATTGACCGCAAAGAAGGCTGCCGAGAACTGGCACAACAGAGCCACTGGACGACTCACCGGATCGGAGACCTCGGCGAATGTGAATCGTATCACAATCGGTGAAAGAAGAACACGAGCATCGAAGAGCCCAGATATTGTGACTGAGAGACACGCAAAACGGCCGCGAGTTGGTGGAGAGTTTAAACCTGCGGCAAGTGAGAAGGTCTCTGCCACGAAGACGCCCGGAGAGAAGCAGCATATCTCTAAGGGAGGGAAGCAGATCATCTCGTCGTTGTTCTCCTTCAATCCTGTCTCGACGACCAAGTTGCTCCCAAAAGACGACTCACAGAACGACATCGTGGTTGAACCTTCTAATGCGCCGCTCAGGAGCGAACTTGACACCTTCACCTCCCTTGGAATATCGACCACCCTTGCTGCCCATCTACTGAACAAGATGGACCTGAAAGCTCCCACAGCGATTCAGAAAGCAGCAATATCACAGTTGATAAAAGAGGATACCGATGCATTTATACAGGCAGAAACTGGTTCAGGGAAGACGCTGGCATACCTACTGCCAATAGTGCAGAGGCTCATGGAGCTATCCGCAAACATGAAGAAACGGAAATCTGATGAAGCGGTCCAGAGAGACTCTGGTCTTTTCGCGATAGTGCTTGCGCCAACTCGAGAATTAAGCAAGCAAATCGCGCAAGTGTTGGAGAACTTGTTGCGGTGTGCGCATTGGATCGTGGCTGGAACAGTCATTGGTGGCGAGAAGAAGAAGTCAGAGAAGGCTCGGTTGCGGAAGGGCCTCAATATTCTCGTCGCAACGCCAGGTCGGCTAGCAGACCACCTGGAGCACACACAAGCCCTAGATGTGAGCAATGTGCGGTGGCTGGTGCTTGACGAAGGAGACCGATTGGTGGAGCTTGGATTTGAGGAGGAGATCCAGAAAATTGTTAGCAGTCTCAACCTACGAATGCGGGCGAAGAAGACTTCCAACATTCCCGGGCTTCCGGAGAAGAGGACGACGATCCTCTGTTCTGCTACAATGAAGATGGATGTCGAGCGACTAGGGCAGATCAGTTTGAAAGATGCGGTCCACATCCAGGGTGATCCTGCAGAGAAGGTGCAAGGTGCAACCGAGAAAGATGACCGCACATTCTTTGCCCCTGCGCAACTGAAGCAGTCTTATGCTGTAGTTGCCCCAAAGCTCCGCCTAGTATCTCTCATCAGCATGCTAAAACGGACCTTCGTAAGGAAAGGATCAATCATGAAGGCAATCGTGTTCATCTCCTGTGCCGATTCCGTCGATTTTCACTTCGATGTTCTCACTAACAAGTTGGAAGAAGTGGTTGCGGACGAACCGCCAGAAGACGGGAAGGAGAATGTGGGAAGTGACGAGACGACCGAAACAAGGCCTAAGAAGATCAAAGGCGTCCCTCAGTCTGATCCCACCAAGCTCACAGTAACATATGCAGAGTCACCAGTTCTGTCCCCCAAAACCCACTCCGTAACGGCATACCGGCTCCATGGATCTCTCCCACAAGTTCTTCGAACGTCGACACTCTTGCATTTCACAAAGACTAAGGAGCCGTCTGTCATGTTAGCTACAGATGTCTTTTCACGCGGTCTCGACGTCCACGACGTCGATCTCGTCATCGAATACGATCCTGCTTTTTCCCGCGATGATCATTTACATCGTATTGGCCGAACTGCGCGGGCGGGACGCGACGGTCGGGCCTGCATATTCCTCATGCCAGGGTGCGAAGAAGGCTATGTAGAGGTTCTTAAGAGTGACCGCAAGGATAGTGAGACTGGCGTTACTCTCACTCGCCAGGATGCGGAGGAGATTCTAAAGAAGGGCCTCGTTACGTCTGGGCAAGTATCAAAGGACAAGACATCCTATATGGATAAAGCTACAGACTTGCAGCTTAATGTGGAACGATGGGTCAAGGAATCTCCTGCACGAACGGAGTCCGCTACACGGGCGTATCAAAGCCATCTTCGAGCATACAGAACGCACGTTCACGCTGAACGAGTATATTTCAACTCCGAAGACCTGCATTTAGGCCACCTAGCGAAAGCTTTCGCCTTGAGAGATAGACCTAGTGGGATGAGGGTTCCCGGCCTTAGGACACGTGCTGGTAGAGAAAGTAGGAAAGGGGTTAGTGGAACTGGTATGAAAGACAACCACCCCTCTACAGGGGGGAAGATAAATCTGGATCCTTCGAGTACCAGCGCGGACGAGGAGGCAGCCAAAATGAGGAAGGCAGTCAGGGCTCGCGAGAAGTTCATGAGAGCTGCTGGGATGGCTGATGAGTTCAACTTAGGATAACTATTATCAGGACAGCTGAGAAAATCGGTGTCTTTAATTCAATTATTCATCTGTCACAGGCAATTCCAAGAAAACCCCCGCCTGCCCCACTGACACTGTTTTATTCAGAGTCTTTTTGCGCCAGTTTTCGTTTCTGTTGGCGACCTGTTCCATGTTTCCACACATGCTCTACCATCGTGAAGTAACTGTCACTTTTCAGCTCTCTCAAATGACGGAGCCCAACAATTCTCAACGCATTTTCCCCACCTCCGACTTTGATTTTTTTCACTTCAGAAATTCGCTTTCTCTACGACCTCATCGTCCACCACAACCATGGCCGACGAACAACCAGCCGAAGAATCTATCCTCGCCCTCTCCGACTCTTCAATGACTGCTCTCATAACATCTGCCCACTTCGTTTCTATGACCGAGCCCACCGAATCTCAAACTCCAACTTCCCTTGCGTCGGCCCTGCCCTCCATCACCCACGTCGTCACCTCCGTTCGACCAGCGCAAAGTATACAGAATATCATCGCCATCGACGAGTCAATGATACCCCCTCAGTGGCGGCCCAGGCCACTGCATTCAACAGGTACAGCATGGTATTATGGTGTAGAAGTGATGGGCGGAATGTTGGTCGGCGGAATTCTGGTGGTGTTCATAATCACATGGTGCCAGTAAGTGTTGAAATAATCCTTTGTCTTTAACGAAGGAGATGCCCACCAAGGGAAGGAGGGAGAAGGATGAGAAAGCGGTGTGGGATTGTGCTAACGGGAGTGCAGATGTTGGTGGGTAGGAAACTGTTTCTGGAATTTTGATAGGAGGGGCATGAAGAAGAGGAAAGCTTCGTGGGAGAGGTATTAAGTTCCCGCCGTCATCGTGGGATACAACTTGCACTGTAAGACTGGCTGCCTAATGCTGGATTGGAGTTGGATAGGGTTCGGAAGTAGCTGTGTATTGTGTGGCGTTTGATCAAGGGGCTCTTTGGGGAATTGGGTGCGGTCACACAGTTTCGAATAGCCTTCCAGATGTTAGGAATATTCAAGTCTTAATGTATAATGGAGAGAATGTGAACGACTGGTGCTACAACTCTTATAGAGCTCCGGTGTGAAGGCTCGTGCTTCATTCACACTACTTAAGCTTTTGAGGCTCGTGTTGATCATTTTGGCTCGCACTCCCTAATCCTCCAACTCTTGCCCTCAAACATAACCGAGTCTATCCTCCTCTTTCTGTAATAGTTCCAAAGGACTCAATTGCTTGTGGCTGAGCGACTGCCGCGGGTTGTTTTCCACTTGTTTCTCAGCTTCCTATATCTGTTGTAACTATGGTTAAGGCGTCCAAGCCTGGTTGCGGAAACACACATTAAATCCTTGTGGCTGATCGCGTGAAACAATCGCTCAGGAGTACTCGGAAACGAGACGCATCGGAAGATCCTGTGTAATTTTTGCTCTGGGGCTGAGCGATCTGTAATAGAAAGAAAAATGCAATACCTTCGTCGTCCAAAACTCCAATTTATGCTCTCATTCATTCATTCATTTATTTATTCATCGTCATTCGTTTCTGCCAAAATTGCTGGGCCTCCATTCTCTACTTTCAATTGAGATCCGGTCGAGAGCGTCATTGCTTCTCAAGACTGATATCTTCAAACCCGTTTTTCTGCAAGCCAGACTAGTCTTTTGGACTTTCGAGATGTTGAGTTATTTCGTGACAGCACTAAGTGTTGCCCCAGTTCTCCAAATCACCTTCGCCCTTCCCACTACCAACCAACCTCGAGCCGCGTACCCCTTCACTAGACTTGTAGCCTTCGGCGATGAACTTAGCGACAATGGCAACGGAAGCTATGCCCACGGCATCACAGGCGATCCGGCAACCGTCTACGGCTTCGGCACCTGGACCAATGGTCCCGTTGCCGTATCATACCTCTCTAATCTCCTCAAAGCTCCTTTAACTGACTATGCCTTTGGAGGATGTTGTGGCGGGGCCTCCGGAGGCGCAACATTCGACAACGCGTACACCAAGTCCGCGGCTGGAGCCGCGTCGCTCATTGATCAGATCGCAAATTACAGCGGAAAAGGATACCCTGACATCAAGAAGTCGATGCAGTTCATTTGGGTCGGACAAAACGACGTCAGTGCGCATACAGATGCTTTCTGGGAGGGCGATCCGCACAACGCGGACTTTGCGCAGAACGCTGCGGCGAAGACAAGTGCGGCGGTGAAGAAGCTAATCGATGCCGGCGCGCCGTACGTCCTGGTTGCGAATATCTATCCCAAGCATCTTGCACCTGTGACGGCGAAGTACCTCTGCGGTACATCGACTTCTTGCGTGGAAACATGGGGCAAGGTTATTTCTTCGGCAAACGCTGGTATCAAGACTTCCCTCCAGCAATTCGGTACCAAAGCTATCTACTACGATTCCTTCTCTTTCGTCTCGAATCTGTTGAACAAGGCGGCGGCGAATGGGTTTACGGCGCCGTTGACGGATTTCTGTGATGGCATGGGGGATGCGACGTGGAATGACTGCATGGTGAAGGGGAATATGGGGAAGTACTTTTGGATGAATTTTGTGCAGCCTACTACTCGGGTGCATGAGTTGATTGCGAAGGATATGAAGGCGACTGTTGATAAGCACTTGGGATTGTAGACGGTGGGGTTGAAGGTTGAGGGGGAGGGCGGATGGAGGACAGAGGGGAAGTAAGAGATTGACTTCTTGTACTTATACTGACTATATTCGAACTAGCTTTTGGAGAGAAATATAGAGAAACGGAGACTGTGTCTCCCGCTCATTTTCAATACGGTGGCATCCGGCAAGGGGTAATGCGGTATTGATTAACATGGGAGTGTTTGACGTACTCCACACTTAAGATTCAAAGCGAATTTTTGTAAATAAGAAGAGTAGAAAGAGGGTTGAGTAAGGATCTACCTCCACCAAAGGGAAATAACAATGTGGAGTGAGATGCATCAATGTCGTGGGATACAAGCTCCGAATTCATGCAAATCTGGGGAAATTGTGCACGGACTCTGATTGTGCATGCTGCAGATGAGGTCAGTGTAAACGCCTCATGTTCCAGACGACAGTTCCGATTTCCGCTCATGTAACTGCGGATATTTTTCCATCGAACGTTACAGCATCCGATGTCCTCAATTCATCTCGCCCCTGCCCTCCGCTAAGGGGCTCGTCGATCGGTTCGCAAGATGCTACCCTCGTCGTCTCCCGAACTCCTCCATAGACTCGAAGAGTCAGGCTCGCAAAGCACTGACGATGCGTCTACACACCTCACGCCCTCCGACGGGGAGTCGGACGACGGACTTCCGATGATAGATGGGATGTATGAGGGAGAGAGCTACCAGTTAATGACTTTGCCTAAGGGCGGCAATGCCTCATCAAGGAATGATACTTTGGGAGTACCACAAGAAGAGGGAGCAGGCGAAGACGCGGCATTCTTGCCGAGTCCGCAACGTTTTTCTATGAGCTCGGTACAGAGCTATGAGATCTATACCCCAGACGAGAATCGGGCTGTGTTGAAGAAGCTGGACAGGCGGCTGGTGCTTTTTATGGCGCTGTTGTATTGCTTGAGCTTTCTGGACCGGTCAAGTAAGGGCTGCCCTCTTTCGTTGGAATACTATGTCGCTCTTACTGCCACTTGGGTGCTTGACTAACAGCAGTTGAATAGACATTGGCAATGCACGAATAGCAGGTCTTGCAAAGGACCTCCATTTGGGCTCGCAGCAATATGAATGGCTGCTGTGGGCTTTCTATATTACTTATATTGCTTTCGAATGGATGACATTAATGTTGGTCTTGATCTCTTTACTATATGGATCCGTACTCAATCTCCGTTGCCAACTACCTCCAACAAGAATCATGCACTAACTAAACTTTAGGTACCGCATAGTCCCTCCGCATATCTACATATCTATCTGCATATTATCCTGGGGCATCATAGCTTCCCTTCAGGCCATTTCTACTTCTTTTGGCTTCTTATTAGCTCTCCGAGCTCTTCTTGGAGTTGGAGAAGCTGCATTTGGACCCGGTGTTCCCTTCTACCTGTCCTTCTTCTTCCGGCGCGACGAATTAGCGTTTAGAACAGGACTGTTTATATCCGCTAGCCCGCTCTCGGCATCTTTCGCAGGCGCTCTTGCATGGGTCATCACGAAACTAGGAGAGCATGGACCGCTCAGCCCTTGGAGGCTACTATTCCTCATCGAAGGATTCCCGAGCATTTTAGTTGCGGTTTGGGCTTGGGATCTCATTCCTGATGGGCCTGGGACGGCGAAGTTTTTGAGCCCGAGACTGCAAGAAGTCGCAGTGCTCAGGCTGAGGCAGGAGAAGGAAGACGAGGAGGAGGGCTACGATGGTGAGAAGCATGAGATTGGAAGGGAACAACGCAGGGGCGTGGTACTTTACGAAGTTCTGCAGACCCTCGTGGACCCTAAATGCTACCTCACAGCTGTATGCATTCCTCCTCCTATATTCGGATGAGCGCGTGCTAAAGTTTGACAGTTTATGTTCTTCAGCTGCAACGTAGCGTTTAGCTCCATGCCGGTCTTTCTACCAACCATCATCAGAGACATGGGCCATTCCTCAGTCATGTCTCAAGCTCTCTCCGCTCCACCCTATCTCTTTGCTTTCGTGGTAGTGCTCATTACGGCATACATCTCGGACCTCTATCAAACTCGCTCAGCCTGCATTATCTTCCACTCTCTCCTCGCCTCCGCTGGCTACACCACCATCGCTATCTCCGGCTTTTACGAGTCGCCCAACACCACAATCCGCTACCTAGCTCTGTACCCCGCTGCTGCAGGCTTCTTCTCCGCCATCACAATCATCATCACATGGACCATCAACAATCAAGAAAGCGACAGTAAAAAAGGCACCGGAATGGCCATGCTTAATATTATCGGGCAAATGGGCCCACTGGTTGGGACCAGCATCTTTCCAGAGGAAGACGGTCCGTGGTACGTTAGAGGTATGGGGGTTTGCGCGGTGTTCATGCTTATGGTTGGAGTACTGGCGGCGGTTCTGAGAGTTTTGCTGGGGATCCAGAACAACATGATCCAGAAAGCGAAGAAGGGTCGAGGTGGTGAGTATGCTGGCGTTCCTCTCGAGGAGGGAGGGATTGTGAAGGGTGAGCGGAAGCCTTTTGAATTTATATTATAGAGTTCAATTATGTATCCACCATATAAATAATATCAAATTTACTCCTACCAATGATTCCTTCGCCAAATCTGACCCTCCAAGGGGTTTTGGAAACCTTGATAGATTCATACGATCACGTGAGCCAGCCCTATGCACATTGACGTCGTTTCTTGGCAGCGATTTCGAAAGCCCCCAAATGGGCAAGCGTCGCTTGGGCAGGTGCACTTCATCAACAACATTTCTAGGCTGCGAACACAGAGACGCGATCTTAAACATTACGACCATCGGAGCCCCAAAGTTTCTTTGAAACATCCCACAACTAGATCCGTATTGGGATCCTCCACGTGATCCACGTCATCGCCCTGGTTCCTATGTGCTAGAAAAAGAACTATGTCTCGATGACCACGACTATATGACAGCGGTTAGAATTCCAAAGCTTTCTTTCTTCGTTGGACTTCCAGCATGGATGGATCGAAGTTCAACGCTGAGACAAGCGAGCGGCCAAGCTCGCTGGTCGATTCCTCAAAGGCCAACAAATCGCAAGACAGCATCCAAATGAACGGCCCTGAGGAATCCGAAAAATCGTCCCTGGATGCCCGCACACCAAAGATTGCTATCAGCAACGAAGGCCCTGTCAACGACTTCAAGCTAGAGATCGATACGGAGAAGGGGCCGGGGATCCCAAGGGGTGAGGCGGAGTCGATCCGCTTCGATGGTGATGAAGAGGATCCTGCCGTTCCAATTTCTTTCCAGAGATCGACGAGCCCGGCGGTCATGCAGTGGAATAAAGGAGCTGCGTATGAGAAGGTGGGCGAGGATGGAATTAATAGGATGTATAAGTTCTCTCTTTACGAAACTAGCGCCAGGTTCTATTTGGTGGGGGCCGACATCATGGACAAGCATTACCGGGTCTTGAAGATTGATCGGACAGCACCTCCCGGGCACTTGAATATCTTCGAAGATGACATTGTCTACGACAAGCGGGAGATGAACCAACTTCTCAACGCAATTGACGATGGCAATAAGGGCTCTGGAGGCATGAAGCTTAAGTGTAGTAGCTGGGGTCTTTTGGGCTTTATCAGGTTCACAGAAGCTTACTATATGCTGCTCATCACTAAGCGACAACAAATGGCGATGATCGGAGGCCACTATATTTTCCAAGTCGATGGCACGGAGCTCATTCCACTCACCACAGGCTCAACATCTCGTTTCCAAAAAGACCGGAACCCAGAAGAAGCAAGGTTTCTGAGCATCCTCAATAATCTGGACCTCACACGATCTTTCTACTTCAGTTATTCTTACAATATCACTAGAAACCTTCAACAAAACATCATCCGAGAACGAGAAGCTTTAACCCAAGGTCGGAAACCCCCAGCTCGTGACTTTCAAGATATGTTTGTATGGAATCACCACTTGCTGGAGCCTGCACGCGTAGCTTTGAAAAGTGTATATGACTGGTGCCACCCAATTATTCATGGTTTCATTGATCAGTCACCTCTGGACGTTTTCGGCCGAAAGGTGTATATCACCGTCATAGCAAGGCGGTCACGATTCTTCGCAGGCGCACGCTTTCTCAAACGTGGAGCGAATGACCTAGGATACGTAGCGAACGATGTAGAGACGGAGCAAATCCTTTCTGAAGGCCTTACCACCTCCTTTCATGCCCCTGGGCCTCGACTTTTTGCGAGCCCGACCTACACGTCTTACGTGCAGCACCGAGGAAGTATTCCGCTGTATTGGACACAAGACAGCACCGGTGTCACACCAAAACCAGACATCGACTTAAACCTCGTGGACCCTTTCTACAGCGCCGCCGCCCTCCACTTTGATAACCTTTTTGAGAGGTACGGGGCACCTGTGTATGTCCTGAATCTTATCAAAGCGCGAGAACGGACACCAAGGGAATCGAAATTGCTCCACGAGTATCAGGACGCCATCAGGTACCTCAACCAGTCACTTCCTGATGACAAGAAGATTCTGTATGAGGCATTTGATATGGCGAGGGCGTCCAAGACGCGAGGTCAAGATGTAATTCAGACTCTGGAAAAGCTTGCCGAGAAGGTGCTTCAAAAGACAGGCTTCTTCCATAACGGAGACAGCAATTTCGACACCCCACAAGTGCAAAATGGAGTTGCAAGGACTAATTGCATTGACTGCCTAGACAGAACGAATGCTTGTCAGTTCGTGGTTGGAAAGCGCGCCCTTGGTCGACAGCTTCAAGCCCTTGGGGTTATTACAGGAAATACAGTGGAGTACGACACAGATTGCGTCGATATTTTCACCAGGATGTTCCATGGACACGGAGACGAAATCGCAATACAGTACGGAGGCTCTCATTTAGTTAACACTATGGCTACCTATCGCAAGATAAACCATTGGCAAAGCAGTTCACGAGATATGGTCGAGAGCTTCAAACGCTACTATCACAACTCCTTCCTAGATTCACAGCGGCAGGAAGCCTACAACCTCTTCCTTGGAATCTACACATTCGCTCAAGGCCAGCCTATGCTGTGGGACCTGGCGACAGATCACTATCTCCACCATGCGGACCCACGATCCTGGCTGTACAAGCCACGGCGAAACTACATTAATTGGTACAACCCGGGGAATCTCGAGCCTCGCTCGCTTCCTGCTTCAATGAGACCGATCAGGAAACAGTTACAGCTCACTCAGAAGGGTGGTGTCAGTCTGTATGACGACTACTGGCTCGAATATTATCGTCCTCTCGCCATATCTTCCTTCCTCAAAATCTTCGCCTTTCGATTGAACTCGCCTTCACGGCATGCCTCCGATAAATCCCTCCCACCTCGTGACCAAGATCTCTCACCTTTTGTCATCCGCCGGAGACAACACGACCAAGACTCCCCTGGCAAAGTCGAAAAGAAGCCTCCGCGCAAAGGCGTCACCATCGTCGATCCATCCAGCGAGACAGACACCCGCGACGGCCTGAATCTAAATCTGCGACGACGAAAAGATAACCTTCTTCATCAACCCGAAACCAGCTCGCCTATCAAGCAATCCATACTACGAGACCCGCATTTCGAAACCCAGATGCCGTCACCCTCTGCACCCGTTAAAAGTGACATCTTCCACTCCCTCTCAAACTTCACGTCTACAGGTCTCTCTACCTCATTCCAAAAGCCATTCAAACCCGCCGACAAAGCTCTCATCAACCAATGGACTCTCGCCCAATTCCATGAAAACAGTCTGAACCCTAGCGTCACCGTAGCAGAAGAAGACGAATACTGGCGCTACATCGAGCATCCCTTGAACCTACCACTCGTCGTGAGCACTGAGACGCCGAGTGCCGATGACCCAGCCGCATTGGAGTTCTACGAGTATCTGAGTATGAGTGAAGGAGGAGTAGGGGGAGGTGGCGGCGCGCAGAGCGACGCAGCGAGTACGAGGCCTACGACCGCGGACGCGCTTAGGACGCCAGTTGATGCTGATTCGGCGTCGGTTCGGTCACTGCCTTTATCGCGGCCGACATCTTCTGCTGGGTTGTCGATTAATATACCATTCTCACATCCTCATTATCATCTTCATCCCCATTCCCATTCCCACACCCATCTGAACCACCACCTCCACCTCGATACCCACACCCACACTCAATCTCAATCCCAATTTCACACGTTCAATGGCTCCACCAACCCCGCAACCAGATTCCAGGTTTCAGACGAAGACATCGAAGAATTTGAAGAATTCCTCAAAGTCGCTGAGAACCCATTAGACGTGTTAGAGGAAGATGGGGGGAAGAAGAGGTATAAGGCTTACAGGCAATGGTTGAAAGGGAAGAGCTTTTTTAAGCAGAGTAAGGTAGATCCCGAGTGGCAGCAGAATCAGTTGCCTGTGAGGTGAAGTAGATGGAACAAGGAGATTGAGGTCGGGTGGGGTATGGAGTATATGGAGGGGGATGAGGTCTTCGCATCATCATAGCGTTGGTATCAGGAATGCGGTGTTTTGTTGCACGCTTGTAGGACACTTCCCAGTTATATGGATTTGGGGTGTTATCGACGGAAAGTGTTATAAACTTAGATACCAGAAGTATGCGGGTATATGAATGCTCTACCTGGCCTAAATGCCCTAATTCTGCATGCTGGACTACTCTCTTCGAGAGTAGCATGTAAAAGGAACTGGCATCAGTGCCAAACGCCAGGCCATGGCCACTCGTGACGTCCTAGAGGGGAACTTTGCCAATGCAAGAAACGCCTGTGCACACCCCTTATGACGATGTAGTGTTAGAGGGTATCTCCCAGGAGACCACCAACGCCGCCACTTTTAAAGAAAATATGCCTATTCGCCCATGCAGGTAATAAAAATGCAAGACGCCAAACCTCTCAAACCCTTGTCCGCGTTGCTGACCACTACACTACGCGAGCGTAGAGAGAAGGTGAGTGCGACGTCTTTGTGAGCCCAAATACGCACTATTCCAAATCCACTTCCAAGTTCGTAGAATACAGTTTTTGTAAGGCGTGCTCCTCAGTCCCAGTCATCATCTCCCTCTGGAGTCCTCGAATTCGTTTTTTTGACTTTACTGCCAGTCAGCCGGCCCCTAGGCTTCTTTGGGGTATTCGATGACCTCGATTCCGACTTCCTCTTCCTGCCCCGTCCACTCGTCGGTGGTGCATCATCCTCAGCACCGTTATCATCAGGGGTCTCATAACCTGCAGCGGCCCTGGCAAGTTGTTCGCTCGCGTCTAGGTCTTCATCTCCGACTTTAGCCTCTAAGTCAACTTCGATCAAGCGTCCGAATGCGAGACACTGCCTTGTCATGCTTTCTGTATTCTCAAGTGCAGACATAACGTTCTCGAATTTTTCCCAGAGCTCTTTGCCAGAGATGAGATTGTTCTTGACAGCAGATTTGTTCGCGTCCTTAGTCGTGATCGTGATCTTGCCAAGCATGTTCCATTGTTTGCGAAGGAAAGCGCGTGTGTCCCACATCATCTGAAGGATCATGCTTGCTACAGTGATTTGTCGAAGTCGGGCTTCGGGTATAGGGCTTGCGGTGGGATTCTGCGGTGCTTGGTAGGTTGAAGAACCTTCTCCATTGATGTCGAGACCTACGGGTGGTTGTTCAAGTTCTAGGTGCGGTTTAGAGATCTCATTCTCAATAGCAAGGGCAACGCTTGGCCCAGTATGCTTGAGCACAATATCGTGGATGGTGAGAATGAGAACCTGGACCTCATCAATATGAGCATAGTCGAAGAAACCCAAGTTTTCCAAGCAAAAGCGAGCGAATAGTAGAACGTCGGGAATATGCATATGGGAGCCACCTTCTGCGACGCTGTCGATAATTTGGTCTGATACTATTGCCTGGTGTTTTGGATTCGAGGTGTCCAGCTTCGATAGATCGAAGTCCATCTTCTTGCACATATTCATGAGGAATTTCTTGTATATTTTTGGAGTGCCACTCTTCAGAACTTCGTTCATACGCTGGAGCTTCGGCTTGAATGTCTTGTCTCTTGCGCCATGGGGATCGTTGGCTACATCTCGCTGATATTTGAAAGCGAGAGCAACAGCAGCCATGTATTCTTTCTCAAACATCCTTTCATTTTTAAGATGGATACTTTGGTGTTCCGCGGTCGCCTTGCTGGCGAGTTGAAGATTTGAGGATGAACTCAGGGCGACAAGGGCTGGTCCACATTCCTTCGGGTGCACAATGCCTTGCCGACTTATACTGATGATGATATCGGTCGCTATCAAGGCGAGATCGTTGGGATTTCCAAGAGCGATGGCCACAATGTCAGACAGAAACGCTGGTCCAAGGTGAAGGGGGGCGGTATCGTTGTCGCTCGCAACGAAAGATGAGTCTAATCGGTCGGAACCGCGAACAGCCCCCTCGCCGACTGCAATCTCGGCACCACTCTCAGAACGACGTTCTGCAGTGCTAAAGAATTCCCGAAACTGGGTAAGAACGACTCTCCTCAATTCGGTGTTGTCTTCATAGTTCTCATTGAGGAAAACGAGTTTGAAAGCTTGCTTAACATCAGCACGAGTGAATAGCGAAGGGGAGTTTTGGCAGATTTCTCCAAGGCTGCCCAAAGCATGCTCTCGAACGCTCATATCCCAAGGCTGCATAGTGAACGGCCGGACACATTCTTGAAGAAGGATCGGGACAGAATTCCCCTTCCATTCTGTGAGAAGCTTAGATGAATTCTCCTTAGATGGTACCCTCTTTAAAACTGTTGTCAACTTTCCTCTAAAAAGGTCGATATGTTTGTCGAAATCACAAACTCTGCCAAAGACGCCCATGATGAGGAGGTATGTGATGATCTTGAGTTTGTCTTTCGCTGTCAACGCTTGGTTCTTCGTGCTGGACCGGAGCAGTTGGCTCTGGGCCATGGCCGAACAGATGAGACCAAGCAGCTTGTCGACGCCATTCGTAACTAAAGGACTAACAGTCCATAAACAATGAGCAACATCCAGAAGTGTTGATTTGTAAGCGGAGTGCTGGGCCGCCCAATTGGCCAGTTTGCCTGTGCAAGGGAGAAGCGAACTGCGGACCTCCTCCAGGAAACTCTCCTGCAAGGATGGGAGTGCGGGGAAGACGTGACGAAAAATGACCAATGTTGGCCGGAAGTCTTTCAGATCATCGGTGGTGGCAAGGTCTTTGACATACGGCTTTAAAAGCTGTACTTGAGCCGAAGTGAACAGTCTTGGGCTCACTTTGGCAAATATGCTCAGTGTATTGAGAATTCGAGCCTGGGAATTCTCCCCTGCCACAAGGTCCGTGCCAATCACACCTTCTACCATGTCCGCAACCAGCTCCCTGCAGATAGTGAAGTTTGCTGTCGGATTCTTCGCTTTGTTTGATACAGCACTGGAGAAGAATGATTCAAAAGCTTCCAGTTTGTTGGGGATCTCTTCAACTTTTTGAACGATTTGCACAAGCATTGAGACTCGATTCCGGCGGTCTAGTCTCAACTGGTTCTCGTCTACCCTAGCAGCTGCATTGGGGGGGGCAAGCCAGATATCCTCAAGAGTTTGGTGAGTCAAGTCGGAAACGCCTTTGTCATCGTCGAGAACTGGTACGAGGAGATGGCAGGCTATGTCGAGCTTCCTTTCGTTCGGAACGGAGCCAAGATACATGTCTTTGAGAATTTTAATCGCTCTCTTTTTTGGACCGGTAGCCGGATCGTCCACGAGTTGGAGAACTGATTTTAAGCAAAGGCGCTCTAGGGATGGGTTATGTTCTAAACACTTGGATATCATCGCGAGGACATTCTCTCGCACCATAGGAGAGCTGTCGCTCACTAATGTATTGAGTGCATTAAATGTTTGCTCGTCAAGGGTCTTTGGATCCTTTTCAATCAACTGTGAGAGGCTTGTCATCGCTCGCGATTTAAGTTTCGGTGATGGGTTTGAGGATGCATTGTCAATCAAGTGTTTGACTAATCTCGGAAACACTTGACAAAATGGATCTTGCATGGTAATTATTCCAGCGGCAAGCTGACTTTGAGAGTCTGAGATTGGAGGGCCTTGTGACTCGCTGAGGATAGGAATTAGTGCTTGCTTCATGCTAGAAAATCGCGAAACTCACAATTCATCGTGCAACCATTCCGGATTATGGACCATTTTGTTCAAGTTGCGGCCTAGGAGCTCGATTGTCCGGGGTAAAGGCTCAGTCTCGCCTTCCGTGGGTAGGAAGGCGTTACAAAAGGCGTGATCCCAATACGTTATGTGGCACCCATTGACCGCTTGAAAGTGTGGGTCCTCACGGCTCCCTACCTTCATATAGTCTTGAAGGGATTCTAAAACAATACGATGCGGCCCGTCGAAGGCGAGCAGGTCCTTATTGTTGATGCCGTTGCTAAAAACATCATCGGCGAGTCGTACTAATTCATCGGAAATCTCGGATTGAGAAACGTCAAGGGTCCGTCTATGGTGCTTCATGCGACTCCGAAATTCCGTAATTCCACAAGCCATGATGCCCACATCGGTAAGAGCCATGAACTTGTCATTAACGCTAGATTCCTTGTTCCCGGGTATCACCACGTACATCCTGGCACAGAGCTGTCTAAGAATGACCACTGCGGCAGGCCATTCAGGGGACCCGAGCACATTGCAGAAGTCCTCAATGAAAAGATCGAGAAGCGTGCGGAATGGTTTGTCGCCAGATTTTGATACACTAATCGCTCGATCTACAAGAAAGGTAGCGATTTTGGTCGCAACTGATTTTGAGTCTTCAACAAGATGCTGTGAGAGCCTTCCTCGTACCCTTTGGCTGTCACGAGTAGGTTTGGGTTTCCTCGTAGGAGAATGATTATCCTTTCCATAGTCGCTATCCTCTTCTTCCTCTTCGCTTATACCGGCTGCTTTGGCTTGGATGTTGGTTCTCTTCTCCTGTGTTGTCTTACTTGCCGCGGCCTGGACGATGCGCATGAAAAGAGCAGAAACCAGCATGATTGGCACTCCGTGGGCTAATTTGAACTGTCTAGCGCTTCCCCGTTTCTCGGGCAGTTTCTCCAGATTACTGAGAATTTCATTTAATATGAAACTTCTCTGATCTAGATGACAAGCAAATATCTGTGCTAGGACGTCCATGGCTTTGGAGCGGAACAGCTCGAACTTCTGAATTCCAAGGGCCGATTCCTTCTCATTTTCGCCGTTTTGTACGAATATGATACCGGTAGAAACATATTCGATCGGAGTCAGAGCAGTCTCGGTTAAGGTGACTTTACCAATTAATTTTGCCAGAAGACCAAGCACGGTTCCACAAAGCGTCAGGGATGGATTAATAGCGTTTTTGGCTTGCGAGGCCAGATCGAAAAGCTCCGAGGAAGAACCTTGGCGACGAGATTCAACGATGGGAATGAGGCACGAATCCAGGATATGTTTCAATGCAGCAATGATGATTCGTACAAGGTCCTCAGAACATATACGCTGCTCATCGCCTCCTTTGGTCATGGTCTCTAAGACTAGCCGGCATGCTCTAAGTCCAGAATTTGCCTTTTCAAGAGAAGAGAGCCAGTCCTGGGTCTCACCCTCTGTTGGGTCAGTTGAGAGCCGACTTGTCGCCGCAATTGATGGCTCGATAAGGGCTTGAATCCGCAAAATCTCCTCCCTCGGAAGATTGGGGAATGTTCCGGAGCGAATGACGTTCATGACTGCGGTGGAAAGCCGCTTTAATGTGTCGCTTTCGAGCACGGAGAATTCTGACTCGTCGGTGGTGATAGTTGCGAACATGCCTGACTCGTCCCCGAATTCTTTCGCCTCGGATATCGTTGCGATCAAAGCCAGAAGTTCGTTGGTCTTCTGGTCGGCAATCTCCCGCTGCTGGGACCGCATCGACAGCGCCTCGTTGTCCGCCTCGTTGCCCTCCCGTTTTCGCTTCTTGGACAGTCCGTCGTCGGTCTGAATATGATCGTACCGTTGGTATTCTTCTCGCTGAGCGGAGGGTTGCTTTGAAATGATCACAGCTGGTCCAGGTCGCGTGGGTGTGTTGGTAGTTCGTTGTGAGGTAGTGCTAGCAGAAGGGGAGGATGGGCTCGATTGAAACTGAACGCTTGAGGTTTGGTTGTATGATGGATGGTCGGTGGTTACAGGTACTGGCTTGGTGATTGAGCGCGCTGGAGGCTGAAAAGATGATTGCTTTAAGGAAACTTGGTTTGGTCGAGTATAACCAGCAGACACATTTCCAGAATCTAAACTAGATAAGCAAGAAGTCTGATAATCTCAACGAAGAAGCATACGCAAGTGAGACACATCCGTGTTCTTCAGAAGCATGTTGGCGAAGTAGCTGAGAGCGGGAATCTTGGGGTTTGTAGATCCATTTGTGACCGACTTTGAAGTAGGACTGTCTGGAGGTGGGGTTACAAGCTGTGACTTGAACCGGCTATGAGAGCATCAGCAGCTAAATCCTATCTCAGAGAAGAGACATAGGTCCTCACAATTGAGAAAGGTCGGCCGGGTTCAGCAGACTCTGTAGCTCTAACAGAGTGGGTTGTAGATGCTGGGAGTTATGGAGCGGGCCTCTTATCTCAGCATCCAGTATTCCCACAGCTTTCTTCGCGGCGTCCTGCTGCTCCGGTGTTAAGGTCGTTGGAGGCGTGGGTGGTTTGGCGGAGGGGAAGGGAATGATATCTGCGATATGTTAACGCTGCTGAGCGATTGAGGTGAGAGAGCCGCAGACGACAAGTGAGATTAAAGACGTACCCGACGAGAAAGGGACTATGGAGCTGAAGGGCGAATATGGGAGGGCCTCCTCAACCGTTGGTGGGCGGAAGGGTAAAGCGGCTCCATTGGCGGTGTGCCAGCTGCTCCCGTTCGACGCAGACATGTTGTCTCAAGTACAAGCTCCAGCAGGAGCATGCGACGGAGGGCTGCGCGGGGTCTAGGACAAAGGGTTGTCAGAACGCCTAGGGTCGAAGTTTGGGAAACGGTCGCACTGTAGGTGCAATGATCAGAGAGGAGGCGAGGACATGGCCGACATAGGAGTGCGACCAGACAGAGCGCCAGCATAGACTGGGGATAATTAGTGTCAGTCTGCGCAATCCCGACGCTTCTGCATCGTTTAAGTGAAGGACATGCGCAAGTGATTGACCAGGGTCACCATCTTATCGCGCTAGCCTCTAGTGGCTTGGCGGTGCTAAATAATATCTCGCGAAGTCACCTGCGCCTTCCCTTCACTCATACTGCACAGGTGCTCAGAAAAAGATCTGCACAAGTAATCGGCCAGAGAGTGCGCTACAATGGCAGCAATTGGGTCGCTTGTCTTCTGCACCGACTGTGGGAACCTTCTGGACGGCAGCGCTGGCAAGGAAAATGCCATCTTGACGTGCCAAATTTGCGGAGCTTCATGCAGAGGTATATCTTGCTCGACCTACACCCCCCCCCCCCAATGGGCGTCCCGCTGATGCCCCGCTTAGATACGTCCTCCAAAACCGTCGTCACTCGCTCCAAGCCTGGTGCCTTCCCCTCTTCGCTGCGCGCAAAGCGATCCGAAGTGCAAACCATCATAGAGGCCAACATGCAGACCCATGCAATCATCAGCGAAACCTGCGAGAAGTGTGGCAGGGAGGAGGTGCGATTCTACACCCAGCAGCTGCGCAGTGCCGACGAAGGCACGACCGTCTTCTACAAGTGTGAATGCGGGCACAAGTGTGTTCTGCTCTCACGTTTTCTATTTCGTATCGCTCACTCACATTTCTGCAGGTGGAGCACCAACAACTAAGGCACCAAAGCTATCAGCACTTTTGTTCTCAAAAATCAGTTTGTGTGACCTAAGCTCCTGGAAATGCATGCAGAGGCTGTCAATCAGCCTCACACTATACCTCGATTGGCTTTCCCGCTTCCGGCACAATGGCATACTCTACCTCACCGTTCTTCTCAAACTCCGCCATATCGAGCGCCACTATCACACTATCTCGTACAACTTGCTCTGGATCATCCAAAAACTTTCTCAACGTATCCTCGACACCTTCCTCGTCGCCAAGGCTTCCCAGTGCTTCTGCCGCTTCGTGTCGAACCATGCCCGCCTCCTTTGTGTTACTCAGCGTTTCGACAAGACTGGGGATTGAGGCAGGATGTGACAGCTGACCAAAGACAAAAGCAATCTCGTGACGGAAGAGTGCAGACGGATCGCCAAACCCGCGGGCCAGCGATTGGATGGCAGGGACGGCGGTCGGGAGGTCAGGCGGTGACGACAAGTCGCGCAGAGCAAACATGGCTCTGTAGCGTTGGAATAGAGGCAGAGATGTGTCCAGCAGTGTGTTCTCCAGTTCCGGTATTGATTGTGTCTGCGCCGTGCGAGGGAGCGGTGGTGCGGGATCTATGGATGCGAAATCGCTGGTACTGAATTCAGCAGTCTTCATTGTCTGACCCTGCACGGCAACCTGCTCACCTCTGTTTGAGCTGCTCCTGTTTCCTTTGCAGGCCGTGCTCCCATTCAATTCTGTCCACCGCGATGTCACATGTTTCCCTGACCACGTCGATCTCTTGGCTGTCGTCTCGCAGATCCTTCAGTAGATCCAAGCTACCCTTGTCGCCCAAAGCGCCTAATGCTTCGGCAGCCTCATGCCGACACATGGCGTCTTCGGCCTTATCTCGCAGGACATGGCGCAGGTATGGTACGGCGGCGTCATTGCGAGATTGGCCAAGGCAGTAGGCCAATTCATGCTTCAACAGCGCAGAGGGGGACGTGAATGCAGCAGCGATTGCTTCGATGGCAGGCACCGTCTGAGCGGTCGGGGGCTTTAGGGAAGCCAGATGTTTCAGGGAGAAGAGAGAGCGAAAGCGTCTCGCGAGAGGTTCTGATTCGGAAGTGAGAATTTTTCGAAGCATAGGGACCTGAGTGTCGCTCTCGGAAGGGGCGTCTGGGACGGCCATCGTTGCCGTTGGTACGGAGTCCAGTCGCTTTCTCAACTCGTAGGCAGTCAAGAAAGCTCCTGATCTTCGCGGAAATTTTGGTGGGGTTTACGAGTTCCAAGGTTTGCCCCTCTCCGCGCATGGTCTGATGATCTGATAAGATGTGGCTGGTCACATGCTCGCGCATCGAATCTGCCAAGCCCGCCCAGCCACCCGCATTGGGCCCTTCGACTTTGAGGTGAACAATGAGAGCGAGAATCACCGCTTAACAGTTATTCAGCTCAACTCGACCGCACGGTACCACGCATACTTGACCATCTCCTCGCCACCCCTCTCATCGGCGTCACAACCCTCCTACCAGAGCTTTTCCGCCAGCGCTTGCGCCCACCCCTTCTAGAGCGAAGGCTGCCCTAGTGCAAGAATGGTATTCTTACGAGACGTTTCCGATCGTTTCTGGAGCTATGTCTCGCCGCGCAAGACTCAGCAGCGTCGGGAGAAACCATTTAAGGTCCCGGCTCTCCCACAACCAGTCAAAACGCCTCATGCTATCAAGAAGGAAGAGCGACGCACCGAGTCAATGAGCCCTACCACACGAGTAAAGAGTTGGCATGTCAAAACTCCTGGCTCAAGCGCTTCCACGGATGAGGCAGACCGACTGCCCTCGCCAACTTCCCTAGAACGACCGTATACCGATTTCGAGGGCGACACCCTCATCGATGACATGGTCGAGGCGATTGACGACCAAGAAGCCTTCGACGCCAATGAGGAGACATTTGTCGTTGATGAGGCAAAATATATGGATGAGCAGAAAGCTTATGACGCGGATACTGAGCGGCAGAGGCGTGATAAGCAGGGCCGGGAGCTCCGTGCCGTGGGGTGGACAGAGGATGCAGTCTTTCTCTTCCAAAAGCTGGGTATGCGGGGCTTCGAGCCACTCATGCCAAAGGAATGGATGAACGATTTCATTATGCTGCCGACGAATCTGTTCACTCCTAACATGGACAAGGCGTTCATCAAGCCAACATTCGGTCGCGACTATCATGGTAGGTTCCTTTTGTATACAAGAATCATTCCCTGGCTAACTTGCAACCAGCCCAAAAGGCACTAAAAGAACTCTTCGAGCTAGGAGGCCGTGCCCGTGACGCTATCCTGCAGAAGGTAGAGATCCGCACAGCAGAGGATCACCTCCGCCGAGCCGTCCGCAAGTACAACAAGTGGGCCGTGAAAGATGGAGGGCTCGAAAATATATGGCACAGCCTCTCCCTTTTCGACATCGTCAGCCTCAGCAAAGACACTTCTCCCGCTATTCTACAGGAGAAAATGCTACACAAGCTCGCAAAGCTTGCAGCCCTTTGGCGAGATGCGTTTCGTGCCCGTTCCACGCAGCCAGCTAGCGAGTCCGAGGACTTAGAAACTAATTGCCGCGATAGTCAGGATCTACCCACTCTGTATGGAATCATTGCCTCGCACACTATTATGGCAATTGTCAGCTACGACGCCATGGCCGCTAATCCTTCTCTTCGGACAGTCGCCATCTTTGACTTCGGCCAAGAAGACTACGACGTCTGGAATAGTCTCGCAATCGCCATTATGGTTATCCATTGCCGCAATCGGATGAGGGAGCTTCAAGAGTTTCTGCCAGAGCCGGAGGCGAAGGCCGAGAGCGATCCCGACGTGTAGGCTCTTACAGCTACTCTAAATCCATTCTGCAGGACTGCTCGGAAGGGAGAGAGTAATTTTGAAAAGGAAATGTTGCATGAATAACGATTTCTAAGTGTCGGCGTTACGGTTTCTTTCCGATATACCCTGGTGTGGTTTTGAAGTAGGCGGTAGCGACGATTTTGGAGTGCATCTTGGGGCGTGAGGTCAACAGACTTCCTGACGTTTCGTTGGCTGCTAGGCTCGTTAGGGAAGGGAGATTCGGCAGTCGCGTCTCAGGCCAGTCATCTCATCGTTTGCTGTATTGACGTTGATAGGAGAATTGAACAATTGCTGCGATACCCCTTTTATCATGAGGCCTTCACTTCTAGCATCCTCTCTAAATCAAATCTGAGATTTCAATTACCCTGTACAGCTCGGTTGACAGGAATCCCGCGGAGGCGCTTCGAGGCGCGTCAACGATCCTTCTTAGCAACTTCTCTCGCTTCCAACCACAAGCATACTACTAACAAAATCACAACGCTCTTGTACCCTATTCGAATACCGCGCGGCACAACCTATTCTAGGGGGAAGGTAAGTTTGCTAAGATCCACTGAAAGGTGAACGTCACTATTCTACTTCGATCGATTTTTAAATAACATCATCGGTCGTGACAATGCATAAAACGCCTAAATCCCAGCTCATTTCGACAATGGTGTCTTTACTCTTGCCATTCCTGTTTGCTTTTGAGTCACTTTTTATTTCTATCCATCAGTTGCAACGGCCAAATCTTAGCAATGAATCCCGACGCTATGAGAGATGCCTTAAGGCTTCTTGACGCTTCCTTCTTGAAGGAAGACCATAGTTCGAACTACAACTAGACAAACAGTGAATACAACCATTATGATTCAAACAAAAATAAGCAAGAGACTATCCATCCTTGCGTAATTTTTAAGTAGGAAGAGCCCTGAATGATATGAAATAATCATAAAACATATATGAGCGAATGTCTTAACGTCGTAACTTACATATTCAACAAGGCGCCTTTCTCTAGGGCACGTGATTTGCTATAGTATAAGACAGTTTGAGCTAACTCGCCTATATTGGCATAACGACTGACCGCCAAGCCAGGGTGTCAGCCTCGCGTAATCTAACGAACTTTGTATTATACTGCGCTTATGTCATGTTTTTAATCTTGGTATCCAAGGTTGTTCCGAGTTCCGACAGCGTCTTCGTCATCGTGCTCCAGCCGTCTCTTTTTTTGTGAAGACTCAGCCCTCCCCATCCTCCTGCATCTTTGCCTCTCCGGCTGTCCATTGTTACTACTGGTCACCCCCCTTGCACACCATACTCATTCTCTCTCCCCGGCCCCTGCCGCTTGATCTTGTCGCTTACTCAATTGCGCGCGCGCGAGCCTCTAAAAATATGTGGACGCAGAGCAGCCCACGCTAGATGTGGCCCTTTCTGGGCCCCTTTGACTTTCACCCGCCTGCTTATATCCTTGCCATCCAAGCGATCAAAAGGCACCCATCCTATCGCTCTACTATCCTTTCTGTGTCTGTGTCATCCGAACGGATAACCCGCTCGCTTTTCGCAACCAAGATCGCGCCTCTCATCATCACCCTCGGCCCTACGGTTTCAAATCTCTCCTTACCGTCGCTCCGCACACATCATAACTTGGAGCTAGACGAGAAGCCCGTATTTTTAATAATATAGCTCTTGCTAAACCTGGCGATGAATGGAGGTAGAAGGCCGCCTCCGAAGCCGGCTGCTGGCTTCCCAACGATCTAGGGTCAGTCACGGAGAGGGCGATGGCTTCCCTACAATCGTTGAAAGACGACCCGTTGGACGGTTGTCCCGAAGTTGCAAGGGTGACAGATCGCGCTCGCAAAGTTTCATGGCGTATTGGAAATGGTTTTCCTCCAGTTGGGATGCTTGCGCAGTTCATTTTACTGACCCGTTGTCTATGTAGGTACGCTTCCGAAGTTCTTAAGATAAACCCAGACAGCGTTTGGCTAGATTTGTGCCGCAACAGCGACGAGGCAAAGGACTACTGCCGAGTATTCCTCCGTAGCTATGTTGTAGAGTCGGTACGACCATTCCCGATCCTCGGATCACAAGAATACGAATTGAGACGTACCATGACTACGGCATCCGCTGTGTTGCAACGCTGGAGGGACATTACTGCTGAAGCAGACCGCACTGTGCTCTTAGAGAAGAGACGTAAAGAGAAGAGATGTGAAGAGAAAGGGCCTCTGTGGCGGCTGAAGTTCGTAGATCATGCAAACAAGAGGGGCCAGGGACCTATCTACGAGATCTCTAACGTGTGTCCTCCCCTATCCACTACCCCTATCATTTTGTGCATGCAGACGCTGACATCTTCCAGTGGATCTTTAAGCACCTCGCAAAAGAGTTTGATCTTGCGACTACTCTAACCTTCGACAAGGTTGAGGTGACTGATGAGGACATTGCCGTCCTCCTGACCACGCTGTGGGAGCGTGCAGCCGATGTACCCTGCAAGCCCCGCGTCCGTGTTTCCATTCACGGTATTTTCTTGCTAGCCGGCATTGGTGGTTTTAGAAAATCAACTATATTACGCGTTGCCTATAAAGACGTCGCTCTTGTCGTCGTACGGGACCCAGACGACTCATCGAAGACAATGCTTATCGTTAGGCCCACAATTCCAAAGAACAAGCAAAAGCGGGCCTCTATGGAGGCCTCTAGGGCGGAAAAGTGAGTATCTGCTTTCTGCCACCAGAACCGTTAGTCTGATATTCGCAGGATATCCTTTTCTCTGACTCTCGTTCCGTATCCGCTCATTTGCCTCGCTAGCCTTGTCGGTGCATTTGCGGTTAAGGACAATGCATTTAAGACTGGCTTTCGGTCCGTCGAAGCGCTACTCTATCAACTGAATCTTGAGGATGTAGACTTCGTGCCATTGCAATGGAAAGAAGAGATGCTCGACCGCCCCATCTTCGAAGTTGACCATAACACACTTCACGATCTGTGGCATCGATTATGGCTCGTCAGTGGTTCCCGGGGGGATCCGCGCTTCCACGCGATGCGGGTGGCGCTGGAGGCGCACTTGATGGTAAGCCAGAACGACACTGAATGCATACAACATGAAAGCGCCCTCTAGCCCCTTTTCTCCTCCCACCTCTCCCTCGGTTCTAAGGAGCCCCGAGGTTGCTGAAGTTCGTTCTTGTCCTCGATAGGCTCTCTCACCCCTGCCGTGCGCAACTATGTCCTATCCAACACGACCGGCGTATTTGAGGCTAGTTATCAGCCCACGCGAGTTCGCCAAGGTCTCACGAGTCTGGTCTTTGGGCCTAGGGCTGGATGCAATGACAGCCTCTTTCGACGCCTCCGCAACATGTCTCTGAGCAGGGACGCAGGCGCTCCGACAGAGATTAGCCAAGAAGATTTCCAAAAGTTCGAGGAGCGCAACGATGTGAAAAGTCTCCGTGCATCCCTAGAAAAAGCACACGAAATGGGAGATGACAAAAAAACAAAGTCATCAATCAGATCACGGATTCAATATCATTTAGGGGTACTGTCGCGCATGCAGTTACTAGAGAACAGGAAAAACTACTTCGACCGCGTCGATAACCTAAGAGCGCAAGGACTGCCGACCACGGACTCCGCGGGAGAGTCTCGTCCAGGAAAGGCCTTACCAAAGTACGGCGGTGGCGCGGAGGCTGCAGTAGCCCGATTTCTGCAAGAATGCGCCCGGAATGTTCATGAAGGCTTATCAGTGGACCACCGCTCGAGGGTCTATATGGAACACCTTGTTAATTACCTAGCTCACCGACCACCAATTAGTCCGCCTTTGGAGTCGGGATTTCCGAAGGTCTGGTCCGACCCAAGTGGTAGGCAGAAGAGCGTGGACGCGGCGGACGACAAGGCTCAGACGGCACAAAGTATCGACGATGATCAGAATGGCTGTCTCGAGAACAGGAAGACCACCTACCTGTAACAGAAGACCCTAATAAACTAATCCCTGTACAAAGGGATCCCCTGCAGAAGAGGAAGAGAGGACAACCCTGCAAGAATGCTGCACAGGCTGAACTAGAACCTATCTTAGACCAAGTCTCCCAGGGGAGTGATGCCGCACCTGTGCGAAGGGAAGATGTGGATACTAGGAGAAGTGGAAGGCAAAGGAAACCTGCACAAAGTCCAGATCAGGTATTCCTAACCTAGAAGAAAAAGGATAATTAGGCCTTGTCTATTAAGCTCTGTACAGACAGTGTGATTACTACACCTAGAGAACTATTTAAGAAATTAGACTACATAGAGATAGACACTTTAATCACTAACAGCTGTAACGATTCTCATGAATCGTTCCATCTCGGGTTGCCCGGAACCTATCCGAAGGGTCCCCGTATCGGCCCCGACCCTGACTCGACCCTGTCCTCCGCGGTTACCCTTATTCCCCCAAGTATTTAGTCGCACCTCTCCCCTTCGCTAGCTCGGTAGTTTTCTGATATCCTTTCGTACGAGGCCTATAGGCGTCAATGGAATTCCCAGGTTATTGAGTCCCCACGCACTCCCATATGCCTCTGAGTGGATTCATACTGCATTCGGATCCATTGTCTTGCCTGCGCCGTTACACATACTACAACTACTATAAGAAGAAGCTCTACATACATATCTCTTTATACAACCTTTGTAACGGCGCAGGCAAGACAATGGGTCCGAATGCGGCAGGAATCCACTCAGAGGCATATGGGAGTGCGTGGGGACTCAATAACCTGGGAATATCATTGACACCTATAGGCCTCGTGCAAAAGGATATCAGAAAACTACTGAGCTAGCGAAGGGGAGAGGTGCGACTAAATACTTGGGGGAATAGGGGTACAGCAGCGGGCAGGGCCGGGTCGGAGCCGATACGAGGAACCTTCGGATATAAGGTTCGCCCGGTAACTTTGAATGGAACGATTCAAACGAATCGTTACACACTAATTCATACATTAAAAAGCTTGTATACAGTATGCCTTAGCGTCTACAGGCTGTACAGCGCGCGCGGGGGTATTAAACAAAATATTAAGTATATTGCAATACTAAGACTTTAAAAACTAGCTTAATTAACTATATAGTTGCTAAGTTGTTGCTTGTTGATAATTGCGCTCAAAATGTTCCAACCTCGTCTTGGGGCTTAGCGTACCAAACTTTTGTCCTAGTACTGTAATATCCTTGTCCCTCTTCCCACATCAACGATGACTCTTCTTCAGAGCAGCGCGGAGGTCCCTCCTGAGCAACTAGAATACGACCTCCCTGGTTGGGAGACTTTACCCAACGGATATGTTCTCTACATTCGCATACGGAGCGCATGGTTGAACGTCCACGTCCTGACCAATAATTTCCATCGCTCGCCAATTGCACTCGAAGCCGTCCAAACGAACAAGGCAAAATTCGATTCCAATCATGGTGTTTATTAGAACGTAACTGTTACTGTCAGTAGTGTTTTTTAGGCGTTACTGACGGTAATAGGGTTTCGTTCTTACGGAAAGAGTGAATT